TGACCCATTCAATGCCAATATCCTTGAGCATCTCGGCGCTGTTATTTTGAGGAAACAGTTTACAAGTATAAATTCATTATTAATGTCACGTGATAAAGTGAGCAATTGGGTTCACACCACATCCGTTTTTCATTATAACAAGCGGAATACCACTGTCCATCTTCAGTCTATCCGCATTGTATTACAAGGATGGAATAGCACAGTTACGAATTGACATTGCAAAGACGAAAAAATAATAATAAGGCTAACGTACGCGACTTCGCCGGTGTAAGCACCGCTAGCCTTGGAGTAGCAGTTCTGTCCAGCAACAGCAACATCCTTGCGGACAGACTTGCGGACCTGGTCAAGATAGACAAAAGGAGGAGAGACAACGATTTCTAATAATAGCAATATAAACAATAAAACCATGTCAAACGCGCAATTCAAGAGAAAAAATAAGTTTATCTGATTATGACAATCATTGATGCCAGTGAGGCATATTGAAGGAAAAAAAAGAAAAAAAAATCCAATAACGCGTGATCATTTCTTACCAACATTCCTATCGAGATCTCCTTGGTTAAGGTTCTCAATCAAGGTGTGCAAAGACGACTGGGAGCCGTTGAGCTAATAGGATAGCAAATTGATAAAGAAGCATGAGGAAAGATCAGCTTGTTGCGCGATGACAAACATGTATGAAAGATGTATTTCTTTTTAATATTGTTTGATGAGATAAACACCTTGAAGTTTCCACCAACGATGAACTTGCGAGGCATGATGAATTATATTATGGGATACAGAATGAAGAAAAGAAAAGAATGCAGAACCAGAAAGAAATGACGAAAGTTAAATATCGGGAGAAGCGGATATGTTGGGCGTGAGAGCATTTGAATCATTCGGCAGTCCCATTTAAACTTTTCTTGTCTTACACCTCTACACATGAAAAATAAAAAAACGAAACATAAACAAGCAGCAATTCTATTCTGATTTACTGTAGTAGATTGCTCATTGTGCAGTGAACGCAGCAGCAGAGACGGGAGCAGTAGCATAGACAAGAGAAGCATACAATGGACTCGTACAACAGGAAAGCTGCTGTTAAACAGCAACATTCGTTGTCGTATGCTAAATCATCTAACGGTACACGGGTTGCTACAGATCTTTGTCGCGCGTCCACATCCAAACAGTATTCCTCATTGCTCAAACCGGATCGCACCACTACATCTAGTTCTGTCCCTGCTGTCGAATCGCCAAAAGATCAGGTTCCTGTCAATGAGCTTGTCCAGCTTGGACGTCAAGCATTTGCACAAAAAAACTTTGCTACTGCGCTGCAATATCTCACAAGGGCTTTGGCCATTGCACCCAAAGATATTAATTTGCTCGATAGCAGAGCTGCTTCGTATGAAAAACTCAATAGGCTAGATGGTGCTCTAGCGGATGCAAAATCAATGATACGATATTATCCACAAAACCCAAAGGTAGAAAAGAGCGAAGGCGTCATTCATTATTGTGCCTGTCTTTGTTATTCTGTTCATGACGTTAATCAAGCTGCTTGGTTTTGGATACAGGGCTACTTGCGAGCTGGAAAAACTCTTCGTCTTCAACAAAACTTCAAAAATGCTACCAAGTACTATACTGTTGGGATAGAGAGATGTGTCAAAGGATCTAAGGAATATGAGGTAGTGTTTTTTTTAAAAAAAATAATAATAATAATAATATAACGAATGATTGTAGTCACATTGATTGACCAATAGTCCTTCCCATCTTCTGATTGACAATGTGTAGGCCCTTGTTAGGATAGCAACAGAGATAGCTAAGGTACTATGGTTAGCGATATCCATTTCGATTCATAACCTTAATTGGTGCATTGTTGAGATTTAGATCATTAACAAACCTGAGTTCCTTACATGATATATCACAGAGGGAATTACGCATCCTGGATCCGATGGAGCGATTACCTCTTGAACTTATTGCGATAATCTTTAGTCACTTGACGTTCGTAGAGCGAGTACGTTGTCTGACTGTGAGCAAGAAATGGGAGGAATACTTAGGTTCTATTAAGAAATTTTGGCTTACAATTGACGTGACAAACCAAGCATCTTTATTGCTTTTAAAACCCCATTATGCCAAATACGCACCACCTCAACCAGATCAAGAGACTAACAACAAAATCACAAACAAGACTATCCTAAGACTCACCAAGTATACTGCCCCAAAAGTTCTACAACTTGGATGTGCTCAGCAACTTAATGGAGCATTTTTTAAGGATCTGATATTTTACAGGCGAGTGTCGGCCCTAGAAGTTCTGTCTCTCAGGGAGAACCCAAAGATATATGAACAAGAATTTACCTTATTTTGGAAGTCAGCTCTCAATATACGATCCTTGGATCTTTATGGATGTCGTGGAGTAACAGACAAGGTTGTAATTTTAGCATTGGAACTGCTCCTGCAACTCGAGGAGCTGAATATCTCAGAGTGTAGGATAACTGAGGCCTCTTTTATGATCAACAGTATGACACCTATGCCCAGCATGAAGAAGTTAATAGTGGGTACATGGGAATCACAATTTGCCAAGGAAGGGATTGATGCTCTGGTTGCCCGATTTCCAAACCTCATTACTCTTGACATCCGGACAATGAGGCCGCGAGGAATTGAAGCACTTGAGGGTATTAGCGGACTGAGACATCTTAAACATCTGTACACCGAATCCATCGAGACGTCAGGAGAACATGCGACAAACGCAGTTTTGCATCGATGGGTGGTGGGTATTCCTGAACTTGAGAGCCTCCAGATGAACGCCTGTAAAGGAATATCAGACACGACAATTCAAATCATTGCAAATGCGTCTGAACCAGGGTCAGACCGGCATGGATGGTCAAATTCGTTAAGGATGCTTGATCTTAGCTCGTCCCCATATCTTACTTGTGCAGGATTAGAACATCTGCATCAACATCCCCTACACAAACTCCATACTCTTCTCTTGAACAAGTGCGGCCGTGTAAGTGAATATGGGTTGCGACGTGCAGTGAAGAGCTGTGGCGCGGAGCTGAGTCGACTAGAGTGCTCGGGCTACTCGAGCGTTTCTGATAAGTTAATGGTGGAAATTGCACAGTATTGCCCAAAAATTGAGATGGTACATCTCGCCAACTCTGGGATGGTTACAGGAATTGGGCTGTTGACTCTTGTTCACGCACGCGGTCAGAGTCTGGAGCGCATTTGTCTAGACGATTGTCCGGCGGTGGGTATAGATGCAGTTGAGCTCGCACGGGAGATGCTCGGTAGCACTGTACGCGTCTCTCACCGTTTTCACCGTTCACATCGATACTAGAACTAGATTGTGTATCACCCATCTTTAATGAAACTAAAAAGGCTCAAACGTGGATAGAGCATATTATATGTGAAAAGATTGGCTATGCAACTGTTGTCTCTTTTTTGCTCTCCTCTTTGCGCCTCTCTCGAAAGCAAGATTCAGGTTCATCTCACCATCATTTCTTGCTGATCCCATCAAACGGTGCGGACATGGCATTCAATACCGTTCGCATAATTACTGATGCTTCTAATGAACAGCCGATGACAAAGTTAAGGTCTGTTGATGGTAGCTCAGATGGCACCAACGATAACAACACCAACAATAACAGTAATAACCATCATACAGATCCAAGAGAAAGCACAAATAGCAGCAGAAGCAAGGACGTTGGCGTGCCAGCTTTAGAGCACCTTACTCTTAGTTCCAACTGTACGTCAGCTTTAAGAGTCGATGACGCAGACGAGAATAGCGTCGACGACAATCAGGTAATACAAAAAAACTCACAGCCCATTGTAACCTGGCAAAGAAAAGCCCAGCAAAATAAAGACGATGACAAGGAATGTTCTACTCCATCTACTGTTGTGGAATAGTAGGAAATGCAAGGGTATCATTTGCCCAATCTAAGACCTGCTTAGGCATGTGAAGTCCTGGGACAAGGGACGACGATGTAGAGGGAAGCATGGTTTCATTCAATCTATTAAGCCTTCTCTCTCCTTTCCCTCCTTTCTTTTTTCTTTTTTCTTTTTTCTTTTTTTTTTGCCCATCTCGCATACTCCCACGCTCCCTCTCTCTTTCTCTTTTTTCATTTTCTCTTCTTGATTCGTGATTATACACATAGAGCAAAGACGTTCATTCTCTGCAGCAATATCGTCAGGATATAGCACAACAACAGGACGACATGTTAACGAATACTAATAATTCACAGGCAGATCAACAATACCCTCAAACACCCCATTCTTCTGTCTCTACTAATCCATTTAGACGCAGTTCTTCCGTCTCTCCGGAACGAAACAATGCATCTACTACCAACAACCTTGACCTCGACTTTCAAAACGAGGATCCATTCTCAATATCAGCTTCCCCTTCACTCAGAAGGAGCACTGTTGCCCGACCTGCATTGGCGGCTACTGCTGCTGTACCTGGAGAATCATCAATAGGCGAGACGTTAGTAACGACATCATCATTATCGCCATCAGATACCCCCCCAGAATTGCCTCCACCACCAGCTTATGATCAAATTGAAGGATCACGGTCCATTCAGGAGACAACTGCCTCAACATCGCCACCAGCGAGAGTCATCGAAGAAGAATCAGGAAATAGACAAGTTGAGTCGAGGAGAATAACACCACCACCACCGACCCCTGCCAGAGCATCGACCCCCGCCAGAGCATCGACCCCCACCAGAGCATTGATCCCGCAGGGAGCACGATCAGTGAATGAATATGTGTTGAAACCCATTGATTGGATTGATCCAGCGACTGGAGCCGAGAAGCACATCAAAATCATCACACAAAATGGTAATGGCCATGAAATTGATAAGGAGGCTTTTGAAAATTCGTTATACCAACCAGTCTTTTATTTTATCAATGATAGAAAATGGACCTTGTCCACTCCTTGCGCTATGTAATACATTGATTCTTCAAGGAAAAGTCGCCATCACCCCCTATGATCGTCCTACTATCGCATACGATCACTTGCTGGAGCTACTTGCAGACCATCTTTTGCATGAAGATCCGGACCTCAATCCTTCTCCCTCTACCTCATCAGTAATGGATCGAACAGGACAGAGAGTAAAGATTGAGAAACAGAAATCACGACTTGAAATCGAATCAGCGTTGCGTCTTCTTCCTCACTTGGAACATGGGCTTGATGTAAATGTTTATTTCAAATCCATACGTGGGTTTGAACCTACAGCAGAACTGGGCCTATTTCACACATTTGGCGTGGAATTGGTTCATGGATGGGTTGTTAGCCCAGTGATTGATGCACCTATGTATGCACTCGTGGATGGACCTGCAGGGATCACCAGTTACAATAAAGCAGTGGAGTGTATCGTCAGTGGCGATGATGCAGGGGGTGGACTAGTGGTTGAAGATTTAACAGGCAATATAGCTCCAATTTCATGGTCAGACCAAAGTCCACAGGATGTTGCCCTACGAAACGAAAAGATATCACAGGCCTTGGTGGTTCAAGAATTTATGAATATGACCAAGACTCAGTTGACACATTATGGGCTACATGTACTGCAGGAGAGCCTACCGGAGGGGCATTTATGTGCATTCTTCAGGAACAATCATGTAAGTCGAATACGACTGTAATTATAAGACAGAGATCTATCTTTATAATTTGGTCGTTTATACCATTCAAAACCTTACTTTCTTTTTTTTTTTTTTTTTTTTTTTTTTCCTTTAACAATTGAAATCCAAGTTCTGCACACTCTTCAAAAACCCGATGGATGGCATTCTATATACCCTCGTCACGGATCAAAGCTTGGCCCATGAAAAATCAATTGTTTGGGAATCACTGGCGACTGTAGACGGTGCGGGCGAGTTTTTAGATGGACTTTTTAGACACGGAGCACTTGAAGTGGGCGATTATGCTCGTAACAACCAACCACTCGAATCACAGCATTCTGCCCATGGCGATGGTGGTGGAGATGAAGAGTAAGCTGGCCAGCAGAGTGCTGTACTGTATAAAATGCTTTTTGTTTGAATTTTAGATGACCAATATGTGTCTGTTTATTTATACATGTCTTCTAGTTTTGCTTTGGCGCTTCAATTGCAACAACAAGAAGAAGAGGAAGAGGCTCGGCGTATTCAAAGATCAAAAAGCCGCATGTCGAATCCTCAATCAAGTAATAATGGCTTCGGCGAAGGCAGTAGCACCCAAGGCGGAAATAGTGGTGGTCCCCATCTTTCTGGGCCAACATTTGAGACTGATGAACAGATGGCAGCAAGGTTGCATCAAGAATACCTTCGAAACGACCAAGAGTTAACTCAACAACGACTTGGGGCTCAGAGTGCATATTCTCAATCAGGAAGTCATAATCCATATCAGATCTATGGGCATACGAATGCTGGTCCAATACCCCCAGCAAATCCGAGCTATTATCCTGGTCAACAGCCACAACAAGGAGTTCACCATCAGACAAACCAGCAGGCTACATCACGTCCACAGGGACTGCAGGGCTCGCAGACGAGCCAAAGCAATGGGCCAAGACAGGGACAGAGTGGTCATAGTCGCCATCACAACTCGAGTGAAAGCAGCAAAGGAAAAGACAAGGATAAGTGCATTATTTCGTAATATCTGGGATCCAGCAACATTTGGCAGGAAAGCAGGAGCGAAATAATATGTATAAGAATGTAAAGATTACCCTACTTACTATTTCTTGCAAAAAAAAAAAAAAAAAAAAAAAAAAATAGCAGTACTACAATTAAAAGCATCCCCGCATATACTTCTAAATAATTGCTTTATTGATCCTATGAAGCGAAAGAGATGAAATAAGCGACCTATTGTCTCTTTATTGCTTAGGAACAGACTTTTCTTCAGCCTTCAATCCACGGCGATAGCTATACGGTTTAAAAAGTAAATAATAATAGTCATAAAATAGAATCACCATAATGCACAAAGTCAGCATATGTTATCGCGTCAGTCTAGTCAATGATGCAATAAAAAAATAAAAATAAAAATAAAAATAAAATAAAAAAGCTTACTCAAAGATGCGATAGAGCTGAGTCAATCCAGTTGCAGCAACAAACAGATTGACGGTGAACAAGCTGTAGTTCTTGGGAATGATAACCAACGAGTATCTGGACCAGATCACTCCAGTGGCAGCCAAAGCTAATTCATACAGTCCATCCAATATAAAAACATCAACAATGAATAAAAGCATATCTTGTCAAAATAAAAAAGAAAAAAGAAAAAAAGAAAAAAAGAAAAAAAGAAAAAAAAAAAAAAAAAAAAGACGACTTCATACCAACATTCTGAGAAAGGGACAGGTTTTCGGCAGGTCGGCTCAAATCACCGACACCAGCAATAACCAAAGCCTAAGAAGTGGAAGAGGTAGAGGAGTATAGATACAAAAAAAAAAAAAAATCAATCCTGTTTTCTTAGCCGAGATGGAGAGATGTGTTCTACTTGAATAGCTATTTATCAACGTCCTGCAATGATCCTCATCTTCCAGCCTTTTCATGTAACGAATCTTTCATTCTAATAAAAACAGTATCATTGTCGCCTCTTTTTTTTTTGGGGGGGGGAGGAGGAGAGCCCATGTCTTCTCGATCCATAACGTCAACGCGACTTTCGATGACATACCCATTTGGCAGCTGGGGCCCAGAAGTGGATAGTCTTAGGACCTATATTATACATATAGGAATATATAAATAAGATAAACTGTCAGAATTAATTGTTCATCAATATCGATATTGATTTTCCAGCATGGTATCCGTGTTGCATTTGTTGTATATTTCTCCATCTTTTTGTCAATGATAAGGCGTCATATTTGCAAGTCTTTCAAAATCCTATGCGTCCATGATATGTAGAAGAATCGTGCCCATCCTAGGTCATTTCGCTTTTTCATAGCTGCTTTTTTTTTCCTCTTCTGGAAGTTTCTCATTGTTCCCCTAGTATCATTATGAGTATAGTTGTGTGTATCTGTGCGAAAAATGTTTTTTTGCGTTCTTACCAGCAGGGTGGTTCAAGAACTTTTGGAACGCAGACTGAGAGACGGCTCCGGCTGCTGAGGACATGGCGCGATGTTGAGAGTGGAGAGTAAGAAGAGAGATGAATACAAGTGTGGACGATGATGGGGGAACCCTTATACATTCAACTGTTCCTTCGCTCATTCAATATTTTTTTTTACCCTTCTTTCCCCGCGCAGATAAGATCCACAGTGGCTTCACCTTGCAGTGGAAATGTTGGGCGTGTGAGTGCGTGACTGGAGAACTCATTTTTTTGCCCGCTCCGAACATAGAATACGCGTTTTAACAATTCCACGCACCAAGAAGGATGTGTAGTATATGTAGTAGATTAACAAAGATAGCGCTTTTTTATTTATTTTTTTCCTTTCTTTCTATTCAAAAGCCATGATCTCCATCCACTTGCAGGCGCTGGAGAATCATCTGTGTTTGGTGGATACGGAGAATCTTGATTCTGATCCCTAAAAAGGTTCGCTCTTGGACCACGCAGCCGCGCCAGTTGGGATTGCGATCTCAACGATGGTAGCCGGTAACGATGGCCGCTTCCTCCTTCTCCTCTGCCTCCGATATTAGTAGCTGCCATACTCCTGATCCTAGATGTTAGGCTAGCATTCGATAATCGTCGTTCAGGATGATGATAATATACATCATCGATCCCTTCCACTGCCAGGTTCCTCTTATAGGCAGCGGAACTACTATTGTTACTGCCAGCACTGTTTGGCGGCGACATCCCTTGACCCTGTTGGAAGCTTAAAGAACTAGGGCCCGGCATTGGATAGCCAACGGTTTCTATACTTTCCAGGTGCTCCACTTCCTCATAACCTTGGTTGCCTCTCAAATCTCCTTCATACCCTTCCTCTTCTCCATCGTCATCTTCGTCCTGCCCTCCTCCTGCCATATTATCCCCTTCATCAAAATCCCTTCGGTACGGATCAGCAGAATCTTTATTTGGCAACGACAATGACAGTTCTCGCGAGTGCTGTTCTCGTTGTTCCTGCTCCTGCTGATTACCGCTCTCTTGATTCAATTCTTCATTATTGACAAAGACCGAAATCCTGTTCTTTCCATGCCCCTCCAAGTACTCATTTTTCTTCAATGGTAACCACAGAGTTGGAAGCGGCCCTCTTAAAGCAGGATGACTATAATGCCGCATGCTAGAATTGAGCACTCCTGGATACAAGGACATGGGTGGTTGTCGAAAATCAGTGTGTCGGTCTGGCGTAGCTTGATAATCGTCGTCGTCTACTACACTCCTTGCTGGCATCGAACGCCTAGGCCCTTCTGGAGTGGTCACTAGACCGCCGATGTTTGATCGTCTCTTCGCCGCTTTTATATTTTCACTAGCGCCGCCATTAGAGGCCACCTCCATGTCTAGAGCGACTGAATGTTGGTGTTCAGGCCTATTTCCTTCTACTGACGCCACATCAGTTCTCAAAGTCGTTAACGAATTATTTTTGTTAATGTTACCGCTCTGAAATGTCGAGGGTACCGAATTAGGTCCATGAAGAGGATAGCTGTGGTCGTCTAAAATATCACCATCATGCTTGGAGGGCCGCAATAACTCGAGAGGCATGTATGTTGCAGTCCATTTGTAGATGTTAGTGGTCCGGTACCAGAACCAGGCTGTTCCTGCAGGTAACGGGGCCAAAAGCACACCAAAGAAATAGGCATGCTTCAACATGAAAAGCCCCAGCATAGTCAGCTGGAACGTCAACAAGCCCAATGTCAAGCGATTATAGACCATAGGCCAAATCTTTCCACCGGATTCGTAAGGATGAAAATATACATAGAGAAGCTGATACTTGAATACTAGATAGCCTACTGCGAAATAGATTGTACCAAAGATCAAGATCGCCGGTCGGATGCATGAATAGATCAAGACGACAACAAAGACGAGGGTTGCGTTTGCGTAGACAACACCATAAGGCAACTCTGGTGGCGCTCGTGCCTCTGCATAATCACGCGGGGTTCTAGAAATAAACTTTTGGAGTAAGAGCACAAACACATGGGCCGCCTGCAGCAACTGCAATGGAAATAGACCAATGCCGCGTAAAATGATATAGTTCACAAAGAAAGGCGATACACGGGGCAATGAGGCTGCGAGTAACAAAGTAAGCTCCCCCAGATTATGATAAACCTTATTAAACGCCTGTGCCCAGGTTCCAACAATTGTAAAGACTAATACGACGTTGAAAAGGATGAATGTAAAGTACTTGCTATACAGCGCATGCGCAATCTCAGAATGGGATCGGATACCTTGACGTCGACAGAGTATTAAGAGGAATTGAGGGACGACTGCTAGAAAAATAATGACTCCCACAGTCGGCAAAAATCCTTGGATCAATGATTTCAGGATTGCGTTCTTCCCTGCTAATTTTGAGATCCCTGGGAAGATTTTGTTAAGAGAGGCCAAGTTTAAGAAGGAGGAGAAGACACTGACAGGACCACTCCAGAAAAAGATCAGGATGAACACAATCACATTGATGACTACTGTTCGAACATCCAGCTCATTTGGAGGCAGGTTCAAGTTATCCCAGTACACATCGCGGGGTTCTGGAGCAAGGAAGGTCTCGCATGTTAAAGTTTCCTGAGTGTTAACTGTCTGCGCCAGAATTTGCTATAACGTCGAAATGTTCGAAAGCGCGATGAGTGATAGAGATACATGTTTGTTTTGAAGAAGTTACAGTGCATACAATAAAAAAAAAATAAAATAAAATAATAAAAAAAAAAAAAAAAAAAAAAAACTCCCGCCGTTTATATTTACTGCTGCGTTCATTTCTTCGAATGTAACAAATCCAGTGCTTGTGGTTGCCCAGACGCGAGACATGCGCTTCTTTTGTACAGCCTTATCCAAGGCTGCAAAGACTTCTTGGCGGTATTTGATCTTGTCAACCTTTTTACCAAACAGACCTAAAAATCCAAGCCGCAGAGTTGGTCGTCTCATTTTCTTGTTACGGTTACCATGAGACATTTGTTGTTCGTCTGTTTCAGACTCACTAGAAGAACTACTATGGTCATCCGCTACTTGATGATAAAATTCATCGCCTGAAGTGCTTCTGAGGTTGCTTTCTGATTGATGGTGAGTATGTTCGATTGTGTGGTCATTCTCTGCGGCAATGATATCCGGATCATAATCCAGCCTGCTTGACGGGTTCCCATAATACTCTGTATAAGCAATCTCCAGGGCTCTTAAAGCATATGCTCTCTGTTCTATCTGTCGCTTCAAGGAGGTGACGTGCCTCCCAACATGTGCACTTTCCACAGTTCCTACGCCTAAGGACTCGTAAAATGTCGCCAAGGCCCTATCGCTTTGTAGATGTGCTGGCAATCCAATGACCATGATGCTCCTGTTGACAATGGACTTTTTGCGCTTCAAAAGGAATTTCCGTCGAACATCGATATATCCTTCATACGTATGCCAAATTGCGTACAAGGTCATGAGGGAAAAGATCCATGTGAATGTGAATTGTGTCGACAGGTAAAGGAGGGACGTCCCCTGGCGTAGAGCAGCACTGGATAGTGATGGGTCATAGCCATGGCCAATATCGGGCCCCAAGTTTAGGTCGCCGTCGCTGTTGGTGTAGATGTTGATAGGTAGGATAACCAAGAGCCCTGGGATCAAACAAGCTGCGAAGAGGCGCATACACATGACAAAAAACCGGAGCATCTAATATCAATTTGAAAAATGAAAATAAAGGACCCTTGTGACATCAATCAAGAGATCATGCTGCATGATAGATGTAGATCTTCAATTTCCCATGTAAAAAGTAAAGAAGGAAATAAAAATAAAAATAAAAATAAAAAAATCCTTACCAGAGCCGCATCCAACCCGACACGTTCCAAAAGGACCTCCTCTTTAATATCTAAAAGCCTAGGAATCCATCCAAAGAATGCTGAAGAGAGGTCCGGAGGTGTGTTTCTAAAGAATCAACGTGTTAATTTGAATTGAGTGAATCAAATAGATTTGGTGACATGTTTTTTTTTTTTTTTTTTTTTTGTCTATTACCTTTTTAGTTTGGTTCGTGGTGCAAAGAGTATAGTCCATCGAGTACGCATAAAACAAAATGTCAGGAATGAACCCAAGCCCAATGATATTGAGATTGCAAGCTGCGTCTTGAATCCTGAAGTGTTGCTCGACATTGGATGGCCTATATCAGCAATAACAACATATTGGTCAGCTTCTGATCCCTGGGCAATTCTCCTTGTATTGTCTATTTCAGATAAGGTTGAGGGGAGGGACTGTGCGATTTTTTTTTTTGTACACATCAGTGATTACCTGGAGGAAATGCGGGACCAATGTAGTCAGCTCTAAAATGTAAAAAGACAAAAAAGAGTGGATTCTGTTTGAACCAAGTTCGCATGAAAGTAGCAAAGAAATATCAATATCAATTGTCTTACATTGGCCCTTGAAAGGAGGTCTGGGTGTTTTCCATGGCGGTTATAACTCAAAGCCAATACTGACAAACAGTTAAAAAAAAAAAAAAAAAAAAAAAAAAAAAAAAGAATGGAAATTGAGAAAATGGATTGAAATGAGTAATGGAGAAAGTGGATGGGTAAAAAAAAAAAAAAAAAAAAAAGCGAGCCACGCGCGAGAAAGGTTGATCTGTCGGGCTGATCATCAATCAATTCAGATCACTATCAATCCATGAATCCGTCCAGTTAAATGGGTCCGAGGAGTTTGCACAAAAGAAAAAGGGTTCTTTGAGGACTCTTTGATTCCAGACCCATAATTTCTTTTATAATGCTATTGTCATTTGCCTCCCCCCTCTGTTTCCAAATGAAAAATGAAAATGGCCTGGGAACTGAACTATCTTGTATTGAGAATCTACAAGTGTTTCACGGAAGATGTACAGAACATGTTTACATAATATCAAGGATTGAAGAGTCAATTGCAACACGCGGCTGACATGGTTGTGTGTATTCACTTGGGGAAGTCTCTTGGTCACTGGCTACTGACAACTGTGGCTCAGTCATGCTATTATTGAGCCGTTGAATGAATGCCATTACAATTGATTCATTCATTTCCTTCTATGGCATCAAGATCATAATGCAATCTTCCTCTTCTTATCCTCTTCTTCCCTCAGCTCGGCTTTCTTATCATGACTTTGAAGTTGCTATAAAGGCATTTCTGAGGCAGACACAGAATCACCTACCGTGGAGCTGTGTTGAGTATTGCGTGCGTTGGAGCTGAATAACATAATCCTACAGTACTCAATTCTATTTTTTATTCAAATGAACTTATAAAAAAAAGATTGTGAACATGGCATGTTTTTCGTTTGTAGCCAAGACCCGGCCAACCATTACAAAGATATCTCTCTATGACCCTACTCAAGTACCACCATCGATCACAATTACAAGGGGAACAGTCTACCAATGTCTCAACAAAATCAAGTGAATTCGCTGATGCGGCCAATACGAACGATCAATTGGCCTTGGATGACCTTGCTGAGCACTTTGGAGACATTCCAGATGATGATGAGGACGTGACAGCACAAGTCAATTCCTTGTCATCTGAGGCTATCATTCAGGACTATCTCTCTGTTTCCTACCACATCATTTTTTCACCGAGCTATCAAGTCCCAGTTCTATATTTTAACGCGTCTCATCCAGGTATACACAAAATAACATAAACAGCATTTGTCTTCATGAGCTTATATTTTCAGGTGGTATTTTCTCTTACTTTTTTTTTTTTTTTTTTTTTTTTTTTTTTTGACTTGAAAACAAAAACCAAAGATGGCACATCCATCTCGTTGAACGAAATATATGCTTCACTTGTACCTGAAGAATGGCGTAGTAATATCCAGAACGCGGGATTGAACGGTGGAATATCTCAGCAAGATCATCCAATTTTGAACGTTCCTTTTTTTTACATGCATCCTTGCGAGACTGTCTCTCTTATGGATACTGTAATCCAAAGCCATAACAATGATCCTAACGTGCCCCAATCATCTTTTCTCGAAAACTATATTGCCACATGGCTCAGTTTCACAGGGCAGGCCATTGGTGTAGCCATCCCTACCGATATGATCGCTGGAACAAGCTAGGGGAAAAAAAATCCCGAGTTCATGCGCCTGATAGACCGATGGATATAAATGAAGTCCTTTTATTTGTTTCTATCAAGTGATATATTTACAATTGTTGCACATAAAAAAGAAAGAAAAAAACAAGTGCAAGGATTATGATTAAACTAGTAATGGAGATGATACTCCAAACTTCGAGTCTAGTCCCTGTACTTGTTCATAAAGTCCTCATGAAACTTCTGGATTGCTGCACAAAACTCATCAAACAATTCAGGTTGAGGCAAGAATGTGCTTCGGAAATGAGCTGTGCCTTTAACCTGTCCGAATCCAGATCCAGCAACCATGCACACTCCTGTAGCCTCCAACATTGCCATACAATAAAACTGATCAGGTGTCTCTCCTGCCTTTTCTGCTGCCTCAATGGCTTTCTTGGATAAACGAATCTGTGGAAACAGGTACATGGCACCTTCGGCAGGGTTACACGTGCAACCCTCCAAGCTACTGAATAGTTTCTCTAATTTCTTGGCGCGTGCGATCAGCGAGAAATAAATGTCGTCATATTCTTTCTTGTACTGAGCATACGAAGGGTCTCCTTGCTTTGGTGGGTTGACCATCAATTCTACCATGATCTGACCCTGAACATTCGGACACAACGAAATGGACGAAGCCTTGTAGATCTGATCCATAATTAAAGGGTCGAGCCCCTCACATTCAAAGTATCCACCGCGTCGGCCACATTCACCAATCATGCCTTTAGAGATGGAATGGTATGAGATCAACTCTTGCCCCTCATATTCAGGGCCCATAGACTTGAGGACCTTCTTGAACGAGTGAAAAGGATGATCTTCAGGATGGTAAATATTTGCCTGATACACCTCGTCTGCCAAGAGTATGATGCGATGCTTGTGACAGAAATGAATGATATCCCGCATATTCTCTTCTTTCAAGCATTGTCCCGTAGGATTACCGGGGTTGATGATCACAAGGGCGCGTGTTTCAATGCCTTGCTGGGCAGCCTCATTATACGCACGTTCGAGCTCTTCCGTCTATACGGGAAAGTAAAATAACATGAAAAAAAAAAAAAAAAAAAAAAAAAAAAAGTTATGCATGATTATAGAATAGATTACACTTGTACTGCAGCCTGTACAAAATAATGTCGCTACTGCAGCGAATAGACCAGGATATAAACTTACTGTAAGGCCCCAATCCTTAGCCTCATCCAGGTAATAAGGAACTGGATTAGCATGCAATATGGCAAGGGTGGCTGTGTAGAGTGGGTATTGAGGAATTGGAATCATAATACCAACACCCGGGTGTTCTACAATCATCTGGAGAGTTAATTGAACGCCGGCAGAGGCTCCTTGCGTCAAGAAGATCTTTGAAGGGTCTGCAGGGTATCCATCACGCTCAGAAATAAATTTTGCAACATGTTCACGAATCCAAGGGATGCCTTGAGAGTGGGAATATGCGCCCACAGAGCCAATATGTTTGAGAAGAAGTTTGGCACGCTCGATGGCATCGCTTGGATAGAGTTTCGATGTCAATTCTGCATTTTTATCGTTGAGGAGATCTGGGTATTCAACGAGGGATGCAACCTATTTGGTTGGAATAGTGTCAGAACTCCAAAATAAGTGAATCGTGATAAGGGGTTCAATTTAACAATTATCAGTGAAGGGTGGATTTACCTGACGGAAGAATGTGATAGGTTTCTGATCCAATGCTTGAGGATTGCCAATATTGCAACCAACAACACGCTTGAATGGAAGGGGTGTCCCTTTCTCAAGCTCCTATTAAAAAAAAGGCATTGATAATGAAAAATTAGTTTGATTAGAAGATAGCCCTTGATCTTTGTTTCTGATCTGCTTTTTCATGGGAAAACGTCCTATCATGAATGAATGGTGAGGCTGCTATTACTTACGACTTTTAGCTTTTCATATTTGATGGCAAGCTCGCCACGGACAGCGTACTCGGCCTTACGGATCCTTGGATTCATATTGCCAGTTGTAAGGACTTTGGGTTTAGCGACTTTGTCTATGCTGGCCATGTTGGATAATTTGGATGACGAGGTGTTTATTCAAAGAGAGAGAGGGTGAGAGGAAGTAAATGATTTTGTGAAAAGGATTTTGAGTGTGATGGAAAGGACTGTAGCACAGTGGCAAGGTTTTAGCAGATGGGATGAATGCTTCGTTTCAAAGATGATAAATGAAAGAGAGAAGTTGGCTGTTTCAACTTGAACCTTTCTCCTTTTTATACGAACTAATCTCACAAAGGGGAGTAAAATTAAGCGCGCCTTAGCGTCATGATATGACTTCATCTCATGTGGGATGCATTCTGAAGGTGGAGCAGAAAGTTTGTATGGAGAAATCTCACCAATCGTGGTAATTCCCTCTTGCCCTTGATCTTTACTATCGTCTATCACCTATTACTTCGCTATCCTCACTTCATAACCGATCGCATGATCAAGTTCCTGGATCGCAAAGGGCACATGTTATGAACCTGGAGTTATAAGTGACTTTTTTTTTTTTTTTTTTTTTTCTCTGTTTCCGCTGCTCCGTGCATCTTTTTATAAGCAATCTTCACTTTATTAATTTAAAGTGGTGTGGTGGAGAAAGAGACAAAGTGGGAAGAGGAGCTGTTCCGATTCTCTCCTTAGCACCTTTCTTTCAAAAAGGTAACATTCATCGTACATCCCTTAGATTGAGCCAATCGGACTATCGAAAGAAGCATTGCCATGTGCCTGCGCCCACATCCGAACAATTAACGTCTGAAAATCTATATCCGGTTAGCAACTCTGAAAGTGTGAAATAAAAATAAAGTATATAATATAATCCCTCAAAATCTTTAGTCCCATCATCAGGAGACATCGTGGTACCCGGGCAACGGCAATATGCATACATATTTCTCAAAATATCTCCGTTCAAAGAGACAGTCGTACCTGAAGAAAAAAAAAAGTCTCTTGGTATTTACGCTAGTCAATATCATGAGTAACGCTAGTCTAAAAAAAGTCATCTCTTCAATTTTTAGACCTGGTACTTCGAGTTTATTCAACTAGTCTAAGTATCCTAGTCAAAATATGATCTGCGAAGAAAAAGTCTTGACATCTAATAAGGAGAATCAGCAGGTTTCTCTGCGGGATCTAATTCATTGGAAACAAAGTGGTTATTTTTCTATTTTACATTAGATTCTTTTACAGTGGTGTTAGATAGCAAAATTCAATTGTAGAGAGTCTTACCAAGTCCAATGCTCTTCATCTTGACTGCAATCTCAAAGAGGTAATCATAGCATTCTGCCATGCATTTGGCCTTCTCCCAAGATTCTAACACATATGCAGAAGGTCAATGGCAGTTAGTGATAACTTGAGGCTGTCAATAGAGAGGGGGAGGGAATCTAGAGCTTGGAGCTTGACAGCTTACCTCCCCAAACGTAGACACCATGTCGTCGGACGAGGACGGCGCAGGTATCTGGATATTCCTCCATAGCCTACGGAGAGGATCATTAGGTACGAAAAGATTGATAAATTTGATATGGTGTTAAAGGTTTTCTATTGTACCTTGTAAACTTGTAATTTCCAATAGCAAACCTTAGCCATCCTGTCAATCAAATCCTCTTCTTCAGCAGTGTTCTCAACAATAGGGACAACCAGACGGTCAAAGAATCTAAGGTTTTCCTTGGTCATGCCCTTTCGAATGCCCTTAATCATCTCCTGATGTGTGATCACAAACTCTTTGCCTGGGTAGAGGAGAGTAGCCATAACCGCATGCTGTGAGTGGGTATGGATACAGGCGCCAGCATCGCGCATGGTATAGGCATTATAAAAGAGAGGAGTGCAGGCAGATGGCTTCAACACTAGTGGCTTCCTCAGAACATTGCGCGTGGCAAGCTCAAGAACAAATAGATCCTCAGGCTGCATCCTCTCCTTCTGAACACCTAACAAAACAGATAATACCGACCATATTGTGTACGTGCGTGTTTTTAATGATTGAACAACAATTGGTTCAGACATTCTGTAAATAATAATCTCATGTTCGATATCAAAGCATGTACCTGATGGTGCAATATACACGTGCTGACTAAGAATGAACAAAGATAAATAAGAATGCAATGCTTCATCTCGAACTTTCATAATGCCTGCAATAAAAAGGCATAAACTGCTTACTCTTTACGGATACTAATTCCACCTCTGTTGTGCTCATTATTATTATTATTATTTTATATGTAATATTTAAAATCGCTGATCAGAATACAATTAGATAGATATAAACAATCTTTGCAGATTAGTTCGGGTCAGTTTTTATCTTTTTACCCTGTGCCAGTGACCCAGCCCACCGTATAAAACAGACGACATAACTCTGGAATCAAATTGGCAGGATGTGTCTTGTCTGAGGAAATCACAAGGTTGTCTGCGCTCATTGTGCAAATGTAGTTGCCAAACGGACAAATGAAGAAGAATATAAATCGACTCCAAAAAAAAAAAAAAAAAAAAAAAAAAAAAAAAGCTGCAGTGACTGCTCATTTTTATTAGACTTGGTACCGTATTACTGGGCTCCTACTTCCACTCATCAAACGCCTCATCACTTTTTGCCATCACAAGAGGATCCTAGACACACAGACAGCTTGTGCTATCCATAAGGACCAAGGAATATTCAGGATGGCACCAAAGAATGTCTTTTCCCCAGAAGCTGTAGAACAGGGGCTCTACATTGCCTATACAGCATTGTCTGTAATGGCCATCGTACCCATCTATTTCGGCTCATTCGCATCTCTCAAAAAGTGGCAGGCAAGGATTATTAGGCGATAGATGTGATTAAAAAAAAAAAGCTACAAGTCGTAGAAGAAGATCAATGTCGTCCAACTGATAAAATTCGATCATTTGATGCTCTGTCCTTTTCCAGAATCCCGATAGCAGAAAAAGGATACTCAAGCGACAGATCGACGAATCAGGCGAGGATGATGACATGCAAGAGGATACACCATCAGAAGTACTGTCATCACGAGGCGCATATTCATTGCCACTTTTCGGCCCTGCCCTTCTTTACGGATTAAACCTGGCATATACGCACTGGAATAGGACTTACATTAACTATGTTATTTCAGCCTACTTTGTGCTGCTGAGTGTTTTTGCATTTACTCAAGCTGGAGTCAACACGTTTGATGGCATTGCAAATCTGCTCGGTATCAGGGTCGACAGCTTTTATGTCACTCTTGCAAAGAGATCAAAAGGTATACATATTGATACTATTCACACGTGCGCAAAATAGCAATCGTCAGTTAATGTTGATGATATATGTCATTTTACTGACCTTTTTTTTTTTTTAAAAAAAAAAAAAAAAAAAAAAAAAAAAAAAAAAAGCCGCTGTTCCATTAGAATTCTATTCTGCCAGATTCACTATCATCCATACAGCTATGCTCATGGGCTCAATCCTGCTGTCAGGTTACTATGTCGCGACAAGGCACTGGATTGTTTCCAATATTTTAGCCATCAGTTTGGGATTGAGCGCTATTCAAACTCTCACCCTGGACTCTTTCAAGTCTGGCATGACATTGCTGATCAACTTTCTACTTCACGATAGCTTTTTGATGTATGGGTCAGATATGCTGGTGTCTGTTACCAAGAGCATTGATTTCATTCCAATCAGGATCACATTTCCTCGCCTTTTGTCTGGATTGCTTGTTGATGGACAGACTTACTTTCGTGACGAGTTTGTTGTTTTAAACCTGGGTGATATTGTTATTCCTGGTCTTTTTGTGGCTCTTTGCTTACATTTTGATCAATATCGATCAGGAATCAAGAATCATGAGCTGGGACGATCAACAAACTTCCGCAAACCTTACTTCATTGCATGTATTATAGCCTACATCTTGGGTTTGGGTGTCTCATTTTACATCATGCACGCTACTCGGAATACGTACCCAACCCTGCTGTTCCTTGTTCCAGCCTGTATTCTCAGCGTCATTATGACAGCTAGTGTGCGTGGAGAGATGAGGCAGGTATTTGCATTTGTCACTGAGGAAGGGTTGGAGGCTATTAGGATCAAGAAGGAGGCCCTGAACAGGAAGAGGAGGCGAGTACAAACCACTCGATATGCTAGTCGTGGATGAGTATATAGCTCATTGCAAGTACATAGAAATGCTATAGTTTACACAACCATTTAATCTCTCAGCATACAGTTTCACCGCATATGCATATTTTGGTTCAGACCTTCAAAAGGATTTAATATACCAAACTATACACTGGACTATGTTGTCTGTCTGTCTGTTTTTTTTTTTTTTTTTTTTTTTTTTTTTTTCATTCTGCACGATACTTGAAAAACTCAACGAGAAAACGTGATAATATTTTGTGAATGGAGATCATTGAACCATTTTTATTTTTATTTTTGGTACTTGTGAAACGTGTGTATTTTTCCTTTTTTGTCGAGCAGGTGATAGAAGATCCTTTGTCAAACACGTTTTGTTATTCATAATGATGCGAGCGAAAGAGCACCCGAAAAGACTAAGCAAATGATCGGAGGTGCATTTCAAATGTTTTTGTACAGTGGAATCTCGATAATTGTACATTTTTGTACAAATTTCGAATTTGATATATTTCTAGGCCATTGGTTGGCTAAGAGCCTCTCAATTCAAAAATACTATTGTAAGCTGACCTCTCTATGTCAAACATGGCAGGAGGGCAGGTAAGTGACTGGCAAGTGAGGGAGATTGTAGCTAAAGGAAGGGATTGCAACTGAGGGAAGGTGATGGCGTAAGCTTGAAAAGATCTTGTGGTATTTTTTTTTTTTTCTTTTGTCAATCATCAAACACGACACAATCATAGCATCAGCCATCAAGCAAGTCCCTCTTCTCTAGTCCGTTCTATTCACGATGTCGGCTACTCTCTCGAGCAACAGACACAGCTGCAGCTGCATTGGTCCCTCTCTACCCTTAGGGCAGGGAGAGTTTAACAGCCATCTTCGCGATGGCAAAATCCCACCATCTTCGCCATGGTGATGATTGTTAGTGACCAGCGCTGTCTCTGCAGTTGGTTTTCTGTCTGCTTCGAGGCCCTCCGCAAGCAAGAAGCAATTCTACAGGCTGGACGTCCAAACTCTTTCTCAAGCAGCAGACACAGTTGCAGCTGCATTGGTCCCTCTCTACCCTTAGGGCAGGGAGAGTTTAACAGCCATCTTCGCGGTGGCAAAATCCCACCATCTTCGCCATGGTGATGATTGTTAGTGACCAGCGCTGTCTCTGCAGTTGGTTTTCTGTCTGCTTCGAGATGGAGCAAGTCTTGATCCTTTTCACTGTCGCCTCTGTCATTCTCGCTGTCAATTGCCATAATAGTAACCACCTCAACATTTTTTCAGTCTACAGCTGATATAACATTTTGCCAGTACTCGATTCTAACTTTTTTTTTTTTTTTTTTTTTTTTAATAATATTAATAATCATATTATTACTATTATCAATATTATAACATACAAGACAAAAGAAGGAGGATCCGGAGCATCCGCAGCCGCACATGGACAAGAATGTTTGGCCTTTGTTGTTCACTCACCACTCACTCCCTCATACTTATTCGATATATAACATTTAATAAATCTACAGCTCGTCACTTTATTACTTTTTCCGGGGGGCTGGGAATGTGAAAAACCAAGTCTAAAAGTACTCCTCATGGATGGCACTTTGTGTGCATTGCATTACAGTACAGCGCAAAATTCTCAGCGTTGGGACGAGGGTATATCTGGAAATTTAGCCATAATCTTCGCATACGTTTCTTGTTGCTCTTGATGTTTAGCTTTTGCCTCTGCTTGGTCTGCCAAAAACTGCTTCTTATCATACTTGGTACTAGGATCTTCATAATCTGGGATCTCCGTTAGAAACAATTTGTCAGCATGCAACTGGATGATCTTTCGAGCATCGCCTTTTGCTATTGCTGCAGCAAGCATCATAACATCATGCCGTGCACCAGGAGACATATTCTGGACCCTCTCATCATAGTCTACTTGCTCTTCAGATCCATCAGTATCCATAGAAGAATCGTCATCTGAGGGTTGGATATGGACACGACTGACATAGGAGCCTCTCCTACTAGCTTTTGATATCGCGACATATTCGCCCAATTCCTCTGCATCACTGACATATACTTCGTGATCCTCGTCATCGTCATCATCATGCTCCTGCCAATCTACATCCATAAGTTCGGCGGCGCTTGGTCTTGGGGCGAGGTACGACAGAAGTTTCTCAGTAACTAAGCCTTCTTCTTCCAGCAATTCATTGATGGCATGGTATATGATGGGTGTCCCGTCAAGGATCCTCGCAAATGGTGCAACCGTATTCCTTAGTCTCGCTTCACGATCAGTGCGATTAAGGTCCCCGTAAGCTGCGCACACAAAAGGATCCTTAGAGCTTGGACTTGGTAGAGGGATGTTAGAACTTGGCACAGAAAGGTTAGGACTTGGTAGAAGAGGGTAATTGCGCCCCATGTCCGTTGTCGTGTTGCCAGTGTCGTTGGTTGCGGCTTCCTGTGCTTCATTATCGCACACTAGGGCCCAAAGCACATCTGGATCGTGCGCGACATTGCCTGAGAGCTCATTCTTTTGACGCCTACCAAAAATTGGGACATGACCAAAGCAGTTCCTGATACTCATACTTTTGACCTCGTCCCATGATCCAGCAATGATTCTCCATGCATCATAGTTAGAGACGGCATTCACCCGCCTACCATCTACATTGAAAGGGTCCAAACGCATGCTCAGAGTCTGATTCCTTACGTTGCTCTGATAGTATCGCTTAAAAACAGATATGATTCCTGCATCAAGCGGCTGCGTGACAGAAGTCGAGTTTTTTGGTAAAAAGATAACTCCGATGTTGGGGAAGCGCCGCCTGTCCTCATCCAGGAGCTTATGGCAGCCTGCATTATCAACAAGTAGCGCAACTTTTCGCTCATTATTTTGGGCAGCAATTGATTCTTGAAACCTCTCTAGCCAACTTAAAAACACGATTCTTGTCATGTAGTCAGGGCGATGGCGAGGCTTCTTTTGGCTTCTCGTATGAGTACTGCTCAGACTTTCGTCATGATCCTCAAAATCGCTGCCATGGCCCTGAGCAGCCTCGTTCCATGGATGAATCTCTATAAGTTCCTGAAGAATGCTATCATTATGGAAGCCTCGTGGAAGATATTTGCCTAGAAATACTCTGGTTATTACATACACTGTTTGAAATGCTTACACGCTTGAAAAATGAAAGGGGAAAAATATGAAAAATACTCTCAAACACTTACTGAGGACAAACGGCTTTCTTTTATCTGTCCCGGTAGCATTGGTACAAAGGAGTATAGAAACCCTTGTAGACGGAATCTTTATCCCTGCCAGCTTTTCAAAGTCCAAAGTCCATGAAGATAATGTCTGGAGAAACAAGCCAGTCTCATCGGCATTATAGATATCTTCAATGCGATACGCCTCCAAAGCAATCTTTATCTTTCAACCTCCTCCGCAATAGCTTCCAGGTCAACTCCGCCCGCTTCTCCCATCATCTTATGGTATGTAATACCCCAATGGGCCTTGAATGAGTCGAACCACCCTGATGAAAATGAGGGCTTTGCAAATTCCAAAGGACCCAACTTTGTCACAAGCATATCATAAACATGGCCCGCCATTATCCTCATCAACGGTTGATTGACAGGCAGTCGGCGCTCTCGAAGTATTTGAAGCAAACGGACAAGAACTACTTCCACTGGATAAAAGGGCCGGCGGACAACTTTGAACTTATTGCCCCAATTGACCCGCGGTTCGAGCTTGACTTTCTTTTCCCAATCGAGTAAGCGATTAATGGTATGTCGGCGAAGGTGATGCTCCTCTTCAAACGGTCCTTGCTTTGGGAAGGAATGCTTTCCGCCAAAACAGCTGATGGTTGGCTACATGACTCTTCCACATTTGAAGGATATATTCCTTCACGTCAAAGCTATGTATTTCGTACTTTGAAGTGGATGGTTTGGGCATTAAAACCACAGGCTTATTGATGCGTCCCGCAGGCCCATGTTTAGAGCCGACAGATTGAAACCGTTGGGGGCTTTGTATAGGCTGTTGTCGGAACTGTTGTGGGGGCTGTGCCGCGGACAGCAGCGGATACTGTGGTGGTGGTGGTAGAAGGGTGTTTGAAGCCGCTGTGTAAGTTGGGGCGCAGGGAGATAGTTGATTCAGTGGTGTTGGGCGCTGCTGTTGAAGTTGTGGTGCGGGCGGCTGTAGATTGAGCGGTGGAGGGAGTTGATATGGAGTTTGCGGTGGAGGGAGGAGTGGATACTGTGCTAGTGGAAGCGGTGCAGGAAACTGTTCTGAAGATTGTGATGAAGGGCAGCACGGAACTAAGCCATGGGGGATGTTGCTCTGACGAGTTTTGTTTTGATGAGCCTTGCATTGAGGAGTCTTTCTTTTGTGCATCAAGAATCTGCTGCCTATACTTCCATAAGTCCAAAGGAGGCCTCTTGAGAACTCGTGGAAAGCTGTTGAGACTTTCTATGACTAGGCGAAGCTAGCAGATCGCTATGCATATTCGTCTCGTTGTAGTTCACAAATATCAAGCGCTGTTGAATGGGTGTTTGAGACTCCATTGTAAATAAATGCAAATGGTAAGAAGTAGGGAGATTATGAGTGGATGAGTGAAGCAGGAATAGTTTTGTTGTAGATTGAGGATTTTTATGCCAGTATTTATTCAAGGACTGTTGCCATGTTTAAGCGCTAAATGCTGAGTTGACTCTCTGCAAACTTTGATCAAGGTTAATTAGAGATGATTGTTATGATTATTATTGGCTCATGAGTTCCAAGGCCGATATTTTCGAGTCTTGAAGCCAAAGAGATTGTTGCCAGACAGAACTTTTTATTAAAGTCTCGCCTGACCGTCACACCATGTTCTAACCTAATGAAAGTGCCCCTGAGGTGCTTGCCTCGATACGCAACACACATCGCTTTCAGAGGCCAGGTGGCTCCATGGGGCTACTTAGAGTCACAATCATCCACAATTATCAATGATATTATTATAAATCTATCTGCGGATGGAGAGCGTGACAAAAATCGGAATTTCACGAACCTTTTTCAGCAAGTGGTGTTTGAAAGCTGTATCATTGGGCTTTATTGTGCATCTTTAGACCGGTGTCAATATTGCCAAAAGTTCCGACTTCTGAAAGGAATGTAAAAAAACAACCCGGGCAACCATTTGCCAGTGCTTCAGCCTTATTCGCGACGACGTATGAAATACGAAGGGCGAGTATATTTCAGATCTTGGGGTTCTTGGGGTGAAGGCCCAGGAGGCGAAGCCTGACGCCCACGAACCGCCTCTGCCACGCGCTGTACAAGCGGCTACGAGTAACAAGAAAACATTGAGCTGATTAATAATAGATCTAATTTATAATGCAATGTGGATCAAAGCTCGAACATGACAAGGGTACCTGCACGTCTTCCAGAATCCCAAGCCCACCACACATCCGTGAGAAAGTTGATCTATCGGTGGGCAAATGCATCCGACCAACTTCCTTCGGGATGTATAGTGCCTCGGACCTCAACTCCATCATGTAAAATCTCATTGCTGTACCTAAAACGCATTGGCTTTATAGTGTAAAAAACATATATATGTGCATACGTAAAATACAGATATCTGAAACCTACTTTGGACAAGCACACCAACAACCACTGGGTTATTGATGTTACCCCAGACCATCTTGTTTAAAGACAGCTTCATCATGGAGAGCAGCTTGAGATAATCAAACGATAGGAGTTTCCCAGCCTTGATCCCAGGTTTTTTCACTTCCACGAGGAGAACTGGAAAGTCATCTACCCGTGCGATGATGTCGGGTCGGAATTCTTCCAGACTGGCATCCAGGGATGGCATCTCCTCGAGGCGAGAATCTCTAGCAGATGTTAAGACATAAATCGAGCGTTAAACGATTTTAGGGGAAACTTTGCCGGTTGGCAGATACTTATAAATGAATTCGTGATTACATGGCAATTGTTGCTCCCAATCCATGCAGGAGCGTCTCAATTATAGGAGTAACGAAGAAATGCTGGTATGTCGCTTCATTGAGCGATTGGCCTTTCTTGGTCCCCCATATTCGATCGGTACAGGTCATATTCTGGATTACCTTGAACGTGAGCGAATTTCTGACAGCATTTGGTGCCTTGGAAAGCTTATCCTGGAAATGCTGATAATCCTGGGTACCCGCAGTTCGGGTACATCCTTTAAGGAAACTGCAATGTTCCTCGGGTATCCTGGTTACTTTCCTGGTCCCAAATATCTCTCCAAGAACCTGGTCACTAACCAGCGATTTAAGAATTGATTTCGAAAAGATAAAGTTGAGAGTTCTAGAGATATTACGGCAAGGGAGTTTTTAATATAAGTATCAACTCCGCATTCCACGCTCTACGAACACAGTTGCGAACACAGTTGCGAACACAGTGACATACAATAACTCATCAGCTTTTTTCAAAGTCGCTTCTTTCTTCACAAATATTTCCCGCGCCTCCATTGCCTTCAACGAAACATCTACGTTATTAATAATCAAGTGTTCTTGGGAAAGGCGGCAAGATGTTGTTCCTCGGCCGACGAGATTCGTAACAATAGAGAGTCCCTATTAGTTGCATGTTAGTTGCATATTAGTTGGCAGTTCAATGTTTTTGGAATGCTATTTCAGCACTTGGCAATCTAATTGAAAGGGAGAGAACACACTTTTGAAGAGTTGCTCTTTTTCTTATTGGCAGTAATTTTATTGGCAGTAGTGAATTTAGGCATGTTGAAGAAAATGTTGATTGAGAGTGTTGGATAATTGGATAATGGGTGATTCAGCTCTTTTTATAAATAGTGCAGCGTTTATCTTTTGGAACGGTAAAGCACGGAGCTCTCGGGACAGCATAATGTAATGCAATGCACACAAAGTGCCATCCATGAGGAGTACTTTTAGACTTGGTTTTTCACATTCCCAGCCCCCCGGAAAAAGTAATAAAGTGACGAGCTGTAGATTTATTAAATGTTATATATCGAATAAGTATGAGGGAGTGAGTGGTGAGTGAACAACAAAGGCCAAACATTCTTGTCCATGTGCGGCTGCGGATGCTCCGGATCCTCCTTCTTTTGTCTTGTATGTTATAATATTGATAATAGTAATAATATGATTATTAATATTATTAAAAAAAAAAAAAAAAAAAAAAAAGTTAGAATCGAGTACTGGCAAAATGTTATATCAGCTGTAGACTGAAAAAATGTTGAGGTGGTTACTATTATGGCAATTGACAGCGAGAATGACAGAGGCGACAGTGAAAAGGATCAAGACTTGCTCCATCTCGAAGCAGACAGAAAACCAACTGCAGAGACAGCGCTGGTCACTAACAATCATCACCATGGCGAAGATGGTGGGATTTTGCCACCGCGAAGATGGCTGTTAAACTCTCCCTGCCCTAAGGGTAGAGAGGGACCAATGCAGCTGCAACTGTGTCTGCTGCTTGAGAAAGAGTTTGGACGTCCAGCCTGTAGAATTGCTTCTTGCTTGCGGAGGGCCTCGAAGCAGACAGAAAACCAACTGCAGAGACAGCGCTGGTCACTAACAATCATCACCATGGCGAAGATGGTGGGATTTTGCCATCGCGAAGATGGCTGTTAAACTCTCCCTGCCCTAAGGGTAGAGAGGGACCAATGCAGCTGCAGCTGTGTCTGTTGCTCGAGAGAGTAGCCGACATCGTGAATAGAACGGACTAGAGAAGAGGGACTTGCTTGATGGCTGATGCTATGATTGTGTCGTGTTTGATGATTGACAAAAGAAAAAAAAAAAAATACCACAAGATCTTTTCAAGCTTACGCCATCACCTTCCCTCAGTTGCAATCCCTTCCTTTAGCTACAATCTCCCTCACTTGCCAGTCACTTACCTGCCCTCCTGCCATGTTTGACATAGAGAGGTCAGCTTACAATAGTATTTTTGAATTGAGAGGCTCTTAGCCAACCAATGGCCTAGAAATATATCAAATTCGAAATTTGTACAAAAATGTACAATTATCGAGATTCCACTGTATTAGACATGCTGAACGTAATCTCGTGTCACGATGCAAAGCATGCGTGCTGCGGATAGCGATGTCAATTCGTCAGGAAAATTCCCAACATGTACGTTTTCCCTAACCCTAACCCTAATCCTAAAATCATATCCAAGCCGCAACTTCCCTTTAAGATTGAGTGATAGACATGCATGAAAGAGATGGTTTCTGTGCTTGTAGTACAAGGGAACACAAGCTCCAAAAGACGTTTTTTTTATATTTAATAGGCATCTTCATTTGCATTATTCGTTCATGCCATTTGCACACGCTTAGTGATTACAGCACACATGTCCACATGTCTTTATTTTGTGTTATCGCGCATGCACATTTTCCCAATCTTCCCAGACTCAACCCTAGTGATTGATTAGTCTTCTTTTTTTTTTTTTTTGCTTTGTTCATAGCTTGAGGATAAAAACGATAAGGTGTGAATACCATGAATAGGGTAATACGCTTGCATGCAACAAAGAGAAGGAGATAAAGGGACATAGGGATATTGGAGGAAGGAAGAAAAGGGGAAATTCAGAAAATCAAAGAGGCGAGTGATTGAACAAGCACCTCCGGGAGAAAGATTCAAGTGTCTATTTCTTCATCTTCATTGTATATATCTTATCCCACTATTTGTCCATATATAGTTTTCGATGTTTGCGGAACTTTTTATTGAACATCCGAGTTGAGTGAGGAAAGAGCACAGCGCAAAGACAAAGAGCAAAAAAAGTAAAAAAAAAAAAATCACATCCCTCGTTTCCAGAGTTGCTACAGCCCAATCAGATGTGTCCACCATCATGTGGGCAGAGGAGAAGATTTTGCTTTTTTTTTTTTTTGCATACCTACATTTTCACACACAATAACATTCACGCACAAGTGCAAACATGATTCTCTCCTTCATCAGTTCCATCCCCACATTCAGATCCATTTTCAGATAATACCCCTGTTGTTGATGTTGTTAATGTTGTTTTTTATGCTGATGATATACATGCACGTTTGTGTTGAATGTGTTTGGATTATGTCGGAGAATAAGGCAGAAAAAAGCAATGATCGAGGAGCGTAACAGAGTTGCTTACTCACTTTCATCAGAAATGCAAAAAAGGTAAGAGGAATTCCATTCTCTCCCCATTGCCTTGCCCTGGAAGTCTACAAAGTCTTCATATTGTATACATATGCTTTTTTCTCCTTCCTTCTTCGAAGAACTGAAGATGGGAAGAATATCATTGCATCTGAAGCTGGGTATCTTCCCTAATCTAACGGAAATGCTTATCCTGGAAAAGAGAGGAAGAAGGTTGTCGTTTATCAATTATAAATATCTATCAGATAGAGCAAAGAGGTCAGCAGGTGCAAAACTTAGAAACACGAACTGAACTGATAGAAACAGTGCTCAATTTTTTTTTTTTTTTTTTTTTTTTTTTTCAACACAATCATCAAACAAATGGGAAAGTCAAACAAACAAAGCATGGTCCTCAAAATTAGATGGACGACCTTATGCTTTTTTTTTTTTTTAGCATTTCAGTCATGCCCCGGTCTTGCAAAGGGCAATTGACTGTAAGCGTCCTCAGGCAAGGCACTCACACCTGTTTGCCACTCTTATCCCAATGATTGGATTGACATTTGATTTTTTTTATTTTACCGGGACAAGTATAAAAGGAGAACATGCGTCTCCCTTCTCTCTTTTTTTTTGTTCTCGATTCTCTTTTTCCTTTTTCTCTTTCCCATTTTTCAATTCTCTTCGATTTCCACTTTTTTCCTTCTTTGTTCCTTCCTAACCTTTGTGCCACACACACGTTAACACAAACACATTCAACACGTTATCGTGCTTTACTTCGCTTTGATTCGCTTTGATTCGCTTTGCTTTTGCTGTTCATTTTTGGCTTTTTTTTTTTTTGACGTTCAATTTTAATATTTTTTGCTCCAGTGAGACTATTAAAAAGTAACACAGTGTCATCATTGCTTCGCAGCCTAGCACAGCGTATTGCATCGCGCTTTAATCATTCCACATCTCTCTGCATCTAAATTGCAGCATATCGTCAGAACTCTGATCTATTTGGAAAACTAAACTACCGCCTCATCGTTTGTTCCCACCCTTGACTTCACAAGCAAGCCTTAATTAGTTCATCCACGAGGCATTTTACTTTTTCCCCCTCTTCTTTCTCTGCTCCTCTATTTATTTCACTTTCTTCACTTTCTTCACTTATTCTCGACCATGACTGATTTCGCTCAGGAACGTTCAGGTATGCGCTCCCGTGGCCCATCTCTGCCAAAGCTGAACTTTCCATCAGCTTCGCAATTTTTGCAGCAGCAGCACTATTCGGCACCTCAGCATCCTTTTGACACTACGCAGGCCTCTGATGCTGGTATTGATATTGATTTCGACATGGACATGGACTTTGATACCACGCCCGTGCCGGACGATAAGAACGACACTTCGTCTTCACGGCCTTTTGTGAGCGCTCATCCTTCACCGGATGTTAGTGATGAAAGTGACTGTGAGCGTACTTTAGGAAGGGTGAATGAGTCTACTGCTGTTGCATCCTCAGCAGATCTATTCGACTCTTGTAGCTCCGTTCCATCCTCGGCCAAACAGCTTGCACGCGATCATGCAAGGCGGCGGCAGAGTCAAATCGAGAGTCAGATCGAGCCTCCACTCTCGCATGATATCTTCTTGGCACCCGTTCCTATCCCATCATCCTCGCGTACGCCTCCGCACAGTCCATTCTCCTATGGAAAGCATTCGTCCTTTTCAATGAACACGCCCCCTGGTTCCGCTTCCTCGGTCATGCCCACCCCTTGTTCTGACTCGGCCGCTGTAGATGCGCTCATTCGCGAGCATGTCCACGCCAACATGCTTACACATACAACCGACGATGCGTTCTTCTGGCACCTTGGCAAGCTTAGCGAATTCTCGTTTTCTGATCGATTCGTGCGCTCAAGAGTGTTTGAGATCAAAGAGAGTGCTGTTGCGCCAGTCGTTACATCACCACCTGGGTCCGTTGACGCAGTGTCAACTCCTGAATCTGCTAATCAACCACGCACCAGTAGCTGGCGTCTTCGAATCTACCCGGTAAGGCTCCACTCTTAAACTATTAGGATCCCTAGCAAGTTCTTGTATCTTTTTTTTTTTTTTTTTATCTTTAATGGCAACGTTGATTGACCGAGAAGCTGAGCACCTATCAAACTGACGGTGTGCATATTCTCTCTCTTTCTCTTGTCTGTCCTTTTTATTCATCTACTTGTTGCACAGATAAACCATCATGCGCGGTTAATCTGTTTTCGTGTTAAAGGGCCAAGCCTTTTTTTTTGTGAGAGATAAACAATGGTAATCTGACTCCTTCAAATGGTCTTTACTCTTCTACTTTTGAAATAATAGCACGGTCGAGGTGATCGCCATCGTGACAGCGATTACGTTGGCCTCTATCTCCACCAGGAAGCTGTTCGTGCTATAAACAGACGTGAATCTGCCGTCATCACCCAAGCTCCTATTGCAAACTTTAGCAGCTCCGCCCCTACACCATTCTTCGCGCGTGGATCCATCTCTTCGACTCCTCGCAGATCTATCTCGGGAGCATCAATATTGCCCCCAGTTCGCCGGCATGTTACTTTGTTCATTGCCACTGAGAAAGGTGACTGTTTGGCCAAGCAGGACTTGGTTGAATGGTTCTCAGGAAGCGAGGGTGGTCTCGGTAAGTTGAGAGTCAGCGTCTCTGATAAATAATTAAATTATTTGGAACGATATGAAGTTACTAACCTTTTACGTCTATGTTATCAATGATTTAGGCTTCCCCAGGATTGTTTCTCGAAAGACTGTGCAGGATGCTGTTAAAACATCATCGATAATTGACGATGAGGAAGACGAGCGCGAGCTAGGTATTGTTGCCGGTGTCCTGTTCCATTCTCTTTAAACGTAGTTGGACGGTTCAATTGTAGTAAAAAAGTCTTTGTACTATATAGTGTTTCCTTGTTAAATAAAATTGTACACCTCTGTCTTTATTCTTGAAGGATACAAAGCCACCCACCACCTACTCCTCTGGCCTGGGCATGATACACTTGTAACAGTAAAAGAAGCATCTCACGTTAATATGTTACATCTACATTCACATTAATTAATTCCACAGACAGTCTGGATCGCGTTCAGAACTAGCCTGAATCCCATCGACCTTAACCCTTCAAAAAAAAAAAAAAAGTCAAAGGGACAAGAGGAAAAAAAAAAAAAAATCATACGCGAAGCACATCTTGGCATGCAAAACGAACAATCAGTAGCATTTGGTTCATTGGAGCGAAAGCTTTTGTCTTTTCTTCCACCTAATTTGTCAGTAGATGGACTGTATTCGTCATTGAGACATGGAAGTCTTCAAAGGTAAAAATATGCCTCTAATCAGCTGCCATTGTCCTTAGCAATTAAAAGACATGTATAATTTATTTAGAGCGGTAATTAATTCACCAACTCTGTTCTTTGTGCTAATGTTAGGCCTATTGCATGGTCTTACAAGAATGTTGCCCTTGTACCCTCATGGGTACCAGACAAAAAAGTCCCAGGACTCATGAAGTATGTACTTTAGTGGAGTGAAAAGGATGAATAGTTTTGAAACGAGCTTGAAGAAAGGACTCAGTTAACACGATTGGAAAACTAATGAATATTTCTCTCGATAAATGGATCTGTAGCCCCTCCTTACGGATGTTTTCGCTACTAATATCTGAAGGAGGAAAGGGAAGACTTTGGGACACATGCATGGAAGATATTTCTATGGTTCATGGACAGAGTCGTCTCACCCATACTTTGTGGGATCCATCAGCAAACCATTTCGCTACCATAGATGAAAAGGGCAAGATTGTTATCTGGACGAACAAGGTGAAAAGAAGAAAGAAAAGAAAGGAGGACTATACGCTCAACTTCTATAGAATATTGGAGTAGATGGTGTGATAGCTGACAGCGGTATTGATCTGATCTGGTCGGGTGAAAATTACCTAGAGATATCTCAATGCATGGCTTCCAGCATACATGGTCGTGTTATTTGCACCTGTCGTCTGCTGCGAATGGATTAATCCGGAGCGAATGGTAACAACTATATTTTCTGCCTGGGCTATTTAAGCGATTATATCCTTTTATCGTTAGATTATTGTTATTTAAAAAAAAAACGTTTTCTCTGGCAATATTATTATTATTATTATAGTATGTGGCATCAAAGACAGACGGAACTACGAAATATGAGCGCGAAAAGACAGGAAGACCAAGGAATCCTATGACATTGTTGGTTTTGACTTCTGATGGCCAGTTGACAGAAATCTTTAAACCTGCAGCGGGTGTCTACACACATGTCTCAATAAATCTACCACGCCGATCAATAATTGAGGATGTAACAACTTCTCGGATAACTCATGGATCTATGCTGAGTGGTGGTATGCTTTTCATTTGCTGGAAATAATACGTATGTAGGAAAGCACGACAAAGTTATCATTACAATTCTCGTATCTAACACGCATATACTTCTAGTTGATGGAATACACCTCATTACACATCATGGAGACATTCTGCCATCTACCGTGAATATGTATCAAATTGACCTCCGATTCCAGCCGGAGCTTGTTTTTCGCTGTGAAGCCTTAGCTATCCTGCATATTTCAAATCCTTTGACCGGACCAGGCTCCATCATGACGCCAGGGGTTATGCTACACTTGAAGCTCCTACCTCCAATAGCAACGAGACCACTATCTATAGCAATAGCATTGGCATCAATGGAAGGTATGGATAATCTCTGAGAGACAAGAAAAAGATATACTGTCAGGAATACTAAAACTATAAGAATGGACATTTAACATTTGACAGGTTTGCCACCAATCCTTTTCTAATTTTAGAAAACTTGAATGGCGAAAACACATACAAATGTCAAGTTGTTGTGTGGGATGTGGCGCCGAAGGTCATGGGATTTCATCCGGCATTCCAGGGACTATCTACTCGCCGGAATGATGCTGTATCCGGGCAGTCTTCACTTGTATGTCGACAAAACTGGATGCGGACGAAAATGCTATAAAAAAAAAATCGGATTGGAAAGCTTCCCAGCTAATAACTGGATTGATTTGTATTACGTATGATAGACATTCGTGTTACTTGGAGAGCGAAGATTCGATGGCAAGTTTATTTCGACACTAAATTTTGTACCAAAAACAAGGGAGCTTCTTGTCGGCTTCTCTGATGGCAGTGTACTTGGGCTGGAAAGGTAAGGACATTTATTCATGTGTTTTCTTACCTTTTACAGCTGTGAACGCTATGTTTTCAAAGTATGAGAGTGAGTGCATGATGATCAAATGCCTTTTTTTTTTTTTCGTTTACTATCAAATAAGTCGGTTTCCAGGATTATCAGACTCGACACAGACTCTTTTAGAGGGATTCCGCTTACCGAAAGATGAGACCTCTGCTGTCGCTATCTCACCATCGCCGAATGGGCTTTACCTCCTCTGCTCTTTTCTAGATGGAAAAATTTCAACCATTGATACCTCAGAAACTACGGGTAGGCTGTTTATCTTCGAGCCAATGAGAATGTTGCTTTTACTGCTTATTTTTATTTTTATTTTTTTCATTCTTTTTACCAAAAACATGTGCAATCTCACTCAAAGTTGCAACATACCTTTGTAGGCTACGACCTGGATATGGAAACAATTATACAGTATACAGTTTTGGCACTTTTAAATGATATTGATTATTCCGACATTGTAGCTGTTATTGTCAAGGCAGCCAGGATTTCAGGAGATGATCGTATGTTGGCTTTTGAGTTATAAACCCATACGCTAATGAAAAGAGAAGCATAGAAATGTATTTTAGTAAGCACAGACACTCAGCCATTCAATTCCTTTAATTTACCCTCTTGTAGAACTTCCTGACCGGTTTTTGGAAGGAGTCTTCAAGAGCTACGAACATATTAAAGGTGTAGAAGACTCCAGTATGCTTGAGCCATTCATGCCAAAAGCTTCGGTCATGAGGCGTATGCTTTCGCTTCAACTCGTCTTATTCCAGGCGTTACCTAAGAAGATTGTTCAATACCGTCTTACAAACGCGCTTTTACATCTGCAATCCATCGGGGAAACCCTTTCCGGCTGTTGTACTTCAGACCCAGCGACATTGGCGGCACATTTGGATCCTGCGTCAAATATGATATTAGGACAAAAGCCACTTGCCTTTGACATCAATTCTTTGTGGTCGTTATTTCCTCTATGCGGCTGGGCATTGGACTTTTGCACAATTCTTTTCCGAGAGTTACTCGTATTCCTGGAAATGAGGACCCCAAACCCTGCAGGGACGACGACGTCGACTTCAGCTTTGTTGCAAGGCGTTCTTCAGGGTCAGAGCAGCCATTCCCTTGCAGTAGGGTCAGCGATGATACCTAAGCCGACTCTACTCTCCTTCTTGTACCATAGTCGAGCAAGAAACACTCTTTGGAATGTTTTGGTGTTGGTGGAGCAATTTCACCAGTATATACGTATCAGAGATCAACTATATCAGCGCGTGAGGCACGCGAACAGTGCTATTGATGGACCTAGTGGACCTGGACAGGAAAAGCCTAATCATACCAACTCTATGAGCATACCTGAGGCTTTTGCTATGAAAGAGCTCCATAGCTTAACCCTTTCTCAATATGTGGAAGCGGCTTTTACAAGGTGTCCAATTAAGATCGGAACTATTAAACCACTACTGAGGGAACTAAATTCGATCGGCAATCAAGCAGATGTTAAATCTGTTAATGGAGGGGCTAGCACACTATTGGATAGAACAGCATCCGATCATATGATATTTATCAAAGGTATTCCCCCATTTATCAACAACAATAGCTCGTTGGCACAGGCTAAAGCAGAGCTAAGAACCATTGTGAGAAAGTATCCAACGTTGTGGGATATGAATCGGCTGGTTTTTGCCAACATCCATTGGCTTGATCTGGAACCTGCGGATGTACTAAGACCTGTGTCATTGTCTTCAGATGTGTCATCGAAAGTCAGCCCGAGGGAAAGGACGTTGGCAATGCATCCAGCTAGATGTCGCATTGACCCTGTGACGGCTCTCAAAACAAGAGGTCTTGGTCATGGTGGTACTTTGAGTTCTACTACTGGGCTGTCAGGGCGTGGGCCTCACAGCACTCTTCAACACCATATTTCTAACGTCAGCACTACGAGCAACATCTCGGCAGGTTCTCGTGGGTCGATTGATGGGCAGATTTCTGGAAGAACAAATACTTTACCCTCAAAGACCTATACGGACTCTCCATCTGAGCTACCCCAGCAACTACGACAACCATCAGTATCACAACCATTTACGGATGGCACATCTTTGATGATGAACACAGTAGGCTCAGGATCTCATGGGACTGTAGGTGGTGGTTCGTTCGATTTAGGCAATTCACCAGTTGATCCAGGGTCTATATGGGGTATTGCATTGGATGAAAGTGATGATGATTGGGAAGAAGCAAGACCATCTTATAATCGCATTGAAGCACATGTAGACAGTTCAGAGATCATAAAGTCTATATGGCGGAACTGGACTCCAGCGCTACAAGCTCAACAACCATCATTGCCTGGATATGATCATGACGATATTGGAAAGGACGAAGATAGAATAGATGCAGAGCCTGTACCCGATGATGACGTTCTTTTGGAGGACGAAGGAGAGGAAGATGAAGATCGATATTCGGATGAAGATATGCAAGACACCGCGCTCTTGTATAACGGTGTCAGACGCGATAGTAAAGGCGGGGTAGGAGGGGCTGGAGTGGATGTCCCTAACCGTAGCAGGAGACCATCCTTGGCAACGGCCTTAACGCCTTCATGTCAGTGGCTCCTCCAAGAGTCGCAGTCAATTACCAAGCGAACACGGTCAGAGTGGACAGTTTTCCCAATCCTTAATGACCATCGACCTTACACAGGAGATATTACAGGTAGTGGCCAAGGGGGTTCTGGTAGCGGCATCGGAGCCAATAGTCGAGAAATGAAGAACAGTCACCAATTAGCCTGGGTAGGATTACGTGGACATTTGACGCCATTGGACCTACAACCAACGGAAAATTTGAGCTATATCCGGTCACAAGCAGATATTGAGGCACAGGTTCGGAAGAGACGCTTTGGCGTTGATCCAATTCGTAAGGTTAAGAAGTACAAGACTACTGGCAATGGAAGGAGATGTATCCGGTAAGGACTTTTCAGTCTGTTCGTCTGCAAATTGCACTGATCATATTGTAGCTACTCCTGATAATATTGTGCTGTCTTTTTTGTTTTAGTTGTCATCAAGTTGCCATGAGTAACACAAACAATAGATCGGTCTCAGGCGGCCCCAATAACGTTAGGCGTCCTATATTACCTCATCAGATTGGGAGCACACCTACAGTCATACCCGACATTGCAGCTTCTACACTGTGGTACCATAACTATGATAGATCATGTATCTGTGGAGGGATGTGGCTAGAGCTCTAATCAGTCCTCTTTTCACACGCAAAGCATATTTACAAAAATTAAAAATTAAATATTTGAATAATAAAAAGATGAAGTGAGGTTTAGAACGACTATTATTTTTTCACTCATCATCTCCTCTTCATGTATCCTCCTTTCATTCTACATAAAAAAGAAGTTAGTGTTTCCCAAATGCGTGGTGTAGGAGTGAGGTTCTGCAGTAATGCAACAGGGTCTGATATATGCGGGCCCTTTGGTCTGAATGTGCAAATAAATCCATCCATTTAGGTCATCCCTCGCTTCAATGGCCTAGTGGCTCAATCATTGATCCTGCTATCCAGCCATGCATCGACCATTAGGCTTGACCAAGGATATTATCAAGTCCATCGGCGCAAGTTTTTGTGGCAAAGGATACATGAGGCAACCTGTCTTCAGGCAATGGCTAAGGCAGTTGGATGGCAGCATTCAGAAGCAGGATCAACATACCGCGCTTTTAATCAGTAATAGGCTGGCATACAAGGATTGTGGAAGGACTAGGATATTGACCAGATCTTCGGAGTCGAGGTATAAAGAAGAACCATGCTGCATCATCTGAGCCAATTCTTCCAGCAGATGAGTCTCCAGCATAATGCTCTGACTGATTCCATTGACCAGGGCCATGAGCACGGTCCTATACTAGTCCCCTCTTTATTAAATGTCTCAACTAGGGATTGCTTACATAGTGTGTAAAAGATTCAAAATTCAAAAATTGAAGTCAAGACCGCAAGTGGGATCGGATGTGGCAACAACAAATTTTAATCAAGCAAGTTGCTTGGTCTACACGAAGGGATACGTAACTTGTGCCTGAATTATTATTATTATTATTATTTTTAAAAAAAAAAAAAAAAAAAACAGATAATGTTTCAATACATCATTGTTTGGGACCCAGCTTTTTATTACTTCATTGCGAATGCGACATTCTCATTCTTTATTTTTTACATCCTCATTCATCGCTCTACTTTTTCTTTCCTCATTCTTAGACCTCTATTGTTATCGTTCTTGTTATTAAAACAATTTTACTTCTCTTCACTTCAAACTGACCATGCACTACTCGACGTTCTTCTGGGCACCAACTCTTTTCGGCCCATTTCTTCTCTTCCTAACTCTCACCACTTTTGTCTCTGCTCAATCTGACAATTGTCATTCTTGTATTCTCAAAGCCGCTCCTTCTCTCAGTAGTTGTTCTTCACTCAACCCTACTCAACTCGCCACACTCGAGAAAGTCATTCTTGGTCAGAAGGTCTTTGACTCTGTTGAATTATACAAGACAACCGATGGTACTGGGTTCAATTGTCTGACTCAGCTGATGTGGGACGTGGTTGAATACAAGGGTCAACTCTGGAGACAATGCTTTGACCCTACAAAGGCCTGTTCTTGGGTTGAAATGATGCAATGGTTGGAAATGATCCCCAGGATCGCTGCTGTCTATGGTTCTCCTAATCCTCCTGTAAGTCCTCTCCCTCTTTCTTACTCTCTCCTCTATCCTCTCTTCTCCTCTCTCTTCTTTCTACAAAAAAAAAAAAAAAAAAAAAAAACGTTTCTACTTTTTTTTTAAAATTAATTCGAGACTTCTCATGATCCAATTGGATAAAATAGGCTCAAGTTCTTAAGGATGGTCCTGCATGAAAATCTGTAATTTATTTGCAACGTTAATAAACGTCAGATGTATCAAATACGCGTTTACATGTTTGATGTTTGATCTTTAAAAAAAAAAAAAAAAAAAAAAAAAAAAAAAAAGATGCCAAATCTTGCTTTTGCGCGTAAGAAATACCCTAGATCTGCCTTTTCACTCGCTTCATTGCCAATGAACGGGTAAAACTTGTTTGAGATCTGTATATCAAGATCATTCAACGAAGAAGTGGATCGTGACTAAAAAAAAAAATGTCGTAATGGAAGATATAATACTGTAGTGTGTTTGAAGGCCCCTTATCTCTGGGATTTTTGATAACTATGAGAACCCTTACTCTCATTCAGGTTAAGGGTCTTCTGGTCCGCTGCTGCTGCGGCAGTTAATAGATAGCCCAGCCATTACGAAGATAAACCACAAACAGGAAAAACCATCCATTCTTTTACAGGTCACTCCGATACTATCAGAGACCTGGGATATATACCAAATGGAGAATAGATAGTCACTTGTGGTGCGGACAAAAGGGTACTACTTTGAGATGCTTGATCAGGACAACTAATCAACACATTTGTGGTCACTTGTGATATTTATGGTATAGCCTATCCGCCGAACAGCCATCAGATTACATCATTCAGCTATGATGGAACGACACGCCTGTGGGATACACAATCACAGCAATCTGGTATATCTAGTCTTGATGCATGTGGCCATATAAATACTATCAGACAAGTCAGGTTTCCACCAGATTGGCAACACATGGCCTCATGCAGTTGGGGTCATACGGTGCATGTGCGGAATAGTCAGTCAGAGCAGTATATCCAGTGGTTAGCTGCTTGCTCAACCTTTGGGATACTGTATCAGGCCAAGCTGTTCGCAGCTGGAGCTCACAAGGCCAAGGCAATGCCATCCTGGTCTTTGCTATTTCGCCCGTTGACCATCAAACTGCTTCCGGTTACCGAAATGGAAACATGGTTACATACAAACAGGACGACTCATATACACCCTACAGGGGATGACAATGCTGTGCTGTGCGTTGTTATCACGTAGTGGTCACCAGGTTGCTTCTTATAATCAAGCCGGTAAAACTATAATATGGACAACGCACCAGGAGACCTCCTGTATGAGTTAAAAGCCATGGAATGGTATAAGTTGGCTTATCCGCCTTATAGTCAAAAACAATATTTATCCAGAACTACAGAAAGCTGTAACTAGGGAGTGCAGAAACACGAGTGCTCTATTACGAACTAAACTTTGATGATGATCATCGTATTTCCGCCATACAGTCGACTGATGGTTGTGTTCAGGTGTGGAGGATTGCCAAGAGTGAGAACGGCCAATGCCATACGCCCTTGAAGTGGAGCACGAAGCAAACGACCCTCTGCGCTCACAATTCAGGCATTCGGGATGTAGTTGGGTTGATGAAGCCAATAGAAAGCTCTTGGAACAACGCGGAGCTGTCAGTGGCTTTAAGCAGTGTCCGGCTCCCAAGGAGTGAGCCATGAGGTCAAAACAGTGGCATCTACACCATCTGAGGAACTACTGGAAAGCGACGCTTTGAACATGAAAGCAAAGAGGAGCAATTCCAGAACAAGGTCATTGATCACTAAAAGTAAAGTAGCCGAGGGATATGAGTTCATCTGCAGTAAATGTAGTGAATGTAACGAGTGTGAGGCTGTACATTTTATTCCAAGTGGCTCTTATGATGGTACCAATAGTCCTGTCCAATACCATAAGAAGAAGGGCGCGTATCTCGATCTAGTAGAGTAAAGGCGATACCGTTCTTTCTTTGCAATTAAAGCCATATGATCTATTTGCTAAGTAGCATAGGAGAAGCGAGGCTTTGAGAGATGATACCGGTCACGACTTGACAGACCAATGAAAATAACGTAAAGAGCTCAAGGTGCGACAAAGTCTATGCGCAAAGTGACTAGTCTCAATAGTCAAAGGCTCTGTATGAGAAGAGAACATGAACCCAGGTTTTAACTGATACAGGACGCAGATATTGATTGCGGCGAAAGTCAACACAGTGCTTATGTCGAAAAAAAATGTCTTTAGACAAAAAGCTTTGAAAGCTTTACATGCAACAGTTTGATCGGATGTTGACGAGGATATCACTGATTTTTTGCTTGGTCAAAAGAAAATATAGAGAACGCATCAGCATACATCATATCATTTATCTAGTCGAATTCCATTCCATCTAAAACAACACTCGTTATTCTTGAAGGTTAATTATTTTGCCTGTTGCAAGCTCATAACGAGCGGCAAAATGACAAAACCAACCACCAAATCAACCCAACTATCGTTTTTTGATTAGATTACTGACCAAACGAAACGGACAATATTATACTTAGGAGATGAAAAACAAAAAAAAAAAAAAAAAAAAAAAAGACCACATCAAATACAGGTGCCAGCATAAGATTAAGGAGAAAATCGCGTTAAAAATACAAAAATGGCGTTTGACTGATCAAAGCACATTTTTGGGTTAATGCCAATAACCTTTCTTGATCCTGAATGTCGGACAATTATGAAATAAAAGCATAAGCAGAATAAGACAAAAGGCTTCATCATGGCGCTTGATTCTCCATGAAACTGATATTGCACTTCTTTTTTACTGCCATTGCAACGTAGCAATCTTAATGATCTTTCTTTTTTCTGTTGCTGTTTTTTGTCGTTTGATTTTTTCTCTACTTCATCCAAACCCCTTCGAATAGATGCGTAATGTTCGAGTAATCTATCACTCACCTTACAGTTCTAATGTTTTGCATACCGGATAATTTTTTATTTCTTTTTCCGCTCTGTTTAAGTGCATACCTCTGTTACAGTCGCTGTTCAGGCATTTGGAATGGTAAGCGCGGTATTGGCAAGGATAGGGGTGGCTGAGCGGAAAAGAGAGACCAGTTTGGCGTCCGACACCGAACAACATTTTGTTTTTGTTTTCTCATCCTAATCCATTCTCCTCCTTCCTTCCTTCTATTCTTTCTTCCCTTGACCTTCTCCTCTCTCCCCTCTATCTCCATCCATCACCTCACTCTCACATCTATCGTACGTTCAACAACAGTGTATTATTAATAATACACACAGACATTTCATCTAAGCACGCACGCACCCTCACCGAAGCCTCAACTTTCCACAAACCGTTAAAAATTTTGTGTCTCAACAGAATAGTATTTTTTTTATCGCTTTGAAAGGTAAAAAAGTAAGACCGAAATGCAACACGTAACATTCTTTGGGTGTTTATCCACCAAGCTTTCCCGTCTTTGTCCTTTCTTTACCCTTTCCTAATGATTGAAACTCAGCAACAAAGAAAGGGCAAAACCAAAGGAGCAAAAAAAAAAAAAAAAAAAAAAAACAGGAACGCACGCTTATAAATAAGAATAGACGTGTATTTGTATAATATGTTTGTACTTTTTATTTTATATATTTGTCTATACAGACATGAATGAGAAGGTCGATGAAATATTTCATCGTGATACAAAATGAAAACAAACATGTAATTGTGCATGGACAAAATGGACAAAACCTGTGTATGAACTGGAGATTGTACATGCATAGTAGGGGTAAATTACGGGATGACCAATGCATGTGCATTCAGACACTTTTTTTTTTTTTTTGTTTCCTTCCATTGTCGTACAAAAATAAATAAAAAAAAAAAAAAAAAAAAAAAAAAACCACGGCAAAGAGTTTTTATCGGCAAAGTTTTGACATCGTCATCACGGGAAGGGGTATGATGGCACATGAATAGAAGACCGAGAAGGGGAATTCGCGTTAATTATTTATGGGTTGGTTGGAAAATGCTGGTTCTTTTTTTCATTGATCATCTATCATCAATACAGTTAGTAAACCATCCTTTTTGTAGTAACTGATATGAAGATAAAGGATAATAAGAGAGGTTTGATAGTGAGGAATCAAAGAAGAGAGGATGAAGAGTAATGGAACGCGATCAAACACGTACTCATACGCGTCATGTTCCAGCCAATTGCAGGCTCCCTTCAACACGTTTTCTCCACTTTTTTCCTTCAAGAGAGCTACCCTCGTATTCGCATTTGATCTATCCTCCATGTTTCTTTCTTTTACGCCCACATGTACGTCTGTTTAACCCTACTTTTGACATTCCTCCATCCTATGCATTAACTGAACATAAAAGGATATATCGATTTTCTTTCGTGACAAAAGGGAAAAAAAAAAAAAAAAAAAAAACCTGTCAAGACAATCTCTATCCTGTTAGTATGCAACAAATATATGTTTTAACAAAAGTGTGAATGCGTATGACGACAACGACGGTGTAGCAGGTTTTTTGCTTCTTGATATTCCCCTTTCTTCAGCATTTTTCAACCCCTGGTCCGCCCGGATGTTCTTTGTATGCCTTTTTTTATGTTGTTTGGTATTTGTCAAAATGGGGGTAAAAGTGTGGTATAATCTAATTCTTTTTCGAGTAACAATGCAGTTTCGCGCCTTCTATCATCGATCCTACCCTCCAATACATGCTGAGATACCCTCTCTCCTAACCCCTTCATCCTCGTCTCCCTTCTACTCCTCAATTGTGGTTTGCAGCGATTAAAATTTGGTGTGTAATAATCGAAAAAAGGGGAATTATTCTACATGTCATGAAAAAAAAGGCAGAAATGCTCGATTAGGGGCTAAGAATAAACGTGGTGTAAAAATACATGCATACCTCTGGCGAATCTGTATATCCATAATCGTGCACTCAGCGGGAGGTTGGTCAATACACAATAAAGAAGATTAAAAAACCCCCACGCCGAAGCTTGATGAATATTTCCAAAGATGAGATTTATCCTGACAAGTCCAAAGTTCAAATATGTACAGCCATAACGTTTATTCAATACGAGTATCAAGCAAACAAAAGCGATCTGCGCCTGCAACATGTTTGATTTTATATTTGCTTTCCTCTCGTAAATTGTACGCATCTTGGAAATTATACCCCCCCTCTTTCCCCAACAACATCAACAAAAACAAACAAAAACTATCAGAAGCACCTTGTCGTCATCGCGTGTGTTTGTGTTTTTGTGTTTTTGTGTATCCTTCAGTTTGAATATTCAAACATGCATCATTGCTTTGATGGACAGTAACTCTATTCATGCTACATTTTGCTTTTTTTTTTTTATTTTTTTTTATATTTTATTTTTGCCTGCGTCTGTGTCTGTGTGTCTCCAATACATCTAGACTCATGATCAGCATCACCCTACTTCTTTCACAATCCTTTTGGATGGGCGGGTGAAGGAGATAAGCTAAATAAAGCAGTATCCATGTAACCGGTTGGCGGGTGGAAGTTGACTATTTCAGTTGCGACTGTGCTCATGTTAGAGGAGAAGGAAGGAAAGCTTTATTCTGTCATGAACCATTTCAAATATGTTATTGTTTTTAGCCTCAAATTATTTGTCTGTTCGGCAATTTTTTCCCCCTCTCTCTACTTCCTGTCTTAAAATCACCGCGGACACGACTTCCTCCTCGACTTTACTACACCAGAACATAAAGTGCAAAGATTACAACGATTTGCTGACGAGTATGAACTCTCAACTATTGGCCTTTGCTTTTTAGAGAGCCTCGTTATTTCAACTGCAAAGGAAGGACTTCGCTTCAAAAGGAAGGAGTGAATGTAAGTCTAAGAGATTGTCGATCTCAAATACCAATCCACTATATACTTTCCAAACGCTTTACTATCCTTCTTTGCTATTTTTACCAATTGAAGCAGGCTACTGCTGTATTCTTGTTTTGTAATGAATTGGTTTACGTGATCGACCATTCCGTAGCCTTCCCACCGCATAAAATATGCAGGTCAAACTGTTCAGCAAATCATAATTTCAATTGTGCAACTCTATTCAGGTCACTAGTGCCAGATGTCCATCCAGGCACTTTTTCTTGAGGATAGACACCATACCGCAAAACAAAAAAAAACAAAAAAAAGATAGGGATGCACGATTGTGATGTTCAAGTTTATGACTATCGCTGATATCTATATTTGACCTCTTTCGCAGAGTGCCCTCCATATTTGAATTAGTAGAAGAAAGAGAGGGAGAAAAGCTTTTTATTCACTTTTCGTTGATGCACAGGCATTGTTCCACATGTCAATGATTGATCCACACTCAGGAAACTTTTGCTTCACTCCCCTTCACTTCCATTCTCTTTCTTCTTGTCCTTTTCCCTCTTATTTTCCTTTTTTTTTTTTATTTGCCTTTCGGAGACTTTCTAGATCACCCCTTTCTTGCGCATTTTTTTCTTCCTTAGTTGTTGGAAACGTTCTTGTGCTCTTCATTCACGATCGCGTTTCTTTCTCTTTTATCGCATTTTGCCTGTGTGCTCATTTTTCTGTGCATATTTTCGCATCAATCGTTTGCAGCAGTAAATAGTGACTTTGCTCATCTTTTTTTTTTAAAGTCTACCATTGATCGTAAACTTATCAACCATTGTATTACCATTAATCACACTCGACAAATGGCCATGTTTTCTTCAAAGACAACGACACCTATGCTGGCTCCTCAAGATCAAGCCACTTATTCCTCCGGTGAGCACCAATGCTCCCCTAGCACGCCTAACAACATTAACGTCAGCAACAGCAACAGCAGATCCCAACTGTTCCATCTACCACCTCATCCCAATCAGACTTCTATGCAGGCACAAACATTTCATTTCCAATCAAATTTCACTGGGCCTGGCAACGACAGAGCCCAATCGTGCCACGCGCCAATTGTGCCAGCCACAAATTTAAATACATATTCCAATTCTCATTCACAAGCAAAAGCAGGCCAGGATAGCCTGGCTAACGAACACTATCCTCTTCACGAACAACAGCGCCAGCATGCCCTTCAATTGCACCAACACCAACATCAGCAGCACCAGCAGGTGGAACACTCGATGTACGAGCACCATCACGTCCAGCACTTTTCGCATTCTTCACTTACACCGCACATACAGTTGCAATACGGAAGCTTTTATCAGAAACAAGGGTCAGATTATAGTACGATTATGACTGATAATGGCAGCAAACACAAGCGATCAAATGTGCATCCCTTGAGTCAGTCTTTTGTAAATTTAAAGCCATATGAGCAGCAGCAACAACATAGCAACACAGGCTTTGAATCAAATGTGAGTCCACATTATCACCATTCTCACCACCAACCGGCACAACAGCAACAAGACGATTCAAGGCACTCAACACTCTTACGTTCAATGTCAATGCCGATGAAGCCACCAATGCCCATGGGCATAATTCCTCAACACAATTATCAAAGCCTTAATCAAGGTAGGCGCAGCCAAATACATCCTACCCACAAGGATATAAACGTAAGTGACACGATGATGGACTCGGAAGCCTCATCTGATGCCGCTTCAGGAGACGAGGGAACTCGGTGGACATGTCAAGAGGTAAAATATTAAGGCTTTTCTGTTGTTGTTTTTTTTTTTTTTCTTTTTTTTTTCTTTTTTTTTTTCCTTCCTTCTCCCATGGACACGCGTGATTATAATTTCTTCTATTTGAGTCGTACTATGACACAATGATGGGAGGTATAACACACATGGGCACTAGTGCTGTAGAGACGGAGATAAAAAAAAAAAAAAAAAAAACGCGTCATTAATGGGGGGAAGTACATTGTATTTACCGTGCACAGGTGTGCCGAAGGGGAGGTAACGTGCTGACCGTTCAAGAAAGAAAGCTTTGGTTCACATGTGCCATTTGGCGCCTTTTTTATTTTATTTATTGACCAACGGGAGATGTTTAGTTTGAAGACGTGTTTGATGTGGTTCTTATCAATCTTATTTCAACGTGGCTAAGGGAGGCTAAGAAGGCCACATTCATTCCTACGCAAAGGCTCACGCTCAGATTCTTCCTCACCAATAAGTAAGATGAGGGAGCGAAGAGCAGAGATAGAAAGGTCGATCTTCAAAAAGGATAGATCCTCTCCAAATCACGTTTTGGTTTATTGATTTTGTGTCCTAATCTGTGAGCCAAAGAACAGTCAAAAAAGCCTCTGCCTGGTCTCCCCCCCTTTTTTTTTATTTAATGGTAGTGCATGGTATGGCATGGATGTAACAATGGAATGGTATGAAGAAGGAGGAGGCAAAGAGGATGGACATGTATAAACGTGTAATTTGTTGATGTGTGGTTGTCGGGTGGTTTTGTTCCGCACTTTTATTTATTTGTTTTTTTTCTTTTTTCTTGCTTGCTACACTAACTGACAGAACAGAACAGAACAGAAGAAAAGCATGCATGGTTTTGGGGGGTGAATGCCATCTTTTCCTGTATCTTTCTTTAGTGAAAAGAGTGGAAGAAAACAAAGCCCTTCATACCCCTTCTTCCCCTTTCCCCCTTCCACCCTATTCATTTATCATCCCTTTTTTTTATTTTTTTATTTTTATTTTTTTTTAAAAAAAAAAAAAAAAAAAAGGCCAATATTGTTTTCTTGTGTAAAAAGATGGATGAAATAGCAAGACATACAAATACATTAACAGGCACATAGACACAATTGAGCAGATCGGTGAAAGGGGAGGAAACGGAATGTGCTTCAGGGATTGATGACAATAACTTAGCTTGGCTTTTAGTCTCTGTTACTCCTTTTTTTCCACATTTGCGTGTGCAACCCAAGACCACTGAAGCACAAACGCTAAATAGTTTAGTGGGAAGAGGAAGATCATGTCCATGCCATACCTTTGCGCATGCCACACAATCTGAAAAGCCTTTATTTACCCATCTAAATACATTTGAATTTTCCTTCCATCGTTTTGCCATTTGTTTACTCTCCATCTCAATTTTTTTTTATACTTCTTGTTTCCTCTTTCTTTTTCAACTTTACTCTCCTTTCCACTTTTCTTCCCTTCTACCCCAGCATCATTACAAGGACAAAGTCCTCTTCTATTTTCAGTCGAACCATTGCCATTTTCCTTCCTGTTGGCCTTCTCCTTCTTCATCCCTGCATATTCTCACGCACCTCTCATCAGTGCACCACATTCTTTTACTTCACAGTCTTCATTCTATCCTTACTTGGTCCAATCGCTTATTTGTGTGTATATGTATGTGTCAATATATATGTATATGTATGTGTATGCATACTTCTTTGTCACTTTCTGTTGCAACGGTGCTGTGTAAGCTCGTGCACTAAAGTCGTTACCCGATATGAGATACATACCAACCGTTTCAACAAGCGTAAATGCCAAATGCCATTCCAGGCTGACTCACCCGGTGGATTGTTGCCAACACAAGCGCGCACGCGCCTTCCTCTACACCTCCACTGTTTGTCTTTTTTTTATTTTTTTTGTTTATTACCTTCAGTCCATGGTATAATCGCACAACCAAACAGGTTGCTTTTTCTTTCTTCTACTTCCATGCTTCAAGCATTGAATCTCATGACCTTGCTTGCTTTCTTTCTTTTTTTTTTTTTTTTTTTTTTTTTTTTTTTTTTTAATTAATATTATATGTCTACTTTTTTAAATTACACTCACTTACTCACCCCTCTTTTCCTTTTTTCCCCTCTTTCTCTCTCTCTTTTCTCTCTCTCTCTCATACATGCATTAAATACTCTTCGTTTTGCACACATCCGAATCTGTGACCTACCACCCTTTTTTTTCTTAATCATCCAAATTAAATAGGATAACTTGCTTCGAGAAGCTGTTATCAAGTTCAACGGTAAAGCTTGGAAGAGGATTGCTGAATACTGCTTTCCAGACGGATCTCGAGACAAGGACCAGTGCCTTCAACGCTGGCGCATGATTTCTAAACCTCGATCCATTAAAGGTCCATGGACCCCAGAGGTAAATGCTCATCTTCATACTGCCTTCCTAAAAAAAAATTTTTTTTTTCTCCGCTATCAACGGAAATTTATTGCTCTACTGATGTTTCTCATTTTGTATTCTGGTTTGCTGTTCTCTGATATCAGGAGGACCGACAACTTCGGGCACTAGTCAATGAGCTGGGTGCCGAAAAATGGGTATTGATTGCAAGTCGATTGGGTTCTCGAACTGGTAAACAGTGCCGAGAGCGATGGCACAATCATCTTGATCCTACAAGTAAGTAGCCCACCACACCATCCAAAAAAAAATTTCCTCCTTTTCCTATCATCTTTTCTGTGTAGCGCATGGTCCGAAATTTCTACGCCCCTAACGCCAATGGTTGCTCACATGGTCCATCCCCTGATTTTTTCATCTTCACTTGAATGTATGCATGTTTGATTTCTCCCGATGCTAGTCGACAAGTCACCATTCACACCAAAGGAGGACGAGCTCATCTTCAAGCTATTTGCGCAATTGGGCTCCAAGTGGGCTGAGATGTCTAAGCTGATGCCCGGGCGGCCCGACAATGCTATCAAGAACCACTTCAATACTTCTATGCAACGCAAGCGTAGGAGACTCAGCTTACAAGACCCATCTGGTAATAAAAGCGTCAATTGATGTCTCCCCCCCCTTTTTTTGTGTCAACCTCTAACGTTACATCTGCAACAGTTTATTAACCAATCTTTCGTGGAATTTTTTATTCTCTTATCATTTTCGCCGAACAGAGCTGCAAATGAAACAGAATGAGCGAGGTTCTGCAGGTGGAGCAATATCACCACCTCTTGCATCACCGACCTCTACCACATCGCCCTCGCTCACACGGCATAACCGATTTGACCCCTATGGTTCGTGCACTCCCATTTTTTGGGAAAAAAAAAAAAAAAAAAGCTTTTTTTCGCTCAAGCACATTTCAATATGTGGTCCACGCTCAGCTACGGATTTACCAACCTTATTTTTGTTTGTGCTTTGTTTATTATGTTTACATTAATTATTGGACTAATAGAGCGCCGCCATTCCATGCCTTCGCTCGAGTTTTCGCCAAAAGCACAACAGGTGGCTGGCCATCGTCGCAATGGATCACGAGATTACACAAGCGAAAGTAGTCATCAACAAAATCACCACATGCAACCCAATGGACCTGGTCCAGGCACATACCCACGCACTATACCTACGCCGCCAAAGACACCAGATACCAAGAACTCTCTCAAAGTTGCATCAAGCATGTCACGGTCCTTCTCTCTTGGATCTTCGGACCGTCACAACGCCAACGTCTCTGGCCCAGGCGTTCCTCCTTATCCGTATCTTTATCCCACGTCGTCCGCACAGACCGGGCCGTCACGCCCGAACCTACCAGGAATTGCGTCGCTCCACAAACCTCCACAACAACAGACACCATCACAAATGCAGCAGCAGTCAATGCCAAATCCAAAAAACAATAACCACTATTCATATGCTGCCCCCTCTACCACGGCAGCTATGGTTCCACCTTCGTCATCGACCACAACATCACTAGCTTCGTCCACTTCACCCCCCCTCAGAGTAGCTCGGTCCTTCTCTTCGATGCCTATCGCCTCAGGAAATGGCATGTATTCTTCTTACAACTATGGCCACTCAGCTACAGAATCGCAGCGACAGCATCAAGCCTTGAACTATGCACTTCCTCGGCCTAATCTGACCAGACATGAGTCCTTAGGAGGACGTCCTGGGCGCTTTGTGCGTGGACATGAACATCATCGCTCGCTCGACCTTGACCAGTTCTCGGCCTTGGCTGAGCTAGCCGACTTGGCCGAACAGCATCGTGTTATGCCAAATGGAGGTGCAGCTAGTACCGGTGGCCCGTCATCAAAATCGACAACGACTTCAACAACAACTATGACTGTACAAAGCAAGGAAGATTCGAATGACTTGAATCAGTTTCACCGACATGCCGACAAGGCAGGCGGCGAATCTATGTCAAGGTCTGGCTCAAACTCTTCAGGATATGATGTTGGTGATGTGGAAGACGCTGTCATTAAAACAATGATTGAGCGACCACTCCCTCCTCCTTTGCCAAATGCGCTATCTTTGGGACGACGCTTCTCTACTTTAGGGCACGTCAAAGAGGAGGAACATGGGGAGGGAGGAGATGAGGAGGGTGGAAGCCACCATTCATACCATATCGAGGCCAGGTGCCATTCATCCTCTCCTCTCGGGCATAGCAAGAGCTACAGTACTGGTTACGACTATGGAAACAATACCAACCGTACAGGCCATGATCTTTCAGCGGCCGAGTACAGATACAAGAGGTCGTCAATGGACTTTTCAGCCACACCTGACCCGGCATCAGACCACGAGGATAATATGCAGATAGAGCGAAATGCTATTGGTCATCGCCATACTTATGGTCGTAGTCAGAGTTATAGCTATGGCCAGGGAAAGCGGTCGACACCAAACCCTGACTCTGAACCCGATTCCTCTTATTTCGCAATGAGACGTGGTTCTGTACGGGAGCTGATGGCAATTGATAATCTATGTTTGAGCTCGGAGGAGGTTGAGCATTGCTGAAGGAGATAACGAGTCCAAATCCAAAAACAAATGGACTATATCTTAAAGGGACTATTGTGTTTTTTTAGTCTCCCATTCTCTTTTTTTTTTTATTTTTATTTTTGATTGTTTTCACTGTATTTTTTTTTTTTTTTTTTTTTTTTTTCTTCATTTTGATATTGGTTTTGAATTATTATTATTTTTTTTTTTTTGTCTCTTATTTTGTAAATATCATTGTTCAGTAGTTTTATCATTCATTTCAATTTGTCTATCGTTTGTTTGTTTGTTTGGTTGTTGTTGTTTTTGTTTGCCATTTGTTCGGAGCTCGTTCTCTCGGCCTTACCTCACTCTTTTTGCAATAAAGTATTTTTCATCATAGGATAAATAAAAACATAAAATTTCAAGTGGATATGTTAATGATGTAAAAAAAAAAAGAAAAGAAAAGAATCATGACGGATGAACCAAATATCCGTTACAAAAGAAGTTTCTGTTGTCCAATGCGGTGATACGGCTTTTTTTTTTTTTTTTTTTTTTTGAAAGGCTATGGAATGAGTACCTTACCGGCCCGTCATCGAACTCTAGTCACTGATTGGCTTATTGTAGCTATGTGTACCTTAGCGGTTACTGTCAAAACATTGTCAATTTGTCAGCGCAGCAAATCACTCAAAAGAAATTTGTGGAGAAAGAGAGTCATTGAAGTAAAAAAAAGTATAAAAGGATCGGCATGGGCACCCTCATGGTTACCAGAAAAAAAACCAAAATCAAGACAAATTCAAGCAAGCAATCCTACTCAAACTTTTTTCTTACGAATCCAAAGCCTCACATCCTCACAAATCTTACACATATCAACTTCCCCTCCGCTCCAAGACAGATACCACCCATGTCCAATCCGCCAAGTCCTAGCCTTCAGTCCAGCTCTACGCCCACTGTTACGGAAATCACCATCCCTTCACCCATGTCGAACAAGCAAGAGCAGCTTTCGATGGAGTCGAGGCAGGAAACAGCCCTCGAGAGGCTGAATCAAAAGATGAGACCGTTCTTTCTCTCCGTGGTCTGTTTCGCACAATTCATTGATATTAGTATGTATAATATATTTCTGTCTATCCAAATTTCCTATGAATGGGTTCATTTTTTTTTTTGCATGCTTTATTTACTCTCTTCCTCTTTCTTTTCTTTTTTTTTTTTTTTTTTTTTTTTTTCTCCTTAGTCAACGGAGCCTCGGTCACAGTGGCAATCCTTCCTATCGCGACTAATCTGGAGTTTCAAGTTCCTCAGATCCTCTGGATCGTTAACGCATACACGATTGCGTTTGGGGGTCTTCTCCTGGTTTCTGGGCGGCTAGGCGATTTGTTTGGTCATCGGCGATTGTTCCTGCTGGGCCTGTTCTGGTTCGCGACATGGTCGTTGATCGTTTCTTTTGCAGTCAGTCCCATCATGTTTGTAATTTCTCGTGCGCTCCAAGGAGTCGGTGCCGCCATCACGGTTCCTACGGCGATGGCGTTGATCGCCACGAACTATGCAGCTGGACCGGAACGTACAAGAGCCTTCTCTGTCTTTGCAGCATTCGGAGGCCTTGGGGCGATTACAGGGATCCTGATGGCTGGAGGGATCCTCGCCAGTATTGGATGGGCTTGGATCTTCAGAGTATCGGCCATTATCGGTTATGTACTATTGATCGTCGCCTTCGTCGCCATCCCATTTCCGCCATCACCAGCCCGTAAGCCCCGACAAGAAAAGCCAAAGATGGATTATGTTGGTGCTGCGACGGCGACGATGGGTGTGACGGGGATTGTTTATTATATCTCTACGGGCGTAGAAGATGGTTGGGCCAGCCCAAAGACGTTACCTGTCCTTGCCATAGCCTTGGTTCTCTTGGCAGCTTTTATTTACACAGAATCCAGGGTGGAATCACCGCTGATGCCCCTCCGGATCTGGAAGCAGCAGGCTTTCACGACCTCTGTGGTCCTAGGATTCTTTTCGATGGCGGCGCTGCAGGGAATGTTCTATAATGCTAATATGGTCTTTCAAGAAGTTTACGGTTGGGATGCACTCCAAACAGCACTTGGGTTCCTCGTCCATGCGATCTTGGCGGTGATAATGTTTTCAATCCTCGGAAGGATCCTACCACGGCTGCGATTAAAGATTCTGATCTTGGTTGGCTTCTTATTGAGGTCTGTGGCGGCATTGATGTTTTCGTTTGTGGATGAGGATGTATCCTATTGGAGGCTCCCGTTCCCAGCCTTCATCATTCATATCACAGGCGTTGCTTTTACGTTACTTCCCTTACAGATCACGGCTGTTCGGGACGCAAAGAATCAAGACCAAGGACTGGTGGGCGCTATTTATAACACTGGCCTTCAGTTGGGAGCGCCCTTTGGGATTGCGATCCTAAATGTCATTGCGATCTCGACCAACGGCCAGCATGATGGTGGCCAGGCTGCTGGCGAGGGATCTGTTCGAACAGGGCTAGGAGGCCCTGGTTTGATGAAAGGGTTTAGGAATGCGTTTTATGGAATCATTGCTATGGGACTTTTGAGTTTTGTCCTGGCAATGATCATCCTCCCGTGGGACAAGCCTAGTATCCGTACCCAGAAGGGTTCCTCTTCTTCTTCTTCACCAGAGGATAATATCAAAGCAGTGGAAGAAGGACAAGGAGAAGAACAAGTTGAACAGGAAGAGGAAGAAGAAGAAGGAGAAAAAGGGGCAGGAGGTATGGTTGTAAAGAACGCTAATAATGCGGACAACGATATGCTGAATGTTGAAGGAAGCGAAATTGAAAAAAACGCAGACAAGAGATAGTACATAGATAGGAAATAGCAAAAAAAAAAAAAAAAAAAAAAAAGCCTTTACTGATTAGATATAAAATATAAATACAAAAGAAAATATACAATTGTCCCTTATTTTTGTCTTGTTTATACATTTATGTTTGCTTTTTTACAATTATACCCATTTGAAATTACAGTCGATGAAATCAAAAAGTACCCCAGGAGAAAAGAAGGAAGTTGCGGAGCAAATTCAAGTGTCAACGTACAGCTAATCTTTTTTTTTTTTTTTTTTTTTTTTTTTTTGCTTGCTGGTTGTGGCAAAAGGCACAAGTTCCATGAATAAGTTTACTTTGAAGCAACTGTGATTTGCCTTTTTTTAAAACAGCCATGAGTGCCTGTAGCCTGAGCAAGTTGCATTTGCGAGTTAAAAGGCATAAGCATATTTATTATATGTACTTAAATGTCTACCTAGATGGATTTCTTTTATTATTATTATTATTATTATTATTATTATTATTATTATTATTATTATTAAAACCTTTTGTCTATATAATATTTTCATTTCAAAGTCCCTTTTATTTTCTTTTACCTAACAAACAATAAAAGGAAAAAGGAAAAAGGAAAAACAAAGACATATTCGATATTAGTCTTACGATTTCTCCATGCCTTTTCACTTTTTTTTTTTTTTATCTTTTTTTTTGCTCACTCTTTGACTTTCTGAGGGTATTGCAAGATAACAATGATCGGAAAGAAAAAGAGGATGTAGTAGGTTTGAAGTTGAGCGATTAATTCAGATAGTTTAGAAAAAGTGGTGTATTCCTGTAGCGGGGTCTTACTTCCGCCTCATAAACACGGACCAAACAAAATTCATCATATTGCCCAATAACAATCGTCTTTCTGGTGAAGGAAGAACGATATCTATAATGACTGTGAGAAAGAGAAGAGAAGCCTTCCCCCTTATGTCCTTTGTTTTTTACCTTGACAAAATCCGTGTTTAAATTTATTCCGCGATCAATTAAAACGCGTATAGGATACATAGAACTTTCCGTTGTTGATAGAATTTTAACCTGCTAGTTCGTTTACCGGAAAAAAAAAAAAAAAAAAAAAAAAGATTGAATCTATTAGTTGGTTGAACTAGTTGATCAGCATGCTCAATCGCCTCTTTTTTTTTTTTTTTTTCTGTCCTTGTAAACAAGATCTCAATGGACTTGAAGGGTGTGATCAGATCGTCTGAGAAAAAAATTGGTGTATTCCTGCAGCGGGGTCTTACTTCCGCCTCATAAACACGGACCAAACAAAGTTCATCATACTGCCATCCATTTGTATAAAGGAAAGAAAAAAAGAAAATAAAATAATAAATAGTAATAATAGTAATTAATATGTAAAACTTACATGGTAGCATGGTGGGGAAAAGTAAGAAAGAAATGAAAGAGAGAATGGAAGGCAAATTTTTTTTTTTCTACTGTTTATTTTGATCCGTGTCTGTGATGGACCCTTAAGCCAATTTTTTTTTTTTTTTTTTTTTTTTTTTTTTTAACGGCGCATCAAAATCTTGTTGGCTCTCAGAGTCTTTTGGACAATCCTGAATGTGAGTGATATTCTGGTGCGCCGTTCCAACTCCATTCTGTCATGACTCAAACCTTCAGGAAAAGCCTCTGCCAAGTTCACAATATTGCCTCCACTGAGATCATCGGTCGTGATCTCTTGGATCCCATGCATATATTTGTTGTATACATCTTCCTTTAACACTAATAAAGACCGCGGCTGAATCAGAAGAGAAAACTCGGGTTCTTGAGTCTGTTTGTGCTCATCCTCTGTTTCCTTATCAACCTCTGGGACTTTGAAGAACTCTAGCACACAATGAGATGACAATGAGATAGTCGCGACAGTAGGTAGGTACGCAGGACCGTCTTTATGAGGCTAAAAAAAAAAAAAAAAAAAAAAGGCTTAGAACTCTGAACGAAAGAGAGGAAGAGGACGATCAGTTATCCGTAGTGATCACGCACCATAATCCCCTGTCCTGCAAGGTACTCATTCACCAGACAATGGTTGGGGACGCGATGAGTGGCGTCCAGACCATCAAAGACCCCAGTTTCCTGGAAGCGAGGGAAGATGTCCGAGAGCCAAGATGGCAGAGTTTCTGCGATCATTCCTTTTTCATTTACTATGCCACCTATTAAAGAGAGAGAAAAGTATGAGTAAACTCTGGAGCTTGGTTTTGTATGTATCTGGGCAATAGGACGCGATTCTCTTTTCATGTGCTTTTTTTTTTTTTTTTTTTTTCCAAGTTGATTAAGATCCATGTTGATCATTACGATGCATCCATATTTCGCTCTTATTTTCTGGCTCTGTTTTTGTGCTTTGTGCTTCATTTCATGAATGATCCATGATCTACCGCTTTATTGGCTTGCTTATCATATTTTAAAACTGAAGAAAAAAAAAAATTGCTCATAGAATGAAATATTACCCCAGTTCTGTAGCCTTGTCATGTGCAAAGAAGTGATGGGAAGATATACAGATATTTATATTTATACCAAATACATAATATACATTTGTGTGTTTTTACAGAAGACGAACAAAAAGAAACGTTAGAGTTAATAAAAAATAAAGTAAAATAAAAAAGGACAATAACCTGGGGCCCATAAAGTTTTTTTTTTTTGCGGTCAGACGTTCACTTTGAGGGTTAAAAAAGGATCTGTAAGGTTATGGTTATGGCTCTCTGTAGTTTCCTTCTGTTTTCCATTGGTATTTTAAGCATGGCGCGTTCCCATAGGGATAGCGCAATTGCTCGCCTATTTTCTATTTTTCAGACTTTACCGTCTGCTTTTGAGATAAACCCATTTGGGTTTTGGAGCAGAGAGAACCTAGATCGAGATGAAAAAGAAATAATGATATTCATAATATATATTTATATAATATTAATCACGAGGTGAATAGTATGGGCTGTCTGATCCCTATTCCAAAGCGCAATTAACTTTTAAAGAGAACTTGCCTTGTCCAGCAGTATCTGCTCTTCCTCAGGTGTAATAAAATCGGGTAGATAGTAGACACTTTCAGGTGCACCTTTGATTTTTTCCTTTTCAAGGGTTCGTGTCATTTTTTTGGTGATTCTGATAAGAATGCTAGTGTTGTAGACTAATGGAATGAAAAGGAATGGGTTAATTGTGAATGAATCTGAATGGTTGAAATGTAAATCGGTGCTTGTTGTAAGGATGGTTGATGAATGTGCGTGATTGGGCACAATATCTGTCGATCACAGCCTGTGTTGGTTGGAAACAAATGTTTTTGTTTCTTTTGCGCACTGATATGTTTTTATTCATTATTAATATATACTTTGTGTCCCTTTTTTGCGTAGAAGACACATGCAAAACATGCTTCCTCACCTGTGCTCACGCAACATACACATGGGCACCAGGAAAGATTCAAATAGTCAAATAGGAAGGCCAATGCATAACGCCGCCTCCTTGTTGTCGTTTGCTCCATTTACCTTCGGTCGCTTTAACGAGCCGAGTCCAATTAAGGTTGGCTGGCGCAGACCGTGCTGGCAACCGACGCTCCCCGGCTGTTGTTTATCGGGTGGTCCGGTTGAGTTTAAACTCTATACCCGCGCCAGATTGACTGATCAGGCTTGTCGAACCAAGCTTATTATATACATGTCATGTAAGGCTTCATAAAAAAAAAATAAAGAAAATAATAAAGAAAAAGTTTCTCCAAGGATCGACCGTTCAATCAATTAATGACATTCCAATCACTCAAGAATGTGTTAATCAAGCGCGTCCAATTCGTTTGATGCATGCTTTGGCAAAAAAAAAACAAAAAATGTATGAAATGTTCAATAAAGGCTAAAATGCTGAGATAACAGCATTATTAAGGACATTTTTCAAAATGAATGGAGATTATGAGGTATTTGAGAAGTGAACATGATGGAAAAAAAAAAAAAAAAAAAAAAAAAAAAAAACATTTGGGACAAGGCTCTCAAAAATGACCTCTTGACTTGAGGTCCTCTCAGCATTGATTGCAAGACAAGACAAGAGGACAAAGCAAGGGAAGTGAGGATGGATTTGTTCATGTCCGTACAATAGTTAGGTCATCAGCTCCTTCGTCAGACAGGTTGTCAGGCACGTAGTCAGGCATCCTAAGCACGTTACATTCAATGTCAGGTACAGGTGTAGAGATGTCTATAATCCACTAATCACTAGACAAAGGGGAGACACGGTAAAGTGTAGGATGGCATACACGTGTGCTGAGGCTGCTGAAGAGAGAAAGAAAAAGATATAAATGAAAAAAAAAAGCGTTTGACTTTTTGGACGGAAATGTGCCTGAGCTGGTTCATGAACTCAAAAACTAATTCATTTTTCATGCCTTTATTTGTGTGCTTGGATGTCTAATTATATTTCTTTTGCACTGTCACTCTGTCTCTTCTTCTCTCCCTCCATCTCTTTCTCTTTCTCTTTCTCTCAATCTTTTTTTTTTTTCTTCTTCTTCTTCTTCTTCTCATCTCTTTCTCTCATCCTTTTCATCCTTTTTATTTCTTCTTGCACTCTTTTGTCCTTCCTTTCTTTCATCATTCATCTCACTTTTCTCTTCTTCTCTCTTCCTCTCTTTTCTCATTTCAATCTGACCTGCAATGCAAGAGATTGAGGTCCCGCCCAGGGATGTTTTCCAACACTATGTCCACATTGACCAGGCTGATAAGACACTTGTCTGGTGGTTCTCTACAAAGAGAAAGAACATTTCTTTTGGCCTCTTCTTCCGCAAATCTGCTCCTCCCCAGTTAAAATCAAATACCCTTGCCCCTTCCATCACCAGCATCAATACTTCGCCCCCAAGGGCAGAGTCCGTCCATTCCAAGCAGCATTCTCAGCATTCTCCCGGTGGTAGCTACAATGGACACTATACCAAGGATGGTATCCTCTCGACCTCACCTACAAAGTCCTGCCGCGCCAGCAATTATGCCTCCAGCAGAGCCTCGATCGATACCACCAGTGATGATGAAGAAAGTACTGAATTGGCCGATGGCTTGGGCACAAACCAGCAAAACCCGAGCCAGTCGTCCCTTCCACCAGGCTCGCAGCCTTCTGTCCGCAGAAAGAAGACTGTGGCCAAGTTCAAGGACCCAGAGCTGATCGAGATCATGCCCATCCAACATTACGAATCAAGCTCCGGCACCATTCGTGGAGAATTCACTGTCAAGGAAGAGGGTAGCTACGTCCTTGTCTTTGGTAAGGATGAACAACTCTGACACTATTTGACCCGTGCCCCTGTTCGATATCATGATATTCGAGCAATAATGAATGGCTGAAAAAAAAAAAAAAAAAAAAAAAAAAAAACAGGGGCTGTGCGTCCATCTTGTTTTTCCTTGATCCTAACTTGTTACTTCATGCTTTGGCTTTTTTTTGTGTGTGTGACCAATTAAAAAAAAAAAAAAAAAAAAAAAAGACAATTCCTTCTCAATCAATACTTCGAAGCGTCTGACTTTCTTTGTGGCGCTGGAGGAGCGCAGTAGAAAACCCGTAGCACAACCCACCTCAGAAATGTCAGGTTGGATGCTCAAGAAAAAACGCAAACGCATGCAAGGTATGTTGAAGATGTGAATCAATATGAACAGGCATCATAAAAGAAGAAAGAAAAAAGAAAAAAGTAACAAAAAGAGTTTTATCATTAATAATATCTTGTATATTAATGGTTGTAGGTTGGGCGAAGCGCTGGTTCCAAATCGATAATGGCGTCCTCTCCTATTACAAGGCACCCGATAGCCCTTGCCGTGGCAAGGTCCACCTTGTTCTCTCCACAGTGACCGTTAGTCAGGCCTCTAACATGATCCATATTGACTCTGGTACAATGCTCTACCATCTCAAGGCTCTTTCCGTCGAGGATTACAACGCATGGATCAGCGTCATGAAAGCCATCAAGAATTCTGACAAGGCTGCTCATGACACGGTCCATCGCATGATCCAGCGCGAGTCTTCAGTCAAGAGAGCTCAGCTGCGTAATAGTTGGATCGGAAGCAACAACGAACTGGATCAGCTCAAAGAAATCATGTCGTCCATGGACGCTGGCTTCCTTGACATTAAGGAGCAGCTCGAATCAATCCGTCCTCATACAGAAACTCCTCCTCCCAACAGTGGCTCGTCCCAGAAATCCACTCGCGAGCGTCAGATGTCTGTCGACAGCAACAACAGCAACCCCAATAATAGCAACAATCCCAACAACAACAACAACAAGTTCAAAATTAGTAAATTTGGTTTCTCATCTGGCCTGCAGCGAAGTATGTTTATGGACTTTCACCGAAAAAAAAAAAAAAAAAAAAAAAAAAAAAAAAAAACCATCAGGCATTATTTATAGTGTATATATTTACTAAACCCTTCTTTCTCAACTTAAAAAACTTATAGCTACGAGCGATGGCAGCCTTGCATCAACGCAGTCATCAATCGAAAGTATTCATGCGAAACTTTTAGCATCTTTTGCTAAACTCAGCTCGGATAAAGAAAAGGCATTCGAGATCATGCGTTCCGAAATCCAAAAGTGGGAGAAAAACGAGAAACATTTCCGTCTGTTGCTCACTGAGAATGAGAATCTCTCGACAACTCGCACAGGTGAAAAGTCTTCGCTCGCGCGGCACGCGCTCGAGGAAGCCTACATTGCCCGCAACTCTATGGCCTCAGAGCGTACTCATTCATTCACTTCCTCCATCCACACAGGATCCGACGACATCTTTTACGATGCTGATGACACTGTTTTGACTGCAGATCTGTCATCAGCAGACTTATCGGACCTTGAAGGGGCTGGCTTTGATGATCATGATGATGATAATGATAACTCAAGTGATGACGAATCAGCAGAGGAGCCCGCAAAAGAACCACAGCCCGAAGAGGTGAAGGCACCACAGCCTACAGTGTCTAGCAATGACCCTCTGTCCGAAGGTCCTATTGTCCGTCGGTCAGTACTTCCTGCGCCAGTATCTGGAGAAGACATCTCGTTGCTTTCGATTTTAAGAAAGAATGTGGGCAAGGATCTATCGACCGTAGCCATGCCCGTCTCGTTGAATGAACCTATCAATGTTTTGCAAAGATTATGTGAAGAGCTGGAGTATAGCGAATTGCTGGACAAGGCTGCTGGACTCTCCGATAGCTTGGATCGACTAGTATATGTTTCTGCATTTGCTGTGAGTGGATACGCCACTACCCAGTGGCGTGCTGCCCGTAAGCCCTTCAATCCTCTTCATGGAGAGACATTTGAATATGTTTGCCCCGAGAAGGGCTTTAAATTCATTTCAGAAAAGGTTAGCCACTACCCACCTATCATGGCTTGTCATGCTGATTCTGTGAATGGTTGGACCTTGGCAATGGATTCGAGAGCAAAGACCAAGTTCTGGGGCAAGTCTATGGAGCTCATGCCCAACGGCACGATTCATATTCACTTCCAAAAGACTGGAGACCATTTCACGATCCACAAGCCATCAACATGGATGCGTAACCTGATGGCCGGTACCAAATATCTGGAACATACAGGAGATCTCAAAGTAGTCAACCATGCAACCCGCGAAACCTGTGTATTGACTTTTAAGGAATCTAGCTTCTTTGCTGGTACCAAGAATGAGGTTGTCGGTAGTGTGATGGATGCAAGCGGAGCCAAGAAGCGCTCCTTGCAAGGAAAGTGGAATGAATCCTTGATGGAGGAACTCGGACCCAACAAATTCGAACGTCTGTGGAAGGTCAACAACCCACCACCCAACCATGAGAAATACTATGGCTTCACAGAGTTCACCATTCACTTGAACGAGATGACCAAGGGATTGGAGGCCAAGTTGCCAAAGACAGATACACGTTTCCGTCCAGATCAGTCGTTGTTTGAGCGTGGTCTGGTGGAGGAAGCAGACAAGGAGAAGTTGCGTGTGGAACAAAAACAGCGCGATCTACGCAAGACGATGGAGGCTAACGGAGAGCCATGGGTGGTACGCTGGTTTGAGAAGCGTCCTGATCCACAGACAGATGACCCTGAGGGCCAGACCTGGCATTACAAGGGCGGTTACTGGGAGACCCGTGAGACTGGCCAGTGGAACGAGCCAGTTACTCTTTGGTAGTGCAGCTGTAAACCGATTTTGTCAATTAAAAAATACAATTAGATTTTGATTTACACTACGACTGTCTGCTGTATTTTTTTTTTTTTTTTTTGTTGCGCATTATCCTTTTCCTTCTCAATGAACTCATTCGTGTCCATGCTTAACCAGACAGTGCAACGGGTCAGGATTCCGTTCATCAGCTCAGCAAGGACAACACCATTAATATCAACATCAAGTGCATTTGCACAGGAGCAATTTTCAAAGAATGTAAAAAGGCACATTCACTTCTCCAACACAGTACAACATCCTCGAAAGGCAAAGACGGCACATGGAGGAAGCATTCGTGATCAAGCCTCTTTTGGAAACTATACTCGACTAGTTCCCACATCACTAAAGTTAGGAGTCACACCACCGGACGTCAATAAACTGGTTCCGCCTCATATCCTACGACCCAGCTATGCCCTTCGAGGCGAACCATCCGAGTGGGCTTCGACTATTCCAATCAATGGATCAGAAGCAATTGAAGGATGCCGCAAAGCTGGTCAGTTGGCAAAGAAAATTTTACAGCTAGGAGGATCGCTTGTAAAGGTAAGAAAAGAAAAAAAAAAAAAAAAAAAAAAAAAAAGATTGCGAGGGTCCGATTTCTTGTGATCTACGGTTGAGGTATATCCTATGTTGATCAACTATTTAATTGTCTTTTCTAAATATGATCTTTCTTTGGGACTAGCCAGGGATAACGACGAACGAAATTGATCGGATCTTACATGAGGCGATCATTACCAGCAACGCATATCCATCACCACTAAACTATATGGGATTCCCAAAATCAGTCTGTACTTCAGTTTCCAACGTGATCGCTCATGGAATCCCAGACGAGTAAGAGAGAGACATGGACTGAATTGCGAGAAATGGAGATACTACATTTTTTTTTTTGAGTTTTAGCACACCACCAACCTCGTATCTTATTAATTTATACTTTTTTTTTTTTTTTTTTTTTTTTTTCTATAGCCGCTGCCTTGAGGATGGCGATATCATCAACGTTGATATTACAGTATGTCTCTAGGAAATCATCCCTGTACTGAATTATTATCAAAAACTAGGGTTTATCTATGTTAAGCTCCTGTCTTTAATACGTAGCCTTTTTTTTTTTTTTTTTTTTTTTTTTTTCAAGGTTTACTTGAATGGGTATCATGGCGACACATCAGCCACGTTTCTTGTAGGCAACGTAGATGAGCCAGGACGAGAGCTTGTTGAGAGGACGAAGGAATCATTGGACGCAGCAATTGATATCTGTGGACCAGGTGTGCCCTTGAACAGGATCGGAAAAACAATCCAGGCTATTGCAGACAAATATAAATATAGCGTTTCGGAGCAGTTTTCAGGACATGGTATAGGTAAAGAGTTTCATTGTCTACCTCTGATTTATCACCATGGTACGTGAAGATGTGACATTACGAGAAAAGAACGCTGTTTGTGCATGGTGCTGTTTATTTTTGCTGTGTGTTATGTGCTTGTATGTAATGTGAAGTTTGGTATTTGTGTCTACGTAGATAATGACGAGGAGGGCTTGATGGAGAAGGGAATGATCTTTACGATCGAGCCCATGTTTTGCCAGGGTGCATCCATGGGGGTCCAATGGCCCGATAAGTGGACTGTGTCCACAGTGGATGGAGGCAGAAGTGCACAATTTGAACACACTGTAAGTTTCTTTGCTGTTTAGTAGGAAAAAAAAAAAAAAAAAAAAAAAAGTGGTGGTCTGACCTATTTGCTTATAACTTATTGTGTGCGCTAGATATTGATCACTGAAGATGGCGCCGAGAGATTGACGGGTTGATGAGGAAAGGGCCTGGTGGAGTAAAAGAAGTGGAGTCATTTTAGGAGTATGTAGACAGCCTATTTTCACGTACAGACAATTCAACTTTGGGTTGAAGGTCTAGAGTGAATAGTGACAATTGAAAGTCCTGTTTGAATTTGTTCCTGAGTTAACTTTAAACCCAATACCGAATCATAATTTGTCCCCGTGGGGAGTGGTTTTTTTTTTTTGAGAGAAAGCTTTTAATGCAATAATGATCGGATTGATTTGTGATATGTGTTATGTGAAATTAATTGTTTCCCTGGACATTCAATTTCGAACATGGTATGCTCACTCTTTCTTTCCTTCTTTCCTCCTTTTCTTTTCTTTCTTTCTTGCAACTATCATCTCCACTTGCTACTCACATACTAATACATACATACTCTCCTATGACTTGACTTTTTTTTTTTTTCTTTTCCTTTTCTCGGCATTCATCACCCATTTCATTCTGCTCCATTCCTTGTTTTCAATTTCACTTACAACCCTTATTCTTTTAAACAATGGTCTCTGAAAGCAACAATGGTATGCTCAATACCAGTAGATTACTTGTCGTCACATTTCTTCTCCCAAATACAATCTCTTTTCAAGTTCCACGCGAAAAGGACAGCCGCTTCAAAGGATTTATCTCCTCTATACAGTCCCGAGATGGCTCCAGATACCCCTCTACCACCCGAGTCACTTCTGCGCCCGTCTCTGTTCCTCCTCCAACCTCAACCGCACTCTACTCCCCTGCTCTCGAGGCCCTGCATGGGTCAGCACCCATGCCTCCACCTTCTTCTAAACGAAACAGTGGCGGAACAAGTATTGGCGTTGGCATTAGTAGTAGTGGTAGCGGGACTGCTGTAATAGGAGGTCTGGGGATACCTCGACTCGCTGAACACATTGTTGCGTCCAATAGTCTAGCAACTTCAACGGAGCTCTTTCGTGATGGCACTGCAACTGATAAGACGGATCGGCCCAAGGACCAAGATCGCTCTGTCCATGTAGTACAACAACAGAGGAGTGCGACGTTCTCACCCCTGTCTATCCTGCCACAGCTTCCAGAGCGTCAAGAAGACCTTTTCCCAGCAGCTACCCCACGTCCCGCATTGAATCAACCCCGTAGCAGGAGCAGGAGCACACGAATGGATGACATTCATGATAGCAGACATCATCATCATCATGATGGACATCCATCTTCTCTCGATACCCAGTTAGACCCTTCGTCGTCATTGTCGCAATCATCGCCATCATCATCGCCATCTGAAACATCTGTAACGTTTTCAAAGCCTTCGAGACAGACCCCTTCTCATTTACAACGCAGTCATTTCCTGGACTCGGCCAAGGTCTTTGCAGATGCGAAATGGACAGTAGAACCGGCATACAGCGGTAACATTGGATTGCATAACGCTGTCAACTCAATTCAGGACCAACTTTCTAAGCGGATCTGGATCGGTACGTTGGGAATGGCTACCGATTCATTGACAGACCGTACACGGGGCGATATCCGTACCGAGTTGGCATTAAATCACAATTCTATCCCAGTATTTGTGCATGATCAGGACTTTGAAGGGCATTATCACCATTTTTGTAAACAGGTTCGTAGAGTTTTTTTTTTTTTTTTTTTTTTTTGACACGATTTCAGTGAATGGCAGTCCCTTTTACTATTTTTTTTATCAGCTCCTTTTTGCCACTTCAGCTGTGATTTGGTCTCGAAAGGAGCTTCCCGCTCTGACCCCTGTTGGTCTAGTGAGAAAGTAGACCTTGAGGCTTTTTTTTTGTTTCGCTTCACAATTCATTGAGCGACAGCAGTCTGCGTCATTCCATGCAAAGCCGGCGCTTTTTTTTTTTTTTTTTTTTTTTTTTCCTCCTTTCCATTACCCATCAAAATAACACACACAGTCGAGAATAGGGGTTTTCTCTTTCTCCTTCTCGTTTAGAGCATTTACTTGGGAAGGGGAGGATTGCCTGAATGTTCCTGAAAATTCAAGTGCTCTACAAAACAAATACTCTTGTATGCATCAATCAAGAACTTCACATCGCTAGATGACCTGACATTGACTGATCATTCGTTCTTGCTGTGACCTATTAGGTTCTCTGGCCTATTTTCCATTACGTGCTGCCTGACAACCTGAGGAGTAAAGGATATGAAGATGGATACTGGAAGCACTATGTGGCTGTCAACAGGGCATTTGCAGACACAATTATTGAGAACTACAACCAAGGTGACACAAGTAGGTGGCCATTGCACTCGTGCAGATTCATTTCTTCTGTTGAAAGTTTTGTCACTGTTTTTTTATTGTTCCATACCCAATATTAATGCATCTCTTTTTTTGTCTTATGAAGTTTGGGTTAATGATTACCACTTGATGCTGGTCCCAAATATGATTCGCGAACGGCTACCGGACGCGTCTATTGGATTCTTTTTGCATATCCCGTTCCCAAGCTCGGAAATATTTAGATGCCTGCATGGTAAGGCTATTCATTTATATTCGGATACGAAGTACTGTCCATGCTATGTGTATTCAACCGTACTGACAATATTCCTGAAATACATTCGCATATTCTAGCTAGAAAAGAGGTGTTAGAAGGTCTGTTGGGTGCAGATTTAGTCGGGTTTCAAACATACTCTTTTGCGCGCCATTTTCTACAAACATGCTCGCGTCTTTTATCAGTGGAGACAAATCCGAAGGGTATTCAGTTGGAGAACACGACCGTCAATGTTGGTATCTTCCCAATTGGTAAGAAAACTTTTTTTTTTTTTTTAACAATCGAAACTATTGATATCCTCAGGTTCAGTTTGGCCATCGTGTGTTATTAGATTATAGCTAAATTATTATTTGCATTTATCAGGCATCGACACAAAGACTTTGAACATAAAGCGCCAAGATCCCGAAGTCGCTTCGTGGGTCGAAAGGCTTAAGGAAAAGTATGCAGGGATGAAGCTGATTGTTGCCCGTGACAAACTAGACTATATTAAGGGGGTCAGGCAAAAGATGTTGGCGTTCGAGCGATTCTTAAATCTTTATCCGGAATATCAGGGCAAGGTAATTTGACTATGCTTCGCAAGTGCTTCTTGCGAGATGGAAAAGTAAAGAATAGACACACCATGATAAAAAAACTGAGAGCTAATTTTAACGCACTTATGCTACGCCACTATATTAACAAAAAAAAAAAAAAAAAAAAAAAAAAGATCGTGTTGATCCAAGTTGCATTATCGACGTCTGAACAGAATGAGGTCCAAGGACAAGTTTCTGATGTGGTCACACGGATCAACTCCAAGTTTAGCGACCTCTCCTATCAACCTATTGTATTTTTAAGGCAGGACATTACCTTTAGCCAGTATCTCGCCCTTTTGACAGTCGCAGATTTGTGTCTAATTACACCACTGCGTGATGGCATGAATTTAACCTCACATGAATATGTTGTCTGTCAAGAGGAACGAAAGAACCCATTAGTGCTCAGTGAGGTATATGCTTCTTAATAAGTCGATAATATGTGGGTATGATGTATTTGACATAGGAAGCGAAAAAATTAATGGTATCGTTTAAAGCTGACATCTTTGGTATACCTCATCTTCATGTTAGTTTGCTGGGACATATGGAAGCTTAGGAGCATGTCTGCGCGTGAACCCATGGAACTACACTGAGGTTGCCATAGCGATCCATGATGCCCTTGAGATGCAGGAAGAAGAGAAAATTATTCGATGGAATGAACTTCGTAAACATGTCTGCACCAACACAGCTCAATTCTGGGCACAGGGATTTGTTTCAGAGTTGATCAAAGTTCACAGCGATGTCCAGCAGAAATATTCGATCCATATACCGCTTCTAGATATGGCGATTATATTGCCTCAGTACCGTGCTGCAAAGCGTAGACTGCAAGTGTTATACTGAAGGCGTGCTTTCGTTTTGTTGCCAGAAATGTCATGTTTACAAAGAACTTGAGGTATAAGTCATGATTTTATATTTACCAATTGCCCTTTTTTTTTTTTTTCCTCCTCGCTTTAATAGGCTATTGTTGGATTATGATGGAACTCTGCTTCCATATGAACGATCTTCAACAGCTCGCTCAAAAGGAAAGGTGACTTCTAATGAAGAAATGATCAAGGTGGTAACAAAACTGGCACAGGATCCCAAAAACACGGTATACGTCATGAGCGGGAGAACCAAGAATAGTCTCGAGCAGATATTTGAGTCCATTCCAAACATTGGTCTATGGTATGTTCTCTTTTTCCATCTTGACTCCTATGGACGACCGTTGTTAAGGCTGTCTAATCTTCCATCCATTTTTTTCCTTGTGTGTATAAAAAACTACCTCTAGTGCTGAAGGCGGTTGTTTCTTGAAGCACGCCGGAAAGTCAACTTGGGAGGACCAGGTTCAGCAAGGAAACGATGTGCAATGGCGTGGGAAAGTTATGGAGGTATGAACTAGCATTTCCATTTCGATTATTATGCCTGTGATATGAATACATGCTTACTTTTTTACTGGGAGAACGTTGTAGATGTTTGAATACTACAAAGAAAGGACTCCTGGATCAGAAATTGAGGAAAAGAGCGTCCCCATTGTATGGGTAAGTTAGATATGATAATATGAATGCATGGGGACTAAAGTTTCTAGAGCTCAAACAGCATTATTGATGACCCTTATTGTTAAACGCAGCATTATCGCCAAGCAGATAACCCAAGCTATGGACTCTGGCAAGCGCGTGAGTGTCAGAATCATATTGAGGAGGCAATTGGGTCTATTTACCCTGTCCATGCAATTGTCGGCCGTAAGTGTCTTGAAGTCATGCCTCGAAATGTAAGCAAGGCCAGTGCTACTAGGGCCATTGTCGAAAGTCTTGGCCTCGCGCCAACATCACCGTCGGCCTCATCTTCACCAACATCAACGCCACCTTCCTCTCTCGCACCTAAGGAAACATCACCTTCGCTTTCATTATCAGAGTTAACAATATCGGCCTTGTCTATTAAGGCCGATGCAACTACAACTAACCGTCCGATTGATTTTATCCTCTGTATGGGTGATGATCGATCAGATGAAGATATGTTTCAGTTTGTGAATGGATTGAGGCTTGAGGGTGAAGATTGTAATGAGTGGCAACAACAAGAACAACAGAAGAACCATCTCCACCAACAAAATCGCCATAGGATAGTGACCTGTACTGTAGGATCAAAGAGCTCTGAGGCACGTTGGTTTGTGCCAGGTGTCACTTCAGTCTTGCAGGGCCTTTCTCTCATGGCGACCTCTGTCTCTAGCGAGGAAGTTGTGCACGATGGACTCCAAACTGTACCGGTTTCACAAATAGCCCTACATACTGCTACTATCCTGCCTGAGGTTACACCGATGGCAATAGTTGATTAAATGATTAAACAATGGGAGGGGGAGTCAAACTGTGTTTCATGAAATGTAAGAGTGGCGAAGTGAACGACACAAACATAAACTTTACAGAACGCATGTACACATAAACACAATTGATATTTGGATGTTATAGATGTTATTTATTTTATTATGCAAACCGTCTCTATGAAAAAAAAAAAAAAAACCTAACAGCAAAACTGGTATTATTCTTTGTTGATTTAAATTTTAAAGAATCATTGCCAAGGCAACGACGGCGGCAAATGCAGCCTGGCCAAGCATGTACTTGGAGCTGGCAAAGAATCCACTGGCAGCACTGTTGCCGTTGCCGCTGCCACCATCCTGACCCTCGCCAATGACATCATCTTCTTCATCCTCAGGGCTGCCCTGGGTACCCTTCTTGGGAGGTGGGGGCACACGATCAACAAGACCTGGAGGGATTGCAAAGTTGAGTTGAGCGGCCACAAGGTTAGAGACGGACTCGACCCATCCCAAAACACCAGCCTGCATGTTCTTGGTCTTGGTGTACAAGTTGGTGTTGAAGTCTTCGATGGTGAGGTTGCGGTCCAAACCGGGGCTCTTGCGGACCAAGGAAAGATCCCACTGAGCATCGAGCTGAAGCATCTTGTGGTAGGCCTCTGCACGAAGCTTGATGGCCTCGGGCTTGAAAGCAGTGCTGACAATCTCCTTCAAGGTCTGCTCAAAAAGAGCATTGATTGGCTTGCTGCCCAAGATCAACTTCTGAACAAGGGGACGAGGACCGTTCTTGGTGAAATCAACATAGGTCTGGTAGGCGGGGACGGTCGAGTAAGGATAACCACTGCCGAAGGTGTTGTCCATGTCTGTGGGGATGATTTGCCACTTGCCACCGTTAGCAGCCAAAGTTGGGTTCCTGTACATGAAGTAGTTGGAGGCAGCATACCAGTACATATCAAATCCGCCCATCAAGTACTCAAGAGCCATGGTGCGCAAGACATTGTCCAAATCCAAACGAGTGTTGTTCCAGAAACCAACGGGATCAGGGTTGGTATTGGGGTCAAAGCCTTCGAGATCCTTCATGAATGCAATCAAATCCTGCAGAGGATTGGCTTCGGGGCTCGTGCCCAAATTGCGGGACTTGTACGCATCAGGGTCATAGTCAGCACTGTTGGGACCCTTGTAAACTAAATCAGCCTTGTTGATCCAGGCATTCATCTGAACCATATCACCACGCCGCACATTGGGATCACCTCCGTGAATCGTCTGCTTGGCAAAAGACTTCTTGATATCATCTACCATCAAATAGAGACCATAAGGCTCGTTGTTGACAAACAAGCGAACCCAGGCACCCTAACAAAAAAAAAAAAAAAAAAAAAAGCAAAAAGCAAAAAACCAAAGCACATAAGTTTATGCTTTTTTTTTTTTTTTTTTTTTTTTTGCATATATATTCATAATCAACACAAAAAAAAATCTCTTATTACCTGTTGAGTAGGAACACCAACGGAGTTAAGCATGTCAATATACAACTTCTCGCGAATCATGGTAGGATCCTGGAACATGGAGCGCAACTTGATGTTGGGGCGAGAGAAGAACTCTTGACCAAATGAGGTATCGAATTCAAATGCGTACGACTGCTTCTTGAACTCCTTGGAGGATTTGCCCGAGGTCTTGAAAGTGATATTGGTCTGAGAATGAATGGTCTTGGAGTTGATGAAGCGGAAGTCAACCTTGTACTCCTTGTCGTTCTTGGGGTTTGCATTCATCTCATCGATCAAGGCTTTTGGTCCTGTAACATGGATAGTGGCAATTTGCTTCTGCTTGAAGGCCTTGGTCTTGGAAGGGTAGGTGGCCAAGTAAGTATAGGGCAACTTTGGCAATTCCCAGACAGTGGTCTGACGTTCAAAGAACTCGTTCAAGGTCGAGGTTTCGGACTGGTTGGCCAGCTGGCGTACGAAGGGCTCGGTTTTGACGACTCCACCCTGAGGGTCGAGCTCGACGTATGAGTACTGGACTGTACCAGTCGTGCCAGGGACTGTACCTTTAAAGACAGGGAAAGTGGTCTCGTTGGCAATAAGCTTGTGGACCGTGCCACCGATAGAGACACCAAAGCTGCCAGTAGGGGAGGAAGGATAACCTACGACATTAAACGTGACTAAAAGACAAAAAAAAGAAGCAACCGTTAATTTTTGAATTGTTGATTTTATCAAGTGGTGTTGTTCTGGGAAAGCAGCACAGCAGCGGGAGAAAAAAATGAATTGGGATCTTAGGAATAAGTATGAGTGGAAAATGAGGAAGAGGGGGAACATCTCATTAACGAATTATGTTCTGTGCGTTGCGCGTTGTGTATTGTGCTCTGTAAGTGCATAGAGAAGGGGGAGTAAAATCTTACTGTCAGCAAAAGCAACCGAGGCAAGGGCTGCTAGGCCAACCAAGTACTTCATATTGATTGGCGGGATGGGGGAGAAAAAGGTGAAGAGAACAATTGAAGGTGGAGAGCTGTTGATGGGTTATTGTAGTAGTGATGGGTATATAAGAAGGAATGGGTCGTTAAATGTGGAGGGAGGAGTGAGTGTGTGGATGAAGGTTTTATTTAAAAGAAGAAAAATACGACCTTCCTATGCAAAAAGAAATGTGAAGAAAAGAGGAAAAGGAAAAAAGAAGAGATGGAAAGGAAAAGGGGATGCGCTTTTGTAGGAAGATGGGGAGCAGGGAATGGGGAACAGGGACGACAATGGACTAGAAAGTGCTCAGGGGCGATGAATGCGGTGATGCTGACGAAAGTAAAGTTGGGACTCACAGAATTCAGATGAAAATCAGGGAACATTCGGTGTCAGGCATGCATAAAAATAAAAGAAAGTGAGTCGCTTTGTTGATGGATGGAAAGACCAGAGAGGCGTTGTTTCTAGACTGATCATTGATTTAAATATAATAATTTATTTTTATCACTATGAAAAACAACATAGTCTAACGGGCCCATCCAAAACTCTTTTTTTCCATTGCCCATGTTGATCAATTTCGACTAAATGATGATTGTTGTACGCCAAAACATTAAGTCCAATTAAGAGACAGTGAGAGCAGCACTCACGCGAGTCCTCTATCTTCAGGTGTAGAGTATTATGAATGGACCAAGAGGGATGTGAAAGTGTGTGCGCACTCTTTGTCTCTTTGCCACATATTTGTCTTTGTGCTCATGTGTGTGTGCAAGCCTCGGTAAATTACAAAAAAATGAGAGCACAAATGTAATCGTTGGACGGTAGAAAACGTTGTTCCTGTCCCGACAATCCAATCCAACAGAAAATTTTTTTTTGATTTAATTAAACCTGATGAAGGTCACACACAAAATAATAACCTCCTCTCCCTTCTCCTTTTCCCCTTTTTGCAACAGCCTACCCTGGTAGACCAATACCGGACATTTTCTTTCATTTCTTTAACTTGTTTTGACCTATACGAAAGGAGGGGTGTTTTCTTTCTTTCTTTGCAAATATGTATATATATATAAATATATTTATACTGGTGGTATTTCAGAAGACACTGGTGGTTCCTTTGTTGACACTTTGGATGTTTCATTAGTTTATTCCGGTGAAAAAAGCGTTCTCCTTATCCTGTTTCTCTTGTGATCAGAGCATCATGGATCCCTGCTTTGCATTAGTCCATCCCCTGTAATGTCTTTGAATGACTATTGCGTCATTCATTCTCAATCATGACATTCCTCCATCATGAATACGCGACAAAAAAAAAAAAAAAAACGCTTCTAGAGACGCGAATTAACCAGCACAGTCAGGTATATACTAAAGACAGGTAGAAAAGAATAGAAAAAAGAGGGCTGTGTCCGTTCGCGGGAACAAATTATAATTGCTCTCTGGTCGATCACTGACGGTTAGACACCAAATTGAAAGTTTCTTCTTCATTCCTTGGACGAAATATAACCAGTGGGAAATTAGGTTACAAGTCGTGATTGAATTACAACAGAATAAGAGCTCAAGTGCAATAGATATACCAGGCAGGCAGAGAAGCGATGTGTACACAAGATACATATAAAAAGCAATGTGTGCAGAAATGTGCAGGAGATTTACAGTCATCAGTCCGGCCTTGTCTTGGTTGCCGAGGCCTCGACTCTGCTCTTTGTTTCTTTCAGCCTCGTCTATGTGTGCTGCTCTATGTTTTCTATGCTCTTTTGGTCTATCGCCGCCTTTTCTGCTTGGCGCTTCCGAATCATTTAGTCTTTATTTAGTGTGCCTTTTTAGATTCACAGATGCTCACATCCAAGATTTCCATAAACTTTTTTCAAGACAAAAGTACATATGCGCCACATTGTGAACATACACCATGATACTGTATTATATTACACTAGAGGGGACTTTTTTTTTTTTTAAGAGCAGGGCTTAGTCATAACTTATGTTACCCAGTCCGTGCTCTTTGATGTAGCTACCTCCATATTCTTCATACTCTTGTCGGGTCACCGATATTTTCTTCATCCTCTCATGGTTGCGTCCAATCATGGCTGCACCTCGCCATGCATCTAATAGGCAGTCCTGCGCTCGTCGCACCTCGTACAGCTTCTTATTCGGAGAATATGGCAGAATAGAACGGATGGAATTATCCAAGCGATCAATCAATCCCGGTATCTGGGCCATACCTCCTGTCACCAAGATATTCTGAACGAGTCGCTGGCGTGCCTCAGCGTCAAAACGCTTTAGGACATCTTGTATAGTTTCCACCAGGCCAGTCTGATCCAATCCAATGATACCTGGTTGGAATAGCACCTCTGGGACACGAATTCGCTCCACATTGACATGTAACTGATAGGTCTGCTCGAGCGAGAGCCCAACTGCAGGATCGTAGGGTCCGAGTCCATTCGTATAAAAATGAAGGAATGAATTCTTGGGCGAGTAGGCGTTCATGGTGTGCTCATGCAGGAAGTCAGGGTCGTACTTGAGAAGCTGCTGTTCATATTCATTTAGTTGCGCAGCTTCTTCTTCATCTTCTGAGTCGTCCTCTTTACTCTAATCGCAAATAAGAAATAAACAAGTAATAAATCAAAGGTGTAAACAGAGTACAAAACTCAAATGGTCAATGCTCCTTGGGTTGTACAAGTCATGAAATTGGCCAACAAGAAATTTTGGAACAAAAAAAAAAGACAAAAATAACACAACATCCTCGACTATTTGAAAGCACTAACAATCTCACGATAAACCATCCAGTCATCATCATCTTGTCCAAAAGTGTCCTCTATGTGAAGAACGAAGCTTTTTAATCAGCATGTGACTTGAGATAAAATACGAGCCACATCCACATTATATAAAAGTCCAATTACCATCTTGTCCCTTTCTGCGACGCTTAGGGGGAGGACTGTCGCTGGCTAATGCTGCAATCGACCTCATACGGAGTTGTGATGCATGGCTTCGACGATCCGATAACTGTTCCCGGAGCTGCTTCTTTGCCTTAATCTTATCCACTAGTTCTTTTCTCTTGGTATGAAGCTCTACAAGCCATTTTTGTGGTTCCTTTTCTCTCTTTTCTGCATCAAGTCGAGCAAGTTCTTCCTATAATTTTCCGATACGAAAATGGCCCTTAGTTATTTGTTTTTTTTTTTCTTTGACTTCAAGAGTTAACGAGAACAAATTGCTCTCCTTACCTGGTGCGCGGCTTCTTCCGCTTTAGCTGTCTTGGCCCGCATCCTCGCATCATAACTTGCTTTTAGCAAGCGCTGCTTCTTTTTCTCTTTTCGGTCAGCTTCTGAAAGTTCTTCATCTGGAACATCAAGCAAAGGGAACGTTGGAGGTTCCTGATAAAAGAACGAACGGATAGCGACATTAGGACGAGGATATTGAGAGCGGAATATGAAGTTAAAAAAGAGTCAAAAAAAGGGCGCTATGAGCTAGTGAAAGGTCTTTTGAAAACGTTACCTTTTCTTCTTCTTCAATTCCGAGCTCCTTGTTCCGCGCACGTTTGATGGCAGCATCAGTTGTTTTGATGGCTGCGTCCAAGTCTGCTTCATCTTTGAAACCCATTGTCTTCAGTTGTTCCTATTATATACATCGATGAAAGACACCACGAAGAACGTATCATATTGGCTTCAGTAAATTTACTGTCTGCCCTCCCTTTATGTCTGCAGTTTGATGAGCTTGTTGTTTACCATCCATTCTGCTTTTTTCAGAGAAGAGCGCGAGTTCCTGAGTGTTGTATATTGTTCTAGGTCCTGCTCCCGCTGTATTAACTATAAAAAATGAGAATGCCAGAAATTTGGATCTTAGTATTATAACCTTTCAAAAAAAAAAAAAAAAAAAAAAAAAAAAAGAAAGAGCCTTCCTAATCAAGCCATGAGATCAATGTAATGCTTGCTACTCTATGATAGATAACCTTTTCAAGCCTTGCTTTTGCTGCTTGCTCCTGCAGTCGTCGTCCCTGTTCTTTACGTTTGGCAGCTAGTCGCGCCTGCTCTTCTTCAGATTTTTCCTCAATAACAGGAGCGACAAATGGGAACTGAACTACTCTGTCTTTTGTTTTAAATACTTCTGGGTTTTCGTACGAGGCAAGCTCTTCCATATAATCATGTGCCACATAAGTATGGTTGATCAGAAGAGTCTAGTAAAATTTAAACTCATGTCAGTGATTCTCATTGATTGATTACAATAAAAAGTCGGTGTGGATCGTTGATCCAATATCATTATATCGTACCTCTGATTGAGCAGTATTCATTTTCATGGGGAATGTGGGGTATTTCATCTGCATTAACTTGAGCATAAACTCGCTTGCTGGTACCCCCCCATACGAGATTCTGTGCATCAAGGACGGTGGAACTATTTGATTAACACTATAGCACTATTGAAGCACCGATGGCATTATATACGCTAATATTATATTTACCTCTTAGCATGCTGCAGATGCGCCCGACCATCATATACGGGAATAACATGAGAGTAATGATGACCAACAGACACGGCAATCCCATTTCCAGATCTTTCTGGTCCATTAGCATACATGCTGAAAAGTGAATCAATGCCATATGTCACTGAGTTGACTTGATAGGACTCAAATAACAGCTCTGACATGACTAAAAAAAAAAAAAAAAAAAAAAAAAAAAAAAATTAGAGATATATCACTCTCACAACCCCCAGTTTCCTTTGTGAATCTCAAGGCGGAAATACATACGATTCCGGCTATAGGGCGGCACGCAAACAGGCTCCGTCATGACAACTGGGTGGTCGATTTTTTCGGTATCAATTCCTAGCTTTATAAATACGTAATCCAATACTCCTTCCTAATACCAGAATAAGTATTAGCACATGGAAAAGATAGTCGTTATAAAAATCAAACAGATGAAGTTTAACAACGATGCTTTACCATAATTTCAGGATTGCACATGACTGCTCCATCGAACGCCGTTCGAGCGTTGGATCGGCCCAACACATCTGCATAGATATCGTTCCCGACATAAGTTATAGTTGTATTGTTTTTTCTGTCTCTAAACTTTGAAATCTGATTATCAAAGGCCACTAGAACAATTGTCAATTAATAAAAGCTATAGTCTCCATTAATGTTCTTTTGATCGAACTTTCCTGCCTTTTTTCTTTTTTCTTTTTGAACAAATTAAAAATCTACTCACGCCTTGGTCGTTCCTCTGAAGCCCATCCTGCACGACATTGCCATGACCCTAATGCCGTCAAAATAAGCCAGCCAGCACACGGGCTTTAATAAGGGGTCGTTTATATCTTTATTCCAGAGCTCAATAAATCATCGAAGGCTACATTGCTGACCACTGAATTTTTGAGAACATTGCTTTACCATTGTCGATGACAAGTGCAGTGCCTGTTCCAGCAAAGGAATTATAGTCTGTATAATCAGGCGTGGGGGAGTACTGCTTTTCGGTCTGTATAGGGTACAATAGGACCGTATCCTTATCCTCATCCACGTCCATGTCTGCGCTGGTGTCCTGTCTTGCCATTCTACTAAGACTGTTAGAGGAGAGATGTACGCCAAAACGAGGGACTGAACGATCTGTCCTTGTGAAACAGGGTTCACGTGATATATATTTCGTCATCGAACATACTATTGTAGCTAATCTAACAAATTGGAATGAACGCGTGCGTAGGAGAGTTGGGACGACGCGCAAGCATGAACTTACAGAAGCTTTTATTTTCATTCTTCGCATTACTTTACTAACAGCCAAAGCATTCTACAGAACTATTTTTCAGCTTCAAAGGAAGAGAGCATTAAAATCAGCCAATCGTCGAACATAAACAAACTATTTTAAAATTTCAGCGCAAATTCAATTAGATCGATTCTCTGCTTATAAATCACACTCTTCGTCTGTTTCCCTCTGAAAAAAAGTATCAAACATGGACGAACCAATTCAAAAGATGGAGAAGGACTGCGCGCCTATTGTTGATGCACAAATGCCGGAAATCGACGCAGCTGCCAAGGTACTGCCAGACATCCGTCATTCGCCTTAAAACGTTGTTTAAAAAAGTAATGGTTGTTTGTGCAAAGATATCAGTCTTGCTGTGTGCCTAACTTCCTTTGGGGCCATTGATTTACGGTGAATCAATACTATAGGGAGGCGATTTGACTAAAGCATTGGAGCAACTTTTGGCTCTGGAAAAACAGACTCGCTCTGTAAGTGATTTTTTCTTCATAAAGTGTTCTCAGAACGACGGCTCTATAAGATATTCTTTTGAAGCTGATGAAACCTCTTTTTTATTATACACTATCGATATTCATGACTTAAAATAGGCTGCTGATCTTGCCTCAAGCACCCGCGTGCTGAAGCGTTTTATCCAGCTTACATTTGAGGCACATGACTGGAAGCAGATGCAGGAATATATTGTGCTCCTCTCCAAGAAGCATGGTCAATTGAAACACGCTATCACTAAAATGGTTCAAGAAGCCATGGAATGTCTCGATAAAACCCCTGATATGAAGACTAAACTTGAGCTTATCGACACTCTCAGGACGGTTACAGATGGAAAGGTATTAGTTTTTCTAGTTTGAATGAATGTTTACTGGTATTAATATTTAAAACAATTATACAAATCCGAGTCTAACCACACCTCCTTTAGGTCTATCTTGAAGTGGAACGTGCCCGTGTAACGCGCATTCTAGCAAAGATAAAAGAGAACGAAGGGAACATGGCGGAGGCTGCTGATATCATGCAAGACCTTCAGGTTAGTAAGCTATCCATTCAACGCAACCATGACGTTTATTAATGACAGCAGGATCGTGATTAATCGAGCTAATTCCTCTCTCCTAACCCTTAATCTTCTTTAGGTCGAGACTTTCGGATCAATGGAGAAGCGTGAAAAGACCGACTTTATTTTGGAACAAATGCGCCTTTGTCTTTTGAAGAGGGACTACATCCGTGCCAATATTATTAGCAAAAAGATCAACATCCGATATTTTAAAGATGCAGATGTTCAGGTACAATATAATATACGGAACTTGAGGCTCCTAAATGTCTTCTGGTTTCATCATAAGAAGTTGAACTATATATTTGTTCTTTTGTATATATTAACAAAGTTAAATGCAAACGCCACTTTAGGATCTTAAATTGCGCTTCTATGATCTAATGATTGAATATTCACTTCATGAGAACGAGTATCTGAATGCGTGCAAGCATTATCGTCAAATTTATGATACGCCTTGCATTAAGGAAGACCCAGCCAAAGCCAAGAAAGCGATCGAGAATGCTGTCCTCTTTGTTATCCTTGCCCCATTTGATAACGAACAATCCGATTTGATCCAAAGAGTTTACCTGGAGGCTGAAGAAGTGGAGACAACGGTATACAGGTACTAACAGGAACTATTGCAACACCGATTGGCTTTGTAAATTATTTCCTATTATAATAGCATGTATTCAGAGCTACTATTTCCCCACTGCTTGTATAGGGATTTGCTTAAATGCTTCATTACCGCAGAGCTGATGCGCTGGCCCATGATTGAGCAAATATACGGATCTACTTTGAGACAAAACCCCGTGCTTTCTGGTAGCGATGAGGCATCAAGGAAACGACTAAAGGAACTTCACAATCGCGTGGTGGAGCATGTATGTCCCTGCAATACTTTTTTGGCGTTGGTTTTTATATTATATTGTATTATACATATCATATGCTCTTGGTCCCAACATAACTGATTCCTCATGTTATATTTGTATTTTGATGGATTATAGAATATTCGAGTTATTGCTAAATATTACACACGCATCACAACTAAGCGTTTGACACAGCTACTTGACCTCCCAGACAAGGACTGCGAAGAATTCCTGTCTAAGTTGGTTGTGTCCAAGACCATCTATGCCAAGATTGATCGCCCTGCGGGTATAGTGTCGTTTGCAAAGACTAAGCATCCTAATGAGGTCCTGAACGAGTGGTCCCAGAACATCAACTCTTTGTTGGGTCTAATCGAAAAGACATGCCACTTGATTACAAAGGAGGAGATCATTCACAGCATTACCAAGGTTATCTAGAAAGTTGTGATGTTCAATTTGGCAGAAAATGACTTGAACAATAAAGTATGAGTTTGAATTTTTATAAATCCTACAAAACATCATCATCAAGTTGCTTGAATCTTTTAAACGAAAAATGGTGATCCTAAAAATGCCTTTGGCTTAGACATGCTGTATATGCCCATGTTACTTGAAAAAGTTCGAGACCGACCACCCAAAATACCCATTTAAAATGTAGGATGAATATAGATGAGGTGAGTTGTGCTTCCAAATGAGAGCGCAACCAGCACGAAATAGCTATGTGACAGGGTACTTGACATCTAACCAGGTAAGTCTCTTGGACTTTCGCCGAATGTCGAAGCCAAAAGGGCGACCACCGATAAGCTAGTTTGGATGAGAATACATGATAAGCACAATTGGAATGGTATTTCGTTCCTTGTATCCAGGCTCAAAATGTATATCATCATTAACATCCTCACTCCTCCTTCCATTCCTTTCATTTTGCCTTCACCATCCACATATCCCCCCGTACCCACTGTGATCGCTTTATCAGACATGCCATACTCACAGAAAACCATAAAACTCTACTTGCCACTATTAGCTCTGATCCTAACAACTTGCTTTGATCCTCAAAAAACACATTCGTTTGCTATTGCCTCAACTGGCTCGCCGCCACTGCTGCGATTACAGCAGACGCAAAACGCCCATTTAGATATCGAGCAATCTAAAACCATCAACGTCAATATCAATGTCACTCACATCGATATTAACTCTAGGATCAAGAGCCATCAGCTGGCGACGAAATTAAAAAAACGCGTGGCTGACAAACGCAAGAAAAAGAAAAAGAAAAAGACCAAGCATACCATAGGTCCTATTCTTGTCCAACAAAGCCTCTTCTGTCAACCTTCCTATGATCCACAAAGTTTACCTGGTTTTTCCCTACAGCCTTTCAGTACTCCTTGGCGTCACCAAATGATATACTCTCTTACATGGGAGACCAGTCCAGAGTTCTTGAATCAAATCGTTGCTGCTCAACGGGGTTTATTTACTCAAACAAAGAGTAAAGAGAAGACATTGGTTGAGGATACCGGTATTAAGCATATCCAAAAAGATGCTTGTGCCAACTTCAGTAAGGACAACATTAGTATACTATGGGAGACGCTGACAATGGACTTTCATCTTGTTCCCTTCGATCCTATCAAATCCGATGAACTTTTACTGAGTCGAGTGCCTATCAGTTCAGGGAAAGTTGAATTCAAGGTTCGCATAGACATTCCACCTGAGTGGTATCGCCTTCAGATCCGATTCTGGAACGAGCAACTTGAACCTCTTTATCACCGCTCTCATTTATGGACTGTTATTAAAGACAGTCTATGGAGTCTTGCATCTAGCTATGTTGGTTACAATCGAACGAGTTCTAACAAACAGATAAACACCAGTATTAATGATGTCCTTGCGCCACGGCAGGTCGGTACATGGCGTGGGGAGGAAGCTATTGAGGTTACATCACTCAGTCCAGAAATGAAAGAATGGGACGAGTTTATCCAAACCGTTAGTCATGAAGTTCAAGAAGAAAAATGGAGCATAAAAGAGTTTATCCCCTCAACATCAAATACCACTACAGATGAATCTATACAGCAAGAACATCAACAGCAGCAGCAGCGACAGAAGCAGCAACAGCAGCGGCTAGAGGAGCACCGGAGCAAGGAGGAGTTTCGTATATCCAAATTAGTAAATAACCCTCCGCCTTCTCCGTGGTGCAGTTGGATAAATATGTTTGCACCCAAGCCATCATCTATAACACCACCCGCATCACTCCCACTTGAGTTTCAGCGCTCTCAGTTTTCGCAAGAGTCTTTTCGCTTTAAAGATACTATGAACGTTATAGCAAGTCGTGATAGCTATCCTGACTTTCAGGAGGATGAGATCCAAGAGATGGAAGAGGAAACAGAAGAAGCAAAGAAACAAGGGTTGGCGGTGCCACAAATATCTATCATAGACACAGCAACAAAGGCAGAGGTTGAAACTTTATTGGAGATTTGGGGCAAGACATCGGAAATGATTGATGATGACAGTTTGGAACAAAATGAAGAGTATGGGTCGGTTCAAGCAGGGCACCCTGATCTACATATTCTGATCGAAAATGGAAAAGAGGCTGCCCTGCCAAACTCGTACACGTCTTGGCGTGCCAATCGAGATAGGATAGTGAGTTGGAAGGTATCTAGGAAGTTGATACACGACCGTGTTCTGTTTACTGTCGAGTTGGTCAAGGCACCCAAGCTATCTTTATCTTCATCTTTGACTGGATTTAAAAAATTTTCAACTAGAGCAGAGATGATCCAACAATCCTTACAACAGCCTCGTACTGCTGTTCTAACAGATCATGTTCCATCCACTTGGGGCGCAATCATTGTGCGGATGCCTACATGGGTTCTATCAGGGCCTTATCAGATTCGCTTGCAGGGTTTGAACAGGGAAGGGATAAAGTGGGCTGATGTGAGCCAACCTTTTGCTGTGCAATCGGATCCATTTCTGTACGCATGATTCTCTCTGGTCCGAGATAATATTACACAATGGCCTTAACTGTCACAACAGGTTGGAGGGAGAAAAAAAAAAAAAAAAAAGCAAACATGTAGAAATTTATATAAATGGATGTCCGATTCAAGAAATGGAGTGGGTATGAGTGGCTTGACGTAAAATAGGCTCATATTTCGCTGACATGGATCTGCCTAAAGAGGAAGTCGGCTAAATGTCATTTCGCTTTGCAGGTCTATAACACCGGATCGGGTTTCACGTTAGTCAAGCAGTTCAGTCCTTACCCCACTCTATGAAAAAGATGACATTGGATTACTTTAAAAATTTGCTTGTGGAAACTTATAAATAATTGACCACCAATTCCTATTTCATCAGACCATAAAGAAAAGACTCTCTATTTGACCCTTTTACGAACATCAAACAATCTTAGACACAAGGCACCCATTTTCCAATACGAAAGAAAAACGAAAACGACAAAAAGCCAAAGCAACAATCGAACGAAAGAAGGCAAAGCAAAAAAAAAAAAGAGAGAATAGCTGCAAGGAGGGCTAATATATCATAAATCATTTTCAATCAAACAACTGCGACAATGAACGTTGTTGAAATAATCCCCACCTCTACAATCCCATCCTCTGTGTCACAACTTCCAATTCTATCAAATGCTGTGGAAAAAAAGCATATAAGCTTGGACCTTAATGCTGGTATAAAGGATATCGAGGACACCATTAGCAACAATAATAACAATAGCAGACGATCAAGTGGCTCAGGGTCACTTTTATCCTCTTCATCTTCATCATGTCGTGGTGATTGTGAGTCCTGTCAGTCCAAGAAGGCAGCGGAGGCGGAGGTTGCAGCTGCGGCGTATTCTGATCAAGAATCTATTAGGACTGTTGAGGTGAATTGCTCTCCGCGTCGGTTGCGGGCGAAGCAACAAGGGCCCTAGACTGGAGTTACTTTAGAAACATTTATCTGTACACAAGTAATACGTGAATCTTCAAAAATAAAATCTTTTACAATTTTCCTATATTTTTCATATCAACTTGAAGATACAACAGCAGCCTGACCTGTAGGCTAACACTATAAATGCGAAAGAACCTTCTTTCGATAAAGTCTTCAGTTTTCGCCCACATTCATCTTGCCGTTCATCTTTATTTTCGTCTTCTTCACAGCAAGTTTTTGACTCGGTTTGTGAGCTCACCTAGGAAGCACCCGGCTTTGCTTTTGGCATCCTATAGTGCTATTTGTCGTCAAGGTTATTTGCCTCTATTTTTTTTTATTATTCTTGGCGACATTTTTTGTCCTGTCCTCCCCTGATTTTGTGTCTACCTTTTTGCCGCTTAAACAAAGACACACCTACTATTTAGACTTGTCATAGACTTGCCACCAGTCTGAGGTCGAAGCCACGTGCAGCGAATGAACGTGCTGCAAGGCGGAATTGCCTATTGAGGCAATTTGTGGCCGCTCTCGCCGAAGCTTCTTGGACTCAAAAAGTGTCCACCAAGAATAACAAAAAAAAATAGAGGCAAATAACCTTGACGACAAATAGCACTATAGGATGCCAAAAGAAAAGCCGGGTGCTTCCTAGGTGAGCTCACAAACCGAGTCAAAAACTTGTTGTGAAGAAGACGAAAATAAAGATGAACGGCAAGATGAAATGTGGGCGAAAACTGAAGACTTTATCGAAAGAAGGTTCTTTCGCATTTATAGTGTTAGCCTACGGGTCAGGCTGTGGTGGTTTCTAGGCGAGGCCTCAAGAGACTGACTCGCCTATGGCTACTAAAAGGCTTTCCACAAAGGATCCTCCTAACTGTGGATGGAATGTAGGCTCGTCATGTGCACATGCACGTGCTAAAAGGCAAATGTGGCTTGCTCTTGCAGACACTTCTCTCTCAGCCTGGGACCAAACTTGACATTTTGGCTAAGTCGAACACACCGCTCTTTTTTTTTTTTTTTTTTTTTTGTCATTTACACCACAGGGAATAGCTTTTTTTTTTCTTTTTTATTTACTTCTTTTAATTTTTCTATATTTTTTTAAAGGTGAGAATGATGAGAGGTAAATTTCGTAGTGATAATCGGATGAATAAATGAGAGCAAGAAAAACAGTAGCATGCTTCACGTAAGTCATTTTCCTGTGATCTGTAGGACTTTGCTTGAAAAAAAAAAATGACCTAGAAAAAAAAAAGAGCCTTTCCTAGCGGTGTGTTCGAGATCTCCGGCAAAATGTCAAGTCTGGTCCCAGGCTGAGAGAGAAGTGTCTGCAAGAGCAAGCCACATTTGCCTTTTAGCACGTGCATGTGCACATGACGAGCCTACATTCCATCCACAGTTAGGAGGATCCTTTGTGGAAAGCCTTTTAGTAGCCATAGGCGAGTCAGTCTCTTGAGAACCTACTACAGGCTTTAAAAAAAAAAAAAAAAAATATGGAGCACGAAAAAGATGGAGTACGAAAAAGACTGTAAGCTGCGGAAAGGGAAGGAAAATCAACATTAAACTTTGGTGGTTCGAGCAAGGTTAATCTCAATGATCAATGAGATGCTCTTGTTAACCAAACAAATGACGACTCAATGGGTCGTGGCTCTTATTTGACTGATTATTGGCTAAAATCCGTTCTACAATATTGCAAGTCCTGGTGCTTTTATACTTTTTTTCTTCTTTACAAAGTCGCATGAGGTACATGTACCGGAGATAGGGAACTGATGGAATTCCTTGCAGCTACTTTAAGACTGTATTTTAGACATGTCGCTGTTGTTGAATCTATAGATAACTTGTTGACAGTAGGCCAATATATACATGTATTTCATTTAATGTTCAACTTAGTCATACTCTGATACTGATGATCTCCAACTATCTGCATTGGAACCAAGAGAGAGAGAGAGATAGAGAGACAAACGGAAGAAAAGGGTTCAAACATAAGTCTACGTATATTTATGAGTATTATAAAATTAAGAGAGGCCATGTGTTTAGATGGGATACGTTAGTCCAAATGGGAAAAAAGAGTAATCAGGTGTTTCAGACACAGCATGACAGGGAATGCACAAAAATGTCTTGTGCCTGAACAGATCTTTTACCTTTTTCAGACAAACAGGAAGACTTGCTTTCCCTCTTTTGGGTGCCAGAGCTTGGTAAAAATGACAGAAACATCCAAAGATGTCCTAGATGTCCTGCTGTATTTTTTTTTTTCAGTCTAGTCTCGCCTCTTCCTCTCCAAGGCATTCTAGACACTTAGCATGCAACTCAATAATTATTTTTAAAAAAAAAAAAAAAAAAAAAAAAAAAGAGCATTTTCTCTCAAGTTTTTATTATACAGTGGAATCTCGATAATTGTACACTTTTGTACAAATTTCAAATTTGATATATTTCTAGGCCATTGGTTGGCTAAGAGCCTTACTCTTTTAAAAAAAAGTATTCTAAAAAACCCACACTCAACTGGAGTAGGGGAATCAGCAGAGGATTTTTAGAATAGTTTTTCATGAATTGTGGGCTTCTTAGCCAATCAATAACCGAGAAATATAGCAAATTCGAAAATTGTACAAAAGTGTACAATTATCGAGATTCCACTGTACAGCGTGTACATGTATTCGGTATATATACTCAATGACTTAATGGCATACAGTTCTTCTACTGCACTGCAGAGTATTTATTAGGTTTTATATTATAAAAGATATATGTATGATCTTTAATCATGAGTATAATAGCGCAAATTATCCTTTTTACCAAGGAAAGCCGCCTGTGTTACAGCGCATCACAAAGAACAAGAACGAGGACAAGAACAAGAGAGAGCATGGAGATGTTTTGATAGGTAAAAAGTAGGGTACTGCATTCTTGTTCTAGATGAATACAAAAACCTGTTGAGCATGAGCATTGAGGCATTTATTTTACTTTATTTTTTTCTTGTGTCATTCTTTGAATTGATGCTGATTTTTGCATTTGCATTTGCGCATTTTTTTTTGTTACCCCAAATGATGACAAAATGGATAAAAAGATCATCGTCACTAAGGAACAGTAAACAACAATAGACAGGAGATGCATGTCCCCAGTTGTTCTCCCCACACTCACACGACATCTTTTTTTTCTTTTTTTTTTTTGTATGCAACTAAATCGATCTCAAAAACTTTTGAGGTCTCTCTGTGACCTTTCATTCTTTATCAGTCCTTGAGATCTGTATTATATACTTTTTATTTATTTTATTGATCTTCACGACATCTCAGAAAAAAAAAAAAATAGGCACGCGACACTGCAGATCAGAAAAAAAAAAAAAAAAAAAGAAAGAGGGAAAGATAGAGAGATCGAAATAAAAGAATGAGAAGAATCAATGAGAAGAAAGAGATTCTGCAAGGGAGCAAAACGCGGCAAATGAACGATTTTTTTTTTGTGTCCGAAATTATCTCGGCTTTCATTTTACCCAGGAAAAAGAAGAAAAGAAAGTAAACAAAGCAAAACCTACCCAGACTTTTGGGCGTGGGATTCCTTATTTTCCTTGGTAAGATCTTAATCTTCATGATCAATTCTACAAACAGAAAAAAAAAAAGGCCTCAAACCACGTTTTTTTTTTTTTTTTTTTTTTTTTTATAAATAATCCACGTTATATATATATATTATTTAGTCAATAAAAAAAAAAAAGAAAGAAAAATCCGATCTGTCCTTTGGCTTCGCCGGGCCTGTGGAGAAAAGATGAACGAGTCCTTTTTTCTAATGCAGATGAGTTCGTTAAAAGATTGACACCCTTGCGCACCTCCCATATCTTTCGCATCTTTGCACCATTTGTATCTGCCTATTCATTTCTTGCCTGCAACATGGATTGAATGAATGTGTGTCTGTGTCTGCGGAAAAGTTCTTAATTGTTTACAACGCAACGGCGAAAAAAAAAAAAAAGTTTTTTAAATGAAAAATAACTCAAATGGGTGAATTGTACCCTGATAGGGCAAGATCGACATCCAAAAAGCCGTTTGCTGATTTTTCCGATTTTGTCGGGGCTTGAAGTCAAATAGTGTACGACAGGATGTGTATCTCATTCAAAAAGATATAGTTAATATATCCAGTCTATTTAGAAAACTTTCTGCAACCTGGGTAATTCTCTAAAACTCTCGTTCGATACGATAGGATTCACTTTTGACTGGAAGTAAAACGATGTCCTATAACTTTCTACAAGTTTATTGCGGTTTTGCTTCTCATCTTTATTTCACGAATGTGGGCTAAGAAAGAGATTCGGACCTGTCAAAAAATAAGATAAAAAAAGTTAAAAATATGTAATAGGAAGAGGTTTCTTAATTTTAATTAGTATGAGTGGGACCTGACCTATCAGTTAACAGGGTATATTTTATAAATGTATTCCCTATTCAGTATTCCAACTTTCGCACGCTCTCCTTCTCCTACATAAACTAATCGCAGTCTGCAGTAAGCAGTACGGCAGAAATTTACAAATGAATGAGTAAATGCCTTGGGTGACGTACAGAGAATCTAGGGCGCGGGTCCTGCAACTCTAGGTTCAAGGCAAAGTGTGAGAAAAGAGCAAAAAAGAGAGATAAAAAATAAAGTGATAGAGGGTAATGATGCAGGTGGAAGCTATAGAGCGTGAGAGCCATGCGGGGGAGATGAAAAAAAAAAAATAGCGCACACAAGACAATGCAGTTGATGTCGTGATACCATGTTGTTGATGTGAGATTGACATGGTCGATGTGCGTGCGCAAGCGACCATCTCGTTAATTCTCTGTAGTTTTTCTTTCCACTTTGCGAAACAATTCCTTCCTTCTGGGCCATGGAACAACTTGCGGAGGGCCGAAATATTTTCGCACTGGTTGGACAAGCGAATCTGGGCCAATCAACGATGTTACCCAAAAAAAAAAAAAAAAAAAAAAAAAAAAAACGCAATATCAACGAATGAACAGAGATTTACGACTAACCGACCAACCTATCCTTCTAAGGCATGGCAAGGATGATTCGAATCTGAATGAACGAACTTGACGAAAAGTTTGGAGAAAGCGAATAAAGGGTAACACATGGAATCAAGTAATCCAATTTTAGTTCATGAACCATAACACATACTATGACGGAGAATATGATGACCATGTGTCATTGTGTACAATAGGCAAAGCATCCATGTTAAAGAAATATGCCGATTGCAAATAAAAAGGCAGACTAGCCGGTCTGCCTTCATGTGGAGAAGTATGACAATGACACTGACAATGACATTAAGAACCAAAGGAAAAACTAACTTTGCCCTGTTTTTCCTTTTTTTTTTTTTTTTTTTTTTTTTGCCACGAAACGATCCACGAAACGATCCATGGACAACCCGAACAATCGTAACTATAGTAACCGTAAGACAATAAGAAATGATAGGAGAGATCGCACGCAATCCTCCGTCTTTTGCATCTATAATATATACATATATATATATATACTATAGACCTTACGGCTCCTTGTAAATAATAAAATAATATCCATCTTTAAAAAAATAAAAGAGCATGCTCTTTTAAAATGGGGTAAATAGGCTATGGTTTATAAGATGTGATTTTTATTAACTGAGATGTGATGCATTATCTGAACCTCCTTTCCTGTCTTCTCCCCTCATTCTTTTCTGGCTTTATTCAAGGCTTTGTCCCTTTACTCCACCCTTGATCTGAGGGGAGAGGTGATTGCGATGTTGGTGCAAGAGCAGACTTAATTGCGGAAGAGGATTACGATGTATTAATACTTCCCCACACACAAATATTGACAACAAACAAAAAAAAAAGGATAAATATATATTTTTGTGAAATAAAAGGACCTTTTTGTCAAGAGCAAAGCTAAGGTATAAGCGTTTTCAATCCAGTGGTTTGCAACATTGCGCACAACCAGCACTTATAAAGCAAGAGCAAGAGCAAGAAGAGCAAATAAGCAAATAAGCAGATAGAGCAAGAAAAGTAGTAAAATAAAGACGGAAATTTAAACCTGTATATATTTTTCCATGGGTGATAATGATAGAGGATGATGGTTAGATGGGTTACGGTAATGAATAGATTAGAGCAGAATAGATTAGGGTGGTTATTAGATTGAATAGATGTATAATAATTCTCTTTACATGTACTAAATTAAGCCAGTAAAGATACATGTCTCACAGGGACTTGAACGTAAGACTTTTTAACTGTAACTGTTATTGTGCTCCTCGTTTTCTCTCCCCTCTTGCTCTCACTCAATAAAGAACCCTCAAAAAAATTTTTTTTTTTGGGTGCCTAAAAATCGATCGTTCCTTCTCAGTTTTCCATTGCCAATCTGCCCAATGCCAATGCTTATAGCAGTTTAGATGTGGATTTTATCCCACCAATTCAAACTATCCTAAGAAGCTGTCCAAACTATCCCAGCTAAATCAAATTCTACCGAACTATTATCCAAACTATTCCATAATAATAAAATAATAAAATAATAAGAGTAAAAGTATAAAAACGGCCGTTCTGTATTCATTCCTATTCAATACTCTAAATACTTTATACCATATCTCCCTCTCTCAGACTAAACCAGTTTCTGACATCTCCATCATAGCTCATTCGCCCGCCCCTCATTTTTTAAATTTTTTTTTGGTTTACAGTCAGTCATTTAGACTACGAACACATCCACTTTATTTTTTTAACACAGTTCACATCGCCTTTTTGTCCCCCCACCTCTCCTCTCATTTTACCCATTCTCTCCTCTCTATTCTCCCTTTTTCCGCCTCGTGTGCCCCTTTGTCCGTTGTTTATATTGTCTCATACTCAGAAAAGTAAGTTTTATAAAAAAAAATAGCGCAATCCAAAAAAAAAAAAAAAAAAAAAAACGGCATATATAAATAAATAAAAAGCACTCGACGAGCGACTTTTTTGTCGCCTTTAATTCTTAACTGCTTTTCGTCTTCTTGTCTTTTTTTCTTCTTCTTTATCTTCTTCCCGATTCCCTTTTTCCCTTCCCTTCTCTCTCCCCCCTTCCCCTTCTCTCCTCCCTCCTCACATTTCTCCTCACATCCTGTAAGTGTTTTCTTTATTATTGTATGCTCATATTCCCTTCACAACACAATCCTCAACAACATTCATACACAACTTCTTTGATAATTGTTTGCTCTGTCTTTGCTTACATTGCATCAATCGCTGCACTCTCTACACCTTCATACTTGCATTTCATTTGCTCATTATTCTCCTGATCAACGCTTATCTCACTTTTTTTTTTTTTCTTTTTTTTTTTTTTCCCTCCATTATTATATCAACTTTTACTTTTTTCCTTCTCTTTGCTAAGGCTTCTGGGCTATATAGCAAGAAAAGAAAAGAAAAGCAAATAATTAATAACATTAGTCGCTCCTATTTCTTTTTTCCGTCCCCTCCCTCCCCCTTTCTCTTTTTGACCAAATTCTTCACTGCTGTCAAAAGACAATAGTGTACAAATGTTAGATTGAAAAAGAATTAAATAATATTCTAACATTGTGTACTAATTGGCAGTTTTCTTTTCTTTCCTCTATCACGATAAAAGTCGCAACAATAAGATACCTCTCTAGCTCATAAAGACATCATGAGCGAGAAGCAAGAGATTGAGCAGCAACATCAGTTGCCGCATTCAGGGTCCAGCCATGCTGGCAAGGACGAAAAGGGCCAGGCTGAATTTGAGGAGCAGGTCCACCACGAGCACGTCGAGGAAATCTCCCCTGAGCTCGAGGCCCTCCTCCAGACCGACCCTTTGACCGGTTTGACTGACGATGAGGTTCTTCGTCGTCGTGAGACCTTTGGTCCTAATGAATTGATTGAGAAGAAGCGCCATCCTTTCCTCAAGTTCTTGAGTTACTTTACTGGTGCTATTGCTTATTTGATTGAATTGGCTTGTATCTGTGCTGCTGCTGTTGGGGTAAGGTCTTTTTTTTCTTAAATTTTTTTTTTTTTTTTTGCACAACGTGAGAGGCGTCCATCAAATCCAGCCTGCTCCAGTGGTCGCACGATGACTGGTCTAAAAATACGCATCCAATCTTCCCCTTCTCTCTATCATCTCTCTAATCTTTTCCTTTTTTAAAAATACCTTATTCACATGTATAATAGGACTGGGCTGATTTCGGTATTATTCTTGCCCTTTTGTTCATTAATGCTATCATTGGTTTCGTGGAGGAGTCCAAGGCCGAGTCGGCTTTGGATGCTCTCAAGCAGACTTTGGCTTTGAAGACTCGCTGCTGGCGTAACGGACACTTGGTTGAGCTCGACACCGCCGAGCTTGTCCCTGGTGATGTGATTGTTCTTCGTCTTGGTGACATTATTCCCGCTGATGGTCGTCTTCTCGGTATTGGTGCTACTGGTGAGGCCACTGAGGGTGATTTGATGGTTGATCAGTCTGCTCTGACTGGAGAGTCTTTGCCCTTGGCCAAGAACAAGGGTGCAACTGTCTACTCTTCTTCCATCGTCAAGCAGGGTCAACAGATGGCTGTCGTCACCAAGACTGGTGGTGATACCTTCATTGGTCGTGCTGCTGGTCTCATGGCTGTTGCTCAGGAGGAGGGTCACTTCCAAAAGATCATCAATCGCATTGGTAACTTCTTGATTCTCATCACCGTCGTCCTGGTCCTTATCATCATGATCTTCCTCTTGGTCAAGAACAAGGGCACTGAGAAGGGTGAGTTCAAGCACGTTCTCGAGCAGGTTCTCGTCCTCACCATCGCTGCCATCCCTGTCGGTCTCCCCACTGTCATGTCTGTCACCATGGCCATGGGTGCCAAGGAACTCGCCCTTCGTAAGGTCATCGTCAAGCGTCTCACAGCTGTTGAGGAAATGGCCTCTGTCTCTGTTCTCTGCTCTGACAAGACCGGAACCTTGACCTTGAACGAGTTGACTTTTGATGAGCCCTACTTGACCAACAACTACACTTCTGGTGATATTCTCTTGTACTCCTACCTTGCTGCTGAACCCGGTGCCAACGACCCAATTGAGTTTGCTGTCCGTACTGCTGCCGAAGAACAACTCGAGATCCTCAAGAACCGTGTCCACAAGCACGAGGTCCCCGGATATAAGGTCACTTCTTTCTTGCCCTTCAACCCTTCAACCAAGATGACCCAGGCCACTGTCATGGACTTGAACACTCAGCAATCTTTCAAGGTCGCCAAGGGTGCACCCCAGGTGATCATCCGTCTCGTCGGTGGTGATAATGATGCTGTCCGTGCTGTGAACTCCCTTGCTAAGCGTGGTCTTCGTGCCCTCGGTGTTGCCCGTACCAAGCCCGGTTCCCTGGAGGAATACGAGTTGGTCGGTATGATTTCATTGATTGATCCCCCTCGCCCTGACTCTGCTGAGACCATTCGTCGCTGCAACCATATGGGTGTTGATGTCAAGATGATTACTGGTGATCAACAGATCATTGCCAAGGAGGTCGCTCACCGTCTCGGCATGGGTCGTGTTATCTTGGATGCTGGTCACTTGGTCGATGCTAACAAGTCTGAAGATGAGATCACTGAGCACTGTATCCGCGCTGATGGTTTCGCCCAGGTCATTCCCGAGCACAAGTACCGTGTTGTTGAATTGCTCCAGAACCGTGGTATCCTCGTTGGTATGACTGGTGATGGTGTTAACGATGCTCCTGCTCTCAAGAAGGCCAACGTCGGTATTGCTGTCCATGGATGCACAGATGCTGCTCGCTCTGCTGCTGATATTGTGCTCTTGGCTCCTGGTTTGTCGACCATTGTCGATGGTTTGATGACTTCCCGTGCTATCTTCCAGCGTATGCGTTCCTATGCTCTCTACCGTATCACCTCGACTGTCCACTTCTTGATTTTCTTCTTCTGCATCACCCTGGCTCACCAATGGACCATGGAGCCCATCTTGTTGATTTTGATCTGTATCTTGAACGATGCTGCCACTTTGGTCATCGCTGTTGATAACGCAAAGATTTCTGCTCACCCTGACAAGTGGAGAATCGGTCAGCTCATCTTCTTGTCTGTCGTCCTTGGTGTTCTCTTGACTGGCCTCTCCTTCGCCCACTTCTACATTGCCGAGCAGGTCTTCAAAGTCCACCCCGATCAATTGGAGGCCATCATGTACCTGCACATCTCTTCCGCTCCTCACTTCGTCATCTTCTCCACCCGTCTCTCTGGCTACTTCTGGGAGAACATGCCCTCGCCTATCTTCTTCATCGCCGTCATGGGTACTCAGGTCTTTGCCATGTTGATCTGTGTCTATGGTGTCATTGTCAAGGAGGCCATCGGTTGGGGCTGGGGCTGCGCTGTTCTTGGTATCTCCTTGGTCTACTTCATTCTCCTCGACTTTGTCAAGGTCTACATCTTCAAGAACTGGAGTTTCGAGTTCACTGCCCATGCCTGGCCCACCAAGGCTGCCAAGGAGAAGTTGGCCGCCCGTAAGGTCCGTGTCGTTCAGCAGGAGCGTGTCTGGAAGTCGATTGACAATGTTCGTCAAGTCGGTCTTAAGATCAAGGCTATTGAGGCTTTGAAGGCATAAATAATCCATCTCCCCCCTCCATCCATTTGCAGAATGATAAAAAACCAAATATAAAGCTGTATCTTTTCACATATATCTTAGTACATTCAAGAACCTGAAAATAAAATATAATAGTAATAATACGTATTTCTTAAAAAAAAAAAAAAGGGAAATTGTATGATTTATTGAATACATATACAGGTGATGTATATAATTGATACATATTCGATGAACATCCCTTGTACTTTTTTTTTTAAAAAAAATAATAAACTAAGATGTTATGAGCAAAAAAGAGGAGCATAGGACGCTTGTCATCTGTGGTACGTTCTTGCGTTGGAAGGGGGGAGGAGGAGGAGGAGGGATGTGGATTATTAGAGAACCAAGCAAGACCTCCTGCCACCGGGACGACCAGTCTTGGGCTTGGCCAGCAGTGAAGCCCTAGTAGCACTCTCAAAGACCTCACGAACACCCTCTCCTGTCTTGGCAGAGCACTCAAGGTAATCCCTAGCCTTGATGTGGCGTGCAACCTCCAAGCCCTAAAAGAAAAGATCATGAATAAAGGAGTATTAGTCCATTCAGTAAAGTTGTGTAAAAACACAGGATTGAACCCAATTTCTCAAGCAATTGAGAGAAACAAAAAAGAAAAAAAGTCATAAAAATGACAATTAGCTTACGCGCTCAGGCGAGACTGGTGCCTGGTTGATCTTGCCGAGTTCCTGAATAGTAGTACGATCAAAACGAAGATCCTTTTTGCAACCAACCAAAATAACAGGCAATCCTCCGCAGAAGTGTTGAACCTCAGAGTTCCACTATGTAGATTTTAATAAAGCAAAATGGTTTCAAAAATGATTGCTGGTTAGATCTTTTAACGGTCACTTTGTAAGTCCTAAACGCTTACCTTTTCCTGAACGTTCTCCAAAGAGTCGGGTGAGTCGATCGCGAAGCAAATAAGAATCACATGTGAGTCGGGATAGGACAAGGGACGGAGACGGTCGTAATCCTCTTGGCCTATTTTTTTTTTTTACAAGTAGTGTGACGGGTGAGACAAAAATGAAGGTGGATCCATTCCTACAACAGACTGTGGTGATTCTAACGTACCAGCTGTATCCCAAAGAGCCAACTCGACGTGCTTGCCATCAACCTCAACATCTGTGACATAGTTCTCAAACACCGTGGGGACATAGATCTAATGATGGACAAAGCATTCGAATATTAGTTTCTTTTTTTTTTTTTTTTTTTTTTTTTTGTATTACGAATTCATGGGGTATTTTAGAATACAACAACGACAAAGGCCTGTCTGCAATGTTGGAAAAAGAGGGATGTGACAGATATCCAGGAGAGACAGAAGAGCACTTTTGGGGGCTGAAGTTTCCATATTGTTCCAATAAAAGACGCAGGGTTGGCGTCCATTGTTTCCCCATATTTGTCATTGTCCAGATTATGTTCCTCTGTACGGCGTCATGGCTGTTGCAATGTGCTCAAGCGTGTGTTCTTGTGAATGTGTCTGCCACAACTGATGCTAAATTACAAAAAAAAAAAAAAAAAAAAAAAACGTATTTTTTCGAACTCACCTCGGGGAATGTACCCTTAGAAAAGACGATGAGCAAACAAGTCTTGCCACAGGCACCGTCACCAACGATGACGAGCTTTCTGCGAATTTCAGTCATGATTGTTGTGATAGTAAGTTCTTGAGGAGGTCTGTTATGAAGTAATAAGGCAACACAAGAGATAAAGAAGATGAGGTGTGAGTGAGAGTGGGTGGTAAAGAAAAAGAGAAAAAAAGGAGAAGGTCAAAGGAAAGATACGAAAAGTAGTTGCAGTGGACCCGAATAAAAAAAAGTCAAGAAAGGATCAACGCTTTTTTTGGTGTTTTGGAACACGAAGGGCTTTTTTTTTTTTTTTTTTTTTTCAATATATCTCTTCGGCTGTAGAAAAGATACCCAAGTACGTTAATGAATATTAATGATATGGCGGAGCCAGAAAAAACAAATATTAAAAAAAAAGTCGTCGACTCCTACACCACCTTGTGAGTGTGAGAATGGATGAGTAAATGTGGGAATGTGGGATTGTGAATGTGAAATTGAAGCGTATTCCATGGGTCATGGGGGAAAGAACAAGGTTTTGTCTGGGGTCATCGCCACAGAGTCGACTCGACTTCAACAAAGCACAAGGGTGGGGGTGGCAGAGAGGGTAAAGTGTGCCGAGCAGCAATAAAAATGAGCGTGGCGGTGCAAGGATTATCAAGTTGGCCGAGAACATTGTTGAGAACATGACTGGTCATGACCGCAGCAGCATTAGCAGCAAAGAATAAAATAACAAAATAGCAGATAGACAGCATTGTATGGCTGTGCTTGCATGACCAGAGAAGAAGGGCAAGGAGGAAGAGAGAAAAAAAAAAAAAAAAAAAAAAAAAAAAAAGGCAAAAACAATGGCTAAACGTAATGGCGAAGACGAAAGACAAAGGCAAAGGCAATGCATTCTATACAATGTTTTACTTACTTGAAAGGAGAAAAAGTGTAAGTAAAAGAGGATTCGAAGAAGCAGCGTGGTTACGGGATGAGAAAAAGGAGGGCTGGATAAGAAAGAAAGAAAAGAAGAAAGAAGAGGAAAAGAAAAGAGAATGAAAGAATGGGTGAATGAATGAATGAAAAGTGAAAAGTGAAAGGTGAAAAGGAGAGTAGAAAAGGAGAAGAGGAAGTTTTAATTCATTAATCATTATCATTGTTATATGTTACTATTATTATTATTTTAATTATTAAACAAAACACATAAAAAGCATAAATAGAAACATGATTGAGCTGCCATCGTGCATACACAATTCATATATACAAACATTTGGCATACTGCACACATTCGTTCATACAAAAGGAGAGCGTGACATCTGTCAATGTCAGAGAATGTCATGGTAACTGTCATGACAATTGTCATGCTCTGCCGCCTTTTTCCTTTTCTTTTCTTCTCTATTCCTACTTTCTTTCAGTCCTCCATTGACAACACTTTATGTTTTATATACTCGTTTCTATATCTCTTTCAGCAAATAGAGCAAGCAGAGAGTATGTGAGATGAGAAAGTGAGAAGTGAGTTTAAATAATAATAATAATAATAATAATAATAATAATAATAATAAGTAGAAAACGTGGCAATTGAGGCAATTGAGGCAATTAAGGCATATCTAACACTATTTCCGACCTTAGTTTGAGAGATTCATGGTCCAAGTAGCAAGCAAAAGAAACAAAATCTCCTGTCCTGCAGTTGCGCAATATGTTCATGTAGTAAGTCAATGGTACACTAGACGTTTCCCCAAGCCAAACGTTGGAGGAAGGAGCAGATAGCATATTGAAAGGATTGTGTTGCAATTGGGAGCAATTGTTTGTCTTTCTCCTTCTCTGTAAAACTCATCTTTCCCCAGCCTTTTTTTTCTGTGATGAAGGCCAATAAGATTCATTTTTGCACATAAAATATATTACACAGAGTTTGTATTCATTTATTCATTGATTACCGCTTCTGTCTCTTTTTTGCTTTTTTTTTTTTTTGTCTCGCGCTCTCTCTGTCCGTCTTGTCTTTTATATTCTTCCAATCTTACTCTCTCAGCCACTCCATCTTTTTTTTCCTTTTCCTTGTGCATGAACGGTGTGTTAGTGTGAGTGACATTGGAAAACTATGATGATCTCTTGTATTCTTTACAATCAACACTTGCTTGGAATCGTGTGCCTGGATGGGGAAATTAAATAGATGAATGAATGAATAAATGAATGGTCGATTGACTGCTTGTATTTTTTTTTTTTTTTTTCATTTCTGTGGCTCACTATCCTTGCCTGTCTGTCACCCATCACTTATCCATCTCTTCTTTTGCTCTCTCCTCTCTCTCTTTCTCTCCTTTTTTTTTTTTTTATCATTTTTATCTATTACTTTCTTGCTCACTCTCATGATAACAAAAACCTTTATGCTTTAGCCTATCAATTTATCACCAATTACTAGCCACTTCAGCAAGCTAGAGGATATTAAAAAAAAGGACAAAGCGAAGAAGGATGTACGTATACATTTGCATATACTTGTATACAAATCTCCATGAGTGTGTGTGCAGCCTGACAAAAAGAAGAAAATAAGAGTGCACCTGTTCAGCGACGCGTGTTGTCATTTTGTCATATGGATGAACATATGGACACTGTTAAGGAGATTCAGTTTTGTGAGACTTGAACAAAATTCGTGTCATGAATCCTTTCTCTTTTTTTCTTTTTTTTTTTTTTTTTTTTTTTTGTTTCTTTTTTTTTGTTTGACTTTACCAAATTAACTATTCGACATTTCAACAATGTACTAAGACTGCCTATGATCCCAAGTCCCGCGTCTGATTGGCAATCTCTCGTTTAATCACAAAACTAATTTATATGATCCATTTCTATACTTTTTCTCTAACTGCTTGAAAATAATAAAAAATAGCATCTAGTCTCCATCTAGACTCTGGATTCAAACTTCCGCAGTCATCATTAACAACAGCTGGGATCAACGTGGTCATTAAGTGTGGCTACGATACTACTGGAACAGCCGGATTGTTGGATGCAAAAAATATAAAACAAAGGCAAAAATATATATATATATCAGGAGAATTCCAGGACGTTTGTGTAAACACAGTAGAGGTGATAAATCCAATACCACTATAAGAAATTGTTACAGAACCCAGAAAACAGCCAGGAATTATGTCGACGAGCCTTCTCACTGACAGGCAACGTGAGGAACTGTAAGCGACATTACTTTTTTTTTTTTTTTTTTTTTTTTTTTTTGTTTTTGTTGTAGTTAACGAAAGGAAAAGAAAAAAGAACAATGCTAATGGCGATAACATCATCAACCTCATTTGTTCAATCTACCCTTGGTGATATGTGTTTGTATCATATTATATGCTAGTCACAAGGCCATTCTGGATTACTTGAGCGCCAGCGGATTTACACAGTCGTTCCAAATGCTCAGGACTGAGACTCACAACCAGGACTTTACACCAACACCAAAATCTGCTGGGTTATTGGAGAAGAAATGGACATCGACAATCCGAATGCAGAAAAAGGTAATACTTTTTTTTTTATGTTGAAAGTATTATTTTTCACATGCCTGTACCCAACTGCTTATCTCCTTTGGCCACGAGTATGTGCATATGTTTCACACTATGGGAGTACCAAGTCCGTTCGCCCCAGGACTCTACAATTTTTCGCGTCATTTTTTATTACTTTTTTTTTTAACAGGAAATACAAAGGAACAAGACATGTGGAAAAAAGTCAATATATGCATGTTATAACAAGGGAACTTACGAAAAGCAACAGCACCAACTTCTTTCAGCCATGCAGAGTGGAAAAAAAAAAAGAAAATGAAAATAGTCAACTTAATAGATTCTACTTGATTTCTCTCTCTCTCTCTCTCTCTTTTTATTTTATTTTATTTTATTTTATTTTATTTCCTTTTATTTCTCATCATTGTATAGATCATGGAGCTTGAAAAACAGGTGCTTGCGTTGCAGGAGGAACAGAAAAATGCGCCGATCAGAAAAGTAACAGATTCATCGGACTATATCCCCCGAGCGCCCGAGCTCCACACATTGACTGGCCATCGCAGTCCCATCACGCGCGTCGCCTTTCATCCTGTCTTTGGCGTCATTGCCTCTGCATCCGAAGACACAACAATACGAATCTATGACTATGAGACGGGAGAATACGAACGGTCGCTTAAGGGACATACCAAGGCTGTTCAAGATATTTCTTTTGATCCTAGAGGCAACTTTTTAGGTATGTAAAACAAAAACAAAAAAAAAAAAAAAAAAAAAAAAGCAAATACATATATTTATAGACAAAAAACATCTTTAGCTCAAACTTTTCATAATATCACATGCCAACCCTCTATTTTGTTTTCATTTTAGCATCATGCTCGATTGATTTGAGTATTAAAGTCTGGGATCTTCAACAGGATTACAAATGCGTCAAAACCCTGGTTGGACATGATCACAGCGTGTCTTCAGTAGTATTTTTACCTTCTGGTGATTCAATTGCATCTGCATCCCGGGATAAAACTATTAAAATTTGGGAGCTCGCTACAGGGTAAGAGAGCATTTTAACTTTTGATGTTTGTTCGTGAGATCGTGGACAATAAGCGTATTAATTGATTATATAACCTGTCAAATAGATTCTGTGTCAAGACAATTATAGGACATACTGAGTGGGTTCGATATGTTCAGCCAAGCCAGGATGGGCGTCTCCTTGTCAGCGCGTCAAATGACCAGGTATGAGCGCGACAAGGGAAAGTAAAAAAAGATTTATACTTTTAACGCAATCTAAACATTTGACTATATGAAAAACCTATCGATTAGACTGCACGCGTTTGGGATGTGGCAACAGGCGAATGCAAGGGTGAATTCAGAGGCCATGATAATGTAGTAGAATGTGCTATCTTTGCACCAGTGGAGTCTTATCCTTTCATTAAGGAGCTAATCGGCATTGATGTAAGATAATCTTTTATGACCACTGGTCATTGCATCAAGGAAGGCGTTAAACTGCAAAAACCTCTGAGTACTTATTTTTTTATTTTATTTTTCCGGCATGCAAATTTTTATTTGCAGCCAAAGGTCAGTGCCAGAGAACAACCCCTTCCTGGCCAATTCATAGCCACGGCATCCAGAGACAAGACGATCAAACTTTGGGACTCTACAGGAAATTGCATCGCTAATTTTGTAAGTCCGACATACTCAACCTCTCTCGCCTTTTTCTTTTCTCTCATGGCCCTGTCAGAGAGGATCTCATATAGCTCACACATCTGTCCATCCTATTTTATACCACTATTCGCCTCATTCACCTTATTCACCTTACTATTACCTAGGTTGGGCACGACAATTGGGTCCGTGGTCTGGTCTTCCATCCATCTGGAAAGTATCTTCTGAGTGCAGCTGACGATAAGACAATCAAAATCTGGGACTTAAAGGCAGGACGATGCATGAAGACATTGGAGGCACATCAACATTTCGTGACTTGTATCGCCTTTAATACTATACATCCGGTCGTAGCAACAGGCTCAGTGGACCAGGTATTTTTATAAAATCTCTTTGTGTTGAGCTTGATAGTATTAATTACATATGTAAAGAGGTATTGTTTAAAATTAACTTTGACTTTTTTTATTTTATTTTATTTTATTGATAGACTGTGAAATTGTGGCATTGTCGCTGATGATTTGTTGGCATTATTCATTTAATAAAGCATTCGCAAAAGGTTCTACATGGCTGGACTCGTCTTTATGGCGATGTGCTGAGTATGGATGATTTACTCAAGCATTTTAATGAATTGTTTACGTAGTAACGACCGCAAAACTGCCACCAATAGAGATTATTATTATTATCATTTTTTATCAGACAAGAAGAATAGGTTAATCTTAACCAAAATGGAATCAATGATAACGCGATCATTACCTTTTTTTTTTTTTTTTTTTTTTTTTTTATAAATAAAGTATACGTCTAAAATGAAAGATGAAAGTAGTGTTCACTTACGGATCTCTCCATGCTGAGCTTAATATGCTTGATATGTAAAAAGGAGCATTTTTAAAACTAACTCGGCATTTTTTTCTCTTTTCTTCGTGGTGATAGATTGTGGAATTGTGGCGTTACCGCTGAAGATTTGTTGGCGTTATTCATTTAAGAAAGCATTCGCAAAGGGTTCTACCTCGCTGGACTCGCTTTCAGGACTATGTGTTGAGTATGGATGATTTATTCAAGCATTTTAATGAATTGCTTATGAAGTAATGACTGCCACCCATTAGGGATTTTTATGTTTATACATACATATATCAGACGAGAAGTATAAGTCTATTAATCTAACAGAACCAACGTGGGTTCAATGATATTCTTTCAATAAGTATGAATAAAATAAATGTCCAAAATGGAATGCAAATTGAGATGCAGAGTGAAAGGCAAAGTTGGGCGAAAGCAGTCTTCAATATGCTTAATGAGTAAGGATGTCAATAACCTTAAAAAATGTAGAGTTTTTGCCTACAAAAAAAAAAAAAAAAAAAAAAAAAAAAAGAAAGAAAGGCAAGGAGAGACAAAGGGACTTTTCCCCCACTTCTTCTTTATCACTATAAATGAGTTGTGGTAATCATATGAAGCCTATAATCAAAGACCTTCTCTTTTCTATCCGAGAAATAAGAAGTAAGATGTCTCAAAGAGGCGTCAAAAAAGTCTGATTCCAGTTAAAAAAAGAAATCGAATGCTACTAATGTCGTTCGACGCTGAGGGGGAGGGGGGTGGAAGGAAGGAGAGACATATTTGTCTCCAAGGCATGGCTGTTGTGATGGATATAGAAATCATCATGAACCTAGGTAAAATGCGACAGTATAATCTAGAGGAACGGATTCTGCAGCAACAGCATAGGGATGGTGAGGTACACCCACTCTCTGAACGAGAGGCTGACTATACAAAAAAAAAAAAAAAATAAGAATTCAGTAGGCTAGCCCTCATCTACAGCAACCAAATATAGTGATACACCAGCCCACAAGAGAATGTTGGAGATGGTACTCGGAGCCTAATAATGATTTGTTACTACCACAACGCATGGTAGCTGAGTACTAATGTAACTTCGCGCAGTTGGAGCCGCGAGTAAGAATCCAGAGCTTTAGTATTGTTTACTTCCCACAACGATTGTTGTAAGACTTGGATGCGATCACTCAACGTACGTGATCCAAATATTTTGATTAAGGATACACCGCAAAGTTGCCCCTTGCTGTATATAAATGCCAGGATAAAGTGTTTCTGATGTTGTTAAGGGACTATATCCCTCTAGTTTCGACTCTGCTTGAAAACAGATACTGAACATTTACAGCGCTGTGTTATGTTTACTAAAGAGTTGAATTAACCCAACATGATAAGACACAGTAACTGATCACAGACCCCTTCGCAGATCCATTTACCGTCATGAGAAAAACGGGATTCTCTGCTGATGGGTTTATCCTAGAAAAAAAAAATATATATATATATATAAGAAAAGAACATATTCAAGCTGCGATTGTGGTTTTTTTTTTTTTTGTTCCCATTTTCTCCATACTTATCAGCTATGACAATAGTTCTTCAGAACCTGTGAAATTAGATATTCAGTCTTAAATAAACCTTGGATTTAGAGATGGAGCAAAAAAAAAAAAAAAAAAAAAAAAACACAAATGGTACTGAACTCGGTTTAACAGATTTGACAGATATAATTCACACTATGAAAATAGCAGGGAATACATGTTGCATGGAACAACGGCAAAGCATCCATGTTCTGCCGCGTGACAGAGTATGAGCTTGTTTGAGCTCCAATCACAATGCGACAGCAGGTATCAGAATGACTGAGTACCGCCACTCTCATGACCATCACAATTAAACCTAATGTGGCACAACAGACGCCACCAATTTTATACAGTTACACCAAACAGCTTGCGCCCATCTCCTCCATTTACATGAACATGTATATGTACATATGCTGTAAGAGCGTTAAATAGCGCAAAATAACCAATGCTACGTTGAAGTAGTAACAAGAGTAAGCTCAAGACGGCAATAACCCCCATCGATGATGGCATGGAAGGTCCGTTGAGGTTCATTACTGCATTACTGTTTAGATGCACACAGATCTCTAGATCAATAAAATGTATCGTCTGACCAAGTTTTCTCTAAAGCACGGCATCTCGATCCCTGTCCTCAAAAGCCAAACAGATGGGATTGCTGGTAAGCTAGCTTCTGTAGCTCCTTTCAATAGACGAGTGGCTGTTAAAAAAAAAAATATCTTTATCTTGCCGCAGCCTGACCAAAAAATTTTCTCCATGCCCGCTTTGACATCCACTTGATCCCAATTACGACAATGAAGATGTTTATGAAGAGATTGACTGCTGATTGATAACAAAAAGATAAAAAGGGGGTTTGGAGTGGGGGGAAGGGGGTGAGGGATGTGGAGAGAGTCTGAAATGAGGATGTTGTTGTCGCCTTTCCCCTAGCCTATGGCGAATAAAAAAAAGGGGGACAGGACTAAGACCCTCTGCCTTCCTCCATTCTCCTCATTTCCGTTTCCTTTTCAAGTATAATCCCTTGATTAGCAAAAAAAAAAAAAAAAAAAAAAGATGATTGAAAGGACGTGTGGGGGTACCTTGAAAAGCTCAAATGTAACAATGACCCAGAGGACTGGTATACAAAGTTCTATTAAAAGTAAAGGATAAGGAACAAAGACTGGTGAAGGGTTTAGAGCGAAAAGACAAAGAGAATATCGGCTTCGGACCATGTGAATAGATGTAGATCATCAAAAAGAAATGTTGTTCCTATTCCCAATCTGCGTGAATAATTTTTTTTTTTTGTCTCCATGCCTGCTCTACACAACTCCAAAAAGCGTGCTCTTGTTCCTCTTATTTTGAATGAGCGAGGTCTTAGGTGGAGAGTAGTTTTGGGTGGGAGAAGATTCATAGCTGCTGACGCATTTACAAGATTATCAATATCAATCAACACTATCATCACCATTATCTAAAAGCCAATACAGGTAGACAAACATCATAGGAGTCATTCCTGGCAAGTGTATTTTTTGCCGCGATAATTCTAGTCAAACATTGGTTACTATATAAAAAGAAGAGGCATCTCTCTTCTTACTTCTCTTGGACGCACTATCACCCTATGTCTCTACATCCCTTTCCTGCCTTATTTATACATGGGGTAAAGGAGGGACGAGATGAAGAATAGAAAGAACGTTTGACCCTTTTTTTTTTTTTTTTTTTTTTTTTCTTTCCTTCTTCACATAGAATATTTACGATAAGGGCAAAAGCGCAAGAATGGTTTTGGCCGATCTGCACTGTTTGGTACACCAACTGAGTCTTTAACATCTCAAGCGAGCATCATGAGCCAATATTACACATTACGGCTGCTCATTTGATTTGAATCATTTATATCAGTCATTAGGTATATATTTTAAAAATCTTTCTAGCCTATTGTGAGCGAGTAACAAAATGAAAGTAAAATAAAAAAAAATGCCTTTTGTAGAAATGAGTAATGAGGCCCCATCTTGCTGTGCTTCTATTTGTTCATGCAACGGAAACCATCCATATCAAAGTTAAGGAAAAATGGAGCACATGGTGCAAGTACAGAACCGGGCCGCATCGTGAAAGTAGGAAAATTTGACTCATGGATTTAAAGTTTGCAGCCTCATGTCAGCAGGGCACAAGTGTTCTTTATTTAATGATACAGAATACAGAAATATATTTTAATACAGTTGCAATCCAATGAAAGAAAAGAATCTATTATCACGCTATCGTCTCTTTTCGTGAAGGTATTTTGGTGTCATTTTGATGTGTAGTCAACAAGAAAAAATTAAGGATAGAATCAGCTACCCTTACTCCTGTTCCATACTTGGACAGGACTGGTGCAGATAAGACTAATGATGGTGATAGGGATGAAGGGACTCGTGCGATGAGGTATACATGTCCAAGGATTGGTATGGGTGTGCAAGGGGGGGCATAGGGTGCAGGAGCAATCGAATCGGTTTGGTCGGTGTGTGATTGTGGTTTGGATTGTTGTTGCTGTTGCTATGGCCCTTATTATCGCCATTGCCTATGCTCATATTTTGGATGGTCTTGAGGCTACCGTTACTGCTAATATTGATGTTGCTATGACGATGGTTCTCTAGTTCACTAAACAGGTCTCCAAACGAATCGTTGGTATCATCATCATCATCATCGTCATCATCTGGACCATATTCCGGCGCAGATTCATCATCTTGTTCATCCTCCTCCATTAGGTCCTCCAACACTGCATCTAGCCAGTCCTCTTGTGCCTGACTCAGCTCAAAGTCATAGTCCACCAACTGTGATTCAGCAAAGTAGGGCTGAAAGCCGAGACCGCAACCCGCATAATGGTTATCGATATGAGTAGGATAAAGGATGGGATCTGCGGAGTCCTCACCTATATCCATATCTACATCTACGTCCAGATCTTGCATCTGTATTTGATGAGCTGGATCAAGTTGGTCATGATGGTTTTGTCCTATCCGGCCCAGCTTGTTGTCAAATGAAAATGGACACCAAGGATGATTATAGGAAACGTCGTTTTTATTTGCTGTAGGTGAAGTGGATGGTGAAGAAGGGTGGTACAGGAAGGGCGGAGTCTGAGCATCGAGTGACTGCCGTGGTGGCAAAGGCGGAGTCAGCGTGGTTGATTGTGGGCGAAGCTGCTGCGGTGAGTCTTCTGAGGATGTGGAAGAGGGAAGAGTGTTACTTGAAGCTGGATTTGATGATGGTGATGATATTACAGAAGGGCCCGAGGGGGGATGCTGTTGTTGTTGTTGTTGTTGTTGTTGTTGTTGTTGTTGTTGCTGTTGGTTCAAAGCACCAGAGTGATGAGCAAGGAGGATATGACGGATAAGATTAGAATGAAGGAGCTGTTGCCGCAAGTCGAGCTGTGGACAGGTTTCGAGCTTATTGCAAGCAAAGCTGAAGAGGAATTCGGCGAATTCAGACGACATTGTGTAATGATTGTGGTAGTGATTGTTATTTTGGGTTGCAAATTGTAAGAGTATGCATGAAGTGGAGAGTGAAGAATGGAACGAATGAATGAATTAATGTGTAAATAAGAGAAAGAATGTAAGGAAGAAGAGAGCTCCTTTTGAATAAAAAGAAGAGAGAGAGAGAGAGAGAGAGAGAGAGAGAGAGAGAGAGAGAGAGAGAGAGGAAGAGAGGAGTGAGTGAGGAATAACAAAAGAAGAAGAGGAAGTAAAAGAAGTAAAAGAAGAAACAAAAGAGGCGAAGAGAGAAAAAAACAATGTTACAACATTCAGCATTCGCCATCGTCCCGCACGATGGCCTCAGGCGACTTATTTTTCGGTAAATAAAACAATTCAATCATTATTTTACTTTTAGTGTGGTTGCAACAGCAACGACGTGTCAAAAAAAGTTTTCTATCTGCAAGTCTATTTTGATTGAATCATGACTGCAGTGCGGATGAGTCAGGGCCTAGGAGAAGGAAAAGATGTATCAGTGTACTATCAAAGAAAAAAAAAAAAAAAAAGGTTTCATGAACCAAAGTAAGGGCAAGAAGAAAAAAAAAAAAAAAAAAAAAAAAAAAAGAAGAGGGAGAGAGAGGAACAGGAGGCAAAGCACCTTCCAGTGGACATGCATTTGCAAGTTGTTTATTTGTTTTATTTTTTTAACATGCTGCGGCCATAACATACTGCGTAATCATCATCTTCTTCGACCTGGACGATCGTCTGTTTCTTCAACATTCGATGCGCCTTCAGCTCCCTTGTACTTTCGTTTACCTCTTTGTCTGCCATAGCTGTAGTTTCGTTTGCTCCCATTTCTATCGCTGCAAGGGAGCCCATCACACTGTGAAATAAAATATATATTTCTATCTCTATCCAGCAAGGAGAAACACGCACTTTTTGAGTGTGTTGCATGTGTATCCTTCATGTAACCTGTATTTATATATGCGTATCATGATGAAGAAACGAACAAGAAAAATTGCAAATTTCCCCAAGACGTCGCATAATTTTCGTTCATGCATTGTAACCAATATGGCGCCATCGTTTTAGTTGACTACAAGAAACGAGTGTCATATTTCTGATTTTTAAGATGTTCAAATAAAAAATTGACATTCTTGGTATAAAACTTTTTTCTTGCTGCGGTAGAGGAGTGAACCAATGAAGGAGTTGAATCATCGGCTGACCTCCCGGTGCTGACAAAAAAAAAAAAAAAAGCATGAGTCTTACAGCTGATTTCCCGTTCTGGATCCAAATGGGAATAATCAAGTAGTTGTGAGGAGACATTTTTGCTGACCAAATGAGCAATATGCAAGAAATATCTCTTGTTCTATAGAGCGTAAGTGATCTTCATGCTGTCTGGACCTATTTCATTATTCATTCGTATGATCTCGCCAGAGTGAAGTTGCTTGAGAAAACCTCATATTCGTCAGTCAAGTCACTAGCAGACTCCATGTTAGGCTTGAGACCAGTCTTGTCATGGAAGAGTTCAAAGCCATCACAGCTTATGCGTGTATTGGAGCAGCTTAATAACAATCTTACCTGTCTTTTTTTTTAATGGTACTGCTTCGTCAAGCTTGCTTTTCTGGATTGCTAAGAGCCAGGCTCATCCAAGACGACACATATCCAGAGCACAGGCTCTAACTATATACGAGTTGGGATGGTTGAGCAACACGACTGATGTTCGTAGCCTCTGGGATACTGCGTCGGAGCCTTTGGGCGGTAAGAAGCCGTATTCTGGTCTGCATCTATACTACACGATCATCATTTCCATCCTCATCCTCATCCCCACTCTTCTACACCTTTTTTTTTCTTGGTATGAGGACAGTATAGATGCCTTACCAGAACCAACCACAGGGGATGTCATAGGATGCTAGTCGTTGTAAGCATGGCTGGTCTTGATAGTATCTTTCAAGTTGCGAACAGATACACCCATACGCTGAGTATTTCAAGCTTCCCTACCCTTGTGTTTGAGCTCCTTGTCCTTTTTGGCTCTCTTGGCCATTTGATTGTTCTTACCTTCGTTTTTAAGAATGGACGTTGCTGTTGATGACACCGTCCGTCGGATATCTTTAATACCCCTTCCTTTAATACCCCTTCCTTTAAGCACTGATTTCTTCGGCAATTTTTTTTTTTTTTTTAAAAAAAAAAGAATGGGTTAGTGCTTTCATTTCTTCCAGTCATGACGTTCTCTGCATGAAGTACACATGCATTTACTTGGAACTCCGCTCGGCGCCCCTTTTCAATGGCTTTCGTGTGTCGTACATTCTCAATCTCCGTAACTGGGCTGCAGGTTCAAAGCAGATGCTCTCAACGGAATCCAAATGCAAAGGTCTTGATATCGAAAGGCCTCCGTCTCATGTTTTCCATCACGTTTCATCCAACATGCTCTTCATATTACCTGATCGTAGACGTTGAATGATACTTTGGTTCCTTGTTAGCCCAATCTACGGATATTGCTCGAGTGGCCATTAGCACGGACAGCGGCGAAGAACACCCAGGCCCTGGCGTATAGCCAGACCAGGCGCGCAGACAACGCGTTCCTTCCGATAAACTCCGAAGCATCCGCATTGCTGCGGCAGTGGGCGTATGACCGCTGATAGCTGAAGAAGTGTGCGTCGCCACTGGTCGCAGCCTTTTGATAGATAGGCATTGATACGCGCCACGATGTATGTGTCTGATTCAGTGGGAGATGGTATATTACAAAAGGCTATGGTATATACTTTTTCTTTTTTTTTTTGTAAAATAAACTCTTCTGTTGATCTCTAGATGCCATATGTTTCACTCCAGCCTGACAAAATGACCTACTTTGCGTGGTATGGGCATTCATGTGCAAAGTTTTAAGCAGGCCACTGGGAGAGCATAACAAAATGTTTCAGTTTTTCCGTTCTCTTGAAATATTAAACGTTGGTTGATCAAAAGCATCCCGAAAAATAGACGAAGGATAGTTGAATGTTGCCTATCACAGCGAAACCTGCCATTATCTACAGAGCGACTTAAATGTGGCGCATGACAGTTTGTCCAGTTAGAACAGTTAGAAACAGACATACTAAAGTCGCAAAATCAATTGATGCAATTATTCCTCATTCCATCCTGCCTTCCCAAGTGAGATGCTCCTTTTCATTCCTAACCAGTTGCATTCGGATTAAGAAATCTCATCATCAAACAAACGCGTGTCAAGTTTACCTCATTTATTACTTGATATTTTTATCATCCACTTTATTTTTCTAGCTTGTGCTCCTTAATTCAACACGTCAAAGCAACGCTTTGTAACCGTATAGTATCTGCCTGCACCTAGGTATACTTTTATATGTTATGAAGGAGCATGACTGGGACTTCTGTACATATGCCTTGAATTTGTCTCCAAAAGTTTTCTATGCTCTTCAGACTGATTACAATGGTATTTTAGATGGGCTTAAAGGTGCTCAATAAGGTTGAGGTAAGCGAAGTTGATCACCAAGTATCTTCAATCTTGGGCTTGTTAAGATGAATCTTTATTGTTTTTTTGCTGTATGTGTAGTTGCATTGCTATGTTGAGAAATGTGGATTGCTAGATCTACACTGTGCGATACTAATTTTAGATTAGGGAGCCTAGTCTTGTAGCACTTTGAGATATATATTGACACAGTAACTTTTCCTGGAATCCAGTAAGCATCTCTAAGTCGCTATAATGAGTCCTATAGATCCAGATCATTACCTTATTTCCACCTTCTTGCCTCTTTTGACTTGATGTTCAACTCAGCGCTCAACGCAGCATTCGCCATGGAAGCAGAGTTATGGCAAGGAAATGCATAATATACCTGGCATACATGGCATATTCTCCTTTTTCACCGAGACATTAAAGAAAATGAAGATCAAAAGTTTATTTTGGCACGTGTTTATTCAACGATCTAACGATTTAACGATTTATTTTTATCGTGAATGCAATTGATCAGGAATGAAGAGAATGAGATGAACATCTGGATTTTTGCCACCAATAGATCTTTTCAAGTTCTTGTGACGAATATTTTTCAATTGATACACAAACATGTGGTCTGAAAGACCCTGACATCTCATCCTATAAATTTTTTTTTTTTTTTTTTATGTTGTCATTCTGCTGTGATAATAAAGATAGCCTCGCACACATTGGGCGAAGCACATGTTTGCTTATGACGTATTTGTACAATTAGTGTTAAATGTAACATGGTCATGTTAACTCTTAGTGTCCCATTCAAACTCGGATCTTGATAGTAGATGGTAGTGTTAGGGGAAAGATATATAAATATGACTAATTGGACTTTATATATGCTCCTACATCAATTTTTTTGTTTCTTTGTCCTTTGATTCTTGTTTACCACATGTAGAAAAGAGATAAAAGACAACAGGACGACATGTTTCAAGTTTCAACTTTTAAAGTTTGTCAACAAAAACCTCCAAGGAATCTTTATAAAAACAGAAATCAGCGGTTAGTTAAAAGAAGTTCCCAGATTCCTTTTATTCTCTCTTTGAAGGTTTTCAGAAATTAATGGAATACTAGCCATACTCCATATTATTAAACACTAACGATTAGTATGCATATTCGATGAACGAGTTTTAATACATGCTCGACCCTCAGACATTCTAAAAATTAATCGCTCATTCCGCGGAATGAGGGAACAGGAAAGCATGGGCAAATGAAGGAAAATCTATTATGCTCCATGTTGTCTTTGATCGATCGAAAAGTGACCACTTCGGTTGCAATGAGACCTCTTGTGCCACGTAAGATTAAAAGCTTAATGTTTATTTCAATTGCATGCTCTCTCTTTATATTTCTCTCTTTCTCTTTCTCTTTCTCTTTCTCTTTCTCTCTCTCTCAACCTTTTTATTTATCACATTTGGATGGCTGTTTCGATCTCTCTACTCACTTTCATAGTGGCTGTATCGGTCCCCTTGGTCGGATTTGGTGCACAAAAGCTCTACAGATCATTCATAGCTGGGCGGGGTAAAGCGCTTCCTAGCCTTAGCAGCCTTAGTCATATGCATTCGAGCAGCGCCTATCCCGAAGATTACTATCCAGGTAAGGCAGGGTCAGCACAAGAAAGGGAGAGAGAGAAAAAGAAGATTTTTAATTGAATCCCTAACGTTTTTTTCTAATCTTACATTTTTATTGTAGGTGGACACTATGCAGAGTTGACATTCGGAGAGACTCACTACTTCCGTTTTGGGCCAGAAAACGGGAAAAAGGTACAAGACATCTTGCTTTACAACTTGCAAAGGCTATTATCCTGTGATTTACCTCTATTTCTTACTGAACAAAAAAAAACCTCTTCCTGTAAATGCACTTCATTATTTATATAGATTGTGTTTGTACACGGCCTCTCAATCCCAACCTCTGTTTATAAAAAGGTTGCTCGCCATATGGCCGATAATGGATGCCATGTCCTCTTATATGGTAATAAAGCTCTTTATTTGTCGTGGTGTTAATTTGTCACCGATGTGTTAACTTTTTTTTTTTTTTTTTTTTTTCCTGGCAGATCTGTATTCGCGTGGTTATTCGGTTGGGCCAGCAAAAGATCACGATCCTTTTTTGTACGTTACTCAGCTAATGGAACTACTGCAACATGTTCAGTGGGATCGATGTAATTTTGTTGGACTATCACTGGTAAGGGTCTCCGCCTAACATTATGTGCTTGGCATGCTTAGTACACGTGTTTTTCGAAGTGCTGATATTTGCATTTTTACCTTGTGAGAATATCTTACAAATAGGGAGGAGGCATTGTTGCCTGCTTTGCTCAACAATTCCCAGATGTCGTCGAGTCGGCGACATTTATTGCACCCGGTGGACTTTTATTAGTAAGTTGAGTTCATGTGTTCATGTATTTAATATTATGCTACCTGAGTTTTTTTTTTTTTTTTTTTGCATTTAAGTACTTCAAACTAATATTATGGGTCTTTGAAGCCTTCTGAGATGCCCTGGGTTGCCAAACTATTTTTGCTGCCATATACTGAAGACATTTGTAATCACAAGGCCATCAGGAATTATTTTTCAAAAAAGAACATCGAGTCTCTGCGAAATGAGTTCAAAAACGAAAAACATGTTCCCGCGTCTGTTGAAGAAGCTGCCGAAATCTTGGATCTACAATTTAGATACCATCCAGGGTATGCCCGAGGATTGATGTTGACGCTTAAAAAGTTCCCTTTTTCCGGGTTATTCCCCCAGTTTGCGTCATTGCAGGACCATACGTTTCCTGTACAGGTGATCTGGGGTACGCGGGATAAGGTTGTGCCTGGAACAACTGTGGAAACTCTTCAGAAACTGGTTCCTCGGATCAAAGTCACCAAAGTTGAAGGGGCAACACATAGCATTGTTATGACGCATCCGGAAACCATTATTAAACAACTTGAGGGTTTTGTCTGTTGAGTTTGCCTTTGACAAATCCATGAATAAGCTTCAATTGGGGATGCATGTAGAGGAACAAGTCTTTCCTCTAATTGCACACCTTTCGATCTTTCAATTCGATATTTAAACCAATAATAAAGACACAAAATGACATAGCCCTCTTTGTTTTTTCTTCTTCTCATTCATTCCAAGCACATTCACTTGCATCGCTCCCCATCCGTCATGCCCACTACCCCTTCTACATTAAGCTCCCGCCTACAGGACCTTGTCAAGGTAACTAAACTAAACTCACTCTTAACACGTATCGAACCCGAGTTATCCAGCAGGACAACGGAAACAAATCTTAAAAGCAAAAAAAAAAAAAAAAAAGAGTTAGTGGGGGCAACCAAAAACAATGTTTTTTATTCATAATCAAACGATGTTTGCTCTATTTAAAATGGAGGAATGGAATGGGTAAGAGGAGTTGTATACCATGATACACCTTGTGAGGGCTGGATTTCTCTAGAGGTACAAACGATCAATCTTTATCATGTTATGAAAATGCTTCTCTCACTTATCCCACGGGATTGCTTGCGTCCAATTTGCTGTTTCTCTTTTTCTGACGACGTCTTTGCGTAACGATTCGCAAAAAAATACTCATCGAATGATTGAATGACTGAATGACTGAATGACTGAATGACTGAATGACTGAATGACTGAATGACTGAATGACTGAATGACTGAATGATTGAATGATTGAATGACTGAATGACCGTTTTTTTTTTTTTTTTTTTTTTTTTTTAATTGGCATAGGGTCCTCAATTCGTCTGGTGGATAGGTCATGTCGTGTTGTTGATCTGCACGGCTTTCTATCTGCCTTACTGGCTCACTTTTAACTATAAGGCTGGTTCGCATTGGTACACGCGCGCTTTCCTTGGTGCTATTATCAGCTATGGTGTGGTCGTGTACAAGTCTTTCCCTGTAAGTATTTTTTTTAGTATATAATCAAATGTCTATTCGTCAATAACGCAGTGTCAGGAGATGATACTACGCAGCAGGATGTAGCGGTAATCATGGTATCAACCTGTCAGGGTGAAATCCAGTCAATCGGAGAGAAGATTTTTTTTTTTTTTTTTTTTTTTCGATTGTGATCGGAAACTGCCAGGAGAGCCCTATTGGTTGCTACTCCAAATAGCCAACAAAGTGGTTAATGTCTTTGTATAGTACGACAGAAAAAAGGACTGAGTTAGAGGATCGAGCATGCAACTGTTCCCACCACAAAGCTCGCTATCATTAAATAAAAATATCCACAAAAAGGACGTTGCTCTCCAATACTCCAATACTAACATACTTGCATGCCTTTATTAATTTTTATGGCCTTCTGGATTTGTAACCTGGATATGATTAGCAAATTAAATTTGAGGCCCAATTTCTGCAGAGCATGTTTGTCGAAGAGAACGTTCAGTATTTCTTGATGGCCATCTTCTGGTGGCGTTCAACGCCTATGCTCGGTAATGGATGTACCAAGGTTTCCAAAAATGCGGTGTCCACAAGTTGTATTTGTTCTTGCTGACATTTAGAAACCTTTTTTTTTTTTTTTTTTTTTTTTAAACTATCATCTCTTTTAAGCACCATTAATTCCATATGCTATCTTTGCATTCTTCAATGCAATCACATACATCAGGACCAACATCATCCCAGCCATCTCTCCCCCCTCTGAGACTGATCCCAAGGCTTCTCAAGCTACAGGACTTTCACAAAAAATCCTGAACTTTACCAGGAACAATCATGCTAAGGCCATGGCATTTGTTGCCTATGTCGAGGTCATTGGTGTCATGGGCTCGTTGATCCTTGGGGCCATTACGTAAGCTTTTTTTTTTTATTTTTTTTTTATCTATCGAAATGACATATTATTTTTTACTTTGAATCTAAGTAAGGGGGTTTTTTTTTTTTTTTTTTTTTTTTTTTTTTTTTTTAATGTAGGTTCCAATCGTCATTCTTCTCACCACTCTTATATGCCAACTTTTTGCGTTTCCGCTACTTCTTCTCTATCCACACTCGTGCCACATTTGCGCTTCTTCGTGCTCGCATGGATGCCCACGTCATTGGTAACCCAAAGCTCCCTCCCAAAGCCATTAAGGCATACGAGGTCTTGCGTGGGGCTGTCACCCGCTTTGGTATGGCCGCTGTTCAGCAACCCACTGCTGCTCAGTAACTCCTCCAATGCCATGTTGCTAGCTATAGTGTTCATCTTATGTATTAAAAAAAGCTCGCATCTACCTTGTTGGGAATCGCATGTTTTTTCAATGTTGTTTCGTTATCTTTATTAACCTTTGTATATGAATGGGAGATGAACTATGCTAAATGGTGGATAAAAAAAAAGTCAAGAGAGCCATGATAAACATGCGGGAAAAAAAATTCATGATAATAAAATGATATCCATTGTTCTTGATACTCCTTTATGCTTTGGGAGCAGCTGCGGCAGCCTCAGCAGCTTTGATGGCATTTGCTTCGGCTGTCTGGAACAGATGCATAATAAAGTCCTGCTGCTCCTTTGTTGTGGCCTTGGTAAGCTCGCTATACGAGGTTGGGTGCTGTTGTTGTAATGCGGTGAACACATCGCGGAAGAGAATATAGGGGTCCAGATTATCCAGTGGCGACTCAAAGTAAAGCTCTTCTTCCAGTTCATCCCACAATGACTCTTCGTCATCCTCACGATCAGCGGGACGATTCTTGGAGGCTTGCTTAGCCAGATATTCAATGTATTCGTGGCCTTCGTCAAAGACATCCTCCTCGTCATCAACCCATTCCTCCTCAACAAGATCTGCTTCTGGGTGAAGCACATCATTCTCACCCTCTTCATCCTCATCATCTCCGATATCGTACATCTTTTCCATTTCTTTGCGCTCTAGATTTTTTTTTTTTTTTTTTTTTTTTTTTTGAGAAATTAATTCAACGGATCAGTCTCCATAATACAAGTAGGTCAGTCAAAAAAAAAAAAAAAAAAAAAAAAAAGAGGTGGTTGATACACTTACTTGCTTGGGCTTCGGGAAGTCCCTCAAAATTGCTCAAGATACCATTTAAAATTTGAGACCATCCGCTCTGAAGCGCAGGCGGCTGCTGCTCGACAGGGACACTGAGAATAGAGCACAACGCAACAATCGACAATTTCTTGTCATGAACACGCGATAACTTGTCCAAGCTTGTGAACCAAACTGTCAAGAAGCGTTGAGTCCAGCCATTCTCTTCCAGGATACGCAGTGTAATTGAAGGATTGTAATATAAAGCGTTCATGACAACCTCGACCGCCTGAATACGGAACTCAGTCATCCGGATGCGCTCTGGTGGAGCGAGATGCTCAAAGACTAGGGCCAAAATAGGGCCTACATACTTGTCGACATGTCCCCTGCAATTCAACAATAGAGATTCTGCCAGTTTACAGCCCGAGACGCGATCATTTTCGCCCAAACGGTCGCTTTTCATGACGGTCTCAAAAATGTCATAGATCATATGCTGGACATTCTCGTTGCTAATAACAACATCCTTGCCGTATGAGATATAGTTGTCGAGAGATGGAAGCATTTCTTCTATAAAGTCCAAAGCAGACTCCTTGAAGGTCTTGTAGATTAGCTCAAAGACGCTCCACATATTAGGGGAGATAGTCTTACCCGAGAACGTAAAGCTGTCAATGATTTCAAAAACACCATCAAAGAGATCATGGATCGCATTCTGAAGCGTGAACTGAATAGCAGGCATGAGCGCCATCTCAAGTTGATTCATGACCTCAGGTGTGCTCTCAAGACTGAGGATTAAAGTACCCATGGTCTTCAGAACACCCATTGCAGCCATGGTCTTGTTTGAAGCCTCGTCGAGTGCAGCGTCGTCAAGATCATCAAGTCCATCAATTCCTTTGTCCATGTCCTCACAAATGCGCAAGAACGTGTCGCGCAGCTGCTCGCAAAGTTGGACCGCAAAAGGAGCCAGGTCTTGAGCAAAAACCTCAACAAACTCGTCCATGACTTCCGCTAATGTGTCCACATCAATTTGGCTAGTCATGGCCAACAGCTCGTGCATGACAAATTTGAGATGAGGTTTCATAGCTTCACAGACTACCTCATGACGGATCATAGGACGAAGAGCCAAAGCGGCAGTAACTTTAACCGGGAGCTCCTGATCACGGAGGCATTCCATCAAGCCAGCAAATGCAATCGCCAAATTATTTTTATCATTAAAATCCAAATCGCTAAATTGATTGATCATCTCGCAGGCCTGTTAATTTGGAAAGAAGCCGAGGGTCCTTTGTTTCGTCAATAAGCAGGCATTAGGGTTTCAAAAAATAAAAAAAGTGAGAAAGAAAAAAATAAAAGTTAAAGGAGAAGAACTTACACGAGCGCGAAGGAAAGGATATTGGCTCTTTAATTCGGGAAAGACATGATTGACAAAGAGAGGCTCCATCATGCCCGCCAATGATTTCTAAATGAGCAATAAAACAAACAACCACAGGTTAAATATTGTAATCCGTAGAAAGAACTTATGCCCAAGATGGTATCCAGTAATAAGATTCTTAAAGCCGCACTGGCTCACCTTGCGCAGGATCAAAGTCGACAAAGCACCAATCATAACTAGAGCGCCATCCTTTTCTCTGGGATTCTTTGAATCAGTAGACGCTTCACTGTATTTTTGAAGAACATTATTAGCAAGCGTGAGGGTTTGCATGAAAGCGTTCTGACGATAGCGAGCCATGACAGTCAAAAAATTAACGGCAGCAGCGGAGGGGCTTGTAAAGTCTTCCAGCATGTCAATCTTGGCGTGAACATATTCAACAGGATCGTCAAGCCAGAGAGCTTCATCTGCAGCAGTGAAGCACAACTGAGGGAAAATGAAATGGGTAATCAGTGTCTCAGAATGAGGCTTCATAAGGGACCAGATATGCTTGTCTTTCACACTAAAAAAAAGGACATAAAAAGAAGCGAAGTAATGGTGAGTCAAATGATAGTGTTAATGAGCAGTAGAGTACTGATCCAATATCATGCTGTTCAGGTCTTATGTACCATTCTTCAAAAAAGTTTCCAATCAGGCAGAGTACGCGCGGGCTTATCCAAGCCTGCTTAGCAATCCAAAGCTCAACTTGTTTTAAGTAAGCAGTCAAAATATTGGGTGCAAAGTTGGAAACAAATGTCTTGGCAAAAGGTTTGAATTTGGAATCTGCAGGCAAGGATACAGGGTTTCCGTATCTAGTGTAAAGACGGTTCAAACACTGATAAGCCCAACGCTTGGCCTTCCACCAAGGGTGCTTCTCTAGCTCTTCAGGGTCAGTAGGAAGGCCTTCTGTGGGGACAGGTTTCTCGACCATTTGAAGAAGCAGAGTCCCCCACGGAATCAATGAAGCAGTGTCTCGCTGGCGTTCTGAAAGATCAACCTGGATGGTATAGTGGTAGCATTTGAAGATCAGTTTGAGCATTTCTGCAGCTTCGACATTATTAGCACTTATCAGTCCTGCTCCGATCTGTTGAATCGCAGGGAAGAAAGTCGAAATAATCTCATCCAGTGGCTCGCGCTCCTCGATTTTAAATCTATACATTAAGGAGGAAGTAAATAAATAAGAAATAAAGATAAGCGAAGTGAATAACTGTATAGATTTTTTTTTTTCTAATAATAATAAAAAAAAGAAACTGATGTAGGGTAGACGAGCTGCCATTATGCCATAATCTTTCGTACTTGTAGACGCGGAGGACTTCTTTCAAAGCAATAAGGCCAACAAAGACAATCTTATGGTCTTGAGACTGAAGTAATGTCTGGACAGTGTTGAGATAGCCAGGAAACTTTTGAGGAAAGTCGTTAGACAAGATTGTGCCTAAGACAGTAATCAGCTGTGTGCTGTGAACAATAATTTAGTTTCATCAGTCAGTTGATTATCATGAGTAATAATTACTTGATAAAAGGAGAGTTATATAGTGAGTAGACTTGTCCCTTTACCGAACAAGGGGAGGGGCGGAGACAAGAAGTTGCAAGATGTTTGACTTGATGGTATCCTTGTCAGCCTCTGCGATCTTGAGGTGATCCGTATTGTCCTGCTCTGGCTCGTACCAATAGCGTCTGACCGCGTTCTTGAAGTAGATGGAAGCTGTTGTGGGAAAATAAGGATAAGGCTGTGAGAATCTCGGTCACTTTATTACTCAAGTTACTTTGACATTAAAAGCATTAGTTTAGTTTCAAGTCCTACCAGCCTGACGAACATGGATCTCAGATTCTTCAGCACCAACAATCTGCATAGATTGAATGAGTATTCCCTGTGTATTCTCCAGCTAGCCAATTGAAAGGGAAAAAACGTATACATGATGAATAAATGTCATCGATTGTAGTCTGCACTACACGGGATGATAAAGGCGTGAATACATCTTTGGGATATGTGGTTGGGTGTTTTAAGTTTTTGTTCAAGAAGTGCCTGTCTATCATACCTGCTTCAGCTTTAGTTCCGCCTGCATCCGTAGATTAGGATCGGGCTGGAAAGTCGCCTGGAAAAGCTGGTAGAGGCCTTGAATGTCCATTCTGATCTCCTGTTAATTAATAAAAAGAAATGAATGAGGAGAGGGGGAAATGGGACAAGACTTAAGAAATGACAGAAAAAGATCAACAAAAAAAATTTTTTTTAAAGTGTTTGCCACACTTGGCTTTAAAACTTTATTTTCCGCATTTGCATGTCTGTGCCAAAAGAGGCGTGTGTGGACCCTGCTTTTACTTTTTTTTTTTATTTTTGGCTTGGTCTTTTTTATCCATTCCAACATTCACAATCCTTCCTTTTTGCCTTATGCTCCGACGTGATCCTACTCGAATTGAACTTAGAACAGAAGATCTTGCTGACTTTGACCGCGCCAGGGAGGAGTACGCTGCCTCTGTCAAAGCAGCCAAGAAGGACCTTCTTCGGCGCTCCAAGGCGATCACAACTGGACCACCTCCGCCTACACCTATAACTTCAGAAGGTCTAGCGACAGCTTCAGGTAGTAGAACTAGTACTAGCAAGAGTAAAGATAAGGGCAAAGAAACGCAGCTGGATCCCATTCAGATGGCACAACAGGAACGGAAAGGAAAGAGCATTCGGGATCGCATTCTTGGAGATTGAAAATATATGACTACTTCCCTCCATTTTACTTTACTCCCAACAGATTAGCAGATTAGTCAAGCATAATTAGGATGCCCTGGGAATTGCACAAGACCTCTTTTCTATTTACGCATGAAGTCTTCTTTTAACCTGATTCATAAAACCATCCTGGTTCATTCTTATATGAGCCTCTAAATAAAATATGTTTGTCTTTGTACCTTGTGGTAGACTCGTCACCAGCCTAGGGTCGAAGTCACGTGAGAAACATGAACGTGCTGCAAAGCGGAGTTGCCTATTGAGGCAATTTGTGGCCGCTCTCGCCGAAGCTTCTTAGACTCAAAAAGTGTCCACCAAGAATAACAAAAGAAAATAGAGGCGAATAACTTTGACGACAAATAGCACTATAGGATGCCAAAAGCAAAGCCGGGTGCTTCCCAGGTGAGCTCACAAACCGAGTCAAAAACTTGCTGTGAAGAAGACGAAAATAAAGATGAACGGCAAGATGAAATGTGGGCGAAAACTGAAGACTTTATCGAAAGAAGGTTCTTTCGCATTTATAGTGCTAGTCTACAGGTCAGGCTGTGGTGGTTTCTAGGCGAGGCCTCAAGAGACGGACTCGCCTATGGCTACTAAAAGGCTTCCCATAAAGGATCCTCCTAACTGTGGATGGAATGAAAATTAGACAGTTATTAATGGTCAGTCACAGCATGTTTAGATTACATGATAGAGCGCTTCATCACACTGACGTGTATATTTTTTCTTTTTATTTCCATTTGCCATAATTTTGACATCCTTTAACACTTCTATCTGATATTCCAAACTTCTCCTGTTTTCTACCCTCTGTCCATCTATACTCTTGTTTCTAAACGGTTTGAAATCACCATGGCAGGCAGCGTTTTGGTATACTTGAAGAACGTAAGAAAAAGTGCCTTTGTATTTTATATTTGATACCCATCAATTTGTCCTTTTTGCTGACTTGTGTATTTCAAATAATCATAGTCAATAGTCGGCTTAACAGCATCGAGACAGAGGACAGCGGGGACATCAAAGAGAGCTACCGATGAGGCTGAAGCTGTGAAAGGTAAGGGAAGGTTGAGCAAACCTAGCGGATCAAATAAAAGAAAGGCTGTAGAATCGACTCAAGTTGTGGAGGATGAAGGAGAAGGAAGCAAGCCCAAAGAACCAAAGAAGAGTATAACGAGGACATCAATGAGAACTGCCGCTGAGCCTCTAGTTATGGAAAGTAAAGGAAGGTTGAGCAAACCCAGTGGATCAAATAAAAGGAAAGGTGAGTTGAATCAAGCGGAGGACGACAAGCCCAATAGGTCAATCAGGGATAAGAGACCAAGAAAAATGGAAACTGGGATATTACCCAGTTTGTGATGCACAAAGTCTTTACGCTTTTGAATATTTTCCACATCCTTGATTTCAGAGAGGTAGAATTTACTCCGATCCACAACAGGCCGATATTTGTGCGAGAACTCCCACTGGGTCGATATTAATCTGTCAAACTCAGCATCCATTAGTCAAAAAAAAAAAAAAAAAAAAAAAAAAAAAGAATCATAAACCATGGAGTTGGTTCATTTTATAAGTTTTTTTTTTAAAGAGCCTCTTGCACAGGCTGTGTCACGCGCGAACCATGCTCGGCGGATGTAAGGATGATGACTATACTATAGAAACCATTCTCGTCCTAGCATCCGGCTATACCATCTACCAGATTTAGAGGCCAAGGACTATGGATCTGTACTATATAGTACACGGATGTATTGGTCTCTAGCATTGTTGACTAAATACACCAAATAAACCTTTAGGCTCTGCTCCTTGCTGGTCGATAACCAGCCTCCTTCAAAATCTTCGTCTCTCTCGTTTCAAGTTGTATAAGAGATTCAAATCTACGGAATAGATGCCCCTATTGGCCCAGAGCGCATCTATTTAACAGACATTTCCAGTAATAAGAAATTTGTTCAGAATAAGCTATGGAATAAAGAATGAATAACAATGATCACGCTAATCGAAAGATCGAATAGGGGTAAACGATACAATATCATTGGAGTATAGACACTTCGCTACACGAAGCCTCTTCTGACCAATAGGGGCGTCTACCCCGTATAGACATTTTGTTCTCTTCGGTTTTGAAGGAGCCTCTGAAGTGGCTGACTCAAAGATGGTCTCGCCTTTGTCAGGGATGAAAACCTTGTAGAGGGTGGGATCCTTGGGCTTAATGCTTGAGTCCACAGTAATGTTCGGATTAATGGCTTTCTTGAGCTCACCAACTGAACAATCGGAAAGAATCTTTACAGGAAAAGACGTTACTTCTCTCTCAACAATACAATAAATTTGTAGGTTGGTTGGCTCGGGGATTTAGGCTCATTGGTGCTTGAAGATTCTTCATTCGCTTCTCCTTTTCTTTCTTCTTTCTTTTCATATGATTTAGTTCGAGGTGATGGGTATCATGATGGTGTTCTGCTGCCTCCCATTGTGATTTCAAAACTGTTTAGAAACAAGGGTGTAGATGGACAGAGGGCAGAAAAACAGGAAAAGTTTGGAAGTTGTGATAAAAAAAAAAACTATACCGTATTTATACATGTTGATTGGATCATAAACAATCTTCCAGCTACTGAAAATGGCTGTCGAAGATTGGATCTGTAACCAGGAAAACATTGTCAAGGGAATGGCTAACGACTTGCCTGAATTACAGTTCAACGCCGAGTATGGCGGAAGGCTCCGGCTCATCGATAGCTTTTACAGCCGTGTGTATATTCATACGCTTATCAAGGACAATTTATCGAGGAGTGGGTTTATGCAACGATTTATTCAGCAAAAGGTACAGGTCAGGAGTGGAGAGCCTAACCTGTGCCTGCCATGGAGCCAAATTGTGAACCAATGTCGATGACATTCATCTTATCCCAGCTTTTATCGAGCACACACGGTCTAATAGTTGTTTGAAATGGAGAAAGACATTTGATCGGAGACATATAACGCTCATGAACGTCTTCTTAACATTCAAGACTTCAATTGTCGTACTGGTTTCAAAGTTCTTCGATAATTGAAACCCAGATATGGATCTGGTTCTTTCTGCTATCGGATCACTTGAGCAGCCCGGAATTCTACGAAGTAAGAATCGATGTCTCAAGGATAAGGCCACTATCTGCCTTACTTCTGTTGTTACATTTGTACATTATCAAGGCCATGGATATATCTTTTTGATGATGACGAATATCTTCCACATGCATTCTCTTCTTTCATATTGTTTTACTTGCAGCCATCTTTTATTTCCTACATACCCTTGAACTTTGATGAGAAAGCTGAAAATTCAAAGTTGCTAATTGGATTTTCCCCGATGCAGAGTTTAAGGCTAAATATCAGATATTGTAATAAGCCATTCTCAGGTTTGATTAACTCGGTCAACAAAAGCAACAGTAGTGCTGAATGAAGAATATGCATGGAGGTTTCGTGAAGTCCATATATCAATTTTTTTTTTCTTTTTATCTTTCATCCTTTTCATTAGATGAATAGAAAGTGGATCTATTATAACCATCTTGTTATTACTACATAGTCAACTAACTGAGTATTCATCTCCACCATTTTATATCTTTTTAATTCTCCTCCCTGTACTTTTTTCCCTTGTTGCACAATGAATTTTCCTGTCGGCATGATATCCCGAAAATAATTATAGAGAAACAAATAAGAAAATAAAATAAAAAGGACCGATATTGTGGAATACGGATTCATCTGATCCTGGTCACAACGATTGAGATTGTTCCAAATCTTTAACAGCACTTTCCAGCGTTGGGGTCTCCAGAAGTAGGTGTTACATTGATCGTCTCTCCCCCAGTGGGTCTGATCATATCTCCTGAATTCTCCAATGCCTTGTTGGACACAATGCGGTAGATTTCTGTTACAAAAAAGAAAAAAAAAAAAAAATCAGTAACAATCTCCTTTCCATACTTAGAATGTTTTGTTCATGAAAAACTGGAGCATTTTTTTTTTTTTTTTTTTTTTTTTCGTATCTGCAGAGGTTTATCATACCTGTCAAGATGCGTTGGAAAGAAAGCTCAACATTGCTAGCATCTAAAGCCGAAGTCTCAATGAATGAAAGTCCGTTCTCAGCCGCAAACTGCTTGGCCTCATCTGTAGGAACGGCGCGCAAGTGACGCAAATCGCTCTTGTTTCCGACCAACATGATGACAATATTGGTGTCGGCATGATCGCGAAGTTCTTTGAGCCAGCGTCCTACATTCTCGTAGGTCTGATGTTTAGCAATATCGTAGACAAGTAAAGCACCGACCGCACCACGGTAATATGCAGCTGTAATGGCACGGTAACGCTCTTGTCCAGCTACAGGTTATTTTTATTATATTACCATACTATCATTATTTTGTTCATAATTTTAATGGGTTTCCATTATTACACAAAGAAAGAGCATAATCGTACGAAAATAAGATCCTTACCTGTATCCCAAATCTGTGCTTTGATCGTCTTTGCGTCCACTTGGATACTCCTGGTTGTGAACTCTACACCAATGGTCGACTTTGACTCGAGGTTAAACTCGTTCCTTGTGAAACGCGACACCAGATTGGACTTTCCGACTCCAGAGTCACCAATCAACACAACTATCAATAATAGACAAATAAATTTCTGATTAAAAAATAAAATAAATAAAAAGACGGATAGTAATCTATGGCATTGCACATTACACAGGCGCGTATTAAGCGCGACATCCCGAAGAGGCTCCAAATGATGACTCGCCCATTTTACAATTGTTTCTGCTGAGTTCATTCTCAGCTGTCCCATGTCCTGGCAAACCATAATCCAGAAAAACGTAAGGAGACAACTAGAAGGATTCTCATCACAATGAAGTAGTCATGTGTAAATCATAATGGCTCTGTACCTTTAAACAGGTAGTCGTATTCGTCGTCTTTACTCATGATGGACAGATGAGGAATATGTGGTGCGGTAAGAAAAAGTCAGAAGACAAAAAGAAGCTAAAAAATAAAATAAAACGTTCGTCACAAAAATGACTGACATCGCAAACAAACAGCATGGCCACACGATCGATGTTCCAAAACAGGAAGACAAGAAGAAAGGAATGAACAATAAAGTTCTAACGTTGTTGTCTTTGTATCCATGGAAAGAATGACCATGCGCCTTTCTGCACTGAATAATAAATGTATATTTCACACTCGCGTATGCTCTGCTCTCCTGCATGTTTCTGCTGAAGAGAGGTCTATTTTGTTAAGAGTATCTGCTAGCTAGAATCACCAATCATGGGATTAAGGTTTTCTGTATGCCAGAAAGTTTCTTTTTTCTAATATTGAGCCAGTCATGGATACGCAGAAGCATTGTCAACGAGATTACAGTCATGGTTACACGCTTTACAGAAGACGATGATGTTGCTGTTCGCTTCCGTTCCATCTATTTACTTGATCCCCATGGACTTCCTTCCAACCTTCTTATACCTCCGAACAAAGATCTCACCTACAAGAGAAACGGTACACCGTGACAATAGAGGCGCATTTGGATCAAATCCCGAGCTCGTATAATTTAATGATGCATTGTCCAAAGCAAACTTTTTATCAACTTATGACTTGAAAAATATTTCCTCTACCGTGTTGCCCTTATTTTACTTCAACTAAACGCATGATATTGTTATTCCCTTCCAAGTGGAAGCATGGGCAAGATTCCCCCCAAGCGTGCCTACAACCTGCAAATATAAGCACTATGATGGCTGCCTGTGGTCTGTGGTCTATAAAAGTATGGCAAACGCCTATGCAAATGTTCTGGAGGTCGGAGCCTTCAGGCTCTACAGAGATTACAATAATACGATTTCAAGCCTTATACATTGTTATATAGAGCAATACGCCAAGGTAGTCTCTTGATAAAAATCCTCAGTTCTTCGATACTGCCGATTAGCAGAGTTCATCACTATGTCTTGTAGCTCGCATCTGAGGGGGGGGGGGGGTACCTCGATATTCGTCTCTGTTGACGCTGAGCTATTCTCCGGCCTCATTCTACTATGTATTCCATGAACACTCTTCATTAGTCCTATTTAGCCCAATGAAAAAGTGGATTTAATAAGCTTACTGACTTTGATGAGGTGGTTTTTCAGATGCGAATCTTTCTTCCACATGGCTCTCGAGGACCACTTGTCCAATTACTTTGGAGCAGAACCTCTATCATACGCTTTGTTCCTAGGCGAGTAGCCATTAATAATCATGTACTTTGTCAATGTTCGGCCGTTGCTGTCAGTAACGTTCTTGGGTTGAACTCTCAATCATCTAGTTGTAGCTGGGCAAAAGCGACAGCGAAAAGAATATATCTCCAGAGCAAAGATTGGTAAAAGGAGGATTAATGTTGACTGGTAATGGAGACAAAAAGTCATTGTACTCTCATAGCGGGTCGTTCGGTGAGTGCCTCTGACGCTCGTAAGGTAGAAAGATCCATACATCTTTGACTGATCTTTCTCCCTAGCGCTGGTGGATGAAATAAGGACGATGCTCTGCATTGATTTAGCCTTGTAGTAGGCATATAAAATTTATTCCTCCTAATGAATACCATCGAACTGGCTGGTCTTTTTTTTTTTTTTCTTTTTTGAGGAATAAATATGTTGCTTATGCAATGGAAAAGAGTAATGCGCCAACATTTTTAAATATCGGGTCAATTAAATCGCGGAGCTCGGGTTAATGTTATGCAGATTTGGTCTCCATCCTCAGGCATCTGAGATGTTTACAAATACGTTTTTATATTCCTTTACCACCCATGCTTTGACGTTCTATCATCCTGCGATTCTATTCGTAGATTGAAAATGATAAAATTCAAGATACCAATTGGCGTGAAAGTTGGGAGCGCGCGCCTTTGTAATTTGTCGCGACAACAGCAGATTTTTCATTAATTAAAGACAATTGGGCATCAACAACGCGCATTTGATACCCACGATATTGTCCAATACCTAATGGTTTGGAAATCTAGAATAACATAAATACCCATGTCAAGTGCAAGAAGCCGAAGCACATCTCCATAGTCACCATTACAGAAGCCATCCATCGAAGTAATTATGATGTCATTATCACCTTCCCTTGTGATGCAATGCATCTCACATTGAATGAAACGTCAGGTGTCTCACAATAAATTTTATCTTTCACAAACTGTGACAGTTGGATCAGTGCAGATTGCTTTCCCACACACGTTGAGCAAGTCTGGTTATAAATATTATAAATAAGCAAGAGTTCCCCTCTAACTTTTCTCTCTACTTTTCCATCAATCACCAACTCTTTCTAATTTTACTCAACATTCAATTACACAACCACGACCATGAACTCTGAAGACAATAAGAGCGCCCAAATTGAGGAGCAAACCAATCGTTCTCCTGCCCACAAAGTCGGAGGCATGCGTGTTCCTGCCGCAGATCACCCTGTTCCCGTTGTTCGCAAGTAAGTTTTATTAATTTTATCTTCCTTTTTTTATATTCTAATTTGGAAAGACCCAAACCCAGTACTTTTTTCACCTTAATAAATAACAAAACATGTCCTTCGCATACACACGTCCTTCCTCTAGGGAGCATGATCGCAAGCAGGAAGCCGAACCTGAGAACGAGGAAGAACGTCAACTTCAGAAGTCTGAGCAATTCGAATACGAGAAGCAATCCCGTATGGCTGAGGCAGATCGTCAGGCAAAGATGTATTCCAATCAGCCCAAGCATGATCCCAAAACTGACAACTTCCGCCAGAACCAGAACATCCAAGTGAACCAGCCTGCTCGCCATAATCACATTAAGTCTGGCGCCGCTGCACTGAACTAAAAAAAAAAAAAAAGGATTACAGAACTGTTCAGCAGCAGATATTGTATATAGCTTAATAAACGATGAATCCACTTAAAACATTTTTAATACATATCAATGCCAATTTCCATCTTTCTATGAAAACTAGCTTACCGAACCTGCTACATCAAATACAACACTCTCCATTCTTTTAGGTATTCCTTGATATCTGTTAGCACATTACATTAGCTTAAATGGAAAAAAAATTCTAAGTGTATTTGTCCTAACTAAAGTGCTATTCTCCTCTACCGACAAAACCGGGTTACCGGCCTCGTTTAACATCTGGTTTTAAAAGCCCTTGGCGGTCAGCCACTGACGAACATCATCCATTACCAAGCCTTTAAGGATCACGTGATTGTTACGATCATTAACACGGACTTCTGTTCCTGGATATGTCTCCAATATGTCAGTCCTTAATGCCTTGTATTTAAAAGAAAAATAGGTGAATTATGTAAGCATTCCACCTCATCTTTGACAATATCAATCTTGCAATATAACAACAGCAGTAGACTTGGAAAAACAAAGCGCTCTTTTTTTTTTTTTTTTTTTTTTTTTTTTTTTCAGATTCCACATACTTTTGCATTTCCTTGAATTTTACGAATAACAGTCAGAGTACGGCTGCCAGCATTCCTGAACTCAGAGTAAACGGGTAGTTGTCCTGATTTCGTACGCTCTACAAAGTATGACCTTGGCAATGGTGACTTAAACTTTACGGTTGTTGATGTTGTTGAAGCCGTTGATGCTGATGCTGATAACGAATCTATGCCCGTAGTTGTGGTTGTGGCTGTAGCTGCTGGAATTGCAGAGGCATTGGTTGAAGGGGCTAAAGTCAAGGAAAATTCATTTAAAGCCATATGGTATTAGGAAAAGCTGTGTCACACGTTACTCGAGCTTGGAATGATTGAGAAAAGTCCTTCAGATTTAATAAAAGCTCTTCTCTCCTACTGCTGGTGAAAAAAAGTTTCCCTTCACTTTTTCTTCCTCTCATTCATCCTTATTGCCTCGTTATATTGAGCCTCTAGTTACATTTACTGTTCTTGTAATGGTCTATGCCCTGTTTCTAAACACTAAAAAATGAAAGTTATGCTTGTTTACCTTACCATTGAACATGCATGAAATGGAGAAAGTACGTAAGTTGCGTCCAACAATGGGCCTTGTGGTAACAAACATGGTAACAATGTGTGGCAGTTTTTTTTATTAGAAAAAGAGAGCGAAAGTAAAGAATGTGAAAGTTCGGAAGACATGTTGTTTACTATTGTTACTTTTACTTTCTTTGTGACTGTCCTGCTCAGTTTCTACACCCAAGACATCCAACCAACCCAGGCTCGCCCAAGAATGTCTAAATCTGTTGCCATATCAATCAAACATTCAATCTGAGCCTGCACACTCGCACACACTCGACCGTGCCGAGCGCGGACATTGTGCAGACTGTCGCCCATCGCAATCTTCGTAATAGCTGCCAGGAAAGGCTTGTTTGCGTGGCCCATATTCAGTTCTTGTACAGTCAAGTATACTGGGTTGTGTCCTTCCAACTTCTTTCGAGCAATATCCATTTTCTGTTGGAGGTACCACGCTGGAGGCGCTATACTGTCCTCGTCAATTTCAAATGAATCCATATCTGCGCCACGCTTTTCTAAAAAATGATTAATAAACATATAGAACCGGAGTCAGAATATGGATTGAATCACCACATTCTCATTGGAAACTACAAATGGTTATAGGGATACACTTACTCTGTTCTTTCGCCTGATTGATAGCATATTTACGCCAGTCCAGCAGTGGTTCTTTCACAAATACATCCATTGTATTCAAAATCACATCTTTCTTTGCCTGAAGCGCCTTCATGATGCACACCATGGGATGCTCAAGCAGACCTTTAGTACCCAGTGGGTTCAAGAAGGCTACTAGCTGTCGAGTCAAACGGAACGGCGCTAGTTCAGGCACCGGGAGGACCTCCGTAGCAGAGCCAAACGCATGGCCAAAGTCAATAGGAATCAAGCAACCGCTCGACATATCTAGTAAAAAATTCTCCAAGTGACGATCGCCAATGCCAAGGATATAGGAGCAGACATTGATGGCCGCCAAACTCTTCGTGAACTCGGATCGTAACATCAAAAATGCCTCAGGAGAAGCAGCGAGCCGTGAGATTGATTGTCGAAGATAATCCTCTCGAAATTGGTTGTACAGGCTTTCCATGTGCTTGACAACTTTTTCGCGAGTGCCATTAATAAACAGATTATGGTAACCTAAGGAAAATGAAATGGACTTAATTAACTAAATTATCCAAAACCAAAGATAGCTTGCCTTCTAAAAGCCATCCAAAACCTTTAACACACCCATCATATCTCCTTTGAAAGACGCAACAAACTTGTTATACTGATCCTGGGCTCTTCGCCATGTTTCCTTATGAGGAATCTCGCCCTCAATGCAGTGTCGCAGAGGCTTAGTGTTATCTACCCACTCCAAGACACCAAGCGAGCTTGACATAGGGATGACTTTGTAAGTCCCAATGCAGAAGTTTTGCTGGGAGCATTGCGGGTCTTTCCGCATAATATCATTCATTAGACTAAACAGCTGCTGAATACGTTGATCGAGCCTAAGATCCTCTCCGCCCTATTGTAGCCAATCAACCAGCATTAGGATACATGATTTAATCATAACGAATCTTCCAACATAGTAATGTAGGCCTGTGCTTCGGGCTATTAGCTTACTTTGACAAGGAAAAGATGCTCCTTTTCGTCACTCCCGAGGATAGAAATCCTCTTAGGCTTTCGAATAGAGCTCATCACAAGGACTCTTTGATCAAAACGCACAATCGTTGCTGTCTGCTGACTGTTGGGCGGTGTCAAACCTGAGAATTGCCCAGGAATGTCGATAACACCATCATAGTCCGAAGCCTGAAAAGCGTGTAACCTATATTACGGGTTATTTCCACCAAATGAAAGTGAGTTTCAAAAAACATGACTTTGAGCAAAAATAAGCAACGTCGCTTCAAGTATATAGGCTTACCATGGTGAGTAGGCCTTCAAAAGATCTGCATCGCTTTGTTTCTTTGAAGCGTCTTTAGAAAGAATTTCATTGCGGCAGAACTTGAGAATATGCGAATTGAAATCACGGTTACTGATGGTTGCCAGCTTCTGACCAGTTTTACCTAAATTGAAAGTGTTAGTGTGGAAAAAAATAAAAAAAAAAACTATCAGGATGAGTTTTTCATGGCCAGGGAGCGCAGAAAAGAGCTAAAAGTTACCACAGAGGCTCTCCATTTTAGAACCATATTTCGCAGCGAATGCCTTGGCAATTGATCCCAGGCGAGGATTGCCAACATCCAAAACCAGACGATGGAGATCTTGGTACAACGCCATAATTTGCTCTACATTCCGTGTCTTGTTTTGAAACAATGCCTAAATCCAGCAAATACATCAAGTCCTTAGTGTCATACAATATGAACATCAGAGACATATTTTGTGAAATAACATACCACAGTTTGCTCGAGCCAATCTTTGATGAGATGATCTGGATTGGTAAGGCGTCTTAACTCGAAAATAAAGTCCTCTTTTAAAGGCGAAAATACGGTCTTTTTTAAGAAAGCAACGTCTTGCATACACTTCTCCCCTGCGGGACCTTGCTCAAACGCAAAATTTTCTGCACTAATCGTCAAAGGATAGTACAGTGCGTTGGGGTATTGAAGCGCAATCTATTTTGGAACATATTGACAAGGTTGTACTGTCAATTCGCCGATCACCACAGAGCATAAAAGAAACAGCGAATTTGCTGCAATAACATACCGATTTGAGAATCGGCATTACACAGGCGCCGATAGGTTTATCTAGCACAGCCACCATTTGCTGTATCCATCGGACAAATGTCCAGCTTCCCGAGAGGTCGGTTACCTATTACAGAACATAGTTGCTGGCTATCAGTATATTTGAGTGAGCGCAGATAATAGTTTTCCATGTTAAAAAGTACGTACCATCTCTGTGAATGGCTTTTGGCTAGAGGGGTATATCTCGATGATTTGAAGCAGACGAGGGAATAACTCTGTGGCACCAAGTTCTCCATCCCGAATCGATAGCAATGTATTTTTGATTACAAGATTCGCATGTACAGCCAGATCTTTCGTGCTCTGTATCGTCAATGAAAATAAAAAAAAACAAAAATAATAAAAAGATGAATAAGTATTCTTGAGGGCAGAGTACATGCATATTCTGTAGATCAGAGAATTGCTTACGAGAATTGATGATTCGCCCCCCTCCTTGCTCCTTTCGTTCTCATGATGTCTTAAGACTTTATCGCAGTACGATGCAGTGTTTAGACGGAGTTTTCTGACCATCTAGGATAAAAGACACATCTCGTTAATGGCAAGTCGCACTCCATAAGCCAAGTGAATGTAGCATAAATAAAATAGCACTCACATCCTCGCCTATCTCGAGCGCCGCTGCTGCCCGCAAGCACTCATAGCCTCGCTGCTGCAGCTTCCGGAAGATATCAGCTTCACCAGCTTTAGAGCTAATTAGACTTTGGGCCCAAACGTTCGACTTGAGATGGCTCCATATGGTGCGGTCATCTGTAATTAGCTCACGCAAAAGGCTGTACGCCTTACTTCCGAGCATATTCAGCCCTGCGATCTGAGTCGAATCAAAGTCACGGTCGTTGCTCTGAAATACAATGAGGACCTTGTGGTTAGCTTTGCCAGCAAACCCGATTCGTTGAGCAGAAGAGCAATCAAGTTGACTACCAACCCATTTGTACTTACAATATACTCTTCAAACTTGGATAGACTATCAGCTAAAATACCAGCCTTGACTACTCGATCCATCTCCAACGTTGCTCTGGCGAGATCAAGCTTCAGCTGGCTGTAGTGGATATTGTAGGATGATGCTTGGAGTTTTTGCATCGAGGCAACGCAGGTATTGGCAACATAAAAGTTACCTTGGTTACGAGCTGCTGCCGACATTTTCATAAAGCTACGAATGCGATGGTTGGTAACTAAGGTCTCTTGCCTCCTTGAGTACTAAAACATTGACGAGATGAATTGAATGGCCCAAAATAATTAATAACTTAATTATATAGTTAGATTGTGTAGTAGATGCAGTATAACTCACAGCGGTGTAGTCCTCTAGGCGTTGGATCATGAGCTTGCGGTCATCAAGGACGTTGCTCCAAGTCACCATGGTATCTGTTGATACACTAGGAAATCGATGATCCCACTTCGAGATTAAAGAAGCTAGAAAGCTTGCCATGGGATCACGTAGGGCTTTATCAACAGCACCTAAGAATTCCTCCAACTCAACAACCTACAAACATGAAAAAGATAGAGAGAAAGTAAGTCAGTAGTCAACAATACATGTATAAATAGAAGCGAAGGAAGTAACGCCATTCCAGTCTAACAAAAATGCATGTATACCCTTTGCAGATTCGCAAGCTCATGTAAACGGGGTTTTTCTGAGAGAGGATGGAGGTTGGACCAGATGGAAAGGAATCGATTATAAGACCTTCGGACATAATGGGATGCTTGCTTGAAATCCCTTCTCATTACAGCGGCAAGGGCGAGTTCTGGTACATATAGTAAACATAGCATTAAACTCCATAAAGACGCTCAACTGATGGCAATCATCTACAAAGCACTTTTAACCAAAACAAGGCCTACCTGGTTGATATTGTGTTGTCAGAATCTGGCGGTGGGAGGGATTGTTCATGGCTTCATCAATAAATTGGAAGAGAGGGTTAGGGTTTTCTGCCGTCCAGAACTCCAACATCTCCGATTCTCGTCTTCCATCAACCAATTTGATATAACTCGTCAGGAAATAATGCAAGTAAGGGTCTTGATAGTCCTCTGTCCATAACTCCTGCGAATCGTTGTCTAGGTCCGACATCATATTTGCCTCTAGGTAATCCCAATCGCCCAAATGCTCAAGGCACTCCAAACGACCATGGGCCCAAATACTCTGCTCCACATCGTCTACATGGATCTCATTTGCAAAATGCTTTGTGATTCCATCAAAATAGACCTTGACCGCGCGATCATAATCTCCAACAACCTCAGCTTCGATTGCCTGCTTCGTAAACTCCGTTGTAGCAACTTTAGTCTCATAGATACTTTTGAATACATCTTTTTCATCGATCGATTTGTAAATGCGTGCAAGCTCAATCCAGCTACCTCTCTTCGGGTCATGACTAGTTGCTCCACTGGTCTTTAAGCGTTTAACTGATCTCTCTCTTGAGCCATGTTCTTGGATTTGTTTTTCAATTAAGATGATGCCAAGGTGCTGATTTGAGCTTCGAATGGATGCCTTAGCAACTAATTCAGCAGAAATATCAACTTGGCCGTAATCATGACAAATACGAAGAATGCTTCCGATGAAGGGCGTATAAAGAGTTGTAGATTTTTGCAAGATGTTCTTAAAGTCACGTATCAGTCCATCCTTGAAAGATAGAGCCTCTTCCTCCTTGTGAACATTATGAAGATATCAATGCGTCGTGTTATTAATAATGCGCGGACATAAAAGATATCCGTTGTTGAGCAAAGAAGGATTCAACTTACACTTTCCACATGTGAATCAATTTGGCCTATCAAACTGATAACAAGCTTACTAAAAAGCATTCTACAGATCTCGACATCCATCTCTGCCAAACTCTTTAGTGGCCGAATAACGTCAGAATATGCAATTTGAATATCTGGCAGATCTCCCTCCCTGTATTTTCGAATGATAGAAACACTTTTAGCTCTCGCTATCTCTTTGTTAGCGATTGCCTGAGCCTTGTTCTGCACCTTAGCCTCATATGCACGCCTGTATCGTTGCGATTGTTCTACTTCAGTGGCATGAACATGCCGCATTTGAAGGCGACGATACTTTTGGCTTCTATCCAATAACGATCTGTATAGAGCATAGAGCAATGTTGAATAGGCCAGTAATTAGCTAACCGAAAACAAGTTTTGTAGCTCATACTTTAAAATGGAAAAAATCACATACGCCTCAAGTGAGAGTTTTGGGGCTGCTCCTTGAACTGGAGTATTTCTGAACATCAATGTTGAGCTTGGATTAGCGGCTCCACCTAGTTGAGATCGGATTGCAGGTGCACCTCCGTCCAAGGTCATGCTGAACTCAAATGTGGACTGGGTAGCTCGAAGCTCATCTTCGCCCAAGGTCCAGCTATCGCTTATAAGCTATCCAGAAAGAAAAATATCCATCAAAGTCAGCTCATTCGAATCGAGAAAGAACTAATACTTTTCAAGCCCAAAATGCTTTTAAAACCGATATACCTGAGATTGGCTTTGTTGAGTATTTACAAATAGCGGTGTCATCGCCACTGTATGCCTCCAAGATGTGTCGATACTTGCGTAGCGTTCGTTAAATTTCGCATTGGGCAGTGGTTCCTGAAAAATAGGCTCCGTATAATCAGGACTTTTCTTTGTCCGGTCTAACAGCATGTATGTCGCATAGTTCAAAAATATGTCCTCTGCCTGGACATCATACATGTTTCTATAGTTACGGGAGTTTATTTTCATAACATTAAATTATAAGGAAAGTAAGAAAAAATAGCAATGGCATTATTATCAAAAAATATAAATAATAATAAAAAAACATGTACCTGATAATTTCGCCTAGACGCTCAAAAGTATTTGATGGCAATCGGTCCTTGCTATACCAGAACTCTACAACAGTGTGTCGAATCGACTCATTCGTGTCACCAAGTCCGCGCAGGAGCTGTGTTCGCAGCACGTTAGCTACTTCAGGGGTAGTAGAGTGCTTGTCGAATAGTGTCATGAGAATCGAATAGTATAATTTCTAAAAAATAAAAAAGTAATAATCACAAAGCGCTTAGCAGCATATTCTGGCAGAGTATATTGAAGCGCCTAGAAACTCGTACAAGGCCGCATTACCCTGCACTCGACACTAGGATGATGCGAAAACTCAAGCACAATCGTATCCAAAAAGTAGAGTATTTGATCCACCTTCAGGGACTCCCAAAGGGCGTAAATGATGGAAAGAGCAGCAAATTGCGTTCCTTCGTCTCTACCAATAGGAATAGTAAATGAGATAGGAGTAGCGCTACTTAATCAAGGATTCATCGCTTTAAAAATAAAACAAAAAAAAAAAAAAAAAAAAAAAAGAACAGGATGCATTAAAGCGCTAGGCTAACTAACCGGTGTTTTAAGCAGCCAAGGAAGTTTAATCCTTGTAGCGACTGAAAAAGATCTGGACGATGAGCGGCTCTGCCAGAGAATATTTCAAGAGCTAGTCTGCGTTCTTCGCCGAGAAGCTGAGGGAATAAAAATAATAGCCTTGGGCCAAACGCATCAGTGATTTCTGGAAAATGAAGCTGCACTTTATGCAGGCAATTAATGAACGACACCGACTTTCCACTTTTGGTGTGTGGTGCAGGGCCAGACGTGACCAAAAGTTCCGAAAGCTAGTAAAGAGCGTATATTACTATCTTTAGTCTTGAGGTAGTAGCAGTGGGATTGGAAAAAGAGACTGCTGCCTGTGATATGAATACCTTCTTTGTGACCAGGTCTTGAAAGTCATTATCCAAGCTATTGTGTCTCTTCATATACGCCAGAACTAAACCACAAACTTCAGCAGCCGAAGAATAAACAGCTTTTTGGGAACTACCCATATTCCGAACCAAGGCTTCATAGTAATCTGATTCTCGCAATGTACCAAGGTCGATTTCCGGGCCTCTGTAGAATGGTGGATTGTCGTGAGTCAAAACAATTCCGAGAAGCTGAATACCAGTGATATTCCTTTTGTCATCTTTAATGTTTTTGAAATTGTTGTAAATGATTGTCTGTGAATAAATTAAAAAAATAAAAAAAATAAAAAAAATAAAAAAAAAAAAAGAAAATCTATCAGCATAGACAATATACGAGCAGATTGCAGATGCATGGGTTGCAACATGGGAAATTTGTTACATACCGTTGGAACAATCGCAATATTGGACCAGTTTTCGAACGTCCCCTTGATCAGATCGATGTTATTCAGTAGGTACTGTCGCTGCTCATGATAACAATTTTTCATCAGATAGCTCTAGCAAAACAAAAAAAAAAAAAAAAAAAAAAAAGAGAGTAGGATATGGAAATGGATATGAATACAAATCGGATACGTGATAAGTCAGACATACTATCAATGTCATTACAAACGACAATAAGCGAAAAGGTGTCTCACCAAAAAACTCAAGAGTAGCACGCGATCATCATAAGAATCTTCAAGTTTCACAGACCCACCCCATACGACGATCAACACGCACAAATCCTATCACGTACCAGTAAATGATGAAAATTAGCCTCATGAGATAGCCATTATTGTCACGTTGTTTCCAAAATCACATTTTTACCTGAACAAAGTAGTTCATAGCTTCGCCGTATTGTTCGCCTTCTATTGCCAACTTCATCAACGATCGGATCCATGAATGCGCATACATCTCAAAAGCCTCAGGAATGTTGATGACAATCTTCGCTAAAAACAGACGAACATTCAGATTGGTATCTAACAAGTAGAATATCTTAATTAGCGAGTGTGTACGCTTATACATTACTGCATCAAGGATATGGTATGTCTGGAAAGGATATTATACTTACTAGGATTAACCAGCTTCCGGTGAATATCTTTCATCCAAGATGGCATCGCGCTGTCTTCTTTGGCCATCTCTTTTGGGGGAGGAGTAATACTCGTATGCAGCTCATTAATAACCAAAAGGATCATCTTCATGCAAGGATTAGAATTGATTGCATCCAACTCAAGCATATGCTCTTCTTCTTCTTTCCTAAAAGATCAAACCAAAAGATTAAAAGGTCTTAATAACTTTTTTTTTTAACAAAAAAGAAAATAATAATAATAATAATAATAAACGGACGAATATTTAAGCGAATGATTCTTTAAGTCTTACTTGACTTCACTCTTGACGGCATTTGGATTGGGGCCAGAGAGTTCAGGCGTATCTTGATTGCCCTGATTGGTTGTTCCATCATCCAGATCAGTATAGACCTCACTTTCACCTATCATCCCTACACTCTAATACACTAAGAGTATCAGTATTTTGAAAACCTGAAATACGCTACATATTTCCCATTCGAAACAATTTACCTGTGAGAGGCTACTGTCACTAAGGTACTGCGACGACATGTAGCGATAGTTTGTGCTATACCTATAACATATAGTGACAGAGACTATTCAGTATCTTTGTGCTGTCTTGAGTGGCTAAAGTGGTGGCCGCATTCAAACTTACGTTTTGTTTGGATTCAATGATTTCGTACGAAGATCGGATAATCGCGTCTTTACAAGAGGACCAGAAAGAACTTGTTCAAAATGGTATTTTGCCTATTTCAATTCATTAAAAAGGTCAATGATAATTATAACACTAAAAATAATAGAAATGGAAACAATAGAGAGAGAATAAGGAAAGAGGGGGGGGGGAGCGGGGAATATGAAATCAACAATATACGTTTGATACCTCCAGGTCAACAATATTTTCCCAAACAAACTCTTTCTTGGCCTCGTTATCGCGGAACAGGAACTGACGGAAAAAATCCTCCTTCCGCTGGGTGCACAAAATGGCTGATGCAAGAGCATTGTATGCTGCACGCTTATAGTCCTCCCTCAAGGCAGCTGTTTCTGGAGTCATTGGTGTCTATATGCATGGGTCACATGTCAGTTAATCCGGGATACAAAAACTAGAATTCACAACCATACAGGCAGATTAATCACTGCCACTCACCGAGTCTTGTTTGAACTTGGCTGCATTTGCGGTCCTAAACACGTCTACTGTGAGTTCTTTTCCAGTAGTGGTCTTATGACCGGTGAATGCATCTACAATCTTACTATCCTTAGTGTTGACCATTTCTGAAGGCAATCGCATATATAGCACATGTACAAGACCATAGCAGCACTCGCGCTCTATATAATCTCTACGCATCTCTGTGTCCGTGGAGCGAGGCGTCTCTTGCTTAATCACACCCATAATTCGCGCAATATTCAGCACGTAAAACTCAGAAACGCTTAGTGTAGGCAAGGCCTTTAACATGGGCAGCAATATTTGATGAATAATATTCCGCCGGTGCTCATCTGAGTGAGTGCGTTTGATGAACTCGCTATGAATAAACAATTAATAATTCACATAGTAATCGAGAAGAGGATACTACTTTTAGTGTCTGCCAGGTGGTGGCATCATGTAAGCCTTTGATATACTGAACTGCTAATGAATATGATGCAAGCATAGAAAATCATTACTCGAAGCAATAGCCCGTGATCTCCAGGACCTTTGAGAGAGGCTGTTTTAACGCGAACGACGAGATGTGCTGCTGCATCTGCTCCATATGCGGGTGATTTGATTCCCGTATAGCAATGCCCATCAATGTCTTGAACAGACTGAAGCTGGAAGAGGCGACCAAAGCCTTCAAGAGGAGATCGAGTGCATTAATGTAATCCTTGAACCTGAATTGAACAATACAGTTCAAATACATTAACAACAAATCAAGTACATTCAAAAAAGCAACCATTAAATCATTTTCACTTACTTGGATGACCCTCGCTCGTACTCGGTAGAAGACATTGGCATTAAATTCAAAACAGCCCTATTGAATACAGACTCAAACTAGAAGGGGAAAATGAATAACAATGCAAAGTGAATCCATAGTTTAAAAATACGGAGAATAATAACTCACTTCGACCGTTCTCTGCCCTGGGTACGTCAAGAAGACCGGAAGGATAGGAAATGCCTCAGACATGACTGGAAGCGTTAAATACTCTCTCTTGTCAGGATCACGTTCGAAAAAGGATTGAAAGATCTTGAAGAAATACTGAACGAATGTATCTGTTTTTGAGTTCCGAAGGATCCTGGGGCTAAGCGCTACGAGCCGTTTCCAAATTGCAACTGTCATTGATATTTGATCCTTTCCAAGATAATTTACACTGAAGGAGAGTTGATTAGATACTGACTTAATAATTTCTCTTTCTCTTAAGTAATGCGTCTATCCAATGACTTCTAATTACATACATGCTCTCTAATGTTGAGTAATCCTTTGTCAACTATCAAGAACAAAATCGTGTGAATAGACCACAGGTTATTAAAGCAATATAGTTATAAATGAAAATCAATTATTAGCAACTGTGTATACCATGTCCAGGAATGTATCCTTCTCTGTGCTCAATTCTGGATGGGAATACATATAATCTAGGAAATCATTCCAGATCGCAAGTACAAAAGGGTTGAACTCTGCAGCACACGATATGACAGGTGATAATTCTACAAAATGCAACGCAATTTGGCGATTGATGACGTCCGCGTATTTCAAATATATCATCTTCGCTTGCTCAAAGTGTTCGGAGTCCTATGTAGCGATAGAAACTAGGGTTAAAGAACATATTTTTTTCGCTAAAATAAAGCGCTTGGAAGATAGTTTCATACCAAAAGGTAATCCCAAAGGCGCTGTCGGCACTGACGCTCGCCCAAAGAGAACTGCAGAAGTGCACTACAATAGTTAATCCAGAGTGGGTCCCGTGTGCTTTGCATTGACATAAAGACCTCATACAAAGAAGCAATATAGTGACATGCTTTATGAGATGATCCATCGAACATACTCTCCAAGACATCGCACTCTCGTACCAACTCGAGGCCATCAATAACTGCCTTAAACCTTATCGGGTCTTGCCCTATAGTTGAAACAACTATGTAAGTAACGTGCGTTTCCAATACCATGACTTTTTCGCTTCAAAAAGGGTTGGAAATATACCTTTGACATCAGGTGAAGCCGACAGGGGGATCAAGTCTCCAGATGATATGGCCTCCATGAGCATTTCGCCGCATGAACGAGTGATACTCATAGGTAACTTACTTATAACTCTCAGGGCTACCTTGAGTTCATCTCTTAATATTGTAAGCTCTTCGCTGCCTTTCAAGAGCTGATCGCTTCCGATACTGTCTGGATTGAAGAGACATGCCGCCAAGACTGCAAAAAATCTCGAGTCAAGAAGACCGGATGCCTGAAGCTGTGCTATAAACTTTGTGTCACCACGGCTTTGGCTCTGTGAGGCTACGATTGAAACGAAGGAAATGGCCTTCCTAGCTGTCATGAGATTCTGGTCCATGATCTGTTGCCGCTCTGATGGGGTCAATGTTGTCACCATATCGCCTCGCTTTAATTCACGCGGAAAGAGAAGGCAATGTTCTAGAAACTTGGTAGACGTGTTCATGATGGCCCCCTTTTCGAGTTGCGCCAAAAGCAGCTCTGCACTTCCAGGATGATTCAGCACCCAGATATAGTTAGTGAGTATTGAGGCTAACTGTGTGCACCACTTCCGATACGCGGTGGGTTGAGTAAATGTCTCTGAAGTATACTGAGGGCATTGATAGAGAGAGGCCACAAAGCCTGCATTATGTGTGATTTTGGCGCCAATCCATGTTCCCGAAGATGGAGACCCTATGTACAGGAATGAGTTAAGGCTACGGTTTAACCATAAAGTCCAAGCAGAAAAAAAAAAAAAAAAAAAACGAAGTACCAGTCAATTTCAGTAGTGTGTCTCACCTGGTAGTAGCTTCACAAAAGAATCAAAAAGCATTCGACATATCTTTGTATATTCCATTTCTGGCCTAGATGTTTCTCGTAACAACCAGTGAACAAGACCATCGATTGTAGCTTCCTCTAAACCTGGGATTCGCCTACGATCCTTTGAATCCTTCAGAAACAAGGCTGCTTTGACCTGGACAATTCTTTGGAGACGAGCGATAGCCAAACAAGCTTGATGTCGGGTGCCGAGGCCAGAATGATCCGTTTCTGCAAGTCGCAAACTAAACAATAACCAGTACAGCAACTCCATTGTGAATTGATTGACAAGTGGTGCTTCTTCTCGAAAGACTCTATAAATTCGATTAACGATGAGTGAGGCCCCTAATCGTTTAGTGGGGTTTGAATGAGATGCGAGACTATAGATCCGTTTTAGCAATGATTTCACATTCGCAGATCCAGACTAGTGGCAAAGACAAAACAGAAGGGTGTTTAGTATAGATTGGTGAGTGGCTCTTCAACATGACTTAGGATGGTGCTGAATTAAATAATTAAAACATACAGAGCTTGATGAGGATTGTTTGATTGACCATTTAACGAACTCGCCAAGGCATTCAGCTCCGTAGTCCCGAAGAGGCCCCATTGTATCGCATGTAGCATCTATGCAGGTGTTTAATAGCACGATTGTTTCTGGGTTTTCGTACTGAGCATTGTTTGTCAACCAATGGATCAACTGTGAAACCAATGGACGGAACAATGACCGCGGAACCTGATCTACATCCACTGCTAGGCGGAGCAACGCCGGGAAGAGTTTGAGGAATAATTTATGGAAGGGGCTCTAAACGTTTCAGAATAGGAAGGAAAATAATATTATCTTGAGTCATTCTCAGCGTAGCAATGATTAGAGAAAGAGGACAAAAGACTCAACCATAGGTAACGAAGCCCTAAAAAAAGTTACGTACTTTCTTCGAGTCCTGCGCATCACGAGCGCGGAAAGCACTGGAACCAATCATGAGGATCATTAAGGAATGAAGCAACTCACAGCTGACCACCTTAATTTGTCGACTGAGAGAATTCTCTGCAAGATCCACTATTCGTGGAAGCATCTCGTCTAGTTTTTTTTAAGATAACACCAATTATTAATTGCAAATAGCCTCATAAAAGTGAGGAAAATGCGCTTAAGAGTGATTTTCGCAATCATACGACTAAAACTTACCAAATTGAAGCTCAGCTTTCATCTCCAAAAAAGGAAGCTTTAATTTCAATCTCGTTTCGGGGTCCCAAGCAAGTAGATCGGATGTGTTTCTCTTGTCAACTTCGTCTGCAGTTCGTTGTGCCAAGATGAGTTTATTATATTGCGCTTGCCGACCAAGGAGCCGTAAAATACGTAGCTGCAGATCTCTCATGGATTCAACTTGCTCCGGAAGGTTCTATAGTGGCATAATAGCAACAAGCGAGAGAGAGTCAAGCGAAGATTCAAAAGACACAAACTGTTTGACGTCGATTTAAAAGCTCAAGTACTCACCGGTATGGATGCACTCCGTGCAACAACCTTATATGACTGGCTCTGACGCGCTGATCCTTTTTGCTTTGATTTCAGTGATGTTGCTTCGGGTAAATCATTGTCTCCGTTGACAGTTAACTCAACCATCAAATAATCACTCAAATATGGCAAGACCTGACTAAGCCAAATCTCTTGACCATGATCAATAATATCAACCCATCGCTCTATGGCCTCCATCGCAATAGATGCTAATGGAAAATATCCTAGTCCAAGCTTGAGCGCCAGCTTAATCGGGGGAATAATATTGCTAGGCTCTATAAGAGCGGATGGGCTTGACAGCACCAAGTGTAGGCATGATGCTAGCAGATCGTCCTTGTATTGCTCGAGTCGCGCGAGCACCTCATAAATGTACTTTTTGAATAGAGCGGCTGCGCGATGAATATCTATTGTATCATCTTCGATCTATGTCAGGTAAAAGATAAACCATTAAGTCAACTCAGTAATGCTGCTCGCAATTACGGACCTATAACTTAATAAGTAAAATAAAATAAACTTTACAAATATACCTTTATACGTTCCATGAGACTTTGCTTCTGTTGGAATAATGAAATCGACTGGCAGACCTGCAAACAAGTGGCAAACATCTTGTAAAATCCACTGACAAGAGGATGTTTCGAGGAGAGCTCGATAAGTGTGCTTCCAATTACGTATGACCAGGATTTAAACAGATCTGGTCTGACTTCTGGTAGGAAGACTTGCCAGAACTCTGTTAGGTTCTGGAAAATTAGGAAGTCTTTAGCACAGTTGGCCTGCAAACTAGCTATGTCACCAGACATAGGCCCAACTGTAGATACGGACATTGGATCTACATCAATTACTTTAATGTCTGCATCGACTCCCTCCTCCAGATCCGTCTCCGATTCGGAGACCGTGAGGTTTAATAGCAATATCAGGCGCTTGAAAGATTCCATTGTACATCCATATACGACGCAAAGAAATCTTTCAAGATCCTCACCGGAGATGTCTATACGGGTTTTGTTTAGGTCCTCGATGAGAACAGTTGGTTTGAAAATGTTCCGCCATAAAAATAGATATATACTATATGAATGCCATGCTATTTGATCCGTCGTAATTGTTTGGTCAATCCTGTAGGATGGGGGTTGTGGCCTTGCGATGTCTGCAGATGTGAATACAAGCAGCTTGTATGCTAATTTGACCGTATTTTGATGATTATCCAAAGGTAAGCGGTTCTTGCCTCACTGTATATGGTAATAATATTAAATATTATCATATTCTTATGTGATAAACTTACAAAACTTGTCAAAGAACCCTCTCAGAGCTCCCTCGCCCTTATAGAAGAGCATGACAAGCAGCCTCACAATCGAGATTGTGCAATCAATTCGCGCATAGGTCGACATCCGTATGAAGTTGGCAATCGCTGCGTTCACCATTTGGTTCAGTGCTGACATTAAAAGCTCTGGAACCTCAGTATAAACTCGTGCAACATTCGTATAGGCAGAGATAAATGCTGCAAGATGAGAGGTTGAACCATCGACCCCTTCATTCAGATTTCTATAGTGAGCTCAATAGTGCCTAGTGAGAAACCAACTTAAATCTATACAGCTAAACATTTGAAAAGATGATATGCGGCTGCACTCACGATGATACGAGGAATGAACTCTTTCGGAGAAGCTGCACGAGAAGGTTTTTAAGCTGATCTGGTGCAATATGTTTACATGGCTCGGCAAAATATCCGTAGCCTCGGATCGCGACTGACATTGCTTTGTACTGGGCGGTAGATGTTACCACCTCTGTACTGATAATCTGAGTGAAATTTGCAGTAAAAAACTATTCCAATATTGATAGTATGAGCCTTTGTCAGCATAAACTACCGTAGACTACCCTGTGTTATACTCCATATTAGACTCAATACTTTACCAAGAAGCAGTTGTATTCTCGCTCTGTAATCTCTGTTGATGTTAATACATTCGCCATCTATCAAGAGCACAAATGTTGGTTACAGTTTGTTTTTGCTAAATTCGTAATTACAAATTTATCATTCACCTCAGCTCCACTTTATCGATATTACCTCTTGCAGAAAAACATCCAATGAGTTATATCCACATTTCGACATCCCGCTGTGTGAATGTTCGCAATACCCTGCGATCCGCTGATACATCCATTCATATATATCAATCAATTTTGAGCGGAATAGGTGGATATGGTGCGCAAAAAGGTCCATAGCAGCTTTTTTTTGAAAGAAAAAAAAAAAAAAAAAAAAAAAATAGCAAAACATCAGTAGGTAACAAAGACAGACCAGATAATGCACATCTGCAGTTTTTTACTATCACACTGCGGAGCATACCAATAGGTGTTGCAAATCGGCTTAGGTCTTCTGGGACGTTGACTAACGTTTTAACGAGCTGTAGTATCGTAGGCACATCTTTCGTGACTTTATCCGCAAAGCTGTAGAGACAGTTGTCCAGCCCAATGAGTGCCCCTGCTACTAAAGTTAGCTCCTGCTTTGCGTTGGGCTTTAGCTGCTCCTGGATTGTTGTCAGACACCAGCGCACAACCATAGACTGACGCTTCTCTGCCACCTTTGGGAAATATCGAGAAATGATTCCAAGCACCTCTAGCACTTCCGCTTTTACAGTTGCCACCATTTTTGACTGCTGAGTTCCATATGCTTCAAAGATTCGCTCGAAAAGCCCCCCTATCTCCAACACCTCTGGATCAATCATTTTCGAGCATGATGATAACAAAATCTTGATCGGCAACATTGATGATTTTTTGACGCGAGCTGTACTGTCATTCAAAAAAAGGTTCAAACAAGTCCTCTGTAGGCAATAGCAGTATTAAAAAAAAAAAAAAAAAAAAAAAAAAAGAGGAAAAGGAAAATGAAAGGAAAAGATATAAGATACAGGGATAAGCAAGGACAAATAACCATTTTAGTTCTTGTAGTTTTTGGTCTGCATCTTGCCTTAATATCGACGATATATGGTGTAATGGCGTTACGCGAACGACTGATAAACTCGGCAGTAAACTCAAGAAAAGTGACCTTCGCGCCAGTATGTGCAGTCTTGTCAAGAGCTTTTCTGAGAAACAACATAATACCCCGCTCTGGGTTGAAGAGGAGCGAAGTCGCCATATCTAATGATCATATGAAGCCGACTTCTGAATTAGTCTCCGCACAAATTGAAGCTGCGTTAGGTATAAGTTGCACAAAGCTTTTTGTCATGATTTTATTACCGATTTCATCCTCTTTCAGCTCCATGACCATGCTGCAAATATTGGTTGCTATAACTTGACTGTCGACATTGTCTGGGTTCTCTCCATTCATTTCATCCAAAAGTTCCACCAGCGATAGCCGGATCAGATCCAGCTGCGAATTCATAGTTAGTAAGTCGCAATGGCACAATGATAGCCAGTTGTCAGCGTACAAATAAAATGTTATTTAGGGCGCGAATCCGTTTCGAGAGAAATGAATGGAGCTGAAGGGAATGTCAGCCTGTGGCGAGGAAACTTTAAAATGTGTAATATGAATGAAAAGGCGCAGACAGACAAAGAGAAGTCAACGGTGGCAAAAGAGTGACCGTTGAATGACACGCTACAGGTTTGAACTTAGACCAGTTTATTTTTCGATTGAAGCAAGATTACAAGATATTAAAGCCTTCTTATATTCTTTTATTTAGCCAGTATGCTCAACTGCTGTGGTAACAACTTTTCCATCAATAATTTTTGTGAGGAATTGCTCCGGAACGGGGCGTTCAACAAAGTCTCCTTCAGCACCTTCTTCTGTTGAATCCGGCGTAAGAATGTTGATAGAAGAGCACTTTGATGTCAGAATCTCAACATCAAGGCATTCTTTCGACAAGTAAACCATACATGAATCCACCTTGTCTAGGCTGATGGTGGGAGCTTTTCCAAGTATTTGAATCTGAGCTGACTTGGAGTTGACAACATCGAGCGAAGAGATCAAGGATTCGACAACAAGTCCTGTCTTTGTGCACGAGTCCATGGCGACAGTAGTAACCTTACCCTTAACTTGTATAGTCGAGTTTTTGCACCCGAAGATATAAACTGAGTGATTGATCTCCACGTTATCCAGAATAACGCCATTATTGCTTTCAAAATTTTCCTATCAAGATAAGAGGGACAAGATGGTTTAGAAATGGCATGAGTAACAGCAGGTAGAACGACACAAAAAGACACTTACCACCATCCACTTGTTGCCCTCTAAAGCCAATTTCGGAGGTTTTTTGAGAGTCAATGATGCCGGCTTGGGGGGAGCTCCAGGCCCAGCTTTCTTAGGAGAACTAGGTTTGCCTAACGCAGTTTATAAGATGATACAATTAATATTTGAATGCTTGATTAACTTAAGCATGAGTAATAATTGAGGTGCATCTGCTTCACGATCCTTACCAGCTGAAGCCGTCACCATTCCTGAAGTTCGAAGCTCTGGGTTCTTATGAGTCATTTTGCTCTTATCAACCTTGCGCAAGTTGGCTGTGATCGCCTCTCCTTGATTCAATTGAGCAAATACAGCTGACATGGCGTTTTCTGATGTCTTCTTTGTAGGCTCTGCATTCAATGCTGGAGGAGGTGGTGGGGGTGGCGGAGGTGGAGGCCCGCCAGCAGATGGTGCTGATGTTGAAGGAGTAGCCGAAGTAGTAACATTGGCGGGACTTGAGGCTGCGGCGGTAGATGCACGGCTCAAACTACTGCTATCCAAGACATTTCCCTGTAGTAATAATGATGCAGATATCGTTAAGCTATGATGAGCCAATGTTAATGCATGCATCCTTTGCGAAATATTTAGGATTTTATCCTGACATACCTTTGGGTTCCAGACTAGTCCAGTTGTGTGGTACTTGCGAACGTAGTTCTGCAGCTCCACCAACAAATCTAAGAAGGAGCGAACCCAGAGAACGTGGTTCTGATCCCTATTATCATGCAAACAAGCATAAATTATGCAAAAGATAGTAAATAATGGGTGGCGGGTATCTTCCTGGCACCAGTTTATTCGACAGCATTAACATCAATAATAATAAAAAAAAAGAAAAAAAGAAAAAAAAAATACTTTTCTTTCCACTCCTTGACAATACGATTTACATAGAACTGAGCACAATCCTTCATTTCTCCGACATATGGTGCTGGTTTGGGCTCCTGTGACCATTTTCAGGAACAGGCATCATTAAAGAAATTATTAGTGCTCAATATTTAAAATTTTATCTAGGGGTAATGAGGCATGACTTTCGGAAGTACAGAAGAATCGAGAAAAAAAAAAAAAAACTTTTCCAGTAACACTTACAATAGCCACCCAACCAAGAGCAGGAATACCCTCGGCCACTGTGGTCAGATGAGTCAACAAGGGGCTAGAACGGTTTTTGTCACGGACCTCAATGACCTTTGTCAGCTCAACCTGAGTAGGTTCAAGCAACTGACGAAAAATGTCAGAGGTCAGAGGCGGCTTTTGGCTACGAGTGGCAACAACGATCATTTCACGTTGAGCAGCAAACAAGCTGCAGACATACTTGGCCTATCCAGAGAGTTTTTACATGCAATGAATTTTTAAATGCATATTTTCCCATAACGAAGGCTAAATCATATGAACTGGAGTCACGAACCTGTTCTTCGACAAGGCCACCAATATCTTTACTAAGCTCAAAGTAGTTCTTCACATGTCCATCAAGCAACTCATCAAAGGCCTCAACCTGGGGATGGCTTGCATTCTGAGTAGGCGCGTCACCAGCAACAGCAACCTCGGCAAGCTGCGACAGCTGACCTTGTGGCGCATGTGCACCACTACTGCCGGTGAGTGAAGACGAGACATTGGAGGCAGAAACGCCGGTCATGGCCAAGTCCTCTAGCTTAGTGGTAGCAGCTTCCAATCGCTTGAGCAGCGATGAGAGTGAGGAAATCTCAGCCATTGGGTGTAAAGGTTAATATGGATGATGCGAATGAGTTTAATAGAATGCGAAATGCAAAATGTGTGTTAAAAAGTTATGAGGAGAAAAATGAAGAGGATATAATTTTAACGCGTGTCCAGCGCGTTATGAGTGTAGCACGAGTGCAGTACAATTTTGGCCCTATTACGTCACCGAGGGAGTAATTCTGAACACGAGTATCATACTATTTAATCAACCCTAAAAACTTCTTGCGTCCCCTCTTTGATCCACCTTTTGCTATGATACAAAGATACCGCTGGCCACTTGCTGCTCTGGTCACGGCCTGACGCTGTGCTCTGATCAAGACTCGATACTGTGCCTGTGCCTGTACTTTTTGCCTGTACCTGTTCTCGTGCTTGTGTCTGTCGCCGCTATCGCTCTTTGATGTATCCAAGGAGACTGTTCATCTGCATCCACAGGCTGAAGGTAATGTGGTCGTTGTGGTCTCTTCGGGTGGCTATGAATAACTATGCGCTGCCATTAAATTGCGATGCAAATACGTCTGACACAATACAAGGGACTTGTCCAACAAAGTCTTCACAGGATGGATGGGCACTTCTTGGGCGTATAAACTCGTTGACAAAAGTGAGCGCGCTTATAAAGAAAGGTCGAGTCAGAGAAAGAAATCCTATATATGAAACATTAGGGAAATAGGTTAGCGAAAAAAAAAAAAAAAACCGACTGTCATTTTGAAGAAATGACTACTATGGAACCAATCTGGCCTAGGAGACAAAGGTTTCCTGTGTTTAGCGATAAAAAAAAAAAAAAAAAAAAAAAAAAAAAAAAATTAATAATGAAGATTTACACATAATCCTAGCATTCCCTTGGGAGTCTCATGGCATCACTTGATGATGTTGAGAGCTTGATTCTTATTCCAGTATTTGACTGGTGTATGTAATAGTGATAATGGTCGCCGCTATATAGGCTTGAAATGGACTCCGTTGGTTACTATTCTTAGTTTATTGCATCGGTTACTTCCTCATCTTGTTGCCGTCTCTTGATAAATCTGGGATGGTAAACAATGCTAAAAATCGGGGGACTAGGTTTTGTTGGGCTTATAGAAGCCATTGGGAATCATTCCAACATATCACACTCATAATGATATGTTAGAGTGAGTGGTGAAAAGACTGTGTGTGATTCGAGTGTTGTGGATGTAGACGGTGAAAGACTGTGTGGAAAGAATGTGAGCGGTGATAAGGAAACTTCAATGTGAGGAAAAAGGGTACATATACCTTTTCGAGTTGACAACACAGCATGATCGAAAGATTCATATCTCTATGGTCATAGTCATTGTGTCGAGGTTAGGACTCTATCTTTCATGCATGGCATATACCTATTGTTTCAGACATGGCATCAATCATGTGGGATATATATATTTTTTTCTGGTGTGTCGAACTGCATTCAATGGATGTATGTGAACAGACGTAGTTTTTTATTTATTTATTTTTGCAAAGAAGTATTAGAGTCACGTCGTTCTCAATGCACCAATTAAGTAGGCTCGTACCCAACCCTCTCTACTGCAAAGGTGACAGGAAACTTCTACTGTAAGAACACCCGAATTTTTTGACCAATGGTCTCCTCTCGTTACACACAGACATTTCTGTACTTAGGCTTCTGTCTTTTGTTTTGGCCGGTTTTTCCACGCCACTCCAGATGTTTGGCTATATTTACAGAATGGCGCAAAATAACCACCAAGGACAGCAAACATCAGCTTTTTCTATGGGAATACACCTCCGTCACATCCCTTCATTCCTTTGTGTGTACGCATCCTCAGAACTAAAAAAAAATACATATATGTACAACCAGGACGTAACAAAAGCATATGGCGTGGAAGGAATATGAATACCACTTCTCAAAGTCATCTCTCCATGCGCGTAGAAAATCACCAACAAATGGAAACCGATAAATTTTTGGAGTTGTGAGGCCAGGACTTTAAAGAAGCTTGTTTGGGATAACAAAAAAGTCACGCGAGTCGATTGCCTTTGCGAGTGCAACTCCTTCATGTCAAGGAAGGTGCACAGCCTGCGATTGTCTGAGAATACGAAAAGAATAGAAAAGTGAAGGCTTTGCCACTCAATTTAAATGCTATAAAAGCATGTAATTTACCAACTAAGGTTTATAAGCGATATTCTAACGATTGTTAACCCTTCAGTTGATAGTCAAAGCGTTTTCTACACTAAGAGTACTTTATAGGTGGCAATGCCCTTCTTTCTTGTTCGCGCCCTAACTATGACAGGAATAAAATGTTTTGCAAGCACATAAACATATGTAGTGTTAAGAGTCTACGAGCTTTGATGTTCAATATGGCGTTAGTCGCCCCGCGCGTTGAATTTGACTCAGGACTCCCTCTCGAGCGGGTTATCTCGCCAGCTATGCTGCACCAGCTAAGCTAAAGAGGGGAAAGGAAAGCCCACCGCTCGAGCGTTGCGTGAAGAAGGATTTATAGACCTGTGGAGAGGTTGGGCGATATAGCATATAATAGAGGAAAGAGACCGTGTACTGTACATTCATTGAAAGATATGCAAGGCCCAGTGGCAGAGCTGAGGAATGTCATCCTGTTATGGAAGATTGGGGTAATCAAGCGCCTGAACAAACTTACTATTTATAGTAACAAGCAAACTGTTTGCGTGACAAACCTATCTAAACATTAAGCCTGAGAATGCGCGAACATCTGGTGTTGCTCTATGCCATCTCAGGCATGATTGCTCAAAGAACCTTGAGACGTTGGGTCCGATAAATAATCTTCAATTAGTTCGAAATACTGCATGAGACAAGAGCTACAATGAAATGTCTCAGGGAGGCTAGCGAGAAGTTGGGGAGGAACGTAGTCTATGAAGAAGGCCGTTTCAGAGTAGCTCTCCGCGTCTTTGCTTCCAGCCATCAAACGTCGCTTCAAGCGTTATCACCGAACAATGAGTTCGATAACTTCAAGCAACGTCTACTCGATGGAAAGAATTCTCGCATAGAATGGCTCAGCAAAGACGATCTGAGCGCCGCAGAACGTAAGAAAGCTCAAGCTATAGTTTCGGTCTTGGAAGCAAACGCCTCCGATATTAATCGTTGGGCCCTCCTTAGATATTATAGAGACGTGCAATCGTTCTATATAGCGAAAGGATCGCTAGTTCTGGCTCATCTTTTTTAACAAGCCGTGCATATTGAATGGACGCACAGTTGATATCGGTAACTGTCGTCAGCACGATAGGCCGGGCCTTAAGCATCTACCACGTCGAAGAAAGGCAAAAAAAAGAAGTAAGAGGAAAAACAAAAGCGGAAGCATAAAGGCAAGTGGCCTCAGAGGACCAGAAAAGGAGGTGCACCAATTAGGAACTTGAAGGATGCTACGAAGGTCGATCACAGCTATAGCAGTAAGCACCCTATCAAGGCCTTAACCAGTAGGTGCCTCAAGGCTCCAAGACAAGGGAAGGTGAACTGGACGCAGATGAAAGGGAAAATGTTACAAGCCAAATCCGAGGGGCGGTTGTTGTCCTCAACCGACTACGCCGCTATCCATATTGGGCGATGGCCCTGGAAATTGAGAGGACTATGCAACAAGGTCGAGGAAGAAGGCACTGGACGAAGTCTTGGATAGCACCGACTATTCCTTCCGTCTCACTGTTACGTAATGAGGCTTGGGAGTGCACCCCAGGGGCACTTCCATTTTTACTCATAAGGTCAGAACATTGTGTGGCGGTCATGGCGGGATCCCAATATAAAGCTCCCGCTTGGCAGCAATAATAAAAACAACTTTGATCTCTTGAATTACTATAATCGACAATCATCCCACTCGCTACCCTTCTTTTAAGTGGCCAGGGTGGACACAGCCCAAACTACGCGAGGGTAAAAAATAAAAACAAAAAAAAAAAAAGGAAAGGCTCCAGAAACACCCCACTAACTCCTCGCTTATGAATATTTCAAGATCACCACTAAACTTTCCTCAATAAAGGATATTAGCATCACATTGGGGGACAAACAAGGCTTTGATCCCAAAAAGATTACATTTCCAAGAGCGTCAGAACTACAAATGGGCCAAATACAGACATCATTGAGGCAGTACTACAGGAACGCATTGGTATGATCGTGTGTAAAGTATCTTTATGCATATTTTGCCGCCAAATTCTCTCTTTTTTCTTTTCATAGCTCGATGTCGAGAAAAGCATCGAAGATATGAGCGATGCTGAGCTTTTCTTGCGAGAGAACAAAAAAAGCGGAAAAATAACCAGACTTCCCTACGTCCTCCTGGTCACCCAGGTATCTCTGGGTGAGCGAAGGCACTAAGCAGCTACCAGAGCGTATTTTGCCTCTCGACAACCAAGGCCGCAATGTCGGAATATGTACAGGGTCTTGATACAGGCCCTCTTTTGCGACATTGGAGGAAACCACTTGTTTCACGGATACCAGACAAAGCGCCCCTGGAGTCAAAAGACAAAGATGTTACTCGGTTCAAGCTCAAAGGAACGATCTCTACCAACGGCCTTATTCTACTCGCCTATGGCACAGCCCAGACGAAGAGACAGCCGTAGTCTGACGTAGATGAAGAAGACCTCAGCCAGGGATCGGAGGATTCCTCATCACACGTGTTCAAAGGCGGCCGGTGAAGGCCTGACAGGTGAAGACTAGGTAAACATAAACTGGACGAGGAGCTCCAAACCACTTAAAACATTGAACTCACACTCAATGGACCAGGGCAATGCTCATCTGCTAGTACCAGAACCATCACCAGATGCGATTCTTGTATTGTTAACGCCCTTACGTTTCCCTCGCTGAACCCTCATAATCCTAACCTATGTCAAACAGTGTAGGGTGAGAAGCAAGCTCTTGTACCTTCCCATCCTCCGCTTCAATCACTTGTTGAACAAAAGGAAGCGTGAAAAAGGAATGATTGAGGTAGAGAGCGCCACCTCAGTATATGGAAGGAATACGTACAATGGGTACTTCCAATGGATGAACGAGGAATCCCAGACACAGACAGGATCGAAGAATTTGGAGTCCAGATGGCACCTAAAAAAAGGGAATTACGAAAGGCTCAACGAGCTACATCCGACTACGCGGTGCAGCAAGTGTTGAAGATGCTCGGGGGAATAGGAGTGCTTGCCGTCGGCTTAGGACCTCTTGAAAGTAGTAAAGGAGTTCCTAGCAAGCACACCGCCATAACGAAACAGCTTGTCACACAGGTATCTTTTTAAAAAAAAAAAAAAAAAAAAAGAAAACTCGGAAAGTCATAGACCCCTTGCTGATAAACGACTACCATTTAAAACGCTTAAATCAAAGCATGAGGACACTCCGTTGTAGGGGCGCCCGGATTTTACACCAGTGTCCGCTGTCCTCAACCTCTCTGCGATAACTTTTTGGAGACGGTGTATCCTCGTCCTAAATATTGTCGTGCATGCAAAGTATTTTTCGACTGTGACGCATTTAGAGCGGAAAGCATTGCAAGAATCGGTCTTGCTCAGGTTAAGAGCCAAGAGAGTCCCGCGAACTACAAACCCATGGAAGAGTCGCCTGCTTTCCCTGCAAATCGCGCACGACACTAGACACAAGTATTTGAGTGCCAGTACATCCACAAAAAATTTGTAAGTTCTTTTATCTGTGAATTTCTGGACTAACATTAAAAAACCTTACAGATTAACAGATAGGCTTTAACGAACTCTTTTGTGATCAGTACCAGAGCGTCCCTCTTTATTTAAATAAAACCGTATTAGAATAAAACCGCTATCACGACACTGGCACACGTTGGAGACTAGAGCCCCAAAGAAGGCTCCGCCACAACCTCCGTTCCTGCGCAACGCGTCTTTTTTGCTGTTGTTGCTCCAACTGATACAACCGATGTATTATGCAAACACGATGTATCCTTTGAATTACATCAACATTTACCAATGAGCATGCATTGGGATGGGGAAAAAACAAGTTCTAGGGTAGCAGGTATTATATACTATCAAATCTCGACCGACTTGGACAGTGCACACATGGCATTGCATAGTATGGCTGCTTTGTACCACACTAAATTAAAAAAGGCTTTTTCCTCTTCCTGTTTTTCTTTCCATTTTTTTGTTTGTGTAAAACATTCATTTCATTCCCCATTCTCCATTCTCCATTCTCCATTCTCCATTCTCCATGAACTTCTCTGTATTTCTCTTCTCAATTACATTTGCATCACCGCTTCCTCTTTTCTTTTCTTGTACTCCAAGACATGGGCAATGTCTCGAGCTCTGACCACGACAAGGTCAACGAGCGACTTGTAAAGCGAACCCAGAAGCGTGGGGGATCTCTCAGCCGTAAATTAAAGCATCAGCAGCAACACCGACAACAAAAGTTATTTAATGGGCAAGAATACCAGCCTCAATGTGAGCTGCAACTACAGTACGAGTGCCAACAATCACATCAAAGACCATCACTATCGTCAATGCCTTCCTCGTCTGTCGGCCATATTCTAGATTCCTCTGAACAGCCATCAGAATTAGAAGACGTAATAGCCCACGGACTCCCCCACGGGCTCTCCCGCTCTCACCACTGGATCTCTTCTCCTTCCTCTCCATCAGTACCCCCTATAAAGGGCCTTCGCCGTCTACGAGATAAACATCTCGTGCCTAAATGTTTGTCAGTATCCCAGACGGACTTTTATGCCCGGCCCAAGGCTGAGTGCTCACCTCTGACTCCGACCTCTCCTGCTACATCCTTCTCTGCTACCTCAACGATCGCAACATCTATTAGTACCCAGCCCGACGATCTCAACGCCATTCCTAACTTCAACCCCCAACAAATACAAGAGTCGTCAGTGCATACATATCACTCAGCACCCATCGTGATCCCACAGCTACCCCCGAATCAGAATGCGGCTCAAAGTGAGCACACAGAGGGTCTGGGCACCAACCCGCAGACTTCCTCGTTTCCACTGAAGCGAAATGGCTTGGATCACGCTGCAAATTGCAGTCAGCAGTGCCTGCTTGGAAGCTCGTCAGACGCTAAAGAATGGCTCAAACAAAAACCCACGAGATCAGCAGCTCGTATGATTCATCAGTACAACTTCCATAGCCATAGTTACTATAGAACACCTGGTAGTCTCAGGGCGACAAACAATGTCACCCGAAGTCTCTCAATTCACGCTCCGCCTCCTCCTCTATCGAACAGTGATATTTGTCTCATTAAGGCTACTGGTGTAGAGGATCCTGAAAATAAGTCTGTAGAATCAACAATTTCATCGTGGCCCAGTTTCTTAACTGCCACTGCTGTCACCAAGGCCTCAGGTAATACGTCCACCGAACAGTATCCAATGGACTCCAAGCCGATGAGCGGCTCTGCCGAGTTTGGCAAGAGTCATTCTGGTGGAGCGTATCTTTATGGGTGTAGTAACCCTTCGTCCGAGTCTCTCAACAGTTCGCCTTCAGATAGCTGGGAACGGAAGCCTCGAGTAGGGCGGCTTGTCATGTCTCGATCAAAACTCTACTCTTCATCCGTACCAGCTACTGATAAATTCCATAATTCATCTTAGGGTAAAAGGAATGACAAAGGTGTGCAGGTTTAATTGCTGTCCTTCCACGCCTTCTACGCATGGCGTTGTATTTTACTTGTATTGTATGTATTGTAATTTAATAAAATTAGTTCCTTGTCCACCCAAAAAACTCTGTTTGCAAGATTTTAGTCCCCTTGTTTTTTTATTTGCTGGTTGATTGTCGTTCTGGTCTTTCCTTTCTTTTTTGCGCAAGTAAATCAAGGTTTGGAAATCCTTGTTCTCATCAAAAACCAGACACAAAGACCCTGACTCTGTCAGTTCACCGAGTACAAACCGAATCAGCTGCAACGGAACGGTTAGAGTGCAATATCTATCGACGATAAAAGGGACAAATGAAAATACTCCATTGATGCAGCTCCAAACCTCAGCTGTTTTGACGACTCCATTCGGACAACACGCGCTTGTCTAACGGAGAAAAAAGTGTCCCTTAATCTCCGATGTTTGACGGTGCTTGTGAGAGAAAGCGATGTCTTTCCCACTTACTTCCTTCATCTCGCCGTTTCCTGCAGGGTCCTCGCTATTCTAAGCATTTGAGATGCTTTTGTAGAAAGTTGGGCAACACACTACATTGGCACACTGGCAGAGCGGCAATATCATGGATAGATAGAGAATTCATCCTATTAGACTTCAAATAAACCAAACAACTATTGATATTCTACCTCGAAGTATCAACGGGAATGAGAAAATGTAAAACGGTAGATGGATCAAATATTAGGTTATGACATGCTATTTGGCCGTTGTCCATTTATTCCGATCTTGTAACCCTGTTGTCAGGAGCCATGGATTAAGCATAGGATACATGTTAACAAGAACGCTGATACAAATAAACAAACACTCACGTCTATAAGCTACGCCGAGCAGCCCATTCAAAGACGCTAGGCTATGGACAGTACTACCTACTGCTTAAGCAGCATAGATTTGATGAGACTGGGAAAAAAGAGAGCGTGGAGGGCTACATGGGTCAGTTGAGGAAAAAAAAAAAAAAAAAAAAGCTTCCGTCGTTAATTTTCACCCCGTCATGCATGGTCTACCTTACTGCTAAGATGGACATAGACTTGTATCGGGTCCTCTACCTTTTTCCTTACATTCCTCTCTTCTCTTACTTTTAAAGCTTTCGCCCCTGCCTTGCATAAACTAAAATGACACTTCATTCGTGAGATAGATGGTCCTAACTCTCAACTCTTTGTCCGTTGTTCCCTAAGCTTTTTTTTTTTTTTTTATTTGTGTAATGAGTGAATTCCAATCCTGTCTTTTTTTTTTTTTTTTTTTTTTTTTTTTTACTCGTTTATCCCATGCGCTCCACGGTCTAATGTAGTATTATACAATGTGTTAAATTATCTTGGGAATTGAAGCAAAATATATGATTTGTCCATCATGTCATGTCGCCTTTCTGTCGTGAGCTATACGTTTATTTATGCCGTATTTGATCGATATTGAGCGAATGCCGCTTTTTATCTGATATAAAGGTATATAGATGGGTCCATCAATGAATGGGTGCACCTTGAAGACTTACCGAGATTTTCTTAACAAATCCTACATGATCATATAGGCCCTTATTAAAAAAAAAATACTTTGCGAACAATAATTTCTAGAAAAATACTACATCGCTCTTTTGAAAACCAGGATAATTGCATGACCCAGCGTCGTGTACAGATGGGGTCCATCACGTGTCTGCCATCAACCAAAAGACGTAGCGTTTACTTTTCTTTTCTTTTTTATTAAAATATGCTGAATTACGCAAAAGCTACAATTCCACTTTATAAGCATATTCGTTCGTTGGCGTGCTTGGCGCACTATTTGTTGGGATAAGTGAAATATGTGATGGTGTAGGTGAGGAACCATCGTTATTATAATAGATCTCCTCCTTATATCGGTAATCTGCGTCTGCATTAAAAACAGGATAGCTCCAGTTCCAGGCCGTGTGCTGAGGCGGCGCTGCTCCAGGGTTTTGCTGCTGAAATTGTTTGATCTGTTGCTTCTGGTACTCTTGCTCATTCGGGGTATAATAGAATTCTTGTAGCTGCTGTTGTTGTTGGAGCATCAAGTTGCGTTGATGTTGTCTCTGTTCCGACAGATGTTGGCTGGACTTTGAACTTGCACGTGAGTGTGAAGTATCGTAATGATGTTTATTTTGTTCTTGATGCTCTTGTTGCCTCTGCAGCTTCTGTAAACGGTCGTTCCAGTCCTTGTATGATTGTTGATGGGCTAACTGATAAGCCTTTTGGTCGGCCAATTGAGATTGCTGGGCTCCTTCATATTGATCTGACAAGGTTGTGCCTGAGAGACGATTCTTTTGCTTGTTCGCGTTGGGAATATATTTAGTGGTAGGCTGGTAAGGGGTAGGAGACTGAAAATTATTAATCATGGCAGATCCTGAAGACGGTGGGCTATTACTCACGCGCAAAGTACCAGAAGAACCCTGTGGAGAGAATTGGTGAGGCATTTGCGGCGAACTAACTTGAAGATACTGGAGTTCTGGTGAAAGTGGGAATGGAGATAATAACTCATGTTGCTGTTGTTGTTGTTGCTGGTTGGTTTGAATCTCTTGACGCCAGCTTTTGTCCAATGCTGGTACTTGAGACACAGGCTCATAAGGAGCCTCGTCATAACCCATACTTTCTGGGACCGCCGTAGGTCCATTGACTGTGCCCTCAAGTGGTTGCTCTTCTTCTCTACCCAAGCTCTCCATGACCTTTGTGTGTTCACTTGGCTTCACTGGCTTTTTACTCAATGGTGTCTCTGCCTGGCTATCGCCCATAGTCTCTGGTACTCTCGATGGATTTCCAAGTTCTTCCACAGGCACTTCTTCTCCTTTTTTGGGCTTTCTCATGGAAACCCAAGGCCGAGGCCCTTGTTGAGATTGAGCGCGACTCTCTGTCTCAACAGATTGTGAATTCCTAATCACTTTGGGCACGCCAGCAGCCTTGGCAGCAATCAACTCATTCTCTTTTCCAGCCTTAGCTGAGTTGTCTGCTGCACTACCTCCTTGGTGTTTAATGATCGATGCTGTCTTTTCAGGTGTCGTGCTGTCCATGATAAAGCGAAGCTCCTCGGCAGTCAAATTCAAATCATCAATGTCCTTGCCTTGAACAACTTTTGATGTTGTTGTGGCGAGGCTGAACTCTAGGGCTTGTTTAATTGCTTGTTCTTCGAGGTGTCGAAGCCTCTCCTCCTCAGATTGCTCAGCATTTATATTCTCTCTTTCGCGCTCTGGTGTCCCAGGCACAGAAGGTGATCGAGGCGGAAGAGGTGGTGCATCTGTTGTTACCGCAACAGACGCCTTTGCTTTCCGGTCGTTATTAGAAGAGTCAGCAAACGCTCCGGAAAGCAAAACAGCTGGAAGTGGTGGATTAGCGACTGTATCCGTTAAAAGAAGATTCCAATTCTCAAGTGCAATACGCGCAGCTTGGAGGATGTCCTCTGTCTCGTTCCCTATTAATTTATTATCATTATGTAAAAAAATAAATTAATAAATAAATAATTAGAAAAGGAAAAAGATAAAATACGACGAAACACAATGATCATACCAGATTGGACATGGAAACAGTAATATAATTTACCTTCGTTATAAGGCTCTTTTACGCCGTCTAAATCAATATGATCCAGTAATTGTTTTCCATGCTCGCCAATGATTTGCATTTTTTTACCCAGTTCGATGATTGCATTCAGCTGATCCGTATAGGCATCCTTAATCATTTTACGTTTGAGTTGTTGAAGCTGGTTTGTTGTAATTTCGCTCTTGATCTTGCTTTCTTCCTGTTCCTTTTGCAACAACATAGCTTTGGCATTCCGCAATTTACTCTTGGATGCTTCCTTGAGTTTACTCTGCAAATCCGTCTGGAGACGCCCCATCTCACAAAGAGTGTCATCCTTTGTCCTGAGGAACTTTATCTTTTCACGAAACTGCTCGTATTGTATTCCAAATCGGATTTCATAGTCACTGATCTTACGGATAAGTAAATTCAGCTTGAGTAGGACATCCTGATGTAAGGAATAATAACTATGGTGTTAGCCTTTATCTCAATTCTCCAAGAATAGATCATAGAGGAATAAAATGTAAGATTTAAAAAAAAAAAAAAAAAGAAAATCTTACTCCCAAGTCATCAGTCTATTCAGTGAATAACAAAGCACAGATAAATTAAAAAGTCAGTTCACAAATCGTTTTACTATGGCTCGAAACAAAAAAAAAAAAAAAAAAAAAAAAAGTTGTCGAGCATAAACCAGAATGCAAGGCATTTGAGTTTTGCATTACATTACCTGATACTTTGCCCATGTCATCATGTGTTTACATTCTTCTACTCTGACTTTAGAGACAACGCCGAGACTTTCGACTAGCCTTCTTTGCTCACCAATGGCATTCGTCAGTGGTGTCAGGAACGAGCCCGCAGCATAGCGGGCACCTTCATGTAAATGGGATCGAATGTTGAGCAGATCCATTGCTATTACAGTAATGGCCGAGTCTGAGGAAGAATATGTAAAAGAAAGACAGAGAAGGACAAAAGAAGTAGAAAAAAAAAAAAAAAAAAAAAAAAAAAAAAAGTAGAAAAAAAAAGAGGCGAGTTTGAAGGTAAAAGTAGAACGAGATTCAATTGGAGGAAAGGAGAGCCAAGACTCCATATTTTTATGTCAATCACTGCCACCACAGCCCAGATAAGAAAATGCCAAGCTGTATCTTATTTTTACAGGTTCAACTACACGTAAACGACATTTGAAAATACTAATAGTAGTCTAATTAACAAATAGCTATGTTTTAACTTTCTTCTCTTTGGACTCTTGAGATAAACGAAGATGATCCTCCTCTTCTTGATCTTGCCGCATCATTTCCTCCGCTAATCGCTTCCGTTCCAAGTCCCTGCTCTTCATCTTGGCTAATGTTGCTGCCTCATAGTCGTCTGCAAATGCTGCTGACCCACTAAACGCTGGTGGTGTTGCAAAACTTGGTGCCTGTGTTGACATATCCATGATAAAAAATAAAACAAAGTAAAATTAGAAGGTTTGTGCTCCTCTCGATGTGTCACCTCACTGTTCGACTTTATAATTTGAGCTTAATCTTTTTTTTTTTTCTGTCCTTCTTTTTTACCTGTGAGAATCCAAAGTCGGAACGAGCCCCTCCAAATGCTGGAGTGAATGATGTGCCAAAGCCTACGTTGAATGCCGATGGTGGTAGGTCGGATCCAGCTGTTGACGACGTTGATAATGAATTAGAAGTGGAAGATGGTGTAGATGATGATTTTTCCTTCGAACGCAGAGTTGAAACAGCAATAGGTTCGACTCCCGCTGCCCAGGTTATTGTAAAAGGTAAGAGCTCTTTTTCTTCTCTTTCGAACGCCTTCATTGCCTCATACTATAGGTAGAAAACAACAGATTAGTTATATTTTGTGATTAAAAAAAAAAAAAAAAAAAAATAATGATAATAAAACTTCTCTTTCTCAATACTTCCAGTGAGTAATCCTTTTTTTTTTTTTCCTTGTTCAAGGTACTTACTGCTCCTGTCAAAGTTTTGAAAGTCAACAGTGCTGATCCTGAATTCTTTGAAAGACAAGAATCTATTGTTCCATATTTCTTGAATAAGCTGGAAATATCCTCTGTGTTGAATGTGTGCTTCCTCTTTTTCCATTTAAGTTTTAGTGTACTATCCAATGACTTTGCCTCAGCTAATGGATAATGCATTTTTTAACGACTTAGTACGATTTCCTTCCATGCTCAGATCAATTGGTAGAACACAATATGTAGAATGTAAAAAAAAAAAAAAAAAAAAAAAAAGTTATTTCTACTTGCCATCGCGAGCTGCTAGTCTTGCTTCGGCTGCTGCATCTGCGATCTCGTCTGCCTGTCTTAGTAGCTCTGCCTCCCGCTCTGCTCGTTTCTTGTAATTCTCCTGCTTCAGTCGCTCCATCTACATTAAACATTACAAAAACAACAGCAACAACAAAAAAGCGGTATAGTTGGTTAGATACTCTTTTTTTTTTTTTTTTTCCTTCTCGAATCCTTTTATATCAGCGAATAGTGTCTAGACGGCACTATAGTAACAATTACTGACCTCATAATGCATCCGAGATGCTGCTAACTTTTCTTCCTGTTGTTGTTTCTTAAATGCATTCTCTCTGTTCTCCAAATCCTCTTTCATTTTCCTCCGCGCAGAATCATATTTATCAGTACGCTCTTGAGCCTGGACTTTAACTCTCAGCAGATTATCAAACGCAGCTCGTGCTGCCGGATCAAGTAGAACGTCATATGCCTGTGATAATTCATGGAAGATCTTGGCTGTTTTTTGTTTTGTTTAGAGAAAAACAAAAAGTAAAAAAAAAAAAAAAAAAAAAAAAAAAAAGTTCAGGTTGCCTTTTTTCAAACAAAAAAAAAAAAAAAAAAAAAAAAAAGCTATTTTATCACGTCGCTTACTATCATATTTATTTACCTGCGTCAGGAGAAGGATTTTTGTCTGGGTGGTATTTGAGAGCTTTGACCCTATATGCTTTTGTGATCTCTTTAGTGGTAGCAGTTCGTTCTATACCCAGAACCGTGTACCAATCCTTTTGCTCCTCTGCCATGATGATGCTAATGTCGATATTCCACTGTGATGTTTGGCTTCTATTTTTTTTTTTTTTTTTTTTTTTTTTGTTAGTCAAATCCAATTAGAATAATTAAGAATGAAGGAATGAGCTTTTTTTTAAAGACTGTGCCGCTCACCCAAAAAGGAAAGCGGAGCGGTCACACCTCTTAGCGTCATCGCACTTCATCTCATTCCTCACTTTCCTCCTCAACTCATCCAGCATCTCTCTGGAAGTAATATCATTCAATGGCGGCGGCAGAAGACACTAGCGTGCCGCCGACTCCAACGGCATTATCATCTACTAATACTACTACTACTTCTACTACTACTACTACTACTACCACTACTGGGACTCGACTCAAAACAACAATAGAACCAACAGGAACAACTACCACTGGTACACCGTCAACGACTACGACGCGTCGACGTGCAAAGAGTTTTCTCCGCAATTACTATGGTATCCAACAAACCGATACCGCTAATCCTGATGGCTCGAAGGAGGGCCCATCCATGCTGACGGGGCCTAACTCCAAAGCTGATCCCTATGATCTTGGTATACTTTTTTTTTAAAAAAAAAAAAAAAAAAAAAAAAAAAAATAGAGAAATAGAGAAATAGAGAAAGAAAGAAGGAACAATGGATACAACTAACCCTAGAGGTCCACCCTTCATCACAAAAAAAACTGATTGATAGATAGCCATGGATTCGAAGTCGATAAATACATGCATAAGATGTTTGTAGAAAAACAGCTACCAGGCCTTGTGCAGGCCGATAATGAACTTGTCGCTGATATCAGACAATTGGATGGTGACATGAAAACGCTTGTGTATGAGAACTATAGTAAATTCCTTAGTGCCACCGAGACCATTAACAAGGTATGAAAAAAAAAAAAAAAAAAAAACTCTACTAGTATTGATACTATCATTACTACTACTTGTTACTTGTATATGCCTTATTTCGTTAAACACTTTACGAATGGCTTTTAATATTATAATAATAAAACTCGGCTAGATGAAATCAAACGTGGATAACCTAGAGTCAGAAATGTCGCGGCTGACCCAAAATATCAATAAAATTGCCACCTCCTCAGCTGCTATCCATAGCTCCCTTGGTACCAAGAGAGAGAAAATCCGACAATTGAATGGTGTCCATAGTCTCCTTACTAAGGTAAAAAAAAAAAAAAAAAAAAAATAGAATTTACTTATATTTTTTTTTCAAGTAGAGTTGGTTCTTCATACTAACGATCACCCTGCTCTTCTTCTTCTTCCGAAAAACAGCTTCAATTCGTCTTTGAACTGCCAGCAAATTTGCATCAGTTTCTGGAAACAGAGTCATATACCCAAGCTGTCAAATCCTATTGCAGAACTCTACACCTTCTTCAGCATTACAAACATCTGGCGGTCTTCACAGGAATAGAACGGGAGTGTAAGACCATCATGGTTGAAATCGCTCACAGGATCAGGCAAAAAATGAGCGCGGACCAGGTAAAAAAAAAAAAAAAAGAAAAAAAAAAAAAGGTACTAAATCCCTTATCCCTATCTTAAAGATACTAATTTAGCTATTTATTTATTTTTTTTTTAATAATTTAGGCAACGCTAACTGAGATCACGGAATGTGTGGGTTTACTATTAGCGCTTAAGGAAAGCCCTGTCCCACTTTGGAAACAATATCTACATTTGTAAGTCCAACAAATCTTTCTTTTATTTTTTTTTTTTCCTTGACTTCATCAATTGAATATGCTGGCTAACTTTACTTATAAAAAAATAAAAAATAAAAAATAAAAAAAAAGATCGATGAGGTACCTACAAAAAACGAAAACCAAAGCCTTGGAAGACATCGACACATTGCCTCTTTATGCCCACCCATCACCTTCAGCTCAACAACAAGAACAGCAACCGACACCAAAGACGACACCAAAGAAAACTCTCAGAAAATCATCGAAATCCTCGGGGACATCCAAAGAACCCAAAGCGTTTCCTAAGCCATTACGAACACAATCATCAGCATCATTGTTATCGCTCCCTGCTGCAGATAAGATATCATATCTCAACGTGAACTACTTGAAGCATGTGGAAGGATTTGTAGTATCATTCCAGAATTACTTCTTAGCACCCATTTCTCTAGGAACCAATAGCAACAACATTAGTACTTCCTCAACAGCGACAACAGCGGTAACGGTAGCGGCCTCTGAACAGGAAAAGGAGGAAAAAAAAGAGATTACTCACGTTACAGAGCAACAGCGTCAACACCCTGCATGGATCACAAAGGATTCGAGTGTTCATGCTAATTTGACTAGTGACCAGAGAGAGGAGGCATCAGAGGCTGTCAAGACTGCGATTTCCGAAACCATTAGCCAATATCTGGACATTATCAATTCTTTTCTGGATTTCCCTGTAAGCTATAAAGGAGACGAGGAGGCAAAACTTTTGCTTTATTTTATTTATTTTATTTTATTGTTCTTTATTTTTTTATCTCATTTTATTTTTATTTTATAAACTTCTTATAGGAGGATATCTCAAGCATACGTTCTGAGGTTCATATTCATGTCCTTCAAAATTTGTATTCGGCCTCTTTGTCCAGTAATGGGCTATGCAATATGATTGGTTTTGATACATTAGCTTCTGGTCTGATTCAGGACTGGGAAACAAAATTGATCCGCCAAGCTCTTGGGAAGATTAAGGATGAACTGATGACAAGGATTTCGATACAGGATCTTACAGGTCGGGTTCGGTCACAACAGCAGGAGAATCTTCTCGACACACCTTCTGGAGATTTGTCATCTACTGTAAAAAATATCACTTCGACATCCCCTACTATAACTGCTGCTACTACAACTACTACAGCAACAAAGAACACTAGCCTTGCATCAGTGTTGAAAGAGACTACTCAATGGCTGCACGATGTGTTCAAAAACGACACGATCCCCTTCCTCGAAAACTGTATGAGCTCTGATGCACAGTTCTTAGAGACTAAAGAAGGCCGAGCTTCATTCCTCAAGAATTTCCAGGATAGCTTCAAAGAATCTTTTTGGGAACAAGTCCTTAAAGAGATGCAACAGAAATCACTTTCGTTGACATCTCCTGCTACTACCTCAATCCCTATACCATCGTCCTTGCCAGTGTCAACATCAGCATCACCATCAACAGCAGCATCAACATCAAGGAACAAGGATAGCTTACTTCCATTGGTTATGTCACACCTCTGTTTTCAATTCTCCAACGGCTTTGTTGAACAGCTATATAAAGTTCTCTCAAAAACATTATTCCGACCTGGGAAACGATCACGGCCAGATTCTTTTTTGATCGAGTCTTTTGAACAGCCATTGGTTGTGATACCACAATTAGCACGGGACTGTAAAGCTGTGGCCCAATCTTGCCAAGAAACCGGACATGTCCTTTTAGATGGGTTCGTTGCTAGGACTGGAAATGAGCTCTCTTGGCTTGTCATGGATATGGATATGAAGATGGATATGCAGCACTCCTTCTTGATGGACGGTGATGGTGGTGGTACTATTGGCGATACAGCAACCTCACAAACGCCAGCGTCTGTCTCAGAGACTTGGGAACGAGTGTACAGATATCTGAACGATATCGAACATCAAGTCATGATGGTCTATGGTGATGAAGGTGATGATCGACTCGGCAATCATGAAATTAGCTCTGAATCCATTCGAAGAGAATCTGGGTTCAAATCTCTAGGAGGACGAGGAGGACATGGATATGGACACGGTGGCGGTGGCGGTGATGGAAGTGGCAGCAATAACGACAACAGCGGTCGACTTTCCAACCGAAACGAATCACTTACATCCTTCGGAAGCAACACCATGAATACCATGAATAACAATAACACCCGATTGTTTGAGAACCAACAAAGGAACTTACTCCTCAGTCATATTGATAAGCTGTTCTCTGACAGAGTGGATATCTTTGTTCGATGCCAAGATTTAAATCGGACAGGGATCATGTTTGGGATCGTCAAGATTCTATTGAAGGCTTGGGCAGAGTCTGTACGTCTACGAACCTATGGACGACGAAGTTTTCAACAGATCCAGGTTGATGCAGAGTTTGCCAAGGTTTGGCTTTGGAGATTTGCAACTGCAGATGAACGATTGATGTATTCGTTGCTGGAGGAAACTCAACAGACAGCATATCGAAGATGTTTTGATCCCATACCTTTAGACATGAATGTAAGTATTTTTTTGTCAAAAGATTTTTTTTTTTTTTACTAATAAAATGTTGACTATGCCTTTTTTTTTCTTTTTTTCTTCTTCTTCATGTAGACCATTGAGAGCATCATTAATTCGACAGAGAGATGACATGATATTAAAAAAATGCTTCAGACAATTGTTATATTGATACTACGATACTACTAATGATTGAAAAGAAAAAAAAAAAAAAAAAAAAAATGAAATCCAAAACGGAATAAAAAACAGAAACAGTTTTTGATGCATTGGAATAAAATGACAGTCCTCTCTTTCTTCTCCATTGAGAAATGAGGGCAAGAAGGAGTTATCAATACAAGAGATGGGTATTCATAGCTGAAAAGAAAGGAGCACCCCATAATAATAATAACAGCAACAATGATAATAATAATAATGAAAACAATATCCTTCTTTCCGACTGCTCCTTTCCTTCACTCCTTGATCCTTGAAGTCTTCTTTTCTTTTCCAACCAGATCCATCCGTGGCACTTGCGTCTTCACTTCCTATTTCTCTTTGGCAGCTGCTGTCGATGCCTTAGACTTCTTAGTTGCAGTGACTGCAGCTGCATCGGACGATTCTGCCTTTCTCTTCTGCTTTGCAAAAAAAAAAATAAAAATAAAATAAAATAAAATTAAAATTAAAATTAGTAAAAGAATAAAAAAAGATAACTTGCGAGCTTATCGATAGATCCGGATTGTTTACCTTGCTAGCAGGAGCATCCGCCTTCTTCTCAGTCTTGGAGGTCTCTGCGGCATCAGTCTTGGCAGCCTTCTTGGTTACCTTGGGCTTGGCTTCTGAGCTCTCACCCTAATTTACCATACGAGAAACAAAAAAAAAAAAAAAAAAAAAAAGGTTGATATTAATTCAAATTACATCAAATTACCAGAGTATCTCTTGTATTTGTTACCTTGGCTTTTGCAGCAGCAGAAGTGGTAGTAGCGGCCTTTTTAGGGGTCTTCTCTTCCGACTTGTTTTCTTTCTCGTCCTTTGCTGCTTTAGCCTTCTTTTCCTTAGGCTGCTTCTTATCCTCAGCTGCTGTTGATGATGCTGAAGATGATGATGATTCAGTGGCAGCAGCAGCCTTCTTGGGTGCCTTCTCCTTCTTTTCCTTGGCAGCGGCGGAAGTACTAGTAGCAGCTTTCTCTTTAGCGGGAGCTGCCTTTTCTTTGGTTACCTTCTCCTTCTTCTCCTTGGGTGCATCAGCAGTAGCTGTTGCCGATTCTGACGTTTCAACCTTCTTCTCCTTAGAAGCTTTGGTCTTCTTCTCGGCATCAGCACTAGTGGCGGCCTTGGGAGCCTTGGAGTTTTTAGCAGCCTTCTCAGCCTTCTCTGACTTTTCGGTCTTCTCAGCCTTGTCAGCTTTCTCCGCCTTCTCCTTTGGTGTCTTCTCCTTCTTCTCAGCCTTAGGAGCCTTAGCCTTCTCGGCTTTATCAGCCTTGTCGGCCTTTTCGGCCTTATCAGTCTTTGAAGCAACCTTCTCCTTCTTTTCCTTTGCAGCCTTTTCGGCCTTTTCAGCTTTTTCATCCTTTTCAACCTTTTCCTTCTTCTCGGGCTTTTCCTTCTCGGTCTTCTTATCAGACTTTGCTGCTGTTGCCTTCTCGACGTTCTTTTCAGTTTTCGTTGACGTTGCTTTGCCGGACTTTTCTTTCTTGGATGTTGCTGTCTTGGTTGCCTTTGTAGACTTGATCGCCTCTAGTGCCTTGGCTCTCTTCTCTGCGTTCTTTGCGTTCTCGGCTTCGGCCTTGGCCTCGTACTCTTTTCTAGTGGCTGCAGGGACAGCTTCCCATTTGTCGACCAGTTTTTTGTAGATATCGGCACGGGAAGCATCGGGTTCGACCTTTTCCTTGATCTCCTTCTGATGTTCCTTGACATACATGTCGAATGCGGAACGGATCTTGGGGATGACCACCTTGGCGTTCTCATTAGCGGCCTTTGTGGTGACCGTGGTCTTTGTCTTTTGAGCGTCCTTCTTCTTAGCTAAGAGGGCCTTCTTCGCCTCTGATTTCTTGGCCTTGAGCTCAGCAGCCTTTTTGGCCTTGGCAGCAAGTTTGGCCTTCTTGGCGGCTTGCTTTTGAGCTCTCTTCTCTTTGGCCTCCAAAGCGAGCTAATTTTTTTTTTTTTTTTTTTTTTTTTTTTTGATGAATAATGAAAGTTATATATAAAGTCAGTTGTCGTCACACAAAAATATGGATCCAACCATTCCTATACAACTATATAAAAGACATCTTGTAAAAAACCTAATTAAATTACTTTTTGAGCACGAGGGACAAGGCCAGAATCAGCAGGCTTCTTCAAAAAGACCATGATACGTTCCAACAAAGCATCCTGCATTGTTTCACAAACCGGGTTTTCAGGGTGAGAAAAAAGGAGACGGAATGGTTGGTTAATCCAAAACGAGTTTTTTTTTTTTTTTTTTTTTTTTTTTTTTTTTAATCGGAAAAGAAAAGGAACAATACACAATGTCAGTGCGCGTGACGGACATGGCGATGGGATTTTGTACGAGTTGAGAAATGTGATGCCATTTACCTTGTCACCGCCAGTCTCCAAGTTGAACAACTCGATAAGCTCGCGAAGGCCACCAACAGTCCATTTGCCGAGCTTTTCTTCATAAGCCTCTTCTTCTTTCTATGTTTTTTTTTTTTTAAAAAAAAAAAAGTGTTGTTGTTGTTGTTGTTGTTGTTGTTGTTGTTGTTGTTGTTGTTGTTGTTGTTGTTGTTTACAAAGAGACGAAGACAATGAGTATAAGCATTATCACGCGATACAAAGGAAAAAGAAAAAGAAAAAAGAAAATAGAAATAAAAAAGATAAAAGTACGGTACCTCACTCAAATCAGCAAATCCGTAGAAGGCCTTGATATCGTTCTTTGGGCTCTTAGTCGCAGTGACACGGCCGAAAAGGAGACGGTGAAGGCCCTTGACAGTCTCATCACTGACCTTTAGCTTATCCAAATTGGCGCTGACTATGGAAGGAAGGAAGGAAGGAGAGGAAAAAAAAAAAAGAAAAAAAAAAAAAGGATTAAGATATTTAAAGACTATTTTTTGAGCGAAATGAAATAATATTGATGATCCACGTTGTTGTGACAATTGTTGAGCACTGCATAGAGGCTGTGTTGTAAAATATGTTTATACATATTGTGTAAAGTCGTAGTGTCAGCGGGGATGCGCAGAGCTTTTTTTTTAAAAAAAAAAAAAAAAAAAAAAAAAAAAAAAAAATCCGGATTGACTACGCGTATCCGAGTTTATCCGTGAACGTCTTGCCAAAAAAAAAAAAAAAAAAAAAAAAAGATGGATCCTGAAAATAATAATTTCATTGGCCGAGAGAGATGTTTTTTAAGCGTATGCGAGTTAATGGTTAATGTGAAAAGATACTTACCCACAGGAATATCGCCAAGCTTGACACCCTTGCCCTGTAATTTTGAAAAAGCAAATGAGTAGACAAGAATTTAATCAATGTGAAGAGGAAATAACTATATTTACTTGTGCAGACAAACAAATTTTGAATGAGAAACAGAGAAGGGAAAGAAGGAAGGAGAGAAAGGGGGAAGGGAGTGAAGACAAATAAAAAATAAAGTCATTTAATTACATGTGGAATCTCGAGCTTCTTTTCAGGCTTCTCGACGACGGGCACAGCGAAACGTTCGACTTGTTTACGCTCACGAGGGCCAGTGACGGGAACTAAGGGTTTTTAAATGAAAAGAAAGAAAGACAAAGAGATATGAAAGTTAGTTTGGGTGAGTAGATGTGAGGGTAAAGATCATGTCATACGCTTTTGACCAAGTAGGAACATCTGAAATTTTTATTTCCCAATTTTTTTTTTTTTTTTTTTCCTTCTTTCAAGACAAAAGAAAATAACAGATGCTGACGCGTTTTTTTTTTTTTTTTTTTTCTTGTTTTTTAAAAAAAGAGAGAACAAAGAAAGTGTAATAGACAAAAGGTAATAGGAAGAACGCTTTATGACAAATATGCAAGACGAAAAAAAAAAAAAAAAAGAAGAGAAAAAAAAAAAAGAAAACAAGAATAATTTTCTTTCTTTCTTTCTTTTTTTGGGTTCTTTGTCTCTTGTATGAAAAATGGTGGTGGTTGCTCAAGAATAGAAAATAATAAACATACGCGGAACAACAGGGTCACGAGGAATATAGACCTCGGAATCAGAAGACTCTGCGGAATCAGACATTGTTAACGATGGAGAAATGGGATTTAGAATAGAATATAAAAAAAAGAAAAAAGAGCTTTGAGTTTTTTGTTTTTGCTTTTTGGTGATGGTGTGAATGGAGTTAAAGAAAAGAAGAGAAAAGTGAAGAAAAAAAAAAAATTATTTTTTAACAAATTTTTTTTTCGTGTTTTTTTATTTTTATTTTTTTTTTTTTTTGGTCAGGCAAAAATTTTTATTTTTAACAAAAAAAAAAAAAAAAAAAAAAAATTGTGAGGATTCGAAGGAGAAAAGTGAGGCATGAAGACCAGGTCATTCAAAAAAGCAATGTTGCATGGGTTCATGTAGAATGTCATTCTCTTCATGACCATGTGTCCCATGCTCATTCTCCTCACTTGTAATCACGTCCTTTTTTCCCTTTCTTATAAAGCGACCTTAGGACCAGAGTCAACTAATTTTTTTTTTTTTTTTTTTTTTTTTTTTTCAGCAAAAGGGACCCGATTTTTTTTTTTTTAATCCAGAGATGGCATCACTTAAAATTTACACACATCATCAACCATTTTGATTCATTTTTGTACTTTATTAAAAACAACGCGTTCCTCTTACCATTCCACCTTTTACTTGCTAATACCATTTGTCCCTTATCCTCTCTTCTCCTTCTCTCTCTCATCGTCAGTTTCTGTTACGGAAGAAATAATCCAGGCGGTAATAATCTCTAATGTCCATATGCAAGATTATAGATGTAATCCAGATTATGTGGATATGAAATGGGCACTGGCAAAATGATATCAATGCTCAATGCACAAAAAATTGTCGGTATTCTTTTGACTATCATCTGGCTCATCGAATGTCGCACTTGCATCGCCTTCATTTTTATTTTATTTCTTTTGCCTCTACTCAAGGACGACCCACAGTAAACATTGTTCTTCTATTCTTTCTCTCTCTTTCTCTTTCTCTTTCTCTTTCTCTTTCTCTTTCTCTTTCTCTTTCTCTTTCTATCTCTTCTTCATACAAAAGAAAAAGGGAAAGCCCACAACAGTCTACCCACTCATCCTTCAAGTCATAATTAGCAAATAGTATTTTTTTTTATTTTGTCTAAAATGCATGGGATGCCCCTAATAATTTTTAGTTTTTTTTTTTTTTTTTTTTTTTTTTTTTTTACAGTTGGAAAGCCTTGGCCAAGATGTCGGCACTCTCCTTGCGATGAACAACAGCAATACCTGTTGCTGGCGCAGCTGATGGTGCACGCCCAATGTAGCTCAGTTCCTTCTTGTCTGGCAATAGCTGGCGTATCCTTGGTTCCATGAACGTGTATGCGCCTCCGTTCTGAGGTTCTTCTTGGATCCAGGTGAACTCTTTAAGTAACAGAAAATAAAAAAATAAAATAAAATAAAATATAAAAAGTAAAAAAAAAAAAAAAAAAGTTTGTTAATGAATTGTTATACAATGTTACATGTTCGACTTTTTTTTTTTTTTTTTTTTTTTGTTACCTTTGGCACCAGAATAAGTCTTGATTTGTTGCTCAAGGCCTTCCTTCGGGAACGGACTCAATTCTTCCACACGAACAATCGCCACCTTCTCATCCACTCCCTTCGTCTCACGCTCCTTCAACAGATCGTAATACAGTTTGCCAGAAACAAACAACACCTTCTCCACCGCACTGGGATCCTTCTCAGTCTTCATATCTCCCAAAACCGGCTCAAACGTCGTGCCTGGAGCCATGTCCTCCAAGGATGAAACCGCTTGTGGCAAACGAAGCAATGTCTTGGGACCCACCACAATCAACGGCTTGCGGAAGTTACGCTTCATCTGACGACGGAGCAAGTGGAAGTACTGTGCTGGTGTCGTTGGATTAACCACATGCATGTTCGTGTTGACCTTCCTCGATGGATCCGTCACATCAAACGAATCGCTCGTCATCTGCAACCACCGTTCAATACGGCATGAAGAGTGCTCCGGACCTGCTCCATCATATCCATGAGGTAACAACATTACCAAGCCAGACTGACGGAGCCACTTGGCTATATTCACAAAAAAAAAAAAAAAAAAAAATTATAAAATAAAATTGTTAATTTTTTTTTTTTCCCTTCCTAAACACATGAGTGACCCTTTTTTTTTTTTTTTTTTTTTTTCCTCCAACTTACTTTCAGCACTGCTCACGTAGGTGTCAATGGTGACTTGGGCAGAGTTGAAAAAATCTCCAAACTGTGCTTCCCAGATATTGAGCATCTTGGGTGTCTCATAGCTCATACCAGCCTCAAATCCCAACACTGCCAACTCTGATAGACTCGAGTTGGCCACCTCCAGATGGCCCTGACTCTCACTCAATGTATTCAAGGGGATATGGACTCGCTCCGTCTTTTGGTCCACCAACATCGCATGACGTTGTGAGAACGTGCCTCGACCAACATCTTGGCCACAGATACGAACATCATATCCCTCCATCAACAATGATCCAAAAGCAATTGCCTCTGCTGTGGCCCAGTCAAGCTTTTGTCCGTCCTTCAGCTTATCCAACCGAGACTTCACATGGAATTTCTCCAACCGTGGATGGATCTTGAAACCCTCGGGCGTAACAACCGAAGCACGACCAATCCCCCTCATCTTCTCAGTATCCACTCCAGTATCCATCTTGCTCACTGTCTCCGTTGGTAAGGTCATCCCCTTCCACTTGTGCTCCAGATGATCTGCCTGTGGTTTATAACTCTCAATCTCTGAGAAATCATCCTCCAGTTTCTCAAAGTAACTCTGACGGAAGTCATCAATTGCAGCCTTCGTCAGAATGTTCTCCGCCAATAACTTCTCCTCATAGAGCTTGGGGACTGATTTACGAGCACGGATGTTGTCATACATCAGCGGTTGAGTAAATGCGGGCTCATCCAACTCATTGTGTCCCCAACGACGGTAGGCAATCAGATCCAGGATCACATCCTTTCGGAACTTGTTACGGTACTCGAACGCAAGTCTCATTGCATGAACTACCTCCTCAGGATGATCACCATTCACATGGATCACAGGTGCGTTGATCATCTTTCCAATATCAGAGCTGTACACTGACGAGCGCGCATTTTGAGCTGGAGTCGTGTATCCGATCTGGTTATTAACCACAATATGGACCGATCCCCCTGAAGTGAAATGAGGCAAGTTTGATAAACCCAAACTCTCCATCACCACACCCTGACCCGTAAACGCAGCATCTCCATGGAGTTGGACGCACATGACCCTGTCTCCGAGCTGGCAGTCTGGAGAAGAATTGGTAATCAGCTCCATTTGTTTTGCGCGGGCCTTACCCATTGCCACAGGGTTGACTGCTTCGAGATGAGATGGATTATGGAGCATTGAGACATGAATTGGCTCAGCTTGACCATAGTCCAGGCGTGGAGAATTGGCAATGTGAGATAAAACATCTCCAGTGGCGGGGATACCAGCAGGGAACTCAGAGTTGCCCTTGACCTTATGGAACAGTGCCGTTGGGTTATACTCCATCAAATCTGTGAGAAGATTCAGACGACCACGATGGGGCATCCCCAAAATCACCTCGGTAACACCAGCTGTAATTCAGATTAGGTCAAACGTGAAGAAGAAAAAAAAAAAAAAAAAAAAAAAAAAAAGAGGGGTCAGAGCCACAGGAAGAACGACACTTTTTTTTTTTTTTTTTTTTTCTTATCAAACATAAAAATTCCCAGACTCACCTTTTGAAGCAGTCTGGAAAAGTGCATCCAATGCAACCATCATGCTTTCGGCTCCCTCAAGACCATAACGCTTAACTTGAGCAAATTTCTTGGCCATAAAATGGTCAAATACCTCAGATCTTGTCAACAACTCAAAGATACGATTCTTGTCTTCAGGTGTGATTGGAGGCTTTTGGTAGGACTCGACCTCATGTGCAAACCATCTTCTCTCGCTAGCATTCTGTAAAAATGTAGAATCACAGAATTTTCAAGGTAATGGGAAGAGGTGTTCAGCAAAACTTTTTTTTTTTTTTTTTTTTTTTTTGTTTTGTTTTGTTTTCACTCCTATTTAAAGCTTACAGGGATATGTGTGAACTCATAAGCGATCTTGCCGCAATAAGATTTTTCAAGGTGGGCGAGGACGGTCTTGAGCGAAGCTTCCTCCTTGGCGTCGGTGTTGCTCTTGGATTTGTTGACATGGAGAATACCATTGAGGCTATAGACCTTATTCTCGTCCGTCAATGCGTAACGGTCTGCTTTCAATGCCAAAACCTCCCTACAAAGGTTGAAGTGTATTGAGGAGATAAAGTAAGACGAATAGGGAAAGATCAGCAAAACAATTTCTTGTATATAACCATCGATGATCTGTTTTTCATCATTTGTTCCTCACTCTTTATTTGAAAGTTTTTTTTTTTTTTTTTTTTTTTTTTTTTTTTTTTTTTTTTTTTTTTTTTTTTCATCCCTCCTACACGACTTACTGCTGCTTAACAATCCCAAGGGGATCAAGATCTGCCTTAAGATGACCATGGGTCCGGTATCCAATGACCAGACGAAGCAAATTAGCATTCTCTACTCTGTTGGCCAATTCTTCAGGAGAATCTTAAAAGCGCCCGATACAAAATTTACCACACAAAAAGAGGAAGATACAAGAGTTTAGAAAAATAAAAATAAAGAAACACGAGAAGATTGTTGAAACAAATATCAAATATGTATATATATATATAAGAATTACAATCAGGCATGGAAAAGACTTTAGGAACACGATAGCCATAAGCTCCATCATCATGATAGGTACGACGCTGCTGGATGCTGTGGATGGCAGGAGGGATAGTCTTGAGTGTCTGCCTTGACAGGGGCGAGATCTGAGGTTTAATGGACTTGCTTGATTGAAGTGCATGGCGATGCATGCCAGCAGAACGCGCTAGACTAGTAGGGGAGACCCTGGTGGTGATGGTCCTGGATGTGTTGACCGCGGCCAAACGAAGAATGGCAGACATTATTTTAATAGTATCAATAATCTGCTTTTATTTTCTTTTGAACCCGAACTCGGATCTGCAAAGGAATGTATTATATAAGAAAAGTAAAGGAAAAAAAAAAAAAAAAAAAAAAAAAAAAAAGAATGGAGCCGCGAGGAATGAACAAGAGGAATGAGGGAACGACGAAAAAAGAGTGGAGCGAAAAGGTGGAGTTCGCGGCTAGGGAAAGGATGAGAGTGAGAACGAGTGTAAGAGTGTGTGTGAAAAATAAATAAGAAAGAAGGAAAGAAAGAGAAAAAAAAAAAAAAAAAAAAAAAAAAAGATCCTCCTTTTCTCCTTCTTTATCCCTCCCCCCGCGTTCCACACCCTCTTTGCCTTCCGTTGCAAAAAGGGTGAGGCACGAACATCGGTGTAAAAACGTGGAGTAACACATTCATGGGGGGATACAGTACACATACAAAGCGATGAGCAAATGACTAACACCGTGTACCTGCGCACCCGTATGGGCCGTGGGAAGGATTGGGCTGACCTGCCTCTTTTGGAAGGTATGGCTCATATCCTCCCACACTATCGTCCCTGACTTTTTTTTTTTTTTTTTTTTTTTTTTTTTTTTCCTCGTAGCCCAGAAACAAATGCTGTTCATGTATACATGAACAAAACAAATGTAAAACCTTAGCCCAACCATTCCCTATACTTATTTCAAAGTACTCCATGGTTTCAATATGGGGGATAAGACACCAACCAAACATTAGACATCAGCCAGCCAGGTGCCATTTACATCTAACCAACATTTAAAGAAACCTTGCTGTCGTCTATGAAAACAAGATAGAAAGTAGGAGGGGCCGGTGTCTTTACCATCCTACAGACAAAACCCCGTCCACTCAAAAAAACTCCATTGGATAATTGCGGGGAAAGAGAAGAAAGAAGGAGCTGAAGGAGGAGTTTTATTACTTCATGAGCGACGATTGGTCTTTTGCAACGAACAATGGTCACGCACCCCGTCAATATACTTTTTTTTATACTTTGTTCTGGAACCTGATTTTAATTAGGCTTGCATCCTATAATTGAGCATATGCTAACCCCATGTTTATCCACGTCCTACATGCAAGTATAGATATAAATATATATATATATATATATATATATATATACATATAAAAGTTTATTTCACTCTATCCTATGGCTGTTCTCTAAGAAAAAAAAAAGACTACATGTCTACAACGCGTCTATTAAACGCGTTATCCTGCATGTTGCCCTACGGCCCTACGACATTTTCATAGACGTGTTCATTGAATCTTGAGAATGAAAGCGTGCTGCCGTATCAGATTGTGTCAGATTGCCTCGGGGTTCATTACCCACAGCATGCCATCCCTCTTTCCAAACAACTATCATTATCACTATTATTAACATTATTGTATATACATATATCTCAATAATACTATTATTTTTTAGCTTCAAAGACATATGACAATCAATCAACCAACGGTGGGCTCATCAATTCTTCATTTCAAGCTATCACGTGCATCAATTCAAGCCCCATACGCACTAAATGAAGTGGAGTGGAGAAGAAGTTGTCGATCGATCGATCACCAGTCCCATGTATCACCGCTTCTTTACTCTTTTCTCTTTCTCTCTTCCCCCTTTTCCTTTTTTTCTTTCTTTCTTTTTTTTGTAAAAGGCACCAATATACTCATCTTTCCCACCTTTCCTCTTTCACCACCCGTAACTTTCACTGGATTTATTATCATCACAATAATATTAAAAAAATGAACTGGCTCAAATCAAAGATGGGATCGCATGGATGGGACCTCACAGAGGACGACATTAAAAAGCCTAATATCCTCTTTCTCGGACCTATTGAGTACGCTAAGCAGGAGCTTGAAGATTTCGAGGAGTACTTCACTGTCAAGGTATTTTTTTTTTTTTTTTTTTTTTTTTTGCTAGTGGATGAATAAGCATCTACTACCACTATCTTCATAATAACGTCTCTTTTATTATTATTATTATTATTATTATTTTTGTAGTATCATGAAGGAGGCCGTGAAGAATTCATTCAAATGTGCAAGAAGGGCAAGTACAATGGATATGCAGCCATTCTCTGGAATCCCTCCAATGACAGCAACTCGGTAAAGGGCTTTTTTAAACTGCCGCTACACTTCTCATGGTAATCGAAAAGAAGCTAACTTTTTTTTTTTTTTTTTTTCCCCTCATTACTTCAAGATTGGACCACTTGACAAGGAACTCGTATCACACCTCCCGGAGAGCTTGTCTGTGATCTCACTTCCTTATGCTGGATATGATCGTTTCGACATTGATGCATGCACCGCTAGAGGTAAGGAAAAAAAAAAAAAAAAAAAAAAAGGAACAATAATAATACACACCCTATCCCTCCTCCCCACATGACCTTTTTTTTTTTTAGTTTCGTGGGAATGGGAATATGATCTGTATCATGTATATGGAGGTTTTATCAGTAAAACCTTCCTCCTTTATTTATTTATTTATTTTCCTTCCTCAATCATAGACATCACCGTCACCAATACTCCAGGCGTTGTTTCAGCCGCTACAGCGGACACCGCCATGTTCTTAATCATGGGATGTCTTCGTCACTTTACTCAGGGTCAAACAAATCTTCGTCAAGGTAAAAAAAAAAAAAAAAAAAAAAAAAAAAAAATAGAATAATTGAGAGAAAATGAATAATTTCTAATGGAGTCCTATATCCCTCTGGGGAAAATAATACAAAAAAAAGGCAAGTGGTTGACTGGAATTACATCTGGACGTGATCTTGCCTCCAGTGCACTTGGTATCATTGGTTTAGGTGGCGTCGGCAAGGTAAAGGAGGATCCTTATTTTTTATTATTTTTTAGCTCGCTGTATGGGCTTAATACAATGCGTGTGCATTTTCATGAAACTTAACATTTTTATTTCCTATACTTTGCTTTGTAGGCTATTGCCAAACGCGCCACTGCATCCGGTATGGTTGTCAACTACTACAACAGGAAGCGACTAGATATTCGAGGTATGGATATCAGGGAGATATATATGTTTTGCATTGTTGTCCCAACTCTCGGGAGGCGGGGAAGTATTTCTTTTTTTCTTCGTTCTTGATTCTTAAGTTTCTTTTTTTTTTTTTTTTTTTTTTTTTTTTTCAAAAAAAAAAAATATTTACAGTGGAGGCCGAGTACAATGTTCAATATGCAGCCTATGAGACTCTGCTGCGCGAATCAGATGTGATTGTGATTGCAGTTCCATTGAGTGCCTCAACTAGACACATGATCAGTACTCCACAATTCGAAAAGATGAAGAAGGGCGTTGTTCTTATCAATGTTGCTCGTGGACCTATTGTCGATGAAGCTGCATTGGTAGAAGCTCTGAATAGTGGAAAGGTAAAAAAAAAAAAAAAAACACGCATATCATACAACATAACAGTTAGCAACTACTTCCTTTCCTACTCTGTCATGGAGATTAAATCAAAACGAGTTGATTTCTTTTCTTTAGGTTTCGTCTGCTGGGTTGGACGTGTTCGAATTTGAGCCCAAGGTTCATGAAGGGTTGCTCAGTCACCCTCGATGCACACTTTTGCCACACATGGGAACCCACTGTGAGGGATCACGGCTAGACATGGAGGTAACGCAAATAGTACTGAAGCAGCACTAGTGTCTTTTTTTTTTATTATAATAATAAGAAAAAAAAAGTCTAATGTCCTCACTTTTTTTCTTTTTTCCTCCTAATTATAGAAACTCGCTCTTCGTAACTCCAAGAGGTTTTTGATGGACGGCGAGGCTATTACACCCATCAACAAGATTGAAGCAGCAGGCAAGCCTTTGGAACATTTGATGACTGATGGTATTGATATCTCCAAGCTCAATATTACTTTACAATAGTATTACTTTTGTACCAAAGCTTTCAAGGACAAATACATGGAAAAAAAATAAAAATTAAAATAGCTCATGTTTATTACAAACTTGATATATCCATTCTTTAAAAAGATCCCACAGAGTCCCTGATATCGTACATGTTGAGAGAAATAGCATCTTGCGATTCATTACTAAAAAAAAAAAAAAAAAAAAAAAAAAAAAAAAATGCCCAACACACATTTTGCTGAACAATAAAATCATGATAGCCAAAATATAATTCAGCAGAGGAAGGGAATGAGAAAAAAAATTTTTTTTTTTTTTTTACATGACATACATTTTTACTTTGAAATATTGCACGAGGGCGTTTTATTTCAGTCTTTCAAGTAAAATCCACCTTTAATTGATGGGCTTTCTCCAAATAAGACAGAGCAAGCTCAATTGGGTTTGAAATGGGTGACTTTGCCTGTAGCACAAAGGATATCGACATGTCCATAAAATAACATCCGCGTAAATATTTCTTTTTTTTTTTTTTTTTTTTTTTTTTTTTTGGATGAAGTTATTTGTACGGGGGAACCGTACGAATAAACGGGGTCCGTCCCGTACAAATAACTTCTATCCTTGTCCAAAAAAAAAAAAAAAAAAAAAAAAAAAACTTGCCATTTAAGAGAATTAAAATGAAAGTGCCGGGACTCGAACCCGGTTCTCAGGCTTGGAAGGCCGGAATGATACCCATATACTACACTTTCTTATCTGAAAATTCTAGTTTATTACAATAATATATAACTGATTAATGACGCTTACGTAATTATTTTGCGATCAGGACTGAGGCAGACCGGCGGGTGGTGGCAAGCTTCAGGACAGTCTTCCCATGACCCTGAGGGTCCTTGTTATCAAAAAAAAAAAAAAAAAAAAAAAAAACGGAGGCTGACCAAAGAGTAGCTGAGAGCTATCGGCAACAATTAGAACTGACAGTAATGGAACGGCTAGGAGGATGTCGCTTTTTGATGATTGAGGACTGTGGCTAGAAGATGACTTTCGCGCACAACAGGCCAAGTAGGGAGCAGGGCTCGTCACAGGTTCCGTAGGGATCAAGAGTTACCACTCGTGCTGACGTGGTTTATGAATAGGATGTTGTACTGTGGCAGTATGATGATGCGGCTTCGGTTGATTATTGGATACCGCTTTATTTACGACCCCAGTAATGGGTAACCCATTTATAGAGCTAACATCTAAATAAATCCTACATGACCTTGTGGGCTCGTGGGTCCTTGTTACGGCAGAGGAGCACTAAATTTGGGAACTCTAGAGATGTATATCTATGGGGTGCAAGCACAAAGGGCCAGAGAAAGAGGTGTAGACCCGCCAGGGACAAAAGAGCCAACTTTTACTGCGGCAGAGGAGGATTGCATCTAGGGTACTCTGGATATGCATATCGATGGTGTGCGGGAAGTACGATGTCATGGCGATAGGAACGGCGATGATGAGGACGAGGTAGAGCACATACCAGATTGGTCTGTACAGGATATTTACCGTGGACTTACACCCAAATCCATTGCTCAGAGTTGGAAAGTTGGCTTCAAGACAACAACAAGGATAGCTACATGTATGGTAGGGCGCTTTGTCAAGGCCATAGAAGAATTCGGTCGTACAGAAATCTGGAACAAACGGTGTAAAGTCACCGTTGAATGGGAAAAGGCTCGTGGAATCACTACTCTGAGCAAACGCGCTAGAGGACGCAACTGTGTTGGGGAGCACAGACGTAGTAGCAATGATCTCCTCGTCCCTTCCCTGAGACAACGACAGAAACTGAACGTGAGAGAGACCTACAAGATCCTGGATGATCGAGTCCGGGACAGCTACGTTGGGAAAACTAAACTGGACGTGATGGAACGGCTAGGTGGAATGAAGTTTTTGATGGCTATGGATAGCAGATAATTTGTCACGTTGCGCAACAGGCCACTCGGAAAGGTGAACTTTGAGTACCAAAACTACGGTAGTCAGAGTTTATGTAATCATAGATATAGCGACTCTAGCTCGTACGCGACAGGCTAAGAAGGGAGTAAAGCCGTGTCACAGATCCCCAGGGAGACCAAGAAAGTCCACCCAATGCTGACGTGGTTTATGAACAGGATGTTGTATTGTAGCAGTATGACGATGCGGCTACGGCAAATTACTAGATACCACTTTATTTGCGACCCAGTAATAGGGCAACTCGTTTATAGAGTTAACACCTTGATTGGCCCTACATGACCTCATGGGTCCTCATTGTCTCAAAAAAAAAAAAAAAAAAAAAAAAAAAAAGAGGGCGAATGCATACAAGGTGGTGGTCTCATCAACTTGGCTTAGAGAAGAAGGAAAATTCCGTTCATTGTTGAAGCCAAAAAGATAGAAAATGAACGATTTATGGGAGGCTTCTACAAGAAGAGTTACAGTTGAATACTATAGAGAGGTTGCAGAGGTCTAAAACTATCGGGATTAGTAGGCGTAATTTCTACGCAACGAGCCACGCAGGAAGTAGCAATGATAATTATAAGCACAGAAAGTTGAAAGGTCAAGGAGAAGAGTTGTCTGAAACAGAACGCGTTTGTGACATTTTATGATATTTTGACTTTATAAAGTTTTTTTTTTTTTTTTTTTTTTTTTTTTTTTTTCACGTTGCTTTGATAGCATGGGGCATTTGAGAAACAAGAATGAGTGGTAAAAGTGGAAGAAGGGAACGTGAAAAAAAAAAAAAAAAAAAACTATGTCCATCCTGTCACTATTACACTATTAGGGGTTGATAAGATGATCTGAAGAGATAAGAAAAAAAAGGCAAAGGTTTAGTAATAACAACAACAAAAAAAATAAAAAAGAGCGACTGCTATAATAGTGTTCAACATACTTCGAGCTGGGAGCGCTACATGGTCTGTATCAGCAATGATAACCTCGTGCATGCGCTTCTGGAATTCGTATCTTATTCTTAGTTGTTTCTTCTCTCCTAGACAAGGATCATAGAAACCAAGGATGTGGTTCTACATAAAAAAAAGAGAAGTCAATAAACTCTGTTATTATAAGAAGAGCTTTTTTTTTTTTTTTTTTTTTTTTTTTGGCATTACCTTGGAGTGACCACCAGGTAAGACCAACTGGGAGTTGTTCACCAGTGCCTGGACAGCGATCGTCACTTCAGCTACGAGCCCTGCACCCAAGTTTCCATACACTGCTTCTATAATAACAAGGCCGCCTTTATCCTGTTCTTGTTTGGCCTTGCGTGCAGTCGATTCCTTCAACAAATTGAGAGCTTCCTCCGCTTCCCTTTTTTGATTTTCAATAAATTCTGCATGAACTCTACGAAGCTCCTGTAGCTTCTGTGCACGCTCACGCCTCTTCTTGGGCTTAATATACCCTAAATCAAGCGCAGCAAGCGCACAGATCGGTGCCACTGCTGTCCAGAATACAAATCTGGGGCTGAAATCAGATGACAATAAGATGGGAATCGTCACCGTTTGGCCCAATCGCACAAATCTAGTAAAAAGAAAAAGTGAAGAATGAGCTAAAAAAAAAAAAAAAAAAAAAAAGGAGAGGGCCAACCAAGCAAAAAGCAGGCAAAGCAATTACTTCATATTGAATGCAACTCCTCCTGTCAGAGCAACTTCTACAGCCAAGCCTAACTTGGTGTGCTTTGTGACCTTGCGGTCTGCACCGACGCTAGTACCAAGTCCTGCTAAATTCGACATCCTTGTACCGACTCTTACTCTGGTGGAATCATCCAGATGCCATGTGCGATCTACCAGCAGATGCGATTCCTTTACACCAGCCTGGAGTTCGACTTGATATTGCTCTTTGGCTGGATTAACAGAGGTGATTCCTAACGACATGGATGAAAAATGCTGGCGATCCTCAAACAAAGGTCCCCATGATCCAAGAGCCCATTCCCCTGTGCGGTAAGTGACATATCCTGTAGCTTTTTTCGTGATTTTACGCCCAAAAGTCATGACTAGCGGCATCGGACCCTGAAAGTTTCGCGTAAATGCAGTGCCAGAAACATAGGTTCGCGGATCAATGCTGTAAGTTCCTTTGATTAGGCTAGATCCCGGATTCAAGAACGATGTTCCAAACTTGTTTTAAGATTATTGGAAATATATATATACAAAAAAAGGAAGGAGAGGGTAAGGCACACGCAGACTACAATCCTGTGCAAATATTTAACATTAAACGGCGTAACATACTTCCATGGTAAGCTTGTCTGAAATCGCATGTCGAACTGTACCAAAAACGTTGCCGCCGGCTCGTCCAGATCGCGAAAACATGTTTCCTCCTAGTATCAACTGCGTGCGTGGCCCAAAATTTGTCTACAGAAAAAAAAAAGAGTATGAGGATAAAACATAGAAGCTGTCTCACAATTACTACAGGGTTTGAGCTGCTTCTTCCTTTACCTCAAACGAATTCTTCATGTAAAGATTCATTATATCAGTTCTTTTCAAAGAGTCCAGTATGCTTATTGCCTTATTCTTCTTTGTCGACAGCCCAAAGGGTATAGGGGAGTGGTGCCGTTCAAAGACTCTACTGGCATCTATATTAATAATGATATCATTCCTGGATCGAACCATATTCTCCAACTCCAATTGCTGTCGCTCCCGAGCAAGACGGGCAAATTCATCCATCGTCTAGAAAAACAAACAGGGTATTAGGACAAAAAACTTATTCGGTTTAAATTATACGAGCAAATCATTGACTGAATACATAACAAAATCAAATTGCAAAGCCTAATGATTCACCTCTTGTGGAGTCTTGATATTGTGCGCCACTTCCCATTTATTTTTCAATCCCTCTTCCCCATATTCATCATATGCTGAGCGCAATTGAGGATTGCTCAAGACTGTAGATCAAAAAAAAAAAAAAAAAAAAAAAAATTAAAGAAAAAAACAAAACTAACTGATCAAAAAGAGAATCATAGGAAGGGCTAACTCAGTAGTTGCCCAAAGGGAAGAAGAAGAGGGAAAAGTACCTTCGAATGCTCTAGTAAGGATTGCAAGCTTTGTTTCTGCTGCTTCTTTGAGTGATGAGTTGCTTTGGTTGTCCGGATGAAATACTTTGCTTAAACGGTTGTAAGCTAATTTGATCTCAGCGTCCGAGGCCTAGGCAGATATAATGTTTGCATTAGAGGCTATATGGATTGTTTCGCACGGCCTCCTGGCCTTATTAAGCTGATAGGGTCTTCTTGGAAAGCAAACTGCAAGTCACCTTCTTGGAGACGTTCAAGATGGCATAAAAGTCCGATTCTTTGGACCAATTTGTCTCCAGATCATCCTGGTGCTCATCTGCCTGAACAGCTCTATGATTATAGCTGAATTCTGGCTCTTGCGGCATAGATTTGTCCTGGTATACATCCTCCATCCTGTAATTTCACTTCAGTTGAATCGTTGAATTTATGATTCCTCGATTTTAATAGAAATCGGAGCAACCTTTCAATTTTCCATTCTTGGTTGACTGATCCACCGGTCACAAGGCGTTTGCCGCCAAAAATTATATTTAATAATTAATGCATGGTGATCCACTCTATACGCTTGTTTAAACGTAGCGATCAAAACCTCCGAATTTGAAAGGACGCAGTGCCAACCCTTATAGAGGCTGAAACCTCTTTCTTGGCAATATCCAGGACATCGAGCGGCTTCGTTATACCAACCAGTCCTCCACTTTGCACTGACAACAAACAATTAGCATCCGGAACTCATCACCACAGGAAAGGAGCATCCCATTGACTCAGCGTTGCTGTATAAAGAGATCATAATAGCATGGGATGAGGAAGACTCGAATGTTTATCAATACGATGGTTCCATTTCACATATCAAAAATAATTAGTTATAGCCTGGTTGTGAAGGTACGGGTTCACTTTTAGGTATTGGTAATGGCTAATAGAAGCATGAAGAGGGTGGAGTGATACAAGCACAAAGAAAGATGAGAGAGAAGAGGAGTGACGTTATGAAAGTGTTTTGTAGCTTTATACGTTGTCTTTATAAAGGAAAAAAAATCAATTTATAACTGCAAATAGAAAGCGCGTAAAATGACATTAATGCTTTCTCCACATGATCAGTGCAGCATGGGAGTATTTATTGAAAACAAGAGGGCAACGCCTGAAAAATTGTGATGATGAATTTCTTGGAGATTCCATTTTTTAACTTTTAGGGGGAGCCTCTGGGGAATATGGAGGTTGCGCTGTAATTTGTGGCTGTTGGTATGCAGGCTGTGAAGCACTCTGTGCTGGAGCCAATGTTACAGATGTTCCATACGCCATGACTTCCGTCATTCCCTATTCAGATAGGCAGGTTCATGAGGATTAATCTTAGTGGTTACTTCCTTTCGATCCATTTGTATTCCTGAACATTTTGAATCATTACCTCACAGACTTCTTGTCCAGTGAATTGGACACCAAGGACAGCTGCAGCAAAAGATTAGAAAAGTATCAAATCCAAACATGTTAGGTTGAAAAGTAAAGGACTTTCTTTTTTTTTTTTTTTTTTTTTTTAATAAGTACAGTAGTTTTTACCATTGCCTCCAACAGTAGCAGCGTGCTCAAGTAAGCGGACAAAAGCTGTTTCACGAGCCTTTTCTGCCATCTCAATGTATGTAAAACTCTCGCCTCCTCCTAACGAGGCAAATGCACCAAAGACAGCTTTTCCTACCTGTTTTTTTTAAAAAAAAAAAAGGTCAAAGCGTTGCGCTAAAAGATGATTTTTAAAGTCATGGCAGGGTAGCCATGAATTATATGCATGAGAGCTTACATTGGGTGTGCGGACAGTCAAGCCTCGAACAACTCCATGGCTTTGTACGATGACGTATCCTGGGAAGGTGAAACTAATGAGAGCAAATCGAATCATCAGCTGCTCGTCTCAGCAATCAAACGCCACCATGGAGAAAGAAGAGCATTTTGATATCTTACGCAGTCGTGCTGAAACGACGATCAACAGCACGGGTAGGTTGGTTTTGTTTAGGCATGGTAAAGGGGGGTCAAGACTCAAAAATCAGTTCAAAGGCAGAAGGGTGTTGAGAAGTGATTAAGGCTCAGGGAGGCCACCTTTTATAGCAAAATAGATAGCATGGCTATATCATAAATGGATATGTTAAAGAAAGACATGGGCTGTGGTCTCTCGTAAGCATTGTAGCCTCTCAGCCACACTTAATTGGAGTATTGTTTATTTAGAGTTAAAAAAAATATATATATATAAAAAAAAAAGCAACAGCCACAACTGCAAGGATGGGCTTATACGCGGCGTTCAACGATACAGCCAATAAAGTCTGACAATTAAACTATTATCTCCGTATGAGGCTGAACAAGATAGTCTTCACGCCATTCTTCTTAGGCTGTTTTGAAAAAACGCAAAACAGCTGAATACTCAAACACTCAAACTGTACATTAGCACTGCTTTTTTATACATCTTGTCTTTAATTTTGCTTTGAATATGCTGAACTATGCTACAGGTAGTATGGTATGCTTGATACCAAAAATGAGGGGAATATGTATAGTTAAAAAAGAACCACCTTTGTGTTTTTTCTAGTTTTTTTAGACATCGCCAAAGTATCCCTGCTGGTCCAAAAGCAAGACAATGCGACGAACAATCTGAGCAACGCTCTCAGTGGATGGGTCGACGACTAACTCAGCATTCTTAGGAGCCTCATAGGGATCATCAATTCCGGTGAAGCCAGTGATCTCTCCCTTCTTTGCGCGCTCATAAACACCATCACGATCCCAGGCAATGCACTGTTCCAAAGGAGTGGCGACGTGGACAAGGAAGAAACCACCAGACTTCTCAACCTCTTGGCGAGCTTGCTGACGAGCCTCCTCATAGGGTGCAATTGGAGCAACAATAACACCTGCACCAGCTTTAGTCAACTCAGCAGCCACGAAACCCAGACGGTTGATGTTGATGTCACGTTCGCGTTTACTAAATCCGAGCTCAGACGACAACTTGCCACGGATGGTCTCACCGAGCAACAAGGAGATGGAACGACCACCCTGCTGGTTCAGAGAAACCTGGAGTGCACGGGCAATGTGCTCCTTTTTGGAGGCATGATAGCCTGTCAAAAAGACAGTGAAGCCCTGCTTCGAGCGAGGAGGATGAGATTGGCGCAACAAAGCCACGACCTCGGGGTAAGAGAACCATTCAGGGATATGTGCGCCGGTGCGAAGACGGCGACGAAGCTCAGTTCCAGAAATGTCCAAGGTCTTGGCACCAGCAGGGACTTCGTCCGAGGGAACGTATTCGTCAGAGTCAGGCAAATAGGTAACCTGCTGGAAGGGAACAACTTCAATGTGAAGCTCATCTTTGTACTTCTCAACGAGATACTGAGCATCATAGGGACCATAAAAGTCTTTGCCAGCAGAGTTCTTTCCAGGGCCAGCGTGGTCACGACCAATGATGAAGTGAGAGCATCCGTGGTTCTTACGAATGATAGCATGCCAAAGAGCCTCACGAGGACCAGCCATACGCATGGCCAATGGCAAGAGAGAAAGGGCAGCCATTCCGGTAGGGTAGCGGCGGATGATGGCTTCGTAGACACGAACACGAGTGAAGTGATCAATATCCCCGGGCTTAGTAAGACCAACGACAGGGTTGATCAGAACATTAGCCTGGCGAGAGCGAGCAGCACGGACAGTTAACTCACGATGTGCACGGTGCATGGGGTTACGGGTCTGGAAGGCGACGACACGAGTCCAATTCAACTTCTGGAAGTATGCACGGATTTCAGCAGGAGTGTCTGATAGTTCAGAAAAAAGATTTGGGTTGATTGTGCATCCAAAACGGAAAATTAAAAAAACCGGTCAGATTATCAAAAATTACGCCTTTTCTAGCCTATCCCATGCATCCTGTATTCCAACAACATGACTGTGTCAGATCTGGTAGAACACTTACTTCTATAAGCGACATAGTCATAGTGAACGGGAGCCTGGATGGCCTGGATAGTACCTCCTACATAAAATTCCTTGACATTCTGATGCAAGTACTTGACGGCGGGGTGTGCAATATCATCATCGCCAAAGACTAATTTTGCCTCCTTGACTTTATCGGGTCTGTAGATGTCCTGGATAGTCAAAATAGCGATAGGAGAGTCGTTACGAGGATCACGAAGAGCGATTCGCTTCTCAGGCTTCAATGAAAGGTTATCAATATCCTCCTGTGAGACATCCAAGTTGATGGGCATAGACCAAAGAGTACCATCGGCCAAACGAAGGTTCTCCACGACGCTGTTCAGATTGAAAAGGCAAACCGTTGAAGATTGGTAAGTGGATCGTTGCCGAAATGATCATTCATCATCAGCCGGATTAGACTCAGATCTCAGCTTCAGAAGGCGGATCTAAATCCGACTATGTAGTAGTTCTTTTTTTTTACCTGGTGTAGTCCTTCTCATTCAAGAAGCTCTCGAGAGGAGAGAAGCCTCCAGAGATGATGAGTTCAAGATCGCACAGCTGGCGCTCAGTGAGGACAATGGATTCGATGGTGTCGGATTCCTTTAGGAGTTGCTCATGAATGGGCCTGTCACGGGCGACAAGGTCCTTAAGAATTCCACCATGGGGAGTGTTGGCCATGTTTGATAAGATGATGTGAAGGTAAGTCTTACAAAAGTCGGTGGGTGAGGGAGATCAGCGAGGAGCAATGGACAAGAGAAGCAGAATGGATCGAGTGGGGAGGGATGAAGATCAGATCTAAGAAGGAAAGAGGAGTTGGTGCCTGAAAGCGGATCTGAGTTGCATTTTATATCAGAACAAGGATTGACTAATATGAAGGTATGTACACCGTTTGCGTCTAACGAGCAGCAATAGAATGATCTGAAGGTGAATGGCATCATTTTCGCTGTTTCTGCGGCCTTTTTTGTTATATTTTGTGTTTTGGGCAACGTCCTGTGCGAAATGTCCGAACAGAGACGGATAAGAAAACACACGATAAATCCGGCGAATGAGCATCGAATAAGAAGGCGAAACTCGAAGGATGGCCTTTTGCTGAATAAGACGGGAAAACTCCAAAGTGTAAATCATAAGGCTCTTTCGCGCAGCATGTACTACTCAAGCTGGCGAACGCAAAATGGCGCGACCACAGTGGCTGGTGACTGTTCTTAGCGTCAGATCACACCATTTCCTCAGGATTTACGCAAGAGCACTTAGCATGTGGTGGTGAAAAAAATCAAGATGAGTGACTGTCTTCTGCCTGTCCTATCCTGTTGAAGACAAATACGCGTGTACATGCTTGGGTTGGTCAAACTTGGTTTAAGACATTCAACACACATGATGCGATTCTGCTGCCACTATTATTACAACTGTTTTGCAGCCTTTTCCTAGTAAATGAACCAAACAGACAGATAATCAGACAGAAAATTTACAGAGTATAAATAAGGTAAAGAGAACGGACCATCCTTTTCTCCCTCTTCTATGCATTCTTCTCCTTCACATCAGGCATGGCTGCCACAACCAACAGATACAGATTTGAAACTGGAATTCAATTTGCCTCTAACTGTCGCCATTATTTTTTCTACAAGCACCTATGTTTCTAGACAACGACAAACCTTTCCATCTAAACCGGGATTAGGTTGTCACAACCCTCTTTTCTATTGTACATTTCCAGGAGCCAATTAAAAGAAGAATATTCTAATTATTGTCACACAGGGCCCACGCGTGTCATTCAATCCCTTGTTTTTTCTCCATCCATTTTGCCCTTCGTTTCTTTTTTTGACTTACATCACACCTTACACACCTCATTTATCACCATTTGGTCATTCTAGTCATAGAACACAAGTTCATGTTTTGGTACTCTTGTATGCATGCAAATGTTGTGTGCGTGTAACCTCACCGAGGTTTTCTTGAACAAAAATTGTTCCGCATCTTGCACTTGAACTCTCACCACTAATAACGGCCACCAGTTTAGCAATTTAACTTCGCCCACCAGATGGTGTCAACGAATTGTGGCTATATGGCGTGCTCATGTCGTAAACATCTCTTTTATTCACGCTTTTATGTCTGTCGAGCAAAGCCTACCAGAGTTACACGTTCTGGGTACTTACCTGAATCTATGGCAAAAAATCCTCTTTTTTGCTTTTACATTATTCATTGATTTCCGATTGCACTATTTGTTTTTAATGGATAATAGGCGATACAAGTATGAGCCTGTCTACGATCTGCTACATTGGTATCGACAGTATGTCCATCCGTATCAGTGCTACGCAGTCATTGCTCTCCTCTCTGGGAAATTGCTCATCCAATTCTAAATATCGATCTCCGGTTCCCTAGTTCAACGTTCTCTTCCAGAAGAGACTGACTTCCGGTTGAGTGTCAGCTCCTGTTCTATTTCTATGTTAGGAAATAGGATAAAGTGCACAAAGCGTATAAAGCAAAGAACTATAAATCTTACCGCAATTTCTCATGTTATATACACAATGCTAACTATGCTATAGATAGAAAAAGGATGTATAAGAGGCTATATATTATACATGGCAGACATGACGCCCTGTAACAGTAATGGCCAGAAAGATATCCTGTGATTTGGTAAATAGCTAAACGCGTTTTGTACTGAGAATCCAGGATCATAACGAGATATTCGTTGCACATGGCTTTTCGAGAAACGACTTTCGCTTCACAAACGTCTTATGAAGGAGTCCGCACCTGACCTCATGTAAACACATTCAAAACTACCAGTGCTAAAAGCATAGGGACTTTTGGAGTTCAATCCCGCTAGAGCACTGCTTCATGAGCTTTAATATCACCTTTGAGCTTCATTAATTATATCTTTAACGTGTCAGTTGGCTTATACCCTGAAGAATCATATCTATCTTTGATTAAATGATCAGAGCTACTGTGTCGAGTTAGGAGCATTATGACTGACAATACCATATCTAACAGCCCTACTTCAAGTAACCAGTTCAGTCATGAAACATCGGACAAATACTTTAATCAACTGACAAATTTTTCATATTGCGTATTCTGTACGCATGCATGAATTTGAAAATAGGTGGGTGCCTCCGGCATTAAGGAGTCAGGGTTTAGATGATCAAGGTCTGAGAAATTTTCATAGGAAGAATGACAGTCGACAAATAAAGCTATAGCTTATTTAGGGTTTAATGTGACGAAATAGAGTTGTCTTTACCTGCATATTCATGTGAGGTCCTACAAGCGAATAGCTCCCTGACAATATATCAGGAAGGAGCACCCAAGATTGATGTCTTGCTATTTATCATTGATGTTCTCAAAATTACGCGGGAACGTTCCGTTACTCCTCACCTAACAGTCTAGATCCGATACAATAGCGCCCAGGAATGTGTTTGTGGTCAGGATTAATTTCACTCTGCAACTTCCTCATGATTGTGTGCTCAGGCCACATGCTTACACATGTACAATCCTTGACGCAGTCATAACGTAATTACACCAGATCAGGCCACAAATGATTAAAGGGTTCCTGTCCTTGTTTATATCTCCGTCATATGTCGTCTACACGTTCACTCCGTCATAACTGTAGTAGCCACTCTTACTGTTCCTGTTCAAATCGCTGTTTTACAGTTTTGCCATCTTTTATTCTTGCATTCATTTCTCATGTCCTCATTGTCATTCTCATTTCCTTGACTTTAACAAATATAATAATATTTTAATAGCAACAAACATATTAATAATAAGCATCTCACGGCACACTATCAAACCACAGTACACTCTAAAGCAGCGGCATCTCTTTACTTTGTAGCTCTAACATGGCCATGACTCAAAAGTCTATTAACCTACCTATCAATGGATCCGCTCTTCTCCAGTTCTTCGCTGCAGCTTTCCGTTCGGTAAAAAGAAGCATCAAAACAACCATATCCTCTCATACTTCCGATTAGATTCTTCGCTTTTTTAAACTGAACTCGGCTTTTTCCACTACGTGAATATTTTAGGATGACGTTGACTCTAGTTCTGATGAGGAAGACGAGCAACCGAGCGACAGAAGTGTGAAGACACATAGAGAGCAATCGCACTCTCATCAAAATCAAAAACCGGATATAGCCATCAAGACAGATAGTCTATCAGAAGAGTTAAAGGACACAAACCAGGCACCTAGTCCAGAGCGTCCCAGCGACCCCTCTCCCATCACTAAGACCCCCCACGAGGGCAGTAACAACAATGAAAATCAAAAGGGCACTGCTAGCGGGTTCTCATTTGGCAGCATTCACGACAAGAATGCAGTTGCTCAGAAGCTGCAGAAGGCATTCGGATACTCGAAGGATGAGACACTTGTCGGAGGTAATTTTATTTTAATTTTAACTTTATTTTTCTGAAAATGTCGTCATTATCGCCATGCACAAATAAACGCTTTAGTTTCATGTATTCATTCGAATGCAAGAAGGCTGTCGAGCACATATCATGATGTAGACCTTGCAATTTATCAAGGCGATTTATTCACTCGTGGCGCTACCCGTACTATACCACTTTTATCGTGTTTGATAGAATACTCGTGCTGGATGGCTCGTTCAGTGTTATTACCAGGCTACATGTACCTGACGACAAATCACATTTGCTTTTATGCCAATTTGCCAAGTAGCCATGTAAGACTTGCATAAGACAATTTTCAAAGATGTAAATCATACAAACAGCAAGCCTAATCAGAACCAGCCTAATCCTCTTACCATCGATATTAGGACGTGATCCAAAAGGAAGGCTTCTTTGAGAAAAAGTCCAAGAACACAAAGAAGTTTAGTCGGTTCTGGTTCATATTAAAGAATGATGTCCTTAGCTATTATTCAGATCAGTCAGTAAGTGTATCAGGGGTAAATTTCCTTTCTTATTGAATCATTCTACCAATGTTTTTTTTTTATTAATCTTTCAAACATCTTTGCTTCATAATCATTACAAAGGAAATTTATTACCCGATCAAGACCATCGATCTGAAAAATGCATTATCCGCAGAGCCATCACCCACGAACGAGCTAGCGTTCAACGTGTACATGACAAGCTCGCGTAGATACAAGTTCAGGACAGACTCGGAACTCGCACGGTCTGATTGGGTCAAAGCGATCCAAAAGTCCATCTTCCATGCGAAGATGAATGAAGAAAACGTTAAGGCAAGTCAAATATGGAACACAACACAAAAAAGAAGAGGGGGGGGGGGAATCGTCCTGCATGGCTTACATACCCTCTTGTCTTTGAAAATCAAAATTAGATTTCGATACCTTTAGCCAACGTGCTGGAAATTGAGATGAATTCAACCTCATTTGCTGATACGATTCGGTTGTCGATTAAGGACGGTGACGGAGAAGATGATGAGTTCTTCTTTGCCTATTTCGATGATACCCCAAAAACTGCTGCTACTTTGAAGTCTCAAGTCGATCAATACCGCCTCGCCAGCAAAGAAAGAGATCACCTGTTGTCTGAAGACCATTTGAAATTCCTTGACACCACAACTATCAAAGCGGATGACTCTTCACGCAAATCACTTGCAACCGAACCCCCACAAGGGCCCCTTGCCTCCTCTGTATCTGGAATCCAATCTCATGAAAGCAGTACATCGCAAGGAGCAGTGGCTGGCGCATCTTGGTTCAACCCTCTCAAATATCTCCGTCCATTGGATGTTACCTCTAATAGCCCAACAACAGAAGGTCAAAGAAATGCTTCACCAACGTTTCGGGCCGCGACTGAGGCTGATTGTGTGAAGGAGAAGGAGATCTGCAAGGCAACAAGTGAAACGGATGAAGCGCCTTCTACATCCTCTCTCCGTGGGGCTGCTGCATGGTTGACTGATCGTATACAAGAAATATCTGCTACCGCCGCCACAACCATCAATGCTAACAGTGTCGAAATTGAGGACAGCAACCAAGAAGAGGCATTTAGAAAGGACTTTTCGTTGCCTGAAGGAGAAGCTTTAGGCGAGATATTTCCAGGGTATTTACTACGTGTTCTTCCCCTTTCTGGAAGAATCTATCTCTCTGACAACTATATTTGCTTCAAATCAACTGTTTATGGGTCCAGTACTCGCGTGATTGTCCCTCTAGCAGACGTGGAGCATGTGGATAGACATCATGGGACTCGATTCTATTTTCATGGACTGGCACTATTGACCAAAACAGATGAGGAGATTTTCTTTGAATTTTCAAGCTTGAACACATGCAAAAGGGTTCTGAACGCACTGAAGGAGCGCATCACGCCCGAGGCACAGAAGAGGCGCAAAGAGCATCGCGTACAAGCTTTCAAAGACAGCCCTTCGGTTGAATTAGATGACCCAATGGAATCTCGCGTAATGGATTCTTTAAACCTGGGGGAGGACTCTGTGAGTGGAGAGCCCATGTCTCTGGCGTCTCATCCGGGATTCAAGCCCTCGAGGCCGTTGCGTATAACTTGCTTGACTATTGGCAGTCGAGGCGATGTACAACCCTACATTGCATTCTGCAAGAGGCTCATGGAGGATGGTCATTCTTGCCGTATTGCTACTCATGGAGAATATAAGGAGTGGATTGAAAGCCATGGTATTAAGTTTGGTCATGTCGGGGTAAGGAGCAATGCTCTTTCTATTCTTTACATGTATCTATTCCAGCTACTGCTCTAACTTTTTTTCTTTTCTTTTTTTATAGGGAGATCCCGGTGAATTGATTGAATTATGTGTGGAAAACGGCATGTTCACAGTCTCGTTCATCAGAGAGGGTCTTCGAAAATTCCGAGGCTGGCTAGATGATCTCATGATGACAGCTTGGGAAGCATGTCAGGATACAGATGTATTGATTGAGTCGCCTTCTGCCATAGTAGGAATTCATATTGCAGAAGCGCTCAACATCCCTTACTTTAGAGCCTTTCCTTTCCCTTGGACACGAACTCGAGCGTTCCCACATCCCTTTGCAGTGCCAGAGCGTAACTTGGGGCGAGGATATAATTACATGAGCTATACTATGGTCGAACAAGTCTTTTGGAAAGGTATATCTGGGCAAGTTAACCGCTGGCGTAAGAGGACTCTTAAAATCGAACCTACATCCCTGGAAAAGATGGAAGCCCATCGTGTCCCTTTTCTATACTCTTGGAGTCCCAGTTTGGTCTCTGCTCCCATGGATTGGCATTCTTGGGTGCATGTCACTGGCTACTGGTTCTTGGATAACCCAGAATTAGATTGGACCCCACCAGAGGGCTTGGAAGAATTCTTGGAGGGTGATCCGGACAACAAGCCAGTGTACATTGGCTTCGGATCCATGGTCGTGTCGGATCCTGAGAGCATGACAAAGACGATTGTGGATGCGGTAGTCGAATCTGGGGTGCGGGCGATCGTCTCGAAAGGTTGGTCTGACAAGCTTTCGACTCAAGAAGATGGTGCTATGAAAGTAGTTCAAAAGACAGGAGCTGGTGAAAAGAAAGTCTACCCGTCTAGCGTCTACATGCTTAAGTCAGCGCCTCATGACTGGCTTTTCCCACGTGTGGCGGGCGTGGTGCACCATGGAGGCGCAGGTACGACAGCTGCAGGCCTCCGTGCAGGGATCCCTACAGTTATCAAACCTTTCTTCGGAGATCAGCACTTTTGGGCACAGCGTATTGAGGATGCTGGAGTGGGTGTCTGGTGCCATGACCTTACGGTAAAGAAACTGTCTTCAGCATTGAAAACCATTACAACGAATGAAAAGATGATAAAGAAGGCGCAGGCTATTGGTGAGAAGATTCGGGCCGAAGACGGTGTGGGTACTGCAATCCAATACTTTTACCATGACCTTGCGATTGCAAAGCAGCATTTGGAGAGAATTAAAAAACCTAGGAAGGAGAGTATTGCGGCCGTAAAAGATGTTGTTGCAGCAGAAGAAGAGGAAGGTGCCACGAATGGATGGCTCTCAACTTTATCTACCAAATCACAAAGCCGGCCCACGAGTGCGACAATGGACACCAGTACCAGCAGCGATAAAGACCGTCCAGGTACTACTGGTCCTGATAGCGACGAGTTGTCTATAGCTTCCGCTTCAGCGACTGTCGGTACAGACGAGACTATCCGTCCAGGATCTGTCCAGGGCTTGCCACATTCAAATTCAGCCTCAATACATGATGATGATCTTGAGCGTAAAGGATCGAACCGTGGCCAGCTAGCCGATCACCTCAAGTCTTCAGCTACAGAGCCAGGCCCCGATCGTGCTACGGAATTAATGAAGGATAATGAAAAGAGCGCAGAAGGTATAGCCGCACAGTTAGAGGCTATGCAACCTCCACATAAAACCCCGCCTCAGTTTACCCTCCATGGAAAGATCTTGGGAGAGAAGGATGAAGGTAATAGGGGTGCGGTCGAGAGCAAGGATAAGGCCGAGACTACAGAGGAGGGGGACAAAGAAGAAGATAAACATAGGCACAACAGGAACGGCAGCCAAGCAGATATTGACGGCGAAAGCCATGGCGAGAGTGGCGACGACGGCAGCAGCAATAGCAGCAAAAGTGATTCGGATGGGCAAACGAAAACAAACAAAGAGGAATCTGCCAAGAAGAAAAAATCCAAAGCACATCGAGTACTTGGTTCATTAAAAATGAAGGCCAAAAAAGTGAAAGCCCATTTCAAACCTGCGACAAGCACCGAGAACACTGACACTGTTGTGGTTCCTATGAAGGGATCAGATGCGCAGAGGTGAAAAAGGAAATGAAAGCGCTTACATCAGTTATAATGCTTACAGCTGCATAACAATAAAAAGAAGATCATTTTCAAATCAATGCAATGTATTTTATTGCTCTATAATATCTTTGTAATGCAGTCGTAGCCAATGACAAAGAGTATGGGAAAAAGATGGCGGATATGTTGCTGATGATGATTTGTGGCTGTAGGTTTTTATGGTTCATTGACAAATGGAATAAATGCCGATGGCTTTTGTGGTTTCGGTTGGAGCGTACCTCCGACTTTCACAAAAGGTAAGTACTCAGCTTGCGGCCTATCATAGCTCATCCTGTCATTCATAAGCTGCGCTAACCACCGTGGTGTATGTCGTAAAGCTGCCTTGCGGACCAAATCATTTAGCCATCCCTATCAAAAACAATAAGAGTAATCAGTCTACATCCAGGCATTATCGTGGTGGGTTTTTTTTTTTTTTTTTTTTTTTTTGGCAATTGCTCCGTCATTACCTTTCGATTAGCAATATTTCCAATCCGGCCAGACACCTGAACGACCGCTTTACCGATGGGTGAGCGGTCTTTGTAGTAAGCCGCAAAGACCTTTTCGATATCTGGCACAGAATTACTCTCTAGAGTCACTAACTGGTTTGCCAGCGTTATTACATCATGAATCGCTTGATTTGCGCTGTAAAAAAGGAGAAAAGTTTAGTATGGTATGCTTTGCGAATCTGAAATCAACAAAAAGAATATAACCTGAAGCATACCCTTGACCCCCAACCGGCACGACCTTGTGGCATGCTAAAAAAAAAAAAAAAAAAAAAAAAGCCAACAGAAGTGTTGTTAACAGGAATGTGCTACCACCATGAGTAGCAGCCAGCAGCATCCATTAATCCCGTTGTTTTACCGTCTCCTGCTAATACAATACGGCCGCCATACCACGCTTTATAGTACTAGATGTTGAAGGAAATAAAGGAAATGGAGCGAAACCAAAAAGGTGAATGGATTTTTTCTCTTTCTTTTTTCCACACTTTTCATATATGTCTATTACTGTCAGTTTTTTTATCAGTACCTTTTCTTCCAACATGACTTTGGCCATGGAGCCTCTGGGTGTTCGTTCCATGAAGTATTCCAAGTTACAGCCATAGGCTGTCTTGAGATTACGATAATCATATGCCATCAAACCTGCAACATCTTCCCTCCAATCAGATTGCTTAAAAATCTGATCCTCAGCATATTTTTTACCCTTGTCGTGGTACTTGACTACCATCCATGAAAATTTATTTCCTGTCAGAGGAATATACCAATGCTATTGTTTGTCATTTGAGATGAATATGTGACAATGAATAATTGTTCCATATTAGGTCTCAAGATGAGTGATCACTAGGTAGAATGAACAATAAGTGCAATAAGGTAAAATAAAGGGAAAAAAAAAAAAAAAAAAAAAAAAAAAAGCTAGAGTCTTACTGAGTAGGAAGAATCCTTGCTGAGAACGGTCTGAAATTCCGAGAAGTCTCCACAGAGAGCGGGGAAGTCATTTGGATCCAAAGGATCTGTAACCCCCACTAAATGACAGTAAAAGAATAGAATAAAAATGTGATTTCATCAATTAAAAGCTTACAGAGCCTTTGATTCATTCCTTCGCTCCTCTGCTGACAATTAGCTTTAAAGCAATCCCTTCCCTCTCTTTTATCTCTATCACCTTTTGTCATTTTTTCTCTTACCAATGCAATCATATTGATATCTCATGGGCATTGAATCATGCTTCGACAGCAAACCTTTTTGATTTAGTTCATTATGTAAATGTTGCCTCGCAGCTGAATAGGGACCGTCAGCTCCGACCAAGATATCAGCGTGATGAGTCGATTTGTCTGAACACTGAATAATCACTTCGCCTACGTTCTGTCGAATCTCTAGTACACGCTTCCCATACTTGATCTTGCTTTTAGGGACCTGTTCTGCTAGCAGCGTACACAGATCTTTTCTGGAAATAATCTGACAATATTCACCATATCTTTATATATATTATTATTATCAGGAGATAGTTAATGAGAGATATTATTTATTAGACAGCTGTATGAATGAAAATATATATAAATTAAACTCAGAAAAAAACGACAAAAAGGCAGAAAATTTATGAAGCATGGAATGTGACAGGCCATGTAATCCTCCTTATTTCGAATTCGATCGACAGAAAGAGTACAGGAAGGAGGTCAAAAAAAAAAAAAAAAAAAAAAAGAATAAAAGAATAACTAGCAATAATTCAAGCAGTAGCAACGTTCTTAAACTCACCGTTCTTTGATATCCAACGGTGTCCTACCAGAGTACTTTCCCATGATCGACATATTCTCTTCTCGGAACACCATTTCACCAAAAGGCTTTGAGAGTCGTTTAATTTCATCCAACAAACCTAATTGCTGAAAGAGCGGTTGCACCGACGGAACGAGACAAATGGCACTCCCTGTTGTTATTCATATTATGTATTGGAGAGAAAGAGATGATGAGGTCTTAAAAAGACAAACTTTATCTGGAAGAACGAAAATTAAACAGAAACAAAGCGCTTTTTTTTTTTTTTTTTTTGTGTCTCCATGAAAAAATGCAAAACTAAGAATTAGTTATTGTTTACCCATGGGATTGAAAGTGGGATGTTTCTCTAGAATCTCATAAGCAATGTTGGCGCGCTCAAGGAGGATCCCCAGGGTGAGACCACCCACACCTGCGCCCACAATGATCACCTTGATATGTGAAATCGGGGCCATTGTGCGATAATATATTATATAAGAGGAACAAAATGCAATACAAAAATATAAAGAAAATGTAATAAAGAAACGTGACACTATATATTTCTACACAACAAAAAAGAAAAATAAAAAAAAAAAAAAAAAATAGTTTTGGAACAGAATTCAAAATGGAATGAAATAATAAAAAAAAAGAAAAAAAAAAAAAATACTTAAAGCCGTTATGAACTAAAGAGTAAAATAAAAGAGTGTAAAAAAAAAAGAAAGGAAAAGATTTAATTTTGCTAAATTCTTTCTCCATCCGAGGACTTGAGTACAGCTTACTACACTCAGAGAAAGATAAAAAAGTGGATGAATGCAAGAAAGGGTGAAAGTAAGGTCGTGAGGACAGAAAAGGAAGTGATTATGAGAATGAAAAGAGAGAAAAAGAGGAAGAAGGAAGAAAGGAATAAAGAAAATGAGCCGACCAGCTCAGGAACAAAAAATAAGATAAAATAAAATAAAACAAAATAAACCGTACTGCAATTGTGAATAATGCACATGGGCACATGGGAGAAGTCTTTCCTTGTTGGTTTCTATTGTTCCTTATGGGATTAACAATCATTTTTTCGCGTTGTGTGGTTCTGCGCATACACGGTTGTGCGAATGTGCCAATTGTGCAGTGTGTGAGCATTAAGTTGAACGAAAATAAAGTTCTCTTGGGCGCATCACCATTGACTGATGAGACAGACTGATAGAGTAAAAAAATACTCAATTCTCAACAACTCAATGTCCATGTACATGTGCAACAGATTGGAGAAAAAGAAAAAAAAAATGGAAGAAGGATCACCAAAACATGTTCCCGATCCGATTTGCGTTAATAAAGGAAGGGTCCAATCCACTATCTATTTCTTTTCTAACGTGATCTCCGACCCAATGAAGGAAAAAAGGTATTTACAGGAGCTTCATCTATTGGTCTTCGTATACATGTATAAATTAATTGTGAACGAGTTATGGATATCATACGAAAACTCCAATCGGAGCAGCATCAACTGCTCATCATTGTTAAAGGATCTCTCTCAGCTTTTTATACTTTGATCAACATGTAGTACATAGTATTTTTAATAACTAAGGCCTACAAAGTACACATATATATTCTCCAAATGTTCCATACCGTCCTTTCTAATGCACAACTATATATTTATGTTTCTATATCAAGGATGTGTAAGGTTAATGAATCTGCATATAATTATCTCAAAATCTCAAATCTAGATGAGCCCTCACCTTCTTCGAATGCAGGTCTTTGAGTGCATATATATTTTATGAATTCGCAATTGTTTTTACGTAAGATTATGCACATTATACTCCGCTCACTAGAATAACTCCTTTTTTTTTTTTTTTTTTTTTTTTTTTCTCTCCCATAGAATGCTCCCCTTTACATTCTCTTCATGAAATGATGGGACTTTGACACGATCATCGCAGCAAGGTGACGGTTTTGAAATGTTTGTATCTAAACGTCTATTTTATTAGCTTGGCATATTATATCGAATTTTGACAGCCACTCAATTATCCAAAGTGCGACATGAAAGAGTCAACTTTTCAAAATAACAGGATCCTGTCATTTTGTTGGATCATCAATTAAAGGAACGTATCTATTCCAAAGGTACCACCTTAACAGACACGATCATAAAAGATAATGAGCATGGAGCAAAGTAAAAAATAAAATAAATCAATCGTCCCCTGATATAACACTTATATTACGCACCCTTTTTTTTTTTTTTTTTTTTTTTTTTTTTTTTAAAAAAAAAAATCATCTCAAGGCAAGATAGCTTCTGCCATTTCCTCAGGTTTTGGCGCCCTTGCCACAGCAACCGACATACTTAGGCTTATATCCATGTTGCTCGTCGGAATTATGTCTTCATGGAGCTTCAAAAGATGTTCCTGAATTCGCTTCATAGTTGTGGTTCCAATTGCACCCCATCGAATCTCGACGTGTCTCGTCGTGTTACCACTGCCACTAACAGCGCCACCATTGCCGCTTCCATCATTGCCATCAACTCGTGTCGTGTTCTGCAGTATGAATTGCTTCAACGTTGGTATAGACATGTCAACACCACGCGGGCTAAATCCCACAAGCCAACATGTCCTCTTTTCTTCATTGTTCTTGGTCTCTACGTTTGATGAATTTCTATTTAGCCACTCTAGCAGCTCTTGATCGAAACCTGGTCGTCGTTCTGTTCTATAGACTACAATCTCTTTAAATGGTTTCTGGTATGCAGTCAACGTCTCGGTCAAGGTCTTCATATTTATTTCTCCACTCAAAAACCAAAGTTCAGGCGCCAGGGCTCCACAACCATCACTAGATGCAGAAGAGGGATGAACTGTGGGCCAGTCCGCAGAGAGTATAAATTCCACTAACTGAACTCCAGTGTCAAAAGAATAGGTTGTCATCGGTGCTATTGTAGATGTCGATGCTGGATCTGATGAGGTAACATCAGTATATGGATTCTTGCTATTGATGGTCTTAAAGCCTGCCTTCTGAACACTCGTAAGCGTCGCGCCCGTAAGACAGTAAATCGGTATCTCCAGCCAGGCTTCACGTATAGCTGGTACAAAAAATAAAAGGCGAAAATGTTGGTAATTAATCCCTCTTTTCTTTTTACGAACCCAGAATGCGCGCCAAAGCGGGGGGTTTTTTTTTATTTATTTTTATTTTTATTTTTTTAATTTTACCAGAGTTTGGTTGCAGTTGAAGGGCATTTTCGAAGGCATGAACAGCCTTTTGTGATGTTACAGCAAATGCCCAAATGGGTGCTCGGTGTGGTCTGTTGTCGCTTTTAGTATTCAATTGCTTGCCTTCTTGACGATGCCATGATTCTGGATAGCCTGCCAAGATAGCTCGCGAAAGCTCTGTTGATTCTGCAAACATAGTTATCATAGGCGCAAGATAGTCCACCGTGAGTTTGACATTCTTTTCCTTCGATCTGTCGAGCAAAGCCAATCTGTACGGATCTTCCACTTTGTTTTCATGATGTTCATCTGTACATCCTTCTGACTCATTCGTTGCCTCTTTTAACAAAAGTATTGAACAGTGATTCATGTCTATTTGCGCCATTATTATTTTTAAATGAATGACCAGATAAAATAGTAAGAAATGCAGAAATGTTTTGTTAATCATAGTCTGGGGCCACAGTGGCTTAATTGTAGTCTAACAATCTATAATAACGTGCTCAGCGCGTGCATACATCACTGCCCTTCTTTATTAAAGAGCTCAAGCGCCCTCAACTACTAAACTTTGAGATCGCTTTCTTATCAAATTCACTAAGGACAACGGAATACGAAGGATGGACCTTAGTTTATATTGTGAAATGCATATCCTCTCATCCACTTATAACAGATCACTTGCCTTTCAATAGTTGACAACAGTTCACGCTTACAAACGTGTCGCCCACACTGCTCGTTGTATACACATCATACATTACTTATATTTGCACCGGCTCTCACGTCGCTGCCAACTAGTATAAATGGTCAGCACCATCGTAGCAGGCTTTAGACAGTAAACATCCGCAGATTTCCCAAGATAATGATCCTCAGTTATAAAGGTTGGACTACAATTAGATTCACCCAATTTAAAGGAAAAAGATATTTGCACGGGGGCTTTTTTTTATTTGTACGGGGTCTTTATTTCAGTCTTTAATACCATTACCAGGAAACCTTCCACGACACAAGCTCGATACCCAACCATCAAATATTGACCAGAATATATATCTTATCAAAGTCGTACGTAGCCCAGAATAGATGTTGATATTCTTTATGCGCTTCTGGGACTAAATAAAGAATTACAAAACGATTTATCTATAATTGGAATATACTATGCCGCTTTACTTTGCACTTTTGTTGGTCGTGTTGTTATAGGTTGTGGATGGTTCCCTGACGTGTTCTTTCATTTAGCGCGTGCATACATCTCTAGTGTTTCCGTACGCTATTAAGCATATAACGATGAGTTCAGTAATTAGGGACCTCTAACGTGTAGTTTGTTTCAGTAGATATATAAACGATCATACTTATTGCTACGATGCATAGCGTGTCGTGTTACTACTCTCTTTCTTTTCTCTTTCTTCTATGTCCTTATCTCTGTCCTTCTTTATTAAGAGCTCAAACGCCCTCGGTACTAAATTTTGCTTACCAAATTCACCAAAATATATACAATGGGTAGACCTCAGTTTATTTTGTGGAATGTCTATCCTCTCACCCGTTTGTAACCCGAGAGATTACTTATCTTTTGATAGTTGGTGACAGTTCGCACTCAAAGTCGATCGTGCCACAATTACCTATATCCCTATATCTAAATAGCCAAAATACTTTAATAGCGTAACCGTGACTTATAATGATAGAAAAGAGGCATAAATACTCTTTTCTGTTACGTTGATAAAGATCCTTAGTTTTGTCTCATTACATTCCAAGTTTGTTATCATGTTCAATCAGGGTTGATTTTTCACCAATAAAATAGCCAGAACCTGCCTTGGGTCGTCTTTAGCACGCAATGTCGCATACTCAGCAGCACATGTAGACACTCACTGCGTCTAGGGACTAGCTTCATGTTGTACAATCATCTGAAAGAAAGTTTGGTCAAAAAAATAAAATTTTGAAGAGAAGCACTGTCTTCAATCCTATTTCTTGCCGTTTTCCCTCAGCACGTACTGCCCAAAAACTTCAGTGATTATCCACATTGGCCTCATTAATAAAAGCGTAAATTTCCATCTTGGTTGGTGAAGTATTTTTGTTGTCACAAATGAGCTGTTTGTCAGAGATTCGAAATAAAAAAATAATAAATAACCCACTTTGACCAAACTTCCTTTCGGGTGACTGTAGAGCGGAATAGAGCGTGAAAAATATTTTGTAGATAGATAGTAGCCAGTAGAAAAGTAAGTAAGAATAAGATATGGGTCCACACACCATACCCATGGGGTATTTATTCATTTTCTTCTAGAGAGACTTATACCAGGTAACTACGTATCTATCTGTAGGATGACATTGATTCGTGCTAAAAACTTCATATCAAAGATTTATCGTGTCTATGTGTAGCGCGTTATTGCCACTAATTTCTACTACTAATCTTTTTAGTGCATTAGTGTTTTTTACTCAGTATTTTTCCTAACTTGGCCATCATAATATTGCATACTGTGGAATATGCAACAGAGCGCGATGAGTATCGCAGCTCCCACGGCGCTGCAACTTCTAATAGTAATAATTCCAGACTCCTCTCTACTCTAGACTCACCTTCGTTTATTTCCTTCGAAATAGAAAGCTAGAATCATGTAATCTGTAGGATACACGTTGCCGCTTATAGATGAAATAAAGATCCTGTGCAAATAAGGCCGCACAAATAACTTCAACCTTTAAAAACGAAAGGATTAATCTATTTGGCAGCCCATTACCAAATATGATCAGTTTTGAAAACTCTCTTTGGCAGCCCAACTGCCAAATAGCACCCTCATAAAAAAAAGTATTTGCACGGTCCCGTACACACCTTACTTACACTGCTCCTCCCGTGGAAATAAAAAAATAAAAATTATAACGAGTGTTTCTTTATGGACATGTTGATACCTTGGTGCTGTAAGCAAAGTCACTCATTTCAAGTCCAATTGTCGTCGCTCCATCCGAAGCCGCTAACAGGCATCGAAACGCAACTTATTCATATGGGTTTTACTCTTTCTGACAAACACTAATATTTGTAATTATATGATAAGTGCAACAGGGCATAGTGTGTAACCGATCAACCGTTTCAAATTAGTTTTGCAAAACATTATTTGGCAGCCCAGCTGCCATCTAAGTGTGTGAAGTTAGGTGGCTGCCCCAAAAAATAGGCTGCCAAATAGATTGATCCAAACGAAAAAAAGGTAGAGCTTGTTCTGACAAGCAAAATAATGAAGAGAGTGGGATTCGAACCCACGCCTACGAATAGACCGCGGCCTTAACGCGGCGCCTTAGACCAACTCGGCCATCTCTCCAAGGACTCATAATTGTCGTAGAGCATCTACTAGTGATCTCTGGAAACTAATAGGTAATGATGAAAAATGAAGAATTGGGCAAGAGCCTCGTGGTTTTGGGATACGATAGTGATCCTAAGTAATGCTTTGAATGATTTTGAGGATGCTGCAAAAGGGCATCGATAATAAGAAGAGAGATCTTTAATAACTGCTAATTTTCTGAGAATTCATAATGAGAATAATGAAGATAAACTCACCTGCAAAAGGGCATCGATAATAATAAGAGAGATGTCGTTTTTGCAGTGAAGGAAAAAGCTACTTAAATACTATTTAAAAATGGTAGAAAATAGGATGATAGGAAATAAATAAATTGAAAGGAAATACATATTTAGGTAAATGAATAGGCGTCATTTAAGAAGCGTCTTAGTAGGCTATAAATAGAGAAATCAGGTTCCTGCACGTGACCGACCAAGATACCCCAGTCACCGAGAATCCCTCACCTGTTTACGCGCTGACGCCTAGAGAGATCCTACAGCATTTCGGCAGGTTATATGTGGTCGTACGAAATCTAGTGGTTCACCTCTAAGTAAACGACCAAGAGAAGCACACCCACAAGCAACCCATTTATAGAGCTAACATCTAAATAAATCCTACATGACCTCGTGGGTCTTTGTTATCAAAAAAAGAAAAAAAAAAAAAAAGAGAAGCACACCCACAAACCAATCAAAATTACCTCAACAACGCCGTCGACCAAGAAGACAAGAACAAGTAAATAGGAAGAGTGCAGTGAAATATGCCAGGATCATAATAAGTAACGAGAACGAAAGAAAGATGTCTTTATTATGATCCAGGGACCTTCGTTAAATAAAAAGGGGTAAAAATCTTAGCTATAGTAAAAACCCATATAAATGACTGCTAATCGCAACATGACTCCCCCTCCAGACAGGCGTCCAGGTAAGAGCGAGTGCTTATAAAGCTTGGAAGGAAAATATATAAAAACCTTCCTTTTAGGATAGTTAGTATTGAAGGAAAAGTATAAAAACCTTCTTGTTTGATTAAATAAATAAATAAATAAATAAATAAATAAATAAATAAATAAATAAATAAATAAATTCTTTGAATAAAACCTTCAGCGTCTGTATTTCTTTTTAGATGCGACCATAAAAAATGGTAAAAATAATAAAACCTTAAATTTGATAATGAGGAAAACGTTCATGCTGTTAACGCATGCGTACAAAAACCTCAGTAAAGCTACATTCGTTTTTGCTTCTACTTCCTGTTCTTATGTCTTTTCTGAGCCCTAGACTCTACAACTGTTACAGGTTGCTTCCTCTTAGCCATTTTGGCAATCATATGAGGGTTTTGCTGATTAAGCTTTTTATAGTACTTATTGATCTTTGCTTTGGAGTCAAAGTCTTCGTACCTAAGTTGCGAGTTGTGCTCATCGTCATATCCTTTCCATTTAACTGTGTAGAGTGTCTCTCCCCCCTCAGAAGCTTCATGACTAAGAATCGCTTCGACTTCATAATGGTCATCGGCATCATCTGAAGCAACAAGTGGTCGATCCACTAGCTTAAGTTGTTCAGGAGCAAAATTACGAGGTAACAGTTGTCTCATCATAGATACCACGAACAGTGCGGCGAACAACCTGAAACGGTCCAATGTATTTATTATCAAATGCACTATTGGCCAAGGGGTCTTTGATCATTACATAGGCGGCAATCGGGAAGTCAGTTATAAAATGATTTGAGTTGAATTTGTCTACCATCTTCTGCTGCGAGGCTGTACTCTTATCTGCAATAGCAGGGAATACAAGATCAGTAAGATACTTCAAGCGCTCATTCAGTTCTGATTCAGATAGCAATCGTGATTCCGATGCAGAGAAGTCAGATATGCCAGCGAAAGATCGACCATAAAACAGCGAAAAAGGCGCCGAGCCATGAAGGCTAGCAATTCTAGTATTCATTTGTAACTGGACCATAGGAAGTTGGTCATCCCATTTAGTGATTTCGCCTTGAATAGATTTCTGCAAGAGATCTTTAAGGGTACGGACATTACGTTCTGCTAAGCCATTGGCCCGAGGATGATAAGGCGTAGTAAGCCTATGATCAATCTCAAGCTTGGTAGTTAACGATCTGACAACTAAGTTGACAAATTCAGTCCCATTATCACTCTGGATAATTTTAGGGAAGTCAATGGAGCAGAATAATTTGAAAAGTCGAGCGGCGACAGTGACCGCATTACGATTAGGTATTGGTTCGATAAAAACAAACCTCGTGCATACATCTACGGTGAGAAGAGCGTATTCGTTGCCTGCGTCGCTGACAGGAAATTGGGCTAGGTCAAAGGCTATGTGCTCGCCTGGTAGAGTAGCATGCATTGCTTTGAGTGGATGGTAGCCTTTACGCACGATATTATAGTGCTGGCAAGCAGAGCATTGCCTTATCCACTGATTGCAGGTTTCACGCATTTTGGGCCAGTTATACCCTTGCTGCTGCAATGATAAAACCATGGCATTAATACCAAGGTGTCCAAAGCTGCGTGTATCTTCCAAAAGTTGCTTTTGCTGATCATCAGCAGGCGCCACTCGTTGCACTTCTTGATCTTGAATCTGGTGCACATAAGGTAAAGAAGTATCAAGACTTTCAATCCTTGGAATAAGATCTGCTGATTGCGTAACTATTAGAGGATCAGTTGTGTCAGTGGAGCGTAAGCTGCATCTTGTTGATACTGCAGATACTCTTGTAGACTCTGATTGAGAAGACTCTGGATGGGTCGGACTATTTTCTCGGGCCCATAATTCATCAGGAAAAGCTCTCGATAGCGCATCAGGAATAATGTTCAGCAATCCAGGTCTGTAAATGCATTGGAAATCATAGCTGAGAAGGGTTTCTCTCCAGTCCGCTAGGATCTGAGAAAGTTCCTTTTGTTCATGGATATAAGTGAGTGGTTTGTGATCAGTGTATAGGGTGAATTTACGACCCCATAAGTAATAGTGAAACTTTTTGCAAGCATAGATAATGCCTAAAAGTTCTTTCTTATATGCTGGGTAGTTGCGTTCGTGGTTCTTTAAAGCTCTAACCATAAAGGAAATATAGTTGACTTTGGTGTTATCTTCAGGACCATTTGGTAATTGATAAAGAACTGCGCCAATGCCTAGATTGGACGCGTCAGTGGCCACATAAAAGGGCTGAGAGAAGTCAGGGAATGACAATACAGGTGCTGATACGATGAGCTGTTTCAACTGATTAAAGCAACGCATTTCTAAATCACCAAGTGTAAAGTGTCCTTTGACGTTTCTCAATTTATCCAAAGGTGCTGCCAAAGTACTAAAGAGGGGTATGTATTCTCTGAAGTAGTTAAACATCCCAACGTATCTTTGTACCATTTTGCCATCGGTGGGAGGAGTCCATGATTGAACATTAGCAACTTTTTCTGGATTCATCCTTCTACCATTTGCATCGATGACGAACCCGAGCAACAAAACTTCCATGCGGAGGAAATTGCTTTTTTCCTTATTGATAATCAGATTGGCACTTGTCAATAGTTTAATCACCACTTTGGCATGTTCAGTGTGCTCTTCAATGCTGTCGGAGAAAATGACAATGTCATCAACATAAACGCTAACAAAGTGAAGATCTCCAAGCAATTGAGACATTCCTCTTTGGAAGATGCTAGTCATAGGCTTCAACCCAAAAGGAGCACGAGCAAACATATATTGTTTGTTCAAGTGCTTAAATGCCGTGTAGGGTTGGCTTTTCTCATCCAGAGGTAGTATATGATATGCCTGTGACAAGTCAATCGTTGTAAAATACTTATGACCTGCGGCTCGTTCCAACATTTCGGAAATGATAGGGATAGGAAAGTTATCAATATCCACGAGCTGCTTGTTCAGCGTTCTTGGGTCAAGACAGACTCTATATTTAATAATTTCGCCTTCTAGGTTCTTCCTTGCTGCAAGTGTGAGAGAATTATTATAGGGATTGCCTTTAGGCGCCTCAACTATAACTCCATTATCTAACCATTTCTGTACGGTGGTATTGACTTCATCCATTTCTACTTGCGCGTAGAATCTACGAGAGCGTTCTTGAACCACGCAGTCATCTCTGACTTTTAGATGGACTCTCATAATGTCTAGTGGACAGTGACTCTTAGGGTCTATCTGGCTATTAGAGCAAAGGAAGGGCTCAATGGCTAATAAGAACTGTTTCTTCTGTTCGATGAACTCAGTTTCTAACTCTTGGTCTTTCATAATGGAGGGTACAAGTGGCGGTTTACTTTCATCTTCTAAGAAATCATCTGTCTTTTCAGCAACAGCTGTAGCTATGCCATGGATCCCAAAGCCGAAGCGATAAAATAGATCCATTCCGATGAGGAAGTCGTAATAGCCCATAGGCATAACGCTGACTCTGCATTCTATTGTTCGGTGATTACAAGAGAGAGTAATAGCATCTACTGTGCCGACATTTTGAAAACCAGTAGTGTCATATGCAAATTTAATTACAGTGTTTTTCGAGGTTGCATTCCTTATTTGAGGTCTTTGGCTACTTCTCGATTGATAAAGAATACGTTGGAACCAGGATCAAGTAAAGCCGTGTATAATAGGCCATTTATAGTAATGGGAACAGATATCCTGTTGTCTTCTGGTTCAGGTCCTCTATAACCAATATTTCTATTTGGTTTAGTTTGCAAAGTTATCATGCGGATGTGGAGCTTTCGATTTTAATCTTCCAGCATTTAACATAGCGCTAGTTGCCACTATTTTTAAGGTGTGACTAATAGACACTGTTTTACCTATTAAGGATGAGTGTTTGTGCTCTTTCAAAGATATGCCGGTGGGGCTTTCAACATAAGGCCAAATATCCATTCGGTTTATTGCGTGTTCAAGATCATTTCCTAGAACGTCATCAAAGCTATCTTCTTTCATTTGAGGCAGGGAGGCTACCTTTTTATATTGAATAGGCCCCTTCTTGTCTCTCCCTTGAGCTTGCTTGTTAAGCTCGGCAAACTTGTTTGGATTTGTATGCCGAAAGCAGTCTGCATCTGAATGTTTTCTGTTCAGGGAGACGCAAGTGGGGTCCTTACAAGGATTGGAATTGCCGACCCTTTGGGCTCTTTTCCCTGTATGATAGGGATGGCAACTTTCTACCCTTTTGGAATGGGTTCTTGATTGTCGACGATGCTGCTGAACCTCCTTAGGCCGGTTGTCCTCTGCACTCTTGGTGGGAGATAGCTCGTTACCAAACTTGTTTATAAACCACGCACATGGATTTCTTCTTTCACCAGAAAGTACACTGGGGTTCATTCTGATAAAATCAAGAAGCTGGTTTACGTCCGTAATGGTATCCAGCGAATGAAATTCAGAGAGGACTTTCTTTCTGCCCGCGTCTGACAGCGTCGAGGTGATTTTCCCATATAAGAGAATTCCCATTGGCTGCAGACCGCCGGCTTCAATGAGCAGCTCTATCCGGTCCACATAGGAATTAGCGTCTTCACCGGACAAAGGAGCGAGGTCACCAATTTGACTTATGATCAGGGAACGAATGAGATCGAACTTCAAGATCTTTTGGATGCATCTTTTAACTTGATGCCAAGATCGGTCTTGATACACAGGGGTCTTGATAAGTCGGTCGTACTCTTCATGAAGGCCTGTAGGGACTAGCGCTAGGCTCATATACCTCCACGCCATGTCGTCAAACAGATCATCAGTCAGATAATTGGTATAGTGGGTCTTGAAGGACTTCAGGAAGTCCACGACAGTCTTGATAACTTTGAATGGGAGATCCTTCAGGGGAATTCCTTTAAGCTGGATTCGAAGCGAAGGGGCTCCTGATTTCTCTTGGATTTGCACCCTGGAATAATCGATTTCCATGGATGCTTTGTCGATAATGGGGATCCTCTTATAATTGAAGACTCTCGCCAATGCGACATGTTTCTTGATCCCAATGGCAGGAAATACATCGAGACCGTTAGAATCTTGCGTTTCAGTCTCTGCAAGCGACTGATCCTCGTGAGGAGTAGCAGCAGGTTGCCTAGATTTGTTCATGGCTTCCTGAGTGTTGATCAAGCCTTTGATCATTTGGTAATGGGCCTCTGCTGTTTCTAGCTTGCCAGTGAAAGTTTTATTCATCTGCTCAAACTTCAGCTTAGCTGCTTCAGCTTCATCGGGAGGAAAGGCTGGGTTGATAATTGCCGTGTTGTACTGAACGGCCAATTTCATCTTCTCATTCAAACAATGCTGGCGGTTGGCATCAGCTTGTATAAGTGATTCTTTCAGCTGGCTCAACAGCGCTTGGGACGGGGCTTCCGCTTCCGCAAGCGTGGGAGGATGCCCTACTGGGGTTGTTCCGGGCAAGGGCATCATTGTCTCTTCCGGTAGGGTAGAAGCAACGGTCCTAGGTGGGGTTTGCACGTCGAAGACGGGAGAAGATGGTATGGAGTTGGTTGAGGTAGAGGCCATTGTGGTAAAATGATGGTTGGTATGAGAGTGAATTAGAGATTTATTTTTAAGGTGATGGAGTGTGAGATGAATCTGTGGATTTCTTAGTTTTTTTTTTTTTTTTTTTTTTTTTAACTGATGGTAGGAGAGCCCTCTGGCGTTGCACATTCCATCTGTTCCCAAATGTGGACAAAAAATCCAAGTGGGGAAGTAATTAAATTAATGCAAGGGTTTACTCCAATGAAGATATTAAATGATTATAATTGAGACTCAGGAACAGGTCACTTCAGTTTGGAGGGTCCCTAAAAGGGAAAGCGTTCTAGAGAGGATTATTCAGGGTCTGTTGAGAGTTCTTCATCTTCACCGTTTAACAAGAAGAGTAGATTTTTGAAAGGACAAGATTGTAAATGTGCGAATGAATTTAAGCTAGTTTTGCATTATCTTCGAGGTGCATACAACAGGATTGATAGTCTAGACGAGGTCATTTTCGAGCAAGGAAAGACTATAAATGTTCTTTCAATGAGGTTACAAGATTTAGAAGCTAAGCATGCCTCTGGGTCAAGTTCTTTGACTAAGAATAAGGGGAAGGCAAAAAGCCGAGAGTAGCAGAATGGTTTTTTTTTTTTAACCAAAACTTTGATTGTATGATTCGAATAAAGTAAAAATAAGTGTAGGCTGCAGCTTATTTGTGAATGGATTGGATATCCATAAGAGAATATCGCCGATTTTTTTTACGCATGTCAAAATCTCAATCATTCATTGGTCAATTAAAACTGAGGATCACGCCATTTGCATTGAATCTCAATGGCGAATGAGGATGGAGCATGGATAATGATGGATGGATGATTGTGAATATAAATTCTTTGTCATTTTGTCTTCATTCCTCCATTCCTCATTTCACTTTTCTCAAACTTTTCAAACATAACACTTTAACACTTCCAACACACTACACATTACTTTCGACAAACTCATAGCACTTATTTTTGTCATCTCTTCCAAAGCCATTTCCCATGACACCTCCTCCATCTCTTCGGCTATTCAGGATAAGGGCAATAGTCAATTTGTTCAGGAGAAGGGTGTAAACCATATCACACTCGACTATTCGCTAACCAGCATTGGGGAAAGTAGTGGAAGTGAGGAGGAATGTGGACGTGAGAGGATTCTCAAGCTCAGGAGGGATCCCATACTTAGTTTAGATTCCTATGCTGATCCTGCTTATGAGCAGTTCAATCGACATCGTCGTATGCTAGAGAAGGGGTTAAGGAATATCTCTCGATCCCCTTCTTTGGAGATCGGTTCTTCCACCATTTTTTCCAGTGTTGCTGATACTGTACTCGGTCGAAGGAGCCGTAGCGAGACTGATGACGAAGAGACTGAGTCTTCGAGGCGTCGTCAGCGGGTTAGCAAGACGACGCAGGAACGCCTTGAGGACACAGTCAAGGCCCTCTGCGCGCGGGTGAGAGAGCAGGATGAGAGGATACTGAGTTTGGAGATTGAGATAGAAGCTTTGAAGAAATCCATTCCTTTTCCTACTGTTCGTCGCAGTGGTAGAAATCGCAAGGGAAAGAAATAAATCTTGCGATTGTTGCAATGAATATACTTATCTTGTCTGGTTATAATGATACATATGTAGATGTGATGAGGAAAATGATAGCTGAGATGATATGAATAGTATGAATAGGTCCTCATCCCCGCTTAATAAGGGTTTGTCTTTCTACGTTAAAAAAAGCGAAATATGCCAGGATCATAATAAGTAACGAGAACGAAAGAAAGATGTCTTTATTATGATCCAAGGATCTTCGTTAAATAAAAAGGGGTAAAAATCTTAGCTATAGTAAAAAACCCATATAAATGACTGCTAATCACAACATGCAGAAAGGAAAAAGTAGAGAGAGAAAACAGATCCTATTGATACAAACCCCAACATCCACCACCATTCATAGAAAACTTAGTCTAGCAAATTCCCCATCAATTTCTAATTCTACAAAAATTCAGTATGTAAAGAAGACTGAGAGAGGACCAAAATTCTCTCCTCAGCGAATGCTCAACCCAAGAACTAAAGACTCCAGACCTGAAATTGATCGAGCCACGGCTCAAGAAGAAACTCAAGAACCTCAGAAGAAAGAGACCAAGAAGAGCTCAGACCAGCTCACACCCAAGTCCATACCCTACTAAAGCCCACTGCATTGTTTATTTTTGTTGTTGATTAGTTTTCTATCTTTTATTCCACTCCTATCAGCTCCCACACACCCCACTAGCCCCACAGAAGACGACTTTCTGGGTTTTAGGTTCGTCCATCCAGTCTGCTCGCGCCCGTAACGTGACCAGGCGCCTTACGCCCTAGAGAAACCCGTTACAATAAAGGCTGTGGATAAGATTCAAACAGCTTTAACGTACTTGAATGGTGGCGTAGCCGTAAAGCTTCCAAATTAACAATGTCGCGTTGCGCAACAGGCCACGTCGGGAAGCTGGAATTTGAGTACCAACCACGGCGGTCAGGGTTTGTGAAATCATGGATGCAGCGGCTCTTGCCGTTTGTGCAGTAATAGCTGTTTATTGACTATAGTTTCTGGAGCATTTTGTTCATAGAGTGTAGAAAATAATCCCATGACCCTGTGGGTCCTTGTTATTAAAAAAAAAAAAAAAAAAAAAAAAGCTTCCAGATTAACAACTGAAAATTGGCGGTACCTGTGCGAGAACTAGCAGCAAGAGGAATATACTATGCTGAGCAAATTCCAGACGAGGCGAACGAGGGTAAGGATGCCCACTGGACTGTATAAGACTTGTACCACGGTTTTGGTGCCGAGGGAGCTGATACAGAAATGAAGGACGATCTTTAGGACCAGCATCGATCTCAAGGTACATTGTTTGCCGCTTTGTCAAGTCGATCGAGGAACTCGACAGGACTGAAATCTGAAACAAAAAGACAATAGCACCTCTGTGAGCAAACGCGCCAGGGGACGCAGCTGTGTTAGAAGGCACAGGCGTAGCAGAGGTGAATTCTTTGGCTCTCACCAAGGACAACAACGAACAGCACACGTGGAGGCGATGAGGACTGAGGCAGACCGGCGGGTGGCGGCAAGCTACCGATAGCAGATGGAATTGGCGGTTATGGAGCACCTGAGGGGTTGCAAATTTTTGATGATTGAGGACTGCGGCTATAGGAAGACCTTGGCGCACAACAGGCCAAGTAGGGAGTAGACCCGTGCCACAGGTCCCCATGAACCAAGGAAGTCTACTCAATGCTGACGTGGTTTATGAATAGTATAACGATGTGGCTTCGGCCGATTATTGGATACCGCTTTATTACGACCCCAGTAATGAGACAACCCATTTATAGAGCTAACATCTAAATAAATCCTACATGACCTCGTGGGTCCTTGTTATCAAAAAAAAAAAAAAAAAAAAAAAAACGAAAGCCGAGCGATAGGACCTGCTCCATGGTTTAGAGGTGATGAACCTCTCGGAACGCTGCGTGGAACGACCCTGAAAGAACGGTCGAACACTAGACAAAACAGATATTAATCCCCACTGTCTCCGTTAGTATTATAGTTCACACATAATGTTGCCCCTGCTCAGAAATGCGTGATAGAGAAAGACCCAAATGGCTAGGAATGTCAGAGGCATTATTATATAGAATAAAAAAAATAATGATAGGCTGTCTATTGACTTGTGGTGGTCTAAGCTGGAAGCGAAGTAGCTGCAATTTTTGCAGATCAAGCACGTTCTACTTCAATATCCCAGTCGGCTGGTTAAATCATCTAGCTGGGGACCTCATGGGTCCTCATTATTAAGAAAAAAGAAATAAATAAGGAAAGAAAGTTGATAATTGAAAAGACCTGATAGTTTATTAAAAATAATTACTTTTTTGTATAGGCGCAATAGAGGCAATAAGGAGCATTTCATGATATTTTACATGACAGAGATTTAAAGTACAGGCGGGGATAAAAAGTGGAGAGGAATGCTTCTTAAGGATACATCGAGAGTGTGGCGACTACGCTATTATTCGATATCTGTGGGAACGTCAGATTACGTCTTGGTGGAGGCGTGGGCAGAGGTGGAGGTGGAATATATGACAAAGCTAACCGCGGGGATTCGCCTGGGAAGAAGCCAAAAGGTGGTTCTTGATATTCGTCTGGAATAGAGCCCCAATCCTTTTGTGCGAACAGTAGATCTGCTTCGATTGCATCTAATTCGTCTAGAGAGCCGATAGGCATATCGCAGGTATCTGTTGTAGGGGCATTAGCGCCTTCGCTCGTTTCTAACGCTGGTACAAGGGTGGACTGTATGAGAGTTGGGGCTGGAGTCTCTGTGGGAGTAGGAGGGAGTGAATATGCAGATTGAGCAGTCATTGAAGGCTCTCGGCCCCTGGTTGATAGAGGAGGTGGTTGATGAGATGGCCGTGATTGCTGTTGAGGTTGTTGTACTTGTTGCGGTTGGTGAGGGATATGTGAATGCTGGCCACTGGGCACTCTCGAACGGATATAGGGGTATCGAGATTGAGATGGATGGAGAAACGCATATGCAGGATGATCCATTATCGGGGCCATGAGCCCATTCTCCTCAAACGCATATGGGTCCTCGAATGATCCTGAACCTATTGGGGTATCTATATGCTGCATATGGTCATGTAGGCTGATAAGGTCACTTTCCATGGAAGCAACCGATTCCAGACGATGTCTTCCGTTAGCATCAACCACAAACGGATTAGGAGGCGGTGAGAGACCTGGTGACGCCATGGACCACGGTGTATGTTCATGAGGGTCCATGTCAAGATCCATGTCAAGGTTCATTGCCATATCCATTTCATCGTCACCCATATCTTGCAATGGAATGTAAAACGACGATGTATGATATGAATGGGGTATCATTGAATATGAATTCTCATTAAGATAGTTCATAGGGTGCTGTCGCGAAAATCTCGCATGCAGTTGTTGTTGCTGTTGCTGCAGTTGTAGACGATATTGATGATAATTAGGATTTCTATACTGTTGGGATGAATGCAAGCCAGAGTGTCGCAAGAAGGGAAAAGTGGCGCCATGCTGTGATACTGATGAAGACGGGGTGATTCGATCGTCCTGAGAAGTTGTAGTAGGGTTCCGTGCCATTGGCGGGAAGCCAGACACACACTGCGCAGATGGCGATAAAGATGCAGTACCTGTACTCGATGCCATTTTCGTCTTTTTGATTCCCTTCGATTGCTGATCTGAAGGTTTTATTTTACGTTTCCTAACTTTGTTAACGTCGTGAATCCTGATATGTTCCTTCAAGACGTCTGATCGAGAAAAATATTTGCCACATCCTTCATGTGGGCACGCGTAAGGCCTCTCGCCTCCATGAGAACGTACATGGCGCGCCAGATGGGCAGAGCGTGTGAATGTCTTGTGGCAATTAGGCCATGGGCAGTGATGGGATTTCTTTGGTTTTGGTTCTCCCGTTACTAACTCATTATTGCCATCATCATTGCTGTCATCCTTTTTATCTGACTGGTCTGCTTGAGAATCTGTTTAGAGCATCAACGAACGTACCAAAAATTAGAAATGATTTGAAATAACTTCACGATAAGTAAATAATCGATAGAGTTACTTACACCTATTGTTAGAGTGAGGAACATTGTTTGCATCAGTCACTGCTTCCTGCGATTGTGGACCAGTGGAAGATGTCTGCTCGATATCCTTGATCGAGTGTATATCAGAAGATGGCGGACATGTTCCTGAGGATAGAGTCGTAGTTGATATTGATGATACGGCCGAGTTGCTTGCAGTGCTTGCATTTTGGCACGGTTCCTGCGAGGTAAGTTGAACTAATGATGGTGATGGTGGTGACAATACTGTTGTTGCTATCACTGTTGAAGTCGTTGCGGATGATGATTGCAATGACGCTACGCTCGGTGTTGTTCCAGTTCCCTCCATAAAATTTGTCTCCATTGGAGTAGTCTGTGCTTGGGCCTTAGTTTGAGCCTGGGCTTGAGCTTTCGCTCGAAGACCTTTAGGTCCAGTGTGAATCCGCGAATGTCGTGTTAGTTCGTCACTACGTGAGAACCGTTTCGTACAGCCGGGAAATTTGCAGGCGTGAGCCTTTTCACCAGTATGCGTGCGAATGTGACGATTCGAATGCTCCAAGCGAAAGAAGGCTTTTGGACAAAACGGACATTGATAAGGACGTTCAGGAGCATCGGTCTGGTGGCATTGAAAAGGCTTCGGTGGCTCACCATTGACAGGTGGGGTAGGCGGCCGAGGAAGAGTGTACGGTGATGTATTGTCTGTTTTTGACGCAGAAATAGTTGAATTGGTGTCCAGAGTAGTAGATCCAGATGTGGCTGCTGGAGGAACCGCGGAGAGTGATGAGGGCTCCATAAGATGTGCCTCGAACGAAGCGAGATAGCGCGTGGAGACCCTCTTTTTGTGTCCGAGATATAGAAGTTGAAAAGAAAAGTGGGTATGTCCAGGGAAATAAATCGGAGAGTCTGTGTTCCTTTCAGAGAAGAGGAACAGGGTTCAATAATGCGGGGAAGAGAGAGGGGTTGATTTGCGGGGTCAATGGATTAGACAAGAGAGCCAAGAATGGAAGTTGTTTTATTATATTTGAGTGACGTTGGATGAACGCTATCTTGTCAGACCATGCCGATAAGCAGTAAAGGCACGAATGAGGCTCTATGAATCACAGGGGTAATGAGTGGAGAGTCTCGGAGTAAAGAATAAAAAATAAAAAAAGATTGGATTGAATGATCCAGATTGAATTATTACTATTTTTTTTTTTTTTTTTTTTTTTTTTGGAATGCAATAGATCAGAATGCAAATGACTTGACAGGCGAGAAAACGAGAGAGAGGGAGACAGGGAGAAGCAATAAGGAAAGAGAATAATCCGAGACGAAGTTTGTGTCAAGAAAAAGAGAGTACGCCCGAAAGACTACAATAACTGGCAATAAAAAAAAGAACAAAAGGCCGAAGGTCAAAGAGAAGCAACAAGATAGTCCGACGAAATGAATCGCACTTTCTATTACACTGCAATTGTGATGGCTTCATATTCTTGGGACCTTTGCTTTGGCCATGCCCCTATCGTTAATATATGTCTCCAGAAGAAATGCTCTCTTTTCTGCTCCTCTGTTTACGTTGTGTATGTTTAACGACTTAAAAATGGGCTCACAACTGGGAAAAAAAAGTGGGTCCTGCAGGTCAAGTACGTGGCGAATCCATGACTTCTGTCTGTACCCCTTCATCCTCGAGAATCGTTGTCTGTCCATCCCCATATCCTTTAGAGGTCAGAGTATAAAGTGGGAATAACCCATCTTTTTCTTTTTAAATTCTGGGGAAACAAGGTTTAAAGCTAGTCATTGATTGGACTGGGCGTATTTCCCTGTTCCGATATTTTCCTTGTACGGCTGGTTCTGTTTACGTCTCTAATAACTTGCACATCGATCCCCTATCCCACATGGCGTATACGCATGTTACACCATCCCCACATCTGAATAGTCCCCCAATGGCAATGGACGTGTTAATTAGTGTATGCCTACCCCGCCTTTCATTCCTAATATGTCCTTTCAGGTAGCAGGCGATAAAATAAAAATCAAAAAGAACGTTCTTAAAGTCTGGCGTTCAAGTCCTCGGTGACATCAATTACCACGACTACTATCACCATCACGCTGGTAGTTCCGTGTCCTTCTTGACTGCATTAATGCAATTACTTTGCTGAGACAACCATTACACTATTGGAAAAACACCATCACTATTTGCTATCACGATCTCTATGAACCATATCGGAGCCGAATATTGTGATCAATGTTGCTTGAGCTAATGTTTGGGCATCAATAGTAATAATAGTTTTCTCTGAGGATGAAAAAAAAGAATAAAAAAAATTGCAGTCTAGTAATGGGTGGAAAATTCAGATATCCAAGCGTCTACTTGCTCTGATTCATAGGATCTGATATGTGATTTGTTCATAATATTATTGCCTCCACCTTCAGGCTTAATAGATTTGCATTGCTGGAAAAATCTTGGCACAAGCCATACTCCAAAAGATAGGAGTATAGAGTCTAGCTTTGCTCGTCTGTTCTTGTTGGTTTGCTACTTACGTTCACTGACTTCTCATTGACTTTTGACAATTGCTATGCTATATGAAGTGCAGATGCTTTCACTGACAGGTCCTTTTATTATTTTTAAAACGTACTACGTCTTTTATAGGCTTTTAAATTAACAATGTATCAGAGAGATCAACCTTAACATTAAAGCTTCTTAGAATTTGCTGCCTCGCGTTCTTTCTTTCGCAAGGCGCGTTTGCGGATATCAGTCTGAATGTTATAGTTCTGCTGGACCCAGAAGCCGCGGCTAAAAAGATGATCAATAGCCCAATTGGCAATTGCATGACTGTAGTAGGGAGTCATGGTATAGGGAGTGGAAGCTCCACCCGAGGTACCGATCTTGGCCAAGACAGATTGGACATAGGGTTTGGGCATAGGGATCAACATGCTGGCGCGGCGGATCTTGGACATGGCAGAAACAACAAAGTATGTGTTGACGTTTTGAACGTGAATGCCTTTGGGAGCGAGTTCTGCACCAATCGCCTGGGACCAGCTAGACAAAAAGGCCTTAGAGCCGGAGTACACAGACAGGAAGGGAGTGGGAACAAGACCAGCGAAAGAACCAAGATTGATGATTAGGCCGTTCTTACTGTTAAACCAAAAGGGGCAAATGTTAGACATCATTTTGAAAATATTGACTGCATGCGTGTAGCTTTATATATTAAGGGTATCATTATCAAATCATACCGAGAAACCATTTGAGGAACAACAATCTTAGTCATTCTCATAGCAGCATTGATGTTGATCTCGACAATACTCTTAATGATAGTATCAGTCTCTTGTTCAAAAGGAGTTGGCATTTCATGGTTGGTTCCAACATTGTTGACTATGGGTCACGGGATTGCCATCATTGGGGTTCAAAAAAAAAAAAATTATTAATTTAATTGCAAAATGAACTCGCGAAAGTAAATACCAGTCATACTGCTCTCCAATCAGGCCTCACTCCGACCACACACAAACAAGAACACAGATATGGTGCCTTACTGAGAACAGTAACCTCAAGGGGGGAAAGTAACTGCTGTAGAGCTTGATAATCCGAATCAGCACCTTTAGCGAAGTCCATAGCATAATGCTTGGTTTCAATATTGTACTTTTGCTCTAGTAGAAGCAATTGCAGATAAAGAATCAAAGCAGAAGTTAGAAATGCTGATTGTGCTATGCATAGAATTCATTGAGGATGATTGAGTTATTATAGTTCCAAATGCTTACCGAGCTCTGCCCCAATGGCCGCCAACTTGCTCTCTGTACGCGAAACCAGAACAATATTCATCTTCTTGGAAGCAAGCTGAAAAGCAAACTCTTTACCAATACCATCAGTGGCACCAGTAATAACTAAGTCACAAAAAGGAGACGTTGTTAGATTATGCGGTGCCCTTATACAGGAATGTTGTTGAAGTTAATGGTAATGTACTTGGGTGTGATGGTTACCTGCCCAGCCGCCACGTCCAGCACCGTACTTTTTTAGCTGTGATTTAACACATTACAATAAAAGTGAGCGTCAATATCTTTACTTGTTTTACCATACACGTTCATGAACTACAAAGTCGCTCAATTGCCTTACATTGATGCCTGGGCGGAGAAAAACATCAAAGAGAAGCTTTAGGAAGCTCAAGACCTTGAATGCAACAACGGTAGCGCCAATAATTCCAAAGATTGCCAAAGCAGCGGCGTTGACGTCCGATTCTATTATGCATTCAACAGCAGCGATAATAATTAACAAAGTTAGAATTATATAGCTAGCTCCTACTTGCTATTGATTATTACTGGTAGTTATCTGGATTAGACTATGTACTTTGGACGAATTGATGGATGTTGTCCATGACGGTGATAAGTGATCTGTGAATGAGATTGATGGTAAAAAGAGAAAAGTAGAATTGTTCTGTGAATGTGGTCCGAGCAAAAGATTCAAACGGTTGGGGCAGATTTCTCAGCCACTTTGGCTAATTGGCCAAACATTCAGAGGTTTGATACGCCTGCATGCTCCCTGCACGCCAAAGCACAAAACAGAAAACCGACAGGCAAAAGAGATTAGAAATTAATGGAGGTCGAATTTGAAGGGAGACCCATCCGACCAGGATCCTTAATCTGGTCTGATGACAACATCTTTGCATTGGTCACTCCTACGATCATGCACATCTTTGTGAGTGGCAATGCGTATTAAGATTTTAAACGTTGAAAAGGAGGGTCACTCGAAGAATAATTATATCATGCATTACAGAATGTCTTATCATCCCTCTCTAGGCACCTTCACTCAATGGTACACCAGACAGCTCACTAGTGAAATTCACGAGTACATCGGCTCCTGCCTTGACTTCACAGGATGATTCACCGCCGTGGAAGCTGATGGGAAATGGTGCGTTATCAGAGAGATAAGACACTGTACACATAATTTGCTCCTTTACTCTCAAATAACAATTTTGTTGGGATCATTTGTAAACTAGTTGCAAGCCTGAGGAATGCCATGGTACCTTCAATTGAGTTTATCATGGCAGCGTGGTCACCAACTGGTTGCACTCGTTTCAAAGGGTAACACTTACATCTTTGTTAAACTTATCTTTATCTTGATCAACCTTATTTAAAGCCTGCTGTTCACATCAATTTCGCATTTCATGGTATTTAGGTGTATGCTGGCGTGTATTACTTCGAAACATTCTGTATTTGTATATATACCGTCGTCTTCGCAAGTGGACAAGCAGTGGAGGAAGGTATGGATAGCCAAGAAACAACATCTAGTTCATATAGTGAGGACACTAGTACTTATCTACTTCCACTGCCGCCTATTTAGTATACTGTACTAGACAAGTATATGCTAAAGCATTGGCGAGCTGAAAATGAGGTTGATCTGGGCATGATGGACAATCTAGAGTCAGTTACTTTAGCATGGTCACCTAAAATCTCCATGGATAATATTGGATCAGTGCTGGCTGTCGGCAATAAATCAGGCCATATCATGATCTGGCATGTCACTGATCAGGACAATGTGCGCTGCGTGAAAGCATGGAAGACATCGAGTAACTCCTACATTATTAAAATTGCATGGTCACCATGGATGATTGAGGACAGCAAGTACGTCTCAACGTTAGCCTACGCTAGTGCCGATGGCAGTGTATTTGCACAAAGACTCAAGTTCAGTCGGATATCTCCGCTAGAGAATATTGAAGTCTCTGAGGATGTGTTGTGCTCGCCTCTCAGCAGTTTATATTCATGTACTTGTTTATTGTGGAGCCCTACCAGTCCGGATGTAAGCCTTATGAATAAAACGACGGTGTGTGCACACTTTTTTTTTGCTAGATTGTTGATACTGGTTTCACTATTGACTTGCTTTTATAGTCTGCAAGGAAATCCAGCACCCTCGCTTTCAGTAAAGGCAACAGGGTACATCTATGGAAACCGGATTCAGGTACGATTCTTTCCTGGCGCAAACCAATCGCTAAAGCTGTAGCAGACATGAGGTGGGATATGGGTGTTGAGAAGCTTTTTGTGTTTTTCATGGACGGAAAGCATTCTGTATTGCGCCTGGAGCAGGATGAGCTCAAGGTGGACGAGGAGTATACCGAGTTTATTCACCAGGAAATCATCTCGCAATGCCACCTACAAGAAAGGACCAATGTTATTCAGGATGAGGAGACAGATAATACAAAGGACGATGAAGAAGGGGATGATGAAGGGGGAGGAGGGGGCCTAGCTGATAGCAAACTGCAACTACATATCGTGTCTGCAAGTCGTTCTGCTGGAGGCTCCTTCCTTGCAACTCTTTACTAGTAGGTTCTCTTTAATTCTCTCTCTTTTTTATTTCTATTTCTTTAATGGTTACATACATACTAACGTATCATTTTGTGGCCACTTGATAAGCGTCACATCCCCATTTCGAATGGAATTCCAACGCGAGCGATTCTTATCCTGTACAGTCATGCTCTCGAAGACATATAGGACCATAGGAACTCTGGATATTGGGACCTTATTGGAGAGGTTGCAAGCATTTATTCGACTCCCTAATTCTGGTATGCCGCGCTTTACCCTCTCACTCTCAATATTACATTACTATTATGAAGATTGCCTAACATTTATTTCTCGATAGTTATTATAAGGAATCCTACTTATGAGCTTTGGGATATTTTACTCCTGCTCAACAGAAGCTCAGAGACAAATGAAGTTGAAGGTGACTTAGAGCAAGGTCTATGGAACATTCTGAAGTCTGAAGAGTTCCATTTGCGTGATAATGATCAAGCTGTTGCAGCGAGGGAAGCTCTTCCTAAAAGTGATGTGTTAATAGAATCCAGGTAAATATAGTGGCTATGATCAGGTTTCTGGCGTTTTGCGAACGACGTTTTGAACTGATCAGTCTCGATACATCTCTTAATCCAGACTGGAGTCAGCAATCTTCAGTGGGGCAGCAATAACCGCGGCTCGGATTTGTATTTATCTATGGACCCAACTTCAGGTAAATGCACACTGTTATTAGGTATTGTTATCTACTCGTTTTTTAAATCTAATGCTTTCTTTCTATTTCATCAATTTATATGTAGAATTCCACAATAGCAGATTCACTAAAAGAGCAACTAAAGGAACGCACCGTTGGGGCCATAGAGCGAATAAGAAGGCATAATACTTATAGTATCCTTAAATATTTTCATGAAATATTATCAACAGGGTCTAATCTTGAAACTCAGATACAAGGTAGTACTGAGGATTGAATGTCGATATATTGTGCAGGTACGCAGGTACACGATAGTATGTGCTAAATACGATTTTTTTGTGAACCTGATAGAATCCGACTACACTTTGTTGCTGCTACTTTGCGACAGCATTTTAGTTTTCTACCGCGAGGATAAGGGTTTATTAGAGCTAGCTGAAAAGACGTATAGCGCTCTTCATGATCAGTCTAATGGCGAATGCGATGTTAGAGAAGAAATGAAGATATTGCAGGAGATCAAAAAAGAGAAATGTTCTACAAACCAGTTTCTCAAATTTGGGAGGGAAAGCTGTCCAGCATGCAGCAGTGAAGTGAGGCTAGAAAGCCAACTTCATGGGATATGCATCAATGGCCACAGGTGGCAGCGTTGCTCTGTCACATTGTTGCTATTGGCTGACTTTCACCCCCGAACATGTCTTAGATGCCGCCGTAAGGTATTAATGGTGCCGGAAAATAAGTCGGACATGACACCATGTTTTGCAGGGTCAATGGCTAAATCGTGGTTAGAGCTTGTATTACGCGCCAACAGCGTGTGCTGCTTCTGTGGAGAACGCTATTTCACAGCACTCCGTCGAAAGTGATCAAGGAGGCCAGTCACATGTCTGTTTACTGACAAAAAAAAAAAAATAAAGTTTTCTCCGAGACCGCAGGCTTTGTGCACTCAAATGTATTTAAATATATACATTTATGAGTATAGTTCTTGCAAAGAAACGATCAGTCTTGATTCTTTGCCACTTGATGCTGCGCCTGTTGACCCGATCCATCATTCCTACATTCAGCTCTTTTATTAAACGCCCCTACTCATTCACTTCTCCAATGTCCGAACAGACCTCAGCCACAGTTGCTGCTGTTTCTAGTACAACCGCAACTACTTTGCCCGTTCAGCATACCGCCAATACCACATCAGATGTTACTATTCAGAAGCGGTCTAAGAAAGCTAAAAAACTGACCAAGAAAGACATTGACGAAGTACTGATGCATGATATTGTTGAGCTAAGAGGGCACAGCTACTGGGATTGGGATCCAAAGACACCACCGCCATTTCAGAATTTTGAGGAACTTGAAGTTGTCATTGGAAGTCTCGCTCAGTCGGGAGAGGGTCTGGCTCTATTGCCTGATCGTGGCAATGGTTGGGTGATAGTCGTGCCGTTTGTGATTCCTGGAGAGAAAGTTAAAGCGAGAGTGTACCGTCATAACTGGTATGTTTGTAAAATCTTGGATATTATGAATTATGATCTAAACTAGTACTGGACGTTCATTACTTAACACCTATGTATGGCTGGTTGTCTATTACAGGGGCTATTCGCACGCAGATCTTGTGGAGGTTATTGAACCCGCAGCAAACAGGATTGCAGACCAGGATGTTTTATGTAAATACTTTAGCAAGTGTGCAGGATGTCAGTTACAGCATATTTCTTACGCAGATCAGATGAAGTTTAAACGTCAAGTGGTCGAAAATGCATTCAAAAACTATGCAGGTACGTGGTTGGAGCATTGGCTAAGACACAGGGCCTCCAATGTTATGGTGTTCAGTGAATATACGTAATTACGTCTAACATGACAAGTTTCTCCACCGTTGTTAGCTAAATACTTTGCTGACCTTCCACCCATCGATCCCGTTTCTCAGTCCCCTATCCAATCTCAATATCGCACTAAGATTACGCCACACTTTGAAGCATTGAACCCCAAGCACCAGGCTGCAGGCATGCCGCAGCAAGTTCAGATCGGATTTTTGCGGGCTGGTACAAGGAGAATCTTGGACATTGAGGAGTGTCCTATTGCCACTCCAATCGTCAATGAGGGCATGAAAGTTATGAGGGCCGAGGTACAAAAGTAAGGCCTATACGATAGTTATCGTGCCTTGGGGAGGATAATATGGTACTATATGGTTTATTGGTGTTAACAATAGTTATCTTATGATTTTATAGAAACATTGCTTCGTACAAAAAAGGAGCTACCATGTTGCTCCGCGAGAGCAACCCAATTATACCTGGTACCGAGTCCGACGACCCTCCAAAGACTACCAAGATTTGCATCACAAATCACAAGGATACTATCACAGAGTGGGTTGGAAAATTCCGCTTCGACTATCCCGCAGGCTCCTTCTTTCAAAACAATAACGCTATCTTACCATCACTGATTGGCTATGTCCAGCAGCAGTTGCACCTTCCCCTCTCCACCACTTCTTCAGTAACACCATCAGGGTCAAGTGCAGATCCCTCAGCAGTAACGTCTTCGCTATCTGGCCTCAACAAAGAGATCAAATACCTTGTCGATGCTTATTGTGGTTCTGGATTGTTTGGAATCACATGTCATGAAGGTTTTAAGAAAGTGCTGGGTGTTGAAATCTCAGCAGCATCAATCTCCTGCGCCTCGAACAACCTCGTACTGAACAAACTCTCGACGGATACAACAGCATTCCATTTGGATGATGCAGACAAGATTTTTGCACATATTGATTTCCCTTCGTCAGAGACTGCGCTGATCATTGACCCTCCACGCAAGGGCTGCTCTGAAGAGTTTTTAGACCAGATGGTTGCCTTTTTGCCTGCTCGTGTTGTCTATGTTAGCTGTAATGTTCAGACTCAGGCAAGGGATTTGCAAGGTTTGTTAGACCGTTGCGTAGCGAAGGGACTTCCAGGATATAGGGTCGAGGCTATTCGTGGGTTCGATCTATTCCCACAGACTAGACACGTTGAAGGTGTCATGACTTTGACACGTTTGTAAAGGATATTTTCATTGAAACTTGAAACTTAATAAAATAATTTTGGCTTTGCTGTTTTTATTTCAATTTTCTGCATTCTGTTGCTCTACTTCACATTACCTTTCGCACAAGCAAACTAATTGATGGCTACTGAGGGAATAAGTGACAGCACATCAGGCCCTAATGCCATTTCTGGCCAACATAAATTAAATGAAGAGGGTCAAGATGGAATAATGCACTCACCATTGCCGCCTCAGGCACAGACACAGACCCATTCACTTGACATTCAAGGCAAAGCTTTACAGCAACAGCAACAACAACTACAACAGGACAATGGCCCAAGTAGCAACGACGCTGTCAGCCCACAGGAGCTGACACTTTATGTAAGGGCTTAAATAAGCATATTGGGCCCAGCATTGATACAACGTTTAAAATAACAATGGTGAATTTGGACTCCATGTTCATAGGTCGAGTCGCTTTTGCAGCAGCTAAATACCAAGTTTGATGGAGTTTCTACCCAAATTTTCAGCAGAAGTAAGTATTATATACATAGCAGATATATATTCCGTTTTTATGACTTTTCCTTTTATCTGAAAGGATCGGCGCCCACTGAACGGAGGTATCCTCTGTCCTCTGTATGCTCATTTGAATAGTGGATGAAATGTCATCAAGGATCGAAGAGTTGGAAAAATCTATCGGGGAACTCGTCCAAAACGCGGATGACGAACAAAAGGATTCTTCACCCTCCAAACCTGCACAAGAATAGGCTGAATTAGTGAATGATGGCCTATATTCATAAGCAATAAGCGTTGCTATGTCCACAAGAGGAATGAGGCACTCCTTCAGGCTTTTAATACATTACCCGCTTCTAATTCATCACCTACTTCTAAATAAAATATCCTCCCTTTTATCCGTTCATCTTCCCGATTATTTTCATGTTATCTATCGCTTCTTCTTGAACCTTACTCTTTCATCATGGACCACCAGACTCCATTGTTCGATAATTTGAATGATTTTGCAGTTGTTAACAGCCTAAATTTTAGAAGGATCCGAAAAACTATCTTCAGATTGAACATATGGTGCTTGAGCATTTAGAACAGAGAACGAATAGGAACTTTCATCTAAAGGTATGTATGGAATGAGCGGAATTTTTTTTTAAAAATAAAGAGTACCAAGTTGTGGAAGTCCCCCTGGCAATAACAGGGTTGTCATACAAATGAATAGTTTGTTTTAAGCTACATAGTGAAATAGCAACTGCCACTTACATTCCTCATTGACCTTAGAGGCAATTGATCCACAATTTGCTCTTCTACTGTTATTTTTTATGACAATCTCACGCGCTAGACAATGATGCGTGAGAAAACACAGTGGTAAGGGCTAAACAAATAGGCGTTCCAGAATAGTATAAAAAATGACACGGAAGGGTACTAAATCATAGGTATTCATATTGTTCACCCATCAGGAATAATGCTTTTATTGATAGCTGTTCGCACGGAGAATGAAGGTTATATTGTTGGGTTCCGAAGTTGAACGTACAAAAAATTGATAAGGGAATTTAAAAAAACACACTTTGGAGGGGGTTTTCCTTGCGCCAAAGGACAATCATAGACGATTGTTATTCATGTTTCCTAGTTTTACGCGTCTTGGAGCGAAAATTTTTGTCGCTCTACAGTTCGTAGATACACAGTTGCAAACCACACACAAAAAGATCTGTCATAGCAAAGCGAATAATCTATCCAATAGACATAAAAGAAGTTCTCTGGGGTGTATTTCATGTAATCAAGTGCGGAAAATGGATCCTATGGTAGAGCAGTTTGCGGAAATACATTAAGGGGAAATGGAAGGAAATACTAAAGTCGTTATTTATTTATTCTTATTTATTTATTCTTATTCTTATTCTTATTCTTATTCTTAAAGTGAAGTTTTCTAGTGGACAGTAGGATTCTCATCGTTACACGCGACCTCTTTTTTTCTTTCACCACTACTATACCAACACATAATACTAATGGTGCAGGACAAATCATCAGTAATGTCTAGAGAACCTGAAGAGGCCAAAGATGAAGCGAGCAAGGAGCCCAAACAACAATTCCACAATCCAAGCTTGGACTTTATTAAATCTCTCACTAATTTAACAGACATCCAGGAATGCCTGCGACAACTCGAGTTGGAAGAGATCCAGGTCGATGCAGATCTAGATGAGCTATTAGCAGAACGCGAAAAGTTGGAGGGAAGTCTCGACAAACTAGAAGTTCTTGAGTAGGTGCAGCAGCCCACTTCCCTCTCCAAAAGGATGCTTTCCCTGCTATTATTTATTTTGCGATTGCTTCCCTTACATCGTAACTGTTTCTGTTGCAGGCCACAGCTAGGAAGTCTTCAGCACGAATCAAAGGCATTAGTCAAGGTTATTAGTGACACCTCTAATTTGGCCGAGAGCATTAGTGTCAAAGTTCGTCAATTAGATCTTGAACAATCGCGCGTTCAGATGACTATCAAGCATGTTGAGGATATACAAGAACTCAAGTTCTGTATTTCAGGAATCCAGCGGGCAATGGAGCAACTAGATCATGAGGACGCGGCTAGATATATGCAAAAAGCTTTGAAATTTGATAAAAGTATACTTGAGGGCTCGTTTGCGGAGATCTCTGTCGTGAGTAATATTTTCTTTTTTTTTCTTTTAAATTTTTTTTTTTTTTTTTTTTTTTTACATTGTACATTTTAACGCCTCTTATATTTTTTTTCTTTCCTTATGCTAGCCATCTGCGTCAAATCCCGAATATCCAACAGTTATCTTATCGAACGCTAAGGCGAGATTGTTGGAGATCATATCAACAGAGTTTGAAAATGCAGTTCAAAGACAATCAGCAGAAGATATTACCCGGTATTTTAAATTATTCCCATTATTAGGGGAAGAACAAGTTGGCTTAGATAAATACTCCAAATTTGTATGCGCTATCGTTGCCGGAAAGGCGCAGGCTTCTCTGGTTGAGCCACGTAGGGACCTTTTCAGGATAATCGCAATGGAGCAGGGTTTCTCAGAATTAAGCAAAGGTGTTAATGTGAATGCCATTTATAATGTGCTATCAAATCTTATCTAGCCAAGTCACCGACATTCTACGCTGATGCTTTGGTCAGGCTGTTCGAATCTGTTGCTATTATCATCGATCAACACCAGCCTGTGGTTGAAAAGTATTATGGTCCTGGAAAAATGCTTCGCGTGATTCAGAGGTTACAGGAAGAGAGCGATCTTCGAAGTCGAAAAATTTTGGAGGCTTTTGAGGAGGAACGTGAAGTTAATAGAAAGGTAAAATCAGGCGATTGCCGTAAAGGCACCAGTTTTTTCCTTTTGACTTTTTGCATTAAGGTTAAATATGCATTAATCCAACAGGAACTTTTGTTTTCATTAATAGGTTACGGAGATTAAATCGTTCAGGGATCCCAAGAAAACCCTAGTTTCATCAATAGGACCTATTCGAAGCCTTACACCTCAGCCTGGGATGTCCAGCCCACATCTGACATCTGTTCCTGATATCATCGATCCGCGAGAACTTGACATCAATTTGAATGAGATGGTGTTGATCTCTCAACGTGCAAGCCTCTACAATCGATTTTTGGAGTCTAGAGCGAAGGTAGGAAGTCTGCACTGGAGGTCATCAATTATGGTGGACATACTAATTCTGAAATCTGTTATTGCATTCGGTCCTTACTTTAGTCGGAAGTGGAGCATTTGGAGAATGAACATCAGATGAAAGATACTGTTGTTGAGAAGCCCAAGAATCTCTATAACGATTCAGGTTTGCTCCGCACAAGCGGTTTGTCTCGTAAAGTCGAGGAGATAGTAGACCACTATCTAGCGATTGAAGAGTTCTTTTTGCGTCGCAGCGTTGACAAGGCGATGAAAATTGATGAGTATACTGATTACAGTAGCAAAACCTCAAGTTGCGTGGATGATGTATTTTATATACTAAAGAAAACTATTTCGCGAGCAGTCCATACATCAAATATAGACTGCTTAGCAGCAATGATCAACTTTATAAAAAACACATTGGAAATGGACTACATGTCAGTCTTCCAAAAGAATATGGGGAACGCATTCACGAATGGAGATACCAAAGAAGCACGGTTTCAATATATGGTACGGACCAGTAGATCCTATTTATGACAAGATCAATTGATCTTTTTCTTTTTTTTTTTTTTTTTTTTAAAAAAAAAAAAAAAAAAAAAAAAAAAGGCTCATCTTTATACATTACTTTGTCACCCAGCTTCTGCTTAATAACATTAGTGTCAGTATAGAGTATCTGGAGAGGCTGACTGTAGAGATTGAACAAGAGTCTCTATCAACTATTGCATCTTTATCGGAAAATGCGCTGGCGAAAGCAAAGGCAGTTCTATCAGGATTGACTGCATCCTCTAGTAAATTTAAGAAGATTTTAAACCAAGGGATCGAGGAACTGTTTGAACGGACGTTACGGCCGCGGCTTAGACCATTACTACTGGACTCATATAGAGAAATCAAGTATGTAGTGACGGATGAAGAGTATGCAGAGCAAGAGGCACTCAATAGCTTTGTGCATCGTTTCATGTCGGGCTTTGACGCTCTTATCGAACCGTTTAAGGTAAAACTCGGTTTGAGCTGACAACCTTCATTCATTATAGTGATTGCAGCGATGGTCGTAAGAATAAAAAACTAATATTTATCCCCTTATATTTTGCTCTTAAAATGTAGTTCGCTTTAACAGAAGACAACTATAATCAAGTGATTGTGAATGCCGTGATCATTTTAACCAAGACATGGGAGAAAATTATTTTTCAGAAAAAGTTCAACAAAATGGGTGCTATTCGTTTTGATAAAGATCTCCGAGCAGTTGGTTTCTATCTAGTATCACTGACGACCTTCCCAGTCAGAGAAAAATTGACGCGACTCAATCAAATGGCAATGCTACTGGACTTGGAAGCGCTGGAAGACCTGTATGAGATATGGGGCAGCAACTCGGAGACGATCACTTGGCGTCTCACAGACGCTGAAGTCCGCCGTGTTTTGAGCTCTAGGTAAGGCCTTTGTTCTTCTTCTCTTTGCCTGTGCCTGACTATGCATGCAATGGTTGGCTCTTGCAACATGCCTTTATCTAATAGGTGTGTGTTATATCTAAATTAGGATCGATTTTCAACCAGAAGACATTGCACGGCTGTAGCACAACAAGGTTTCAATAAAGTGAACGGTCACATTCTTCTTCCATGCCCTTTTACAGCACTGTCCGTGCATTTCAATAATTATTGCGCTCATTTCACTTGTTACCATCATACGAACAACATGAACAAAATAAACCATGACCAATTACTTTCATTGGAGCATCCATTTGTCAAGGTTAGATAGGGACTATAATTGTGAATTAGACAATCTATATAGGCCTTATAAAAAAGCTACTTTGCTAACCTGTAGCTATTATATTTTAAACCTCCAGATACCGGTTGAGAAGTTTCGATCGTCGCTCAGGACGTCGCAGAAACATATCGAAAAAGAAATTGCAATGTTGACAGATAAGGTCACTGAAATATCCAAGAAATCCGTACAAGGTAGCATGGATCCTAAGCAGGTCGAAGCTGCTTTGGAAGCCATCGTCACACGCCTTAGTACACTCAAGCGCAAGGTATATCAAAACAGTCTTTTTTTTTTGTTGTCGTTATTGTTATTATAATGCGCCTTCAACCTTAACAATTTCCGACTAATTTGCTTAAATATTTGTGTGGTACTAGTTAAAGGATACACGTGCGGACGAAGCCCTATATTCACAGCGTACAAAAGTACGACTACAGCATCTTCAAGAGTTTACGTCCATTAGTACATTGGACTCCGACGATTTCGCGCGATGGAGCAGGACCCGCCTGAACCGTATTGTGATCGACTATATGTTACGAGACGGTTTTAGAGAGACAGCTGCTTTGTTGGCTAAAAATGAGCATATTGAGGTAATACAGTTGCACAAACGACCAGGTTTACCTTTATTGCATTGGATTATCTGTTATATATCAACTAACTCCTTTTTTTTTTATGGACTTCTAGGATCTAGTGGATATAGAACTGTTTACACAGTCGACCAAAGTCGAGCAGGCTTTGATGCGACAGAGTTGTACAGAATGTTTACAGTGGTGCAAAGAGAACAACTCAAACTTGAAAAAGCTGAAGGTATATCTGAAGGCGACGCACACATAACCTTCTTGAAGAAAACATAATGCTGACAGTACAGGCCTCGATAATGTAAAATATCTAGAGCACGCTGGAATTCAGTCTACGTGAGCAGGAATTCATTGAGCTTGTGAGAGAGCGTCGACCACAGGAAGCGATTGCGTATGCCAAAAAGTACCTTACACCATGGCAGGAAACGCATATGAAGGAAATCAGTCATGTTATGGGCTTGCTCGCTTTTCAACCTGATACTAAGTGTTTTCCATACAAGGTATCAAGATGATTCCCTTACGCTATCAACTGTAACAGCCAGTTGTATTGTTCATTTAGTTGCTCACACATACTTGGTTTTTTGTTCGATGTCTTAGCGATTGTACGACAAAGCTCGATGGAATGATCTGATTGCCCAATTTCGTTCTAATAGTTTTGCTCTCCAGTTCTTCACTCCGGAGCCGCTCTTAAATGTGACATTGCAGGCCGGCCTAACCGCACTCAAGACGATGATGTGTTATCAACATGAACATAGAAACATCAATTGCCCTGTGTGCGATCCTGAGACACTGGGTGCACTAGCAGTAGATTTGCCCATGAGCCAGCATCTCAATTCATCTATTGTATGTCGACTTAGTGGACAAATCATGAATGAAGATAACCTGCCAATGGCGCTCCCCAATGGATATGTCTATTCCTACAACGTAAGGTCTTTTGTCTTGGTACTTATTTAGGCTATGGAGTATTTGGTTATTGATCATGTGGATTGTTCTGAAACCCATTTCTTTGTTACTTTGCACAACCTTATTTTTTTTTTTTGACAGGCGTTGACTGAGATGGCTAGTTTGAACAATGGCAAAATCACCTGCCCGCGAACAGGCGCTGTCTTTGATATCTCTCAAATGAAGAAAGTGTTTATTTCATAGTCGTAGACTTTCTTGGATTAGAAAGACTAGGAAGACTAGGAAGATTAACGATTATAAAAAAAAAAAAGAATTTAGTGACTGTCACCTGTCCCAGACTATGGAAGAATTTTTCTTGCATGCTGCTTTTGCATTCCTCTTTCTTCCTCACCTGTTAACATTCCCCTGGATCATCGCAACGCATTTCTTGCGCTCAGTGGACTTCAAAGAGCAAGCCTCGAAACATCATGTTGTCACCATCTGATCCTTCTCTCTCTCCATCCGATCGTGTTGATCATGTCGCTTCACTTGCTGATGCACCTTCCATCGCCTCTGTCCTTGAATCTACCGATCCTGCAGTCAGAGCCTTTCTTCAAGTTGCTGTAGCCCATCAGCAAGCTACAGAGGCAGCAGCAGCAGGTGTATCCGCACCTTCAACTGTACCTGTTGACTTTACGAAAGCCAATGAGATCAAGCTACCTCTTTCTGAGCTTGCTTCAGTATCGGAGGTGACAGCTATGGCATCTGAATCGACCCCAACGACAATACATGTAGATATGAGCTCGCTCCCGCACACTGTACCCGAAGAAATTCTCCAAAGTCTGATTCCAACCGTAACATCCACGCCTCTTGTTTCCGTTGCAGAACAGGCGGCAGATCAAATCCTGGCTACTGCTTCATTACCTACTTCCACTCTTGTCTCGACTGCCGCCTTGACCTCATTGCCCATTACAGCGTCGAATGCAGCTCACACTTCTATTATAACACCAGCAGTGACGTCAACGCCCAATTCTATTATTGCTACATCAACGACTTTCACCACATCAACAGTCACCACCGCGCCAGTGTCACCATCAGCGGTTACCACGCCTCTGCTTACTCCTACTAGTACAGTGGCAGTAAAAATTGGCACACCAGCTAGTACTACATCGACAGCCAGCTCTTCTACACCAGCGGTAGCAACCAGTCGTCCGTTTGTCTCCACTAAGCGCTTCAATCCGGACGATATTTTCTGCTTGGGTTGCTGTCGTAATCTATCTGTAGATCATTATACTTGTCCGAACACTAATCGCGTCTTCAAGTCATGTAACGCTTGTCGTCAGAAGTCCAGAATTAACTCCAAAAAAGTCACTAAACCTGCAACAATGCCTACAAAGCCTACTATTTCTATGGAAGAGTTTGGTACAAAGTTAAGGGAACTTGAGGCGTCTCAGGAAGAAACTAGTCTGGATGTCATGGTTCGTTTGGAAGGTTCTGTGGAAATGGACCCGGAGACACTCAAGGCTCGTGGGGCGCAGATTGCTGCGCAGGTCTATGAATCCACTGGATACTGGTTCTCGTAGGAATAATCGATTTTGCTGTTAATGACGGGAATTTACTCATTTGTATTATTATGAAAACTAGAGATGATTTTTATAACATGGTTGTTTAATTTCTTGTTGCAATATTGGACCCATTAGGCACTCGAGGACTAATGACGAGACACAGTCTAAAACAAGACTCAAAATATACGGCTGCTCACAACGCGAAGATCGACGTGCACCCCCTGCGCTTAAAACACAGAGTAGGAAGCGTAATCGTCCATCAACAAAATCATATTTTCCTTGCAAGGGTAATCTGACCATGACATTTTATCATAACATGAACCATGTCCGAGTCGTCTATGGACATAAGAGACATGCCAAATATGACAATCGAAAATGCCCAGATCATGTTCGTGCGTTCGTTAAGGAGAATTTAAGTTTGCCGCCACGCCAGCTTTTTGACACTTTATTGGAAGCTAATCCAGGTCTGGGTATTACACAGGCTCAAATACGATATTGGAGTCATTACTACAAAAAGAACATGGATCAAGATGGTAGTTCAGGCGAAAGTAAGAATAAGGCTAGCAGTGCTATTGTTGGTGAAGCTGTAGCTACACCAGATGCATCGATGACGAATGGTTCATGCCTTGGAGAAAGCACGGAACAGAATACTGCAAGTCACATAACTGGACTTATTGAGCCAACGAGTCAAGACCAGTTGCTCCAACAGCAAGCAGATGAGGAACGAAATCGAAATGAACAAGTTCATCAAATTCTCTTGGCTTCTGATGTCGCTGCATTGCAATCATTGGCACAATCACACCATGTGGGTGCAAGTCTAGTTGGAGCTGATGGCTCTATTGCTATTTCAGTGCCAATGACTGACTTGGACACATCCCCTTTGACTTCAAGTATTGTGCAGAGAGTATTAAGCGAGAATGGAAAGGGATTACTAGATCTGCAAGCTAGTCTTCGCGCTGTATCTGAAGCGACGGCAGCAGCTACGGCGGCAGCATCAGGGTTACAGGCCAGTCTTCGTGCTGTATCTCAAGCAGCATCAGCAGCTACAACATCAGCGTCTGCCATAAATGATGTAGAAGGAGATGCAGTTGTACAGCAAGTGAGAGCATTCATGAAAGAAAATGATCAACAGCAACAACGGCTTTTGGAACAGCAACAGCAACAGGAAATGAAGGAGGAACAGTTGTAAAATAAATATTAGGCATAAAAACTGAGTTATATATTGTCATTTATCGATTATTTATAGTATTTGTAACATTAATATCTGTTTGGATAGACCTGCATCACTACGATGTTCTCTCATAGTTTATAGATTATTGGAAATATCAAGCAACGCGCATTGCTTTTTGTTTGTTGTCAATTACAAATATGAAAATGTGTCTAGATATTTTTTAAATGAAGAGAGCACAATGGAAAAGATATGCATTGGTGCTCACAGGTCGATCGGAAGCACATGAAAATGAACGGATAAAATCGTCTGCATATTGAGAAATCCTCTGCATCTCGATACAAATATATCGATTATCCACCAATTGGACAAAGCAACCATGCCTAATTCCTTAGACACTCAAGGCAAAGTTTGTGTCCCATCTGTACGCCTTTATCTGCGCTGTTTAATAACATTATTGGACAGGAGCGGACAAAAAAATATTGCTCAAATCCTTGGTCGTTTCGAGCTAAGCTGTTTTTGGTATACAGCATGTGTTAAGACACATAGACGCCATGCCTTCTTTCTATTTGTTCATTACATACTTGATCCATATCATCGAAGACGAGGGGCGAAGAAGAGCAGCCCCAAGGGCGACTGCAGTTTGCATTTATAATATGAAGTCTCTCATCTGCTCATTCTTCATCTCATTTGTGTTTTTTTTTTAGAATTGTGCAATCGCGTTCAAACAAGAATGACATTACAATTGCATGTTCTTATCGTGGGTGCGGGTATTGGTGGATTGATGCTTGCAGTCCTTTTAGAACGCGCTAATATCTCCTATGAGGTAATGGATTTTTTTTTTTGTTCCCAGGAACAAGTCAAAAGACATTAATTTTTTATGAAATCCCTGACCACCCATGACATGTCTGGGTTTAGATATTTGAAAAAACGCAAGAGTTAAGGCCATTGGGCTCTGCATTCTCACTTCACAGCAGTCTGATGGTGCTATTTGAGCAGCTGGGCATGTATGATGAACTTCTGTCAATTTCGAAGCCCTTTGGCGCATTGCATCTCCGAAAAGAAGACCTATCACTGATCGGAAGCCTTCTTGCACGTGCCCCAGGCATAGATTGTGCGGAGCAGTACGTGAGAAGCAAGGAGCTATAGCAGATTTTTTCTATTAATGGTGCATGTACATTTAATCTTTTAAAAGCAAGACACTTATTCACTCTACCATTATATATATATATATATATACTATAGTTATGGTGACTACAATCGCGTAGTGGGACGGCCCGAACTTGTTAATATGCTTTTGAAGTGCATTCCTTCTCACAAGATTCATTATCAAAAGCGGGGACTATCGGTCACACAAGATGAAGGCAGCGTCACCTTATATTGCTCTGACAACACGATATATTCGGGTAGTATACTCGTTGGCGCTGATGGTGCCTACAGCAACATTCGGCAAAGTCTTTACAAGGAGTTTATTAACTATGGACTTCATCTACCTAAAGCAGACTTAATGCCTATGAGCTACGGCTATGACTGTTTAGTTGGCATCACACATCCATTGGATCCAGGGGTTTATTCCATTTTGAAGGAAAAGTATTGTGAGTTCGAGATTTTACTTTCTAACAGTACACCGTATACGGTGAGTCTCTACATGAGAAGGGAAAAGAGTGGTGGGATTGATTAGCGTTGAATAGTCTCAACATTCAGGAGTTTGCAACTGATGAGTTGACTTATTTCTATATAGTGGTGGTTTATACCTTTAGTGGAAGATAGATTCGCATGGATGGTGACTCAAGACATCCAGATGGAGAGTGTAAAGGAAAGCAGGACACCGGATTGGACAGCAGACACTGCAGCCGAAATGTGCGATCGCGTTCGTCATTTTCCTTGCCCATACGGAGGTACTCTGGGGGATATTATTGATAAGACCCCAAATATATCGAAGGTTATATTAGAGGATAAGGTAGGCTTATACTCCTAGACTTTCTTTTGGTCTCTCAAAAAAAGACTATTCTGATAATTGAATTGTTGATGATTCCTTGCAGTACTTTTCTACGTGGTATAATGGCAGGACAGTTCTTATTGGTGATGGTAAGTGTAATGCAGGCCTAGGTTGTAAATAAGAAATGGCTTCAGCTTGAAGCAGCTGAGTATTCTCCTTCAACTAACTCCTTGTTCCTTAAACGGTAATAGCATGTCACAAGGTATGCGCTTATCATTTTCCTGCATGCAAACAACCCCAGCATAATTCGTCAGCTATCATAACTGAAACACTTTATATTGCATAGATGGTGCCTTTTGGAGGACAAGGCGCCAACATGGCTATCTTAGGAGCACTTCATCTTGCAAATCTTCTTTATGATATTCATTCGGATTCTCAAGAAGAAATCACTCGGATTTTCAAAGAATACTGTGATTTGCGACGGGAGAGCGCTAAAAACGCTGTCGATGGGTCAAGCAAGACAGGGTTGTTTCTTCATGGCAAGGTATGGAAGACATGTTTAAAATAGGTAATTTGTCTGTATACTTTTAACATGCAGAAAAAGGATACTTACGAAAGAAAAGGAATATTGATTTGGTTTTTTTCTCTCACAAATTGAAAAGGGGTTGATGGCTGGGCTGATACGATACGCGTTCTTGAATTGGGTCCCCAACTGGCTTATTAAAATAGGGAGTGATAAAATGAACGCGCGGCGAGACCAAATTAGCTTTTTGCCTTTTGTTAAGATGCGTGGATCATTTACTGGGAGCCAAGTAAATACTCCATCACCAAGGAGAATGGATCTTGAAGGTGAAGGCAGCTTTATCCCAGATGTTTTGTAAAGAATAATAAAGCACTCTAAGTAGTGCAGTACATTCATCGCATATATATTGATTTGTGGGATATCTATATTTTTTTTTTTTTTTTTTTTTTTTAACTATTGCTTTTATTTTGTCTTAAGCATTTGATCCGCTAATAATAAAGGAAAGGAAAACAGCGACAAAGGACAACATTAATACTTCGCCTTGCTGCTCCTTGACTGCCCATGAATTCATGAGCACTCATACGAGCCTAGTTCTCTCTAGCTTCGCTTCCATCCTCTTTCTCTATATTCCGTGCAGAATGCTGCTATCTCTTCCTCTCCTTCTATTTCATATTAGTATTCTTTGAATATGTCATTTCTTGCTCTGATATCCATCTCATTGCCAATTTTGGACAGGTAATCTATTTATGCAGCGACAGAACTAAAGATGGGAAGAATGGGGGGTTTTTTTTAAGGATAGTACAGTATTTTAAAGAGTGGTTGCCGACAATTTCTATTTGAAAACAGTGCAGTACTCCATTGCTAGATCATCTCATTAACTATTTGATGAATAAAACGATACAGAAAAAATGGCAAGAAACATTGAGGGCTAATTTATTTTATTTTTCTGGCGACCTTGTGCGTGCATGTAAATACACCTACAAATAACCGTATTTTTAACAGATGCGTATTGTAGGTCGAAAACAGGTCTATTCTAGATTTTTAGGAAACAAATAATCGTAGTTGTAGGTGATACTCTTGGGAAATGTCGAAAATAGCCCCAATAGCTACTCTGATAGTAAGTCCGACTCAACTATGTACTGTACGTCTATGATGTGTACATGTGAAGGTATTCTATTAAAATATTAAGGCGGCAAATGGGTCCAAAGAAAATTAAGGGAATGGAGGAGGAGCAAGCAGCGAAACAGCAAGGTCCTTGACAATCACACATGGTAGCACAAACGGACATGTCCAATCAAAAGGCCATGCAAATTAATATATACATTCATACATGTAGCATACTTCATTTCCACCATGTTTAGAGATGACATTGACAACAGAGTTCAACCTCCGTCTGAAATATATGAAGAGCTGAAGAGCAGCCCAAAAAAAACAGTTCATACAACATGTATCGATTGTACATATCTATGTATCCTGTACCTCCATCTTGAATACTTTTATACAATCAAAAATGATTGATGATATTTCTTGTATTCAAATGTGCATTATCAATGTGATGAGGCATGCTACCATTGCTGCTGTACGCTCAGGACAGCAATCCTTTCTCTTTTTCTCCACTTTTTTTTTTTTTTTTTTTTTTTTTTTTTTTTTCTTTCTTTTCTTTCCTTCTTTTTCTTTGCTTCTACTTTTCTTGTTGGTCACCCCACTCCACATCCTACCACAGGAACAATTTCATCCATAATCCTCTCCTCCACTCCTCCGTCTTCGTTTCCGCTCCTGCTTCTACTCTACTTTAACCCCTCCTGTTTCTACTCTTCCTCCTCTTCTTACTCCTCCTCCTAATCATTCCGCCCTAACGAACACCTTTTTGATTTATAACTTTATTTGCCTGATCTGGTGGACTCTTTTCGTATTCTCTCTATTTTTTCCCCTTCCAAATCCGAAAGAGCAAATTCGTTTCCTGACTTTCTCGCGACTCGCTCATTTAATACATTCATTAAACATCAACATCAGGACAACAGCGTGTTCAAATTTTCGATCAAGAAATAAAAAAATGCGTGGCATGAAGGGTCTGGCTATATCGACAGCAGCATTGCTTGCTATTGTTTCTACAACTTTGGTACAGCAGACCTCTGCCTTTGGTTACAGTAGGTGCAACAATAACGTTTTTTTAACATTAGAGTGCAATTATGATTGCACCCTTTTTTTTTTTTTTATCAGAATTCAATTGAAAATCTCCCTCTTTTTTTTTTTTTTTTTTTTTTTTTTTTTTGAAAAAAAAATATTATGTTTTTCTTCTTTGAAGAGATGTGAATGGAATGAGGAATCATCAGATGGAGGAAGGCTCATCAACCTTTTGTGTCATAAACCTGTTTTTTGGATTGGGCTGATTGTAATACATGGGATCGAAGTATTTCGGTTGTCAATCTGTAATACCCAAGACACAACAAAAAAAAGCATCTTTTTACATTCACATTCGTATGGCACTTCTTCCTTACATTTTTTACCTGTAGACTTTTTTTTTTGCTCTTTTTTTTTTCTTTGTCTTTTGTACAAGGAAAACAAACATTCTTTTTTAGTTGATCGGTCGCACATGGTTTTTTTTGTTTAATGATTATGATTATGGTTTGGTTGCGTGAAGTTCTAGTCTAATTTTTTTTTTTTTTTTTTTTCCTTGTGTGAATGGTATATAAAGAAACATTCGATGAACTGAGCCTGAGTTCTAATGTGAATGTGAGAGAGAGGAATCATGTCCTACTCGCATGTTCATGAACTCAACCGTTTAAAAAACACATTAGTACAAAAAAGGGTGGGGACCTGAATATGCATCAATCGCATCGCATCGCATGCTGCAAAAAAAAAAAAAAAAAAAAAAAAAGACATGACTATCCCAGTCCTGGTCATGGCGTGATCTCGATTATTTTAAACATTAAATATTATTGTTGGATAAGAAAAAAGGTTTCGAATGTACAGCAGTACACGCATGACCTTTTTACCATCGGTGGGATGCACAACCATAACGTACTTTTGAGTTTTTTTTTTTTTTTTTTTTTTTTTATGTGCTCCAAATATATCTTTTGTTTTCTGTGCTGTTCGGGTGCTGTATGGCCATTTCATCCGGTTGGTGGGGATCCGTCTCTCTCTCTCTTAATACCCTGAATCTAGATTAGATCAATGTAGGTCTGTGAACACAAACGCATCATCGACATGACTTGTTCCTCCATTATACTCTCTCCGCCCTGGCGGCATTTATTAGACTGAATAGAGTTTTCTCGAGTCGCTCACACATCTTACTCAATGCATGCTGATGTTGTTACAAGTCAATGTGAAAAGGGCCAATCGAAAAAAGAGAAACCTTTTTCCTTCTTGGGAGAAAATCATTGTCTGGGCGTTGCTTTTTTTTTTTTTTTTTTTCTATTTTTATTTTGCGACTCCTTTTCATTCCCGTCATCATCAATTGACTTTGCAGACTTTGCTTCATTCGTGCTTGAGGACAACTTTTCTAACAAAAGAATGTCTTACTTTCTTTTCGATGTGCATTATTAGTGACCGATTACAATGGGACACTTTGCAATGTAAGGCATACATTTCATTTTTCATTTTGTATTGGAGATACATTACAATTGATGCATTTCGTTTGATTGTGCAACCTCAAAAAATTATTGCTGACATTCTCTGGACATGCATGTGTTTATCTACATTTATTCTTGTACACAGGGCTTTATTGACTACAAGGTCTGGCTCCCCGACAATGTCACAGTCCAAAATATAGAAGATGAGTTGATCAAACAAGGTGTTCAAGAACTTACTGCGCTAGTCGACCCATGCAAGTCGACCTTTCTATCCTATGCCTGCTCTGTCGCATTTCCAAGACCTGTCATTACAGGCCAAAGTAAGTTTTATTGACTACTAGCCTACGCCACACTACACTTTTCTTTCACGACATCATCCTGAACTGGATTTACGAGAGTGGTTGTACATGTATAATCAACAGAACCAAGAGCTCTAGTTGAGGGTTGTGGAGCTTTAAAAAAACATATTCCAGCAAGCTGACCTTACTCTATTTTTGCCTGCCAATGTGTATTATACTTCAACTTGTATAGCTAATAGCTACAATGTGTTGTTCGCGTGTCAATCATCATGTCAGGCGGTCCATCAAGCCTGTACAGCTGACCTCACCTTCTTGAATATGACTAACCTTCTCCCTGACTGTAAGGCACCCATTCCTGGTACTGAGCAGTTTCCCAATGGGCCATACGATCACCAGCTGGACAATTCTTGCAATGCTGTTCCATGTAGGTTATCCCAACTCTTCATTGCGTCGACTTTTTTTTTTTTTTTATTTTTTTATTTTTATTTTTATTTTTTCCTCGCGTCCTAATGAAGTGCAACTGTCTAACTTTGTCACTTGTGAATGATAATAGTTCAGAGCTCCAACACGACATGCGCGACTCCTATGACCGAGTGTGTATCCCCATTCGTTGAAGACCTGGTGTTCAAGGCAACAGGCGGCGCACAGAATACAGATGATGCATATTGTGGATGTGGATGCTGTCTGCCCTGCCCACAGCCAAATGCGTTCTATAAGCCCGAAATATTGGACCAGGGCTTCTTTATCACTGATATTCTCAAAGCCGTTTCTGCAGGCTTGGCCTTGGTCCTGGCGTTGTCTTATGTGGTCCTTCCCGACAAGTTGCAACATCCATCCAACTTGATTTTATTTGCGGCGCTGGCGACCGCAATCTTTGGTGCAGCTGTAGCACCATCGTTTGGTAATCCAAGACGAATCCAATGTGCTGCCAACGGTGTTTCAACTGCTACTTCATATAACAATAACCTATGCACCATCCAAGGAGCCTGGTTGCTGTTTGGAGCAATTGCAACGACAGCCTGGTTGTCTATCGTTATTGTGAATCTGCATTTGCATACGGTCTGGAATTCGAGCTGGCTCTCGAAAAGGGCCTGGTTGACACATCTTATTGGCTGGGCCGTCCCTGCAGCATTCGCTGCCATTGCTGTTATAACAAATTCCATTGGATGGAACAACTCCAATATGTAAGTTATCCTTATAAAAATATATATGTATCCTAAGTACTCGGTTATTCTACAATTACTTTGGATGGAGATAGACTGACCTTTTCTCTACGGGCATACCCCCTCCTTGCTCGGAAAACTTATAGGTGTATGGCTACACAAGAAACATCTAATGCACTTCTGTTCATTCCCCTCGGAGTCATTATGATCCCCTCCATATTGTTGCATTTCACTACATTCTTTCATATCATCAAAGTGACTCTTCAGGCCGAGAACTCAGAGACAGTTTCCCATTCGACCTTGTCGTCAGGTCGTGCAGCACGAATTTCTCACCGTCGACATGTCATGAATGCGATTCGTATCCAATGGCGTGCAGCAGTTCTCGCGTTTGTGGTTGCAAGCTCGGTACTGATCTACTGGGCATTTTACTTGGTAGAGGGTGCCAAGACGGATATGTCCTGGATGAGCACCTGGCAGTTATGTATTTTCACCAAGGCAGGTGATCAAGAGCAATGCGCAGATATGTTTACTAAAGGTCATGTACCGGACTTTGCATTTATGATGGTGGCTGAAGGCTTGGTCAGCACAACTGGTCTTTGGGTCTTCTTGCTCTTCTTCAAGCAGTCGCTTATCATGGAATGGAAAGAGTACATCAGTGGATGGATTTGTTGCGGAGGACGCAGGCACCGCAAGAGACAGGAGAACCAGTTCTATGTTATTTAAAAAAGCAAAGGAACTTGTTTATTTATTATTATTATTATTTTATATCATTTATATTTAAAAATTACATAGATATACATATATCCTCTTACCATCCACACTGTTCTCAAATATACTCATTTATTTTACTTTCACAATTGTTTCACCATGCGTAAACTGACCATAGCCTCAGGGCCTTCTCCTTTTAAAATACAGGAATTATTTTTTTTTATTTCCAGAAATGGCAATTAATGTTTGTCAGCCCAAATTGTTTTGAACAGCATAAAAAGGAAAGTACATCCCACGGATCAAAAAAAAAAAAAAAAAAAAAAAAAAAAAAGACACCCTTTTTCCATTGGATATTGCCTCTTTCTCCCTAGTTTTTCATACCTTTCTTTCTCCACAGTTTTGACAGACACTCACAAAAACATACTCTTATTCTTTATATTGCATCTCGGATTCATTCCTCATATTGACCATTGACTATGACAACATCTTCAGAGTTGAAACTGGAGGATCCGACAGATCAACAGGTCCCAATTCAGGACGAATGGGGCCCAGTGATATCGCATCACAAGGCGCCCTTTGAGATTGGTGATGTGTTTTTGTATTCAGTCATGACCTCAGTGTTCTTTGGATTCCTACATCTCTATGGTCCTCAATTCTGGTCCTCGATCTTGGCAAGTTATCCTAAATCAGTTATTATTCCTTGGGGAACATTTATAATTTCTCAGGTCGGATTCTGGTTCTGGGTATCCTTACTGGCAGTACTGGATCTATGTCAGTTTCCCAAGTCGTTTTGGCGTTACAAGATCCAACCGTTGAAGGTGCCGACCTGGGAATGGTATAGGAAGGCTTTGTGGGTAGTCTTACAGAATCAGTTTTTAGTGGCACTCCCTTCATCATTCTTGTTGTGGAAGCTGATGGACTTGAGAGGAAATCCTGTTGGGATGGAGCTACCGACTGTATGGGATCTATCAAAAGAATTGATTGGCTTCTTGGTAGTTGAGGAGTTGGGGTTTTATTATGGTCATCGTCTATTCCACCACCCCAAGCTTTATAAGCGAATTCATAAGAAACACCATCTTTACACAGCTCCTATTGGCATTGCAGGTAAGAGGAAAAAAAAAAAAAAAAAAAAAAAAAAAAAAAGATAAATGCAGATTTCACGTGCTCCTTAAAATACCAATTTTGCCACTAAAATTGACGCGTTTTTTTTTTTTTTTTTTTTTTTTTTTTTTCCCTTTACAACTTTAGCAATCTACTGTCATCCAATTGAGCATTTTGTATGCAACTTGTGCCCTTTAGCGCTTGGGCCTGTACTAATGAAGTCGCATATCCTGACCTTGTGGTTGTGGATTACCGTTGGTAAATATAACGATGATAGAAAAAGATTATTGGCTTTGAAGATAATCCTAAGGTGGATGAAGATGAAAATATTATTAACTTTTTCTTTTCTTGAAAAAAAAAAAAAAAAAAAAAAACCAAAACCAAAAAGGTCAAACGAATGCAATTAACTCCCACTGTGGATTCCATCTGCCCTTGTTCCCTTCACCATTGGCACATGATTACCATCATGAAGTTTTCAACAAGAATTTTGGCCCTTTAGGAGTGCTCGATTGGTTGCATGATACTGCTGGGAGCCGAGAAATGGCAGCCGAAAAGAAGCAGCGTGAGTTGGCTGCGACAACCCAGGCTCAGACAAATGTACAAGCAGTAGTTCCTGATTCTTCTAAACCAAACGTCAAGGAGGTGTAACAGGGGGAGGGTTGTCCTTTTGTTACTTTTGAAAAAATAAAATAAATAAGTAGCATAAGCATTGGAAGTGCATGGGATGACCGCAGTCGTGTATGATTTTATAAACCCGTGTTTGTTGTTTGCTGTGCCACTTGACCACTTGACACCCCTCGTCCATCCATCCTAAAAAAAACGTTCATTTGTATTTGAGCAAGAGACGCATCTGCATTTTTTATAGTTTGATGTTACGTGGACATCAATTCAACCCTCTTCCTTCTTTTACAAGCAGTTCAGTTGTTCGGTTCAGTTCAATCACATCACCTTTCGACATTCGTTCCTTCCCTTCATTCACCATTCCATTACTCATCTCCATTGACATTACTTCTTTTCCCTCCCCTTCTCTGCTCCTCTCTTCTCTTCCCTTCTCTTCTCCATCTCTTCCTTTTCTTTTCTTTTCTTTTCTATTTTCTTCTTGTCTTTCATTCCTTTCCTTTCCTTTCCTTTCCTTTCTTCTCTTTTGCTTCCTTTTCTCCTCTCCTCTTTCTCTCTCTCTTTTTACCTTTTTTTTTAAATACATTACATTATACTACACTACGCTTCATTCATTCGTTCATCTTATTCCAATTCAAACTCTCTTTAAACACTCCTTTTTTATTTTTATTTTTATTTTATTTTGTTATCATCTAGCTTTCCTCTTCCTCTTCACTGCTTACTGTGCTCTCTTATCCATTATCGTTTGGACATTTTTTTTTCTAATCCTTTTATTTGCGCTGCAATTGCATTCACGTCCTTAATAAGCTTGCCAGGACATGAAGCTTTATCGAGCAGAGACAGGCAAGCGCGTGCAGATACCCCTGCTGCGGCCAAATGATGGGTAATGTCATGCCGTATCATAACTTGTCCCTACTGTGTTATACTGTATTTTATAATCCATGTCCCCACCTAGTCACCTTGCCTTGTATTCGCTTCAGCAGAGTTTTCTCATCGTTACATGATCAGGTTCCATCAATTTGGGGGCAGTAATTTTTTTTTTTTTTTGTGTGTACAGCAAGTGTAAGATCATAGTGTGTTGCCACCATTTTTGTATGACAGCCTTTATAACTCAAAACCATATTGTTTTTTGTTGGATTTGTATTTGTTTGCATCGCATGGCATTTTCATTTGTTTTAATAGCAAATGAAACTTCTCTTGTTCTTGTTGGTGCTGTTGCTCTTTCTGAAAAAATGTCATGATACTTATATCATCCTGCTCTCTTTTTTTTTCATCAACTTTTCTCTTCATGCATATCTCTGAAAACCCTCTTTTATACATCGTAGCCTTGACACATTGCGTTTGGCTATCGAAAAGGTGACCAGGATCCCGCAGGGCTCCCAGATCCTGATGACCTCTGAAGGTTTGCAGCTCAAGCCAGATATGATGTTTGAAGTGATCACATCTACAGATAAGGTAAATATTTGATAAAAAAAAAAAAAAAAAAAGAAAGAAAAGGTTCGTTTTGTTGGGATTGGTTCAGATGCACATTGTGACATGTTGCAGCACTTTTCTTTCGTCCATCTCTCATATTGATCCATCATATACAACAGAATAAATGTATGTGGACTGCTCGTGGTGACTCCTTTTACTTCCCTGCATTGATACTAGCGTATATGAACTACGCATTAATGAACTAAAACAGGTCATTTTGATCGTCATCAGTTTGGGTCTTTTGTTTTTTTTTTTTACAACCTCCCTTTTCCCTACTTTTTGATCGCGCCAAGATAGGCAATGTTTGGGGGACTATTTGTCTCTCCCTCATCTTTTGCAAAATTTGTTTATTGGACCAGGGAGACAAAGGACTCTGTTCTATCTGGAGAAATGGACAACAGAGAGTGGTCAAACTATCAAAAAAAAAAAAAAAAAAAAAAAAAGAGGGCACGGCCCGATCGATTTTATTCAGGGACACACCGAGCATCCATGAACATCATGTGTGATTTGGTCTTTTATGTATTTTTTTTTTTTTTTTTTTTTTTTTTTGCTTTGTTATGACTTCGCCTCCACCTGAAATATATTTATTTCGCACTGCACTTGAAGAATGGTTAGACAAAATATTTTTGCTTTTCATGTCACCGAATCCAACCAAAACGAAATTTAAAATGATTGTTCTCTTGAAATCGAAGCTCGCTTATTGCAGTTCTTATTCATATACTTCCCGATCTTCCCCTTGCCCTCTATTGTGGGCGTGTCAATTTGTCATTGCTAAAAAAAAAATAAATAAATAAGAGGTATCACATGGGCTTTCCAAAACATAAATGATTGCATACCAGTGGTACTTATTGCATTCAGCTGACTTTTCTCATAAATGAACCCGCGTATCCAATCCGACAATCATGAAATAACAAGCATATGTGCTTCATTGGCTCTACAACTCATTTATCCTGCATCTCTGCATCACTACTATTAGGATGAATACACCATTATGGTCTATAATCGAGAGGTTCTTACGACCGACATTGGAAACAGCATATCCACTCTCACAGAACAGCCAAGAAGCGAACCTCCAGTCCTTGACCTCAGCCCTGCACAGCTTCAACCTCTCGATATCCCACCAAGGCCAGAGTCGCCTTCAGAAAATCGGGAATGGAGCAGCCAATTTCAAACAAATTTTGATGCATATGCTGCAAATATACTGGCGCATTATAAAGCTATCGTAGCCCATGCAAAGATCTGTGATCGGATAATGGAAGAGCTAAGAGTCCAAGCATTGGCAGTTCAAGTTGCCCTCACAAATTTAGATGCTCACAGCCGGTAGGTCATGCAAAAATATGATCCTTATTCTTAATTGGACTGGATGCTTGATACAAGAACAACATGTCAATGCGAAATTGCGTAATTTTACTTTTTTTTTTTTTTTTTAGGTCTGTGCTGGAGACATTCGAAAAATTCAATGCATTTGCCACAAAGGAATTCGCCAAACAGGCTCGACTATTGCAATCGTATGTAACATTTGTTTATTTTTTCTTGTCAATAGATATCATATGCCATAAAGGCTTATACATTCTAGCTTGGTTGGGCGCTGTACTGATTTTTTTTTTTTTTTTTTTTTTTTTTTTGTTCCATGGGATTGGAAAAATTCAACGACGAAAATATTTAAAAGATTTCCGCGTGATATCGATGTTCTACGACAAATTAAAGTACACCCCGCACTGCTGCCAGCAGATTCGCCTGAGCGGTATATCTCGGACTTCATACCAACGGAAAAGCTCGTACAATGGGCAGAACGCTGCCGAGAGATCCATGAAGGCTTGCTGCGTGACGGGAAAGATCTCTCTCGATCTATCAAGGAGGTTCAAGAAGGCACAATAGCTATTAGAAGCAACAGCGGCATCAACCTGGACCAACTGGAAGATGCTATGGCTGATATTCTACAGACACTTGAGCACCAGAGTCAAATCAGAGAATGGGTTGTACGAGACCAAAGTAGAGTCAAGGAAAAGCTGATAGAGATTTCTCGTCCCTCCGGATTCCCAGCATCCGCCTCAACTCTCGAGGCACTGGTACAGCTAGCTAATGTCTATGTTAAGGATTATATGGGCTCCTCCAAAAAAGCCGACAATATGCTTCGGGATAAGCTCACTATTTTCATAGCTGCAAAGCGCTCACAGACAGCCAACCTCATTACACAACTTATGCACATTTCTAGACTCCAATCTACAATCGCTAATATACCTCCCAGCCTCAGTAACTTGGATGAGTCTCTTCGGAAAAGAGACGCAGATTTCAGCCAGCTTGTATATGTTCAGCGTATCCCTATCGCATATGGCGCCTTGTTGGTGGAAGTTGTGCGTAGACGTGAGTACTCAAAGCTCCTGCTCCAAAAATCTCAACAGTTGGCTGAAGTTATGTCGCGCTTTCGGCAGCTGGAGCAACGCAGGCGAGATTCATTTAGGTCAGATATTGCCAAATTTGTGCCCGTAGTGGTGCCAGGGCTGGATGACGTCCCATCATTTTGCGAAATCAATGCTCTCAACACACGGGACCGTCTTCCATCTTTCACACGAGAACATATTGCGGAGTTTGAACGGCTTGTGAACCAATTAAGCATTGGTCTGGGAGGTCCCGATGACAGCCGTATGCAAGGTCAAGGCGTAGAGCAATCGAATGTCGGCATTAGTTCGATAAGTAGTGGTCAGGATCCTAATCAAGATGCATTTTCCCGACTTCGTACTACCCTCACAAAGATGACAGCACAGGTGGAAGCCATGGGCAGTGAATTTGACAAGATTTTGGAAAAAAGTTTTATGACGGACCGCATCATGCGTTTAGAGGAAGAAAATGCGCGACTTCGTGCAGAAATGTCACGGATCGATGTCCAACAGCGCTCAGGCACCCCACAACTGGCACAACAGCCGTTCTCTCGTCAAAACACGCCGGTTGGAGGGGTTGGAGGCTCTATCGGACAAGCATCCACAGCTATATCAGGAACTACTATTCCTAATAACCCATCGTCTTCTCCAAAACTGGCTCGCAAGCCTTCTAGAGGAAGCAGCTCCACACCCATCGCTCATCGCGGAGAGTCGGATGAGCAGCAACAGGCATTGCAGCAGCAACTTCAGCAGAATCAACGCCTTATAAAGGAAAATACAGAGTTGTCTACAAAAATCAAGGCCTATGAAACTAGGATCCGCTCACTAGAAGAAAAGCTCTATCAACACTTTCATGCCAGCTCTAGCGTGGAACTACCGCCATCACCGAAGGGCTCGGCCAGCCAACCAGGCCAATCAACAGACCCCGACCATCCTTGGAAGGCGTCTGAAAACCTGCATGATACTCATGACCAGCTTCAGCCTAACGAAGAAGGACGGAAAGTGGAGGAAGAAAGACTTCGGATTTTGGAGCAGGAGCTGCAGGATATCTCACTCAAATTACATGAAACAGAGTCTAAATTACGAGACGAATGCAATGTCAGCCGTCAGGCTTTAGCTCTCCAAGACGAGGTACATTATAATCTCTTGCTTTATCATCCCAGTCAGTTTCCATGATTATGGATATTAATCATTTACATTCTTGAACGCAACTTTATTTATTTATTTTTATTTTTATTTTTATTTTTATTTTTATTATTATTATTACCATTATTATTTCGATGTACCAGCTTCGGCAAGAGCTTCTGGAGCTCAAGTTGCAATCAGCAACCATGGAAGGAGCATCAAATGAAGGCAAGGTAGCTGACACTATTGCTCAGAAGAGAGCCGGCGAGCTGGATGAGGGACTTAAGGATATGACTCACAAATACGAGCTTCTATTGCAGCGTCAGGAGAAGGAGAAAGAAACCCATGCGATGGAGATTCAAACATTCAAGGACCGCATCCAAGAACTCAATAATCAGCTCAGCATTGATAAAGAGGCATGGGAAAAGCAGCTAGGACAGGCAACGGAAAGGGCAACAGAGCTGGAGAACGAGCTAGCCGTTGTGAACGAAGAGTTGCAGAATAAGGTGCTTCAACTAGAAGAAGAGCTCGAAAATCATGCAGCTGAACATGAAAATATCACTGCGCGCGCTCGGGAGCAGGAAAGACAACTCGAGTCACACCGTACAGTTTACAATGATATTTTTGTACAGCTTAAGGAACAAGAGCAAAAGACATCTGACGCCATACGAGATGGACAGAAGGCGAAAGATGACTATGCAAAGTTACATGAAACTCAGCTGACGTTGGAAAGAGAACATGAGGCGCTAACCAAAGCCCATACGGCCACGCAGAAAGCAAAAGATGACTTGGCTGAGCAGACAGAAATCCTTCGTAAGCAGATATCTGAACTAGAAACTCAACGAGAGGTGTACAAGGCCGACGTAAATCTTCGACTTGAAGAGGCCAAGATTATGGTGCGGCGTGCTGAAGAGGACTGGAAAGAGAAATCCAGGCTTTTAGATAATATGGAGCGTGCAATCAAAGATCTTGCCAAACCCATCCAGCAGTCACTAGTTGCGCTTGGACACACCCAAATGCAAGTGGAGATTACAAGCGTTGATCATGTACATGAAAGATTGCAGGAAATTGGACGCGGCATTCAGGATGCTGTTAATAAGCACAGGGCAGATATGCTTGGAGTACAAGAGGATAATGAAATGCGCGTTGGGGAACTGAACAAGGAATATGAGATGGACAAAAAGAAGCTATACGCCACCATCGACGAGCTTAAGAAAGCTTGTCAGGATGCTGAGGAAGGAGCGGCTACGGTCGCTAAGGAACTAGGATCGACTATAGTTCGTCTCAAAGAGGAACTAGAAAATGCTCGTACTCAGCATCGTGCTTCAGCTATCCCAGTACCGGTCTCAACAACGCCCACAGCTGGATCACCAGCGCCGTCGACTTCGTCTGTCACCCTCATGTCATCTTTAATGCATACTGGTATAGACAATCCTGAGCAGGTACAGAAGACAAGCATGGCCTTTAGTGTAGGTGACCGTGTCCTTTTAAGCGCCCTGGCACTTGACCTTGGAATCCATCTGCCTCTTGTGTCATCGCCTGAGGACGCCAACTATCCTAGTTCTTCTGTACTCTTGGACAAATCTGAGAAACGCAGCAAAACTGGAAGTACCCTGGCTGTATCTCAAACATCGCATACCAGCTCTTCGTCTTCCTCAGTCGCTATATCTTCCAGCAGTGGATCAGGCAGAAGCTCCAGCACAACGGTCCCACTATCCAAGGACATACTACGGGATTTCGACTTTTCGGATCTTGATGTGGCTGAAACGACTTCATTAATCAAAAAGAAGCTGCTTGACACAGAGCACCTTCTTAAGAGATGGCAGCGAGAATGTAAACACCTTAAAGAAAAATACAATCGTGCCGCTGCAGAAGCTCATGAAAAGATTGCATTCCGCAACTTCAAAGTGGACGATCTCACGCTGTTCCTGCCTACACGCAATTCAGTGACGAAACCGTGGGCAGCATTCAATATCAACTTTCCGCATTACTTTTTAGACCCATCGTCAACCATGGTCAGTCAACTTCGAAACAGGGAGTGGATTGTGGCAAGGATCACGTCGATTACAGAAGCGATCGTTGACAAGCGGTTAGAGGTAGCGGAAGAAAACAATGGCACAACCCCCTCATCCTTAGCAACAACCTCTACAGCCGTTTCCTTCCACAATCCGTTTGGACTTGCCGATGGCGTCAAGTATTATCTTCTGGAGGCAACAAGCTGGAATGGGTACCATGGGCATGGCAAGTCATCATCATACCATTCTGGAAGTGGACGAGAAAGCAGTAGCAAGCTTCGTCATCACTCATCGACATCTGCTTTAAGTGAATCATCGAGCTCATCTTCGAGGCGTGAAAAAGAACGGCTCAATGAAGGAAAAGACAAGGATCATGAAAATGAGCGTCGAAAGCACCGAGAGCGCAGCAATGCTCACGGGGAGAAAGATGGATCCCATATTACAAGTATTAAAGAGGATCATCTGATAGAAATCTCATCCTCGCAGAAGCCTCGGGTTGCCAAAGAAAAACCATATAAAGAATCTATTAGCACGAGTTCCCCACTATCCACAGCCGTGAAGGTCTCTTCTACTTCCGGTGTGAACGCTTCGATGCTAAGTTTGCATCAATCTGCTAGTGAATCAGGTCATGGGTTGAGCGATAGTCAAGCAACAGTTGTAACAGACAAGACAATGGCGGGTTTTACCCAGCAGCAGACAAGGACAGGATCCACAACGGCGTTTGGAGCAGAGTCATCCTCTTCAAACTACTCGCCACCGACTGGTCAATCAGGTTCCGCCGCAGGGTACCGCTCCTCTGTTGGGGCTACTGGGTCCTCGCCAATTTCGATCCCTTACCAATCCGCCGCCACTAACGCCCTCAGGGCAATTTCAAGTTCGGTTGGTAGCACAGGCTCCGGCTCTGGATCAATACCTTCGTTACTGGCACATCATCTAGCAGGGATAGGATCTAATTCAGGATCGGGATCGGGACCAACGATGGTGGCAAGTAGCCCACCAAGAACTATGATCCTGTCGTCTTCACCACATATTACAGGCATATCTACAGTATCTGCCATGGGTACCACTGTGAGTGTCAACAGTGGGTCGTCAACTATGGCTCCGTCTCATACACAGGATGGAGGAGTACCCCCTAGTATAGGCTCGATTTCTGGGTCGTCTTCATCTTCAAACGCACCAGTTCATCCGAGTCGACTGAGTTTCTCCAGTAATCGAGAAGATATTGAGCAGCTGGCAGTTTTTGCTACGGATGAAGAACAAGAATGGGACAGAGAACAACAGCAACAACGTGAGCAACAACAAAGGAATGCATTCCATAGAACTTCATCTTCCACATCCACCTGGCATGGTCATGGTGATCTGTAAATAGACAAATGCAAGCCTTTTTTTTTTTTTTTTTTTTTTTTTTGGTTGCTGATCCTTGATATTATAATTTATAAAGTATGCCAAAAATGGCTTTTCGCCTATTGAAACCATGATATATTTCCATGAAGGGGGTACAGCCGTGTTGTCATGTATCCGTCCCATAGCTCCTGAGAATAGCTAATCCTGTTATGGAACAAGGAGATTAAAATCGCCTAGGGAAAAGAGACGTTTTACGAAGCGGGGGCAAGGAAAGTTCAGGCCGGCTAATAATTATTTTCTGAAAGTCGTTTTACATCGCTGACAAGCACTGGATCACTCAAGCGTTGTGGCCGGACATCGCTATTGCTTCTGATTGCTCACCAAGGCACATCGTGACTTCATACAAGCACCTGTGCCGACGCCCAAATGTCATGTCAGTGGATGTAGGTTTTAGTGAATTAAGCAAACTCAAACTTTGTTTGCAACTCAACAACAACATCCGAAGCAAGTTTGGAGATCAAGAAGTATACCTAGGAAAGTCTGTGCACCTTATTCATGTTTTATAGATTTTATTCATACTTTTCTCTTCCAATTTGAGAAATTGACCCCTCTTAATCTCAAGCATAACTGCGTAAAATTCCAACAAATAAATTATCAAGCTGATTATGTTCCAGGTTTTCTTCATCATATGCAGAGATCAGAAGCACTATTTCAAAATTCAAAAGAATAAATCCATTAGTCTGAAGTAAAATTTACAAGCTACAATCTCAACCTCTCAAAGCAGATCCCATTACTTACCTTCTCTAGTAAACTGTCCACTCATTTCCCTGCTTAAACTGAGCGACATTAGGCGCTCAGTTTCTTCCCCTCCTGAAGCGATGCAGCGTTGTCCTCATCATCGGGTCAATCCGAGAAGAACTCGTCAGAGTCATGAGTGAGAGCCTCAAAATCAAGCTTATAGCGGAGGATGCCCCCAATACCTCCAAAGCCTTTTACGAATTGAGAACCTTCCTGAGAACGATTAGTGACAAACTCAAGTGTAGCACCTAATCATAAAAAAAAAGAATTAGCCCCATTCAATTATGCAATATCCACTATTGAGGCGATTAAAAAAAAATAAAAAAAATAAATAAAAAAAAATAAAAAACTCACCAAAATCCTTGTATTTCTCTGCAAGCCATTCAAGCAAGGAAACCTTCTCAACAACCTCCATCTCGGAACCGTCTAGAGGATCAATAAAATTGGTGCGCTCCTTTTCTTGCTCCTTAGTGAAGTGCTTGATGTCAGTTTCACCAGCAGAATTTCGAAGTGTAACACGAGCGATATCAAGATTCTCCCAGACAATCAAGGTCTCAACAGCACCCATATCCAAAGCCTTCAATGTGTCTTCAACTCCGAAGCAGTACTTTCCAGTATCTTGTGAAATGGCATCAAAATACTTAGAAATCAAGCGCTTTTCCTGAATGAACTTAACATTGGAAAGCGCCTCGGCAGCAAGCTCGATGGCTTGATTGAAGCCATTCTCACCACCGTATGAGACGTCAACAATCTTAACAACCTTGGCTTGCAGACGAGGATCAAAAAGATCAGATTGAGACAATTCGGTCTTGAAATCAGCAGAACCAGCCAAGACCAAACCAGTGACGTTGACCTTGTCATTGGTGATAAAGTGCTGGACGGTCATCTCGGCGACCTTGCGAACATAATTGTGGCGCTTTTCATCACGCAGACGTGAGAAACGAAGAGCGGACTGACCTCCACGACCATGCTTCTTTGGCAGATCGACAGTAAACTTGTGGATGACTTCCCGAGTGTTTCCAGAGACAGTGCCAAACAAGGTTCCGTTACCATCCATGATGACGAATCCGAACTTGGAGTCAGACTCGAGTAACTCAGAAAGAGCCTCCGTGTGGAACTTGTTGTCACACATGTACAAAGAGGTATTAATAGGCTTATGAGGAGGGAAGTCAATATTGACCTTCTTTTCCTTGCCTTCCTCAGTGACGACAGTGCCGCAGTAAATGACCAGTCCAGTAGGCGGTACTAAAATAGTCGATATGCAAAAACAAGACTATAAGTTCCTAGGATATCATTAAGCTATCTATATGTGATATCCCCACGAAAAAAAATAGTAGGGAGGAGACTGTGCAAATTTCACGGCGCAGTAGTTCTAAAATAATCAGGCGCAGAACGCACATGCAGGAGGAAATCCTATGTGTGACGATTGTTGATTCTTACCTTTGGTGTAGAGCTTGAGACGTGCTTGGGTTGATGTGATGGCACTCAACACAGACAATCTGTTAACTCTGCTCTTGATGTTGGAGGCAGTTCCATACTCGTCAGCCAACATCTTGGAAACACGAGAAATCTGATCACCAGGAGGAATAATGAGCGAGATCATGGATGTTCCATTTCTGCATAAAAAAAAAAGGTAAGAGGCATGGACACCAACAAGACATGTTCATTAATAAACCCTGGTCCAGTACATGTAACAATGCAGACAAAGTCGAAAGTAAAAGAAAGGTGTGAAAGGAAAACATACCCACGAGCTGCCTCAAGACCCTTGATCAGCTTCTTGACCTTCCACATTTCGATATTATTATCGACGGAATCCTGAGGCGTAGACATGGTGCTATGAGGGGAATCAGAGAGCCGCAGAGTAAAATAAAAATAAAAATAAAAATAAAAATAAAGGTAATATGTGAGGATCTAAGAATTCAGTAGCAAACTTTTTGCCATAGTCAATTGACCAATATATGCATCATTCCATCGATGCATCCTTGTTCTGACTCGTACGATGTCTTACGTAAATGCTATCCTAGTGAGGGGTGAGTGTGACGAAGAGAGAAGGAGGAAATGATCTTGTCTGCATTCAAGAAAAACAAAAAGCAAAAAAAAAAAAAAAAAAAAAAAAGGAAGATTTGTATCTGAAACTACGTCAGAAGCTATCAGTCACGTGATCAGTACTCCACTACATTGGGTTTTGCAGCACACCTTGTCTAACTAAACTACTTTTTTTTACGAGCCAACAATCCTGCTTCGTTTCTGGAGCTTGCAGGTTAGAGCTTCATCGCTTGCGTTGATATTGATCTGACTTCATCCGAGGGTATTCTCCCTTCGCGTCAATAAAAAATGACGTCAAATGATAGTCACGTGGAGCTAATTTTTATTGGGCTTCCCAGCCATGGACATATTTTGTGATGGTTTTAGCAAATTGTTCTGTCTGCAGCATAGCATCGTGTTTGCCCCAGTCTCCAAACTCTAGTATAACCTTATCTTCTGAAGGACCAGCAACCGCCAGCAAATGCGCATGGTACTCTTTAGCCTGCTCGGGCTCCACAAGCTCATCTTCATTCGACTGAAGTACCGCATAATTAGGTAATCTGAATGCAGTTCCTGGTGGGACTTGTTGGCCGTCTGGTGATCCATGAATCAATGTCTCCGGGTCTCCCCCAAAGCCTTGAATAATGAAGTCTTTATAAGATGGCCAGCGCTTCAATATACGATCCACATTATAGATGCCTTCTACTCCGATAACACCGCGGATAGCTCTATGCAGAACGCCCTTTTCAAGTCCTAACTCGGTCTCAATCGGTTCTAAGAATAGATCTGGACGCAGAGCCAACATACCTGTGATCTGTCCACCAGCGGAGTGTCCGACCAAGAAAATGTGGTTAGGGTTGTAGTGTCCATTGTATTTTTCTGCATTCATGTATAAGTACGCAACCGCCTTGGCCACATCCTGGACATGTTTAGGGTGTTGAGCCTCAGGTCGGACAGACGTGGGGTCATCTTTAATGGCAGCAACTGAAAGGGTGTAGTTGACAACTGCAACTACATCTCCAGTAGAGGTAGAAATTCTCTGTGCCATGTCAACGAATTCATCTTTGTCACCTGTCCTCCATGCGCCACCATGCACAAAGACTATTAGTGACTTGTTTGCATTCAGTTGCCTGTCAGGGTAATAAAGATCGAGGGTATGTTTCTCCCAATGGGAAACAGGGGCATAAACGATGTCTTTAATAATGCTCATGATGTGATAGAGAGCAAAGGACAAGAGAAACAGTGAGAGGTTGGGATCAATTGGAAGATGGAAGGTGGAATGAGTGAGTGGCGTTTTAATTATACCATTGGCTTTTGACCGTGTGAAAATTTTAACTGACACGTCTGAATCAAAATTTCGTAACCATAATACGAAGTATGCAAAAAGACGCGAACGGTTAACATGGCCCGTGTCACCTATTATTACTCCAAGTAACCCTGCAACATTCTCCACTGAAAACACCCTTTTTAAGATCTCTCTTCCTTTTCCTTCGATTTGGTGCTATCTTTTTCATTGTATTGTTACCAACTAATACTACTACAATATTCGGTCCCTATACATTTAGCATTATCTTGACCCTATTCCTACAATGACTTCTGTTACCCCAGATTCTAATCATACCTCACTCGGTCATGATGTGGCCATGGCCGAAAGAAGTATAAGCTGCTTTACACGCATATCGCATACCTACAGACGCCATGAACTCGGCTGCCAAGCTATCATTGCTCGTCGTCATGATGGCTTTCGTAAAAAGCCCCATATTCACAACGACAACCACGAAAGTTACCGCCCAGTCTCCCATAATAATTATCATACAGTCCAGAAAACCCATTCAAACTCGGAGCACCGTCACAACAAGGGCCACCAAGGCCATCAACGGCATAGCGAACAAAAACACTCTAGGCATAGCCATAATCAAGGTTCATCTCACGGAAAAGGACACCATAATACGGCTTCCAACAGTGAAGACGAGCATGACCCAAATCACAATGACAATAGCAACGGCAGTCATGGACATGAGGATCATAGTAGTACTGATGACCACGACTATGGATATGAGCACTCCGGGCACGTTGGCCACGACAAAGAGAAGCCAGAAGATAGGGGTGGCAATAAGCATAGAAAGGGAAAAGAAGAAGACAGTCAGCATGAAGATGGCAGTAGCCCTTTAGAGGAGCAGAGTGATAAAGCTAATGGAGGATATGGACCATTTGGGGATGAGGAAGAAAACCCTGTTGAGGATGAGGAAGAAAACCCTGTTGAGGATGAGGAAGAAACATCCGTCGAGGATGAGGAAGAAAAACCTGTCGAAGATAAGGGAAAATCTGTAGAGGATGAGGAGGATGGTCCGCCCAAGGGCAAAGAGGTGCATGAGTCACCGAAGGACGGAAAACACGAACCAGCAAGTGAAGCAGGACATAGTAGACATAGGTCACCTAAGGTCGGGGAGCATGAAGCAGCTAAGGATAAAAGGCGTGGGTCGTTAAAAGATGGTAAACATGGATCGTCCAGGGATAGGGAGCATAAGCCATCTGAGAAGGGAAAGCACGAACCAGTAAAGAAAGAGAAACATGAAGAACACAGATCAGCCGAGGAGAAGCGCGAACCAACCAAGAATGGGGAGCATGGGTTAGAGGAAGATGGGAAGCATGGATCGTCGAAGGATGGTAACCATGGATCAACAAAGGACGGGAAGGATGAGCCATCAAAAGATGGAAAGCATGGGTCACCAAAGAGTAGAAAGCATGGGTCGTCAAAAGATAGAAAGCATGGGTCATCAAAGGGTAGAAAGGATGGATCATCAAAGGGTGGCAAGCGTGGATCACCAAAAGGTGAGAAGCATGGATCATCAAAGGGTGGGAAACATGGATCGTCAAAGGATGGAAAGCATGGGTCGTCAAAGGACGGCAAGCATAAAACCCCCAAGGAAAGAGAGCACGAATCATTAAAGGAAGGGGGGCATGAAGAACACAGCTCAGTCGATGAGGAGCGTCGACCAACCAAGGGTGAAAAAGAGAGCGGGAAACATGCTGATAGAGGTGATGAGTCCAACAAAAACAATGCCAAAGACGACAGTGATAAACCTAGTGCTACTAAGCCCAAGGAAGACAATAACAATCCCAGCCCTGCCACCAAAACCATTACAAACTCCATATCCCAGCCTGGCAAGGCTATATCAACTGCCCCAATTTCCTCTGACTCAGAGTCCGCGGGAAAATCCAATATCCCAATAGGCCCCAACATCCCACTTCCTCCAAACGGCTCTTCTGTCAACCGCTCAATTGTTAACAAGCCTGCCAACCCCAAAAAGGATGGCCAAACCCCTGGCACTATCGTCGCATTTATTCTCGTTCCTTTGACCTTAATCGTCGGTCTAACTTTTGGTGTTATTGCGTACCGTCGTCGAAATACCCGTCGACGTCTGCAAGGAGGTGCAGGGGCTGCTGTTGCTCATGCTGGGACAGGAGTAACAGAAACAGGAGATGAAGATTCTGGCTCAATGCTGAGTCCTGTCAGCTACCGTCCTCCAGCACCATTCACAAGCGAAGTCGATATCACGACTGAGAGCCTAGGGAGCTCTAATATTAATCCTGACATTGTAGTTGGGGATTCGTCAATTCACATAATCTCTGCCCCTAAACGCGATGAAGGCCGTCTAGGAATCTATGAAAATTATTCTCATGTGTGTAAAACACAACTGGCAGGCAAGGAATGCACAAACCATAGTATCAGTTGCTTCGTAGCTTTGAACCACAGCAATGGCGGTCTAAACGCTACTGCCCCCATGCGGGAAGTAACTGTGGGCTCTGGAGTTTCATCGCTGAGGAACTTGGATCCAGTGACCTCGTCTTCTGAAGCTGCAGATACAATAGCAACTGCTGCAGCAACAACATCAACACCATCATCTTCAAAGCAACTGTAAATATGCAAACAAAATATAAATAACTCATGTCGGTTCGTTTTATGTTATTAATGCAGTTCAAACCGCTCTCTACACTTGCCGACTTTAAACTATAGTATAGTACAATAATATAATTCTAAAATAAAATGGCAAATAGGAAAAGAAAAAAGGAAAAAAAAGTAAATGATAGCAGACAATTAAAGGAAATGAAAATGAAAATGAAAATGATTATGAACGTTCGTGTCTCGTGCTCTTCCGGAAGAACTTATTCAACTTTGCTGGCATACTGCTACTACCATTATTGACATCCAAACCTCCATTGAACAACCCTTTGCCTCCAACGCCACCGGGTCTATTAATAGGACCTCCACTAGATAAGCCTCCTATAGCAATTCCGTAGCTACCAACTCCATTGGGTCCCCCAGCTGCTACACCAGGCGCAGGCCGACGTGGTTCAATTGCAAGGCTTTTTCGCCAGCTTCTCTCCGAATCCAGGTTTTCCATACACTTCATGATATAGCTGTGTAATCGTGGTACCTCCAGCAGTTCGTACATGCCCTGGAAATCTCGGAACTCCTGTACAGTTCTCGCAAGCTGTGCAAATCGCCCATAGCGAAGTAATTTCCTAGGATTGGTAGGCATAGGAGCAGTAGGAGGAATAGCGTTCTGAGTTTCCATTGTAGAAGATGCGTCGTATGTTGGTATTGAGGCTGCTGTTTCTGATGTTGAGGTTGATGAAGAATTGGGCGCAGACTCAATTGGATTTATATTTGGATTGACCTCTTTATACATAGAGTTGCCATCCTCGATATATGCGATGACAGTAAAATATAGTCCCAAGAATGGGATGCAAGGAGCCTGCACGGTCTTGAGTTTTGCTCGATACACACTATAGTTGTATTCATTCGATATCATCTTTTTGAGTTGGATGGACCGCTCAATGTATGACTTGCTGATACCCTGTGTTGAATTCAAGGCAATTCAAAGCCGTTAATACGAGTTAGGGAGCACAATATATGCGCTACTAACCATAAACATAATAATATTGATATTTGAAATTACCTCCCAAGTGTTCTGAAGACGCCGAACTGGCGTCGACTCGATTGCGAAGCTAATGGCTGTTAAAGTATCAAAATTATTGAGCTTCAAGCATTCTTCTCCGACTTCAATCCAGTGCTTTACAACACCGACGCGCTTCTTGACATCCTGCTCATCCACAATTGTATCTGTGATCCAATTCGTGATCTATAAATATATGAACAATATAGTAAAATCAGTAATTGTTGAAGAAAAAAAAATAAAAAATAAAAAATAAAAACTAGCTACAAATTACTCTTAATCTTCATTCTATTTTGTACCTTGGTTGATGCTTGGACCATCCGAGAGCAATTAGGCCTTTCCTTTTCAAATAATTCCAGATATGGGATGGCTGTGAACAGCCTGTTGGCCATGATCGTCAACTGGCGTGCCAACTCTACAGGCTTGATATCCGTAACAGGGATTTTACTCATCAGCTGGTCATTCGCCAATGCATTCAGTAAGGCTTTACTAACTAAAGGCACGGGTGGACCTCGAATATGAAGACTCTCTCGGTTGAATGTGCCTGCAAGTCCTCTCCTGCTTGCTCGCTTGAATTGCTCCATTGATGATTTCTCTTTAAGGGTAGCAAATGGCTTTGAAGTAGAAGTAGCAACTGTGGGGCTGCTGGTATCACTGGTACTGTTGTTACCGCTGCCAGAATAACCCTCGCCGCTACCGTTGGGAGGGTTGTTTATATCACTAGCGTCGATATCTTGGGCCACTTGATCGATCCTTTCGTGGGAACGCGACTTACTAAGCATCTTATTAGAACCACTGAGATGAAGCGATTTTCGCCTCGTAACCTGAAGGAAGAAATGGAGGGAAAGAGAAGGAGAGAGAGAAGAAAAAAATAAAAGAAAAAATAAACAAATAATAAAAAAAAGCATACACGTATAAGCAAAGCGCGTTTTATCTACTCTTAAAGCTGCGAGCATATTCCAGGAATGTTTAAGAACATACCCATTGATTCAACACATCCAAAAGTCGGCCAGCAGGCCCAGGCACAGCTTCCATCATTTCATGCTTTACAAACTCCATAATTGGATTAAATGCATCACGATCCTTCTCAGATACCCAATATCCCTCAAGCCAAGTCTTGATTGCGATATGTACCCTGGAATTAATGAAGCATGTTGTTAAAATGTCAGCTGGTTTTTTAAATTAAACCTCAAAGCAAATTCTTTTCTTACCTTTTTTGAACACGCTCTTGTTTCTGATGTTGCCAGGCTAAAACCTCATGAGGCGTAAGTTCCCGTGGAGGGGCCTTGACAAACCGTTTGACCAAAGCTTGTACCAAATCCACTGGAGTTGTAAATAGTCTGAATGTCAAGAAGAATGTGTTGACAAATGCTGGCTCTATTTATACACCAGCAAGTTCATAAAAAAAGTAAATAAATAAAATAAAATAAAAAGCTAGCAGATTGATGGATATAGGCCTCATCACACTATAGTGTTACTATTAATATATACCTGGAGCTGTTTTGTGAGATGTAAGCATCTCAATATACGCCTCAAATGTGGCTGCCACCAACGTGCCATTATCATTATATAAGACCTCATCTGCTTCATAGTCGTTATCAAGGTACCAAGGTGCACTAGAAGGCGCCGATGTTGATACCGTTCCATTCTGCTTATACTCCTCGCTGACCCTAATTTTAGCTTGACCAACCTTGTTTTGTCGTTGCTGACGATAAGTTAATGGCTGAGTCCCAATTCTAGTGGAGGAAGATAGTTGATTGTGCCTATCCATCGACATGGTGCTCTCAATTGACGCGCGCCCTCTCATGAAAGATTCATGACTGACTCGACCACGCATTGCAGGAGAAGATGGGCGTAATTTCATAGCGCCAGCTCTAGGGGACTGCATGTTACTCTCTGTGACGACGCTTGCATTAGACATCACACTCTCTCGGTGATGACTTTTACCGGGTCGATAAGGAATTGATCCATCGGTACCAAAAGTTTGAATGTGAGGTGTCGTTGGAGTCGAAAGTCTTGAAAGTAACTCCTCATCTTTCATCTGGGTAGTAGCGACCTCTGACTGGAGGGTAGCAGATACTGTGCTACTCGAACTACGGTTTGTGTCTGCTCCTGTTTTAAGGTCACTCTCCTTATTCAACCGACCATCGTCTAGTGGCCTGCCCTCTGATTCTTCGGAGCGAATTGAGGCCAGTGAGCCTCTTCTCGATCGAGATATTGTAGCTGAGTTAGAAGCAATGTTAAAAGCGTTATCGCCCCTTGCAGATGCTCTTGACTCAGAGCGGATGCTTGGGCTACTACTTGGGTTAGGTGAATAATCTGGCCGCATTGGCCGCCTCGATGGCTCCAGTCTAGGTGAAACCGATGGTACTGGACTTCGGGTACGTGAGATCCTCGACTCATGATCAGAGGTAAGAGATGAAGAAGATGCTTTGGAGTGAAGATCTGTAGGTACGCTGACACCAAGGCCTATAACATCCCGGCTCTGTGCCAATGCCCTCTCAGTCTCTATAGACCGCCGGGCGTTACTGCCTTGACTGGATCTTTCACGTCTGCGGTCCTCTGAGGTTCTAGATATTGCAGGGTTGCTGGCTTTGAGGCCTCTAGAAACCTTGTCATCGAAATTGCGAGCCCGAAGGGTTGAGGCCGACGAAGTTCTTGCATCGGAATCAAATGTCTCATATGTAGTGTGAGATGATGGTATAAGTGACTCTTCTCTCATCGTCGATACTTCTTGCGCAGGGATAAAAATCTCTGTGGCTACCCTGGCAGCACTCTTCATCGCGGTTTCGATCTCTTGCTCAGTCCTTTTGTTTCCCTCCTGTGGATACGGCTGTGATGGTAGTCTGCTTGTAGCTATGGCAGCAGAAGTAATATAAGCAAAGTTAAAGATAATCAAATGTTAGTAACTGGTATGCGAGACATAAGTGAAAGAAGAGAACAAAATGCTTGTAAGACATATATACCTGAAAATGCCTTATATCTAACATCATCGCGCTCTTCTCCAGACTCTAAACTGTGTACTGGCGGTATCTTTGAAGCATTGGTCAAGCCGTCATGTGAAGCGCTCTTAAGATTCGTCATAACAACAGCAGAGTCATGGTTCGAGCGGTTAGCACCAACTTCTACATCATCGTCTTCATCATAAAATGATGGGCGTGGAGAGCCTTTTCCTTCTGACTGTCGTTTATAACGCTCATTAAGAGAAGTGGCGGACCCAAATTTTCGATTGAGAGTTGCCTTCGGAGATGCCGAACCTCGCTGTCGTGGCGACAATGACGGTGATGGTACAGTATTTGCGGAATAGCTAAAGTCCAACTGAGAGTCCTGCATTGCTTCATCCCCAGTTGACTCCGGTATGGAGCCGACTTTTAGCTCTGCAGATGAGTTTTTCGGAGTTGAAACTCGTTTTACAAGGGATGATAAATCCTGACTAGTGGTACTATTGGTTCTGGGATAGCCTTCCATATCGAGTAGACACTTAAATAGCTCCGATGTGATGTTCATAAACCTGGTCAGTACGGTCTCGGATTTATGACTCCCCACAGGTGCGCTTTCCACTGTTTGGATATATATAAGCAACTCATTCAATGCAGATGAAAGATGCATTTTGTGTTCAGCATAGTCGCCATCCTCCTTCGTGTTTGTCCTTGCTTTCATCTCCTCGGCGCTTATCAGGAACATCTCTACAGCTTGTGCTGACTGAATGGTGGTAACCATAATATGGTCCAGTGGCATCTCGTTTCCGCCACTATTCAAACACTCCATATAATTCATAAGGGAGTGTTCAATAGCCCTCTTGGCCGTATTATATTTCTGCTGGTGCTCCATTTTCAATTGTCGGACAGCATTGAACGATTTGTATCCTTTTGCAGAATTAACACGAGAAACACGCCGACGCGATCGTGTGTATGTGGAGGATGAAGAAGACATGTTGTCGAAATCTTTGGGAGACTTGAGAAACATGTCAAATTCACTTCCTCTAGCTGAAAATGTAGCTCCCGACCTGATTCGCAGTCCAATCCTTCTTGCATGAGTAGCAAAATCTGTAATACCATCCAGGACCTGACCACCAAAAATTGAGAGCTTCTCAACAGCAAATTGGCGCTGCCTCGATGTTGTTCGTGCCTGAGACCCATTTGCAACTCTGCATTTTGAATATAACTTCCCGAGTGCACGAAGAATATCCCTCCTTGAGCCTGCTAACTCTGGATATGTCTGCAGAATCTCACTCTCACGTGCGATGGTGTTAGTGAAGATCAAAAGCGCCTTTACACACGAAATAATATTGGCTACAATAGGTTGATATCGATCAATATCTCCTCTTTGGGCTGCTTCTTTGAGCTCTCTGACGTACAGTGCGACTTCGCCCACAAAGTCTGAGTATGCATAAGTAGCATCACTGTTGATGGCTGCTGCAGAAGATATCGCTTGCTGATAAAAAAAGTCGCCATCCATCTCCATTGCAGAAGCGTCTAATCCATAGTATGAAAATGGCACAGCAAGCTGGCTCGATGGAAAAGCGAGCTGGCCAGGTCGGGTCCATCCAATTGATGGCGAGCTCATCACGCCCCAATCCATCTGCATACTGTCCGGTACTGATTCTACCATGGGCTCGCCCAAAAACTGCGTTTCCACGCCATCCAGTCCTGTCCTGATTTGGTCATAATCTTCTGATGTGATCTATTGCAACAACAACAAAAATCGTCAAAAGTAAAATGTCAACTTCATTGAATACAACATCATCTCAATCTCTAACTACCATACTTCTTTTAACAACAAAAATAGCTTACTGAAGTCGGGCGGGAAAGATACTAGAGGATAAATGAAGCAATTTTAATTAGGAGTATTGGAACACATGTTAGTATGGTACTTTAGTCAATGACATTGGGTCAATCTCCTATTTGGGTGATAAATATGGCATGGTAAGACAGGATCACTCAGACTGTGAATAAATACATCCATTTACCTCGGTCTCGTATACAGGATCAACCCTTTCAACGCGATTGCTAGGAAACCACCCTCGATTGTTCTCGCTCTCGCCAAACCACCATCCGGACTGCTCGCACTGCTTAACTTTGATATATTGAAATTGTGAAAAGGACAAATGTCCCACGCTGTCTGAATGGTATTCGTGTAATGCTCGAACAATGAAATCGCCCTCAGCACAAGGGTTGGAGTACATATTACTGCCATCATCACTGCCCATAGCGGCAGCTGCATTTGAACTGGGCAACGTCGTCTTTGGCCGCGATGATGCGGTCGATGTGGATATGATATCGAGTGAATGGTTCCTAATCTCTTCTATATAGGCCGTTATTGAGTGCAAAAGGCAATGGGTGTATTCCTGTCGATCAAGAGGTTGTTGTTGCTGCTGTGGTTGTAGGCTCCTTGGGGATAATGGGGGCAGTCCGAGTGATAAAGATCGTCGTGTGTGAGCCCTATGGGCAATGGCACTGAACTGGAATTAGATGAAGAAAATGGAGCCGGAGAAGATCTGTGGGTTGTATAACAGCTTGAGTGAACAGAGAGGTTACTGTAAGAATAAGAATGATCAGGAAGGAGGATTTGGTATTCTACTACGGGGTTTAGATTATGATTATCGCGATATGGATTAGGCTGACGTCTATGTTCATACTGTGGATCGAAAGCCTGTCTATAGTTCTATAGTTTCGTAAGTGCCAGAGCAAAAGGTTGGGAGCGGAGTTAATTACTGACGAGATCTCAAAAGAAGAACGTTGATTTTATGTGCCCAAGATTAGCTTAATTCATTTTTTCTCTCTCTGTGCCCCAAGCCTTGTTGCCGCTTGTGGACGTCAACCCAAACTTCATGCACACTCAATTAGCAGTGAGTGCGGATAGTATCAGATTGAAGACCAAGCTCACAAAGGAAACAAGAAATAACAGATAATGATTTTGAAAAGAGAAACAGGAAAAGTGGGGTAAGGAGCATACACGATGAGACGCAGCGGAGAGCGTAGTTCATGGATAAAAGGAAAGAGAGAGAGAGTCCCTAATTTCGGCCACAGTAATAACCTCTTTTTTAAAGCATTACTGTAATATCTTTTTATGTGCACCCTTATTTTATATTTGAATATATTTGTTTTCGCTCACAAAGGATCTGTGTTTGTGTTTGTATTGCGTTAACTGATGGAAATTTCAGTAGCATCAAAGTTATTCTTAAACACTGATCCCTCCAAAGGAATCGCTACCAAGGGGGCACACGACTATAGCCTGCACCTCTTTTTTTATACAGAATTCCAAATCCTGTACGAGTAGACAAATGGAATTAAACAAGAATGAATAAAAAGTGCTGTGCTGTTCGTGGAATTAAAAGAAATGGTCGGAACCAGATTTTATCTGGGCAGAGACTCAAAAAAAAAATAAAAATAAAAATAAAAAATAAAAATAAAAATAAAGATAAAGAAAAAAAAATAAAAAAGAAGAGACAGAGCGAGAAATAATGAGCAATAGAGACAACAGGTACATAGACACAGACAAGTCCAACATACAATGACAACAGCTGAGAGAGAGATTGAGAGAGAAAAGGACAGAGAGAGAAAGAGAAAGAGAGAAAGAGGGAGATGAAGGACAACACCAATTGTTTAAATGAGCAATTGAGGAGTAGGGGGGAAGGAAGAGTGGAGGTGAAGATGAGCAAGGAGGTGAAGCAAGCAATTGATATGTCGGTTTAAGATGTGTGAGTGTATATCCTATTTGACAGGAACAAGTGGGAAGGAAGGGAAGGAAGGGAAGGAAGGAAGAGAAGGAAGGAAAAAGTCGTTCACAAACCGACCAGAGAGTTGGAGAAAAAAAAAGGAGAGATGACAAAAAGGTGAGGTGTAATGAAAGAGGTAAAAAAAAAAAAAAAAAAAAAAAAAGGGGGACGTCGGACGAATTGCAGACAACAATCTTAAAACTAAAAAAGCAATGCAGAGCAAAAGACAAGGGAAAAGAACCAAAACAGGAAGCCAGTAGACCTCATGGCAAACTTTGGCTCCTTCTTTTTTTTTTTTATTTTCCTTCTCTCATATCTCTCATACATCTGTACAATCCCAGCCATCCAGTCATTTAGAATAATGTCATTGAGCCATTGCCTATGGATGGTAGCCACTGAACTCAAGCTCGTAGCCTTGATTGACACAGCAATGCATGCCATTTAAATAGATAAATAAAATAAAAAGAGCGATGGGTCTTTTTTTTATTTAACCGAATCCAATTTGAGGTGACAATTCTGAGAAAAGGATTGAAACAACGATAGACGTATCAAGGCCCACGTTGTGCCTGGAGTCTTACTGGAGTCAGTCAGCTGGGACTAAAGTGAGATTCGATATGAACTTGAGAAGAACCGGGGAGATTTTCGGATAGCTTGATAAACTGTATACAGATTTGAAAGAAGAAACGGAACGGCTTTTAAAGAGATATTGAACATTAAGAGCGACCACTTTGTGTGCATGGTCCCCCACGTTTGACAATGCACACTACACTTTCCTCGTAATTGTATTTATAATAATAGCTACATGTACTCAAATAGAATAATAATAAATAGCAAAAATGAGATCTTGCAGTTGGAATGTGTTTATTTATTTGACAAAACACAAATATGCGACAGAGCTGTCTTTGTTTTTCCTTTTCTTGGGCTTTTTTTTTTGGCTCCACCACAACCTTTTACCAAAAGTGTATATACATTCACATAGCCTAGCAAATTAATGGTTTGCGAACAAGAGCGCGCTAAAAATACAAGTATGGCTCCCAACCCGACCTGGGGAAGGAGGACCCTGTTGGGCTTCTCTCGGGCGATCTCTTTCTTCCTCTTCCTGAAAGAGAAGGCAAGTGTATATATATATATATTATACACTTGTGGTCTAATATTTCAGAACAATCACCTCAAACCTGACCTAGAACGTCGTCAAGGAAACATGTCCAGATAAACATTAATCTAAATTAAATAATAAGAGGAATGAATCCCAGCTACATTGATAATAGATCGTGTTTGAGTAACTATGCAGCTCTGGCCCTCGTTTCCTTCTCGGTTCACTTCTCAATTATTATAAAACATATCCTAGAGAGACGTCACACGGGCCAAGATGTTCTGTACTCAGTAAAATATATTGTCCTCCATTACGGTACTGCCTGCTTGTCTCTACTTTTCATTCAAGATGAATCCGGCATTGCGCACATTAAAGAATAACATCCGTAAGGACATGCGGCAGAGGCTCGCTCTTCTTTCGTCAGAAGAGATCAGACGTCAGTGTAAGATGCTTTTCATAGTAACACATGCCTATACTGTCACTCAAGCAACCGGCATCTTCCATGACATTCATCAATATTTGATATTGTTTTACTAAAAGATGTACACTTTGTTTCGCACGTTTATCTTTATTCGCCGATAACCTAGCTGCGATTGTGACAGAAAAGCTGATCAATATGTCCATATTTAAGGATAGCCAGAATGTTAGCGTGTACATCAGCATGCATGGTGAAATCTCTACTCTGGATATTATCCGAACACTCCTGGACCAGAGTGAGTGAAATGCCTTTTTTTAACCTAGCGCATACCTAACCAATAACAACAAAGAAAAGATCCGAGCCTTGACACGAACTTTTTTTTTTTGCTCTTAACTTTTTTTTTATATTTATCGCGACAAAATAAAAAGGTAAAACTTGCTATGTCCCCAGATGTAAGGGTGAGGACATGGATATGGTCAAGGTTGAGTCCTGGGAGGATTTTGTATCTCTGCCTAAAAACAACTGGAATATCCCAGAGCCAAGGATGGATGAAATCAGAGAAAATGGTAAATGACAAGAACCATCATATTGTTCCTTGTAGAAGCTATCAGATTGAAGACGTGTATTGACTTTTTTCCATTATATTTACGATATTCCTATCAACCTCGTATTCTTATTCAGCTCTGGATACATCCCATAGCTTGGACTTGATTATTATGCCTGGATTAGCATTTGATCGGACAGGGACGCGGTTAGGTCATGGCCGAGGGTAGGAACATTTCTAATTATTTTAAAATAAAATAAAAATACTGACAGATATTAATCAGTACGCTACTTGTCTCCCTTCATACAGATATTATGATAAATATCTAGTTAAGACTAATACCTATAACAAGTCAATCGGTCGTCCTCCAGTAGCAACAGGTAGAGTGTCATGTCTCCAGTGTTTCTCTTTACTTTGTTTTGCTTTGTTTGCTTCGATCCTAGTCTTTAAACCTACTTAATTTGTTTGATTTAATCAGTTGCGCTCGCATTAACGGAGCAAATTGTGGACGAACCATTGCCACGGTGTGAAACCGACATCAACCCACAATATATCTTGCATCCTTGATTCGTTCGCCAATACATCTTCGCACATACACAAAGGAAACAGTACAATAAAGAAGAAAACCCGCTGTCTTTCTTATCCTTTCTTGTTTTCGCGGCATTGGCTTATACTATCTACATGAAATATTTTAAGTACAACGTTTCAGAGATCGGGCAATTGAGAATATCGACACTGGCTTTCACTTTACCATTCCAGCGTGGCTACTAATCAACTCCAATGAATGTAAGTTTACCCAGGCGGCCTTTTAAGCTGTAGAAGCCGCAGTTTATTGAACTATGAGCAACCTGCCTTGCTGGTGATCTGCCTTTTGATCAAGCTTGAATTCACAGTATAAAAAGTGTTGCCTTCAAGGATGGCTGCTACTAGAGAGTTATGCTCGCCATCAAAGGTATCCGATTAGACTCCACAAAACACAGGTTTTTATGAAAATATGTCGCCTTAGTCGAACATCACTGTAAAAGTGAAGAGCTATCTAATCGAAAGTATACTTGATGCTCCATCCACCAAAATATACCGCTTTACAGTCGCCATAAATCTAATCACGTTCCCTCGGTAAGTCCTCCGGGTGCTGCGCCACAGCTGCCACAGCTCACCATTACGTTTAGTCAAAAACACGCTGTTACAGGGAAGAGATCGCTTCCACCTATTCCAGGATTGTCAACTGCCGCTGTCCTAATAAGCTTTGTAACAAAACCTTGTCTGTGGTGGGTGGGTCTAACACAGGTCCTGGACAGCGCTTGCCGCGATGCACAACCATTTCCAAACTACAAGGACAAAAGCCCTCTGCTGCCATAGATCCATATCCGTTGCTCAAGTCACCTCTTGGCGCATGCATATGGCTCCATCCTACTTTTTTTTTTTTTTTTTTTTTTTTTTTTGATAACTGGGACCCACGATGTCGTGAGGGCTTATTAGAAATAGACTCTATAAATAGGTTGCCCTATTACTAGAGGCGCAAATAAAGCGTTTTCCAACAATCGGTCTTAAGCGCATCGTTAAACTGTCACTGTACAACATCCTATTCACAAACCACGTCAGCATGAGTGGTAACTCTTGGTCCCTACGGAACCTATGACGAGCCCTGCTCCTTACTTGGTCTGTTGTGCGCGAAAGTCATCTTCTAGCCGCAGTTCTCAGTCATCAAAAAACGACACCCTCCCAGCCGTTCCATTATTGTTAGTTCTAATTGTTGCCGACAGCTCCCTGCTACTCTTTGGTCAGCTTCCGTCCTGATCGCTTTCACGTCAGCTGCTCGTCGTTGTCTTAAAGTAGATCCTAAGAAATCACCTCTGCTACGTCTGTGCTGCCCAACACAGGTGCGTCCCCTGGCGCGTTTGCTCATAGAGGTGATGCCTTTAGTTCTTTCCCAGTCAACAGTGACTTTACAGCGTCTGTTCCAATCTCAGTCCTTCCGATTTCCTCGATAGCTTGATAAATCTGCAAACCGCATATTTTGCAATGGATGCGGTTGTCTTGAAAGTATCTTTCCAATTCTTGACCATGTCTTTCGGCACCAATCCATGATAAAGGTCTTGGTCTGTCCTGATGGCTCTCTCGCCGTCGCCATCTTCATCCTCTTCATCGACGTAATATAATCCGCCCGCCTGTCAATTTGCAGCAGCTCCAATGTACATGCCCTCCAATAACGCCCATTTCACCTGTTGCATATTTCGTATCTGATCACACGTACAAATGTAGACGTACAAAAGGATAACATTTTTTACATTCCTAACACTGCAGCCCTCCAGCCCACATAAATAGGATCTCAATTTTATATATAGGGAATGAATGAATAAATACTTGGATAATGTGGTGCTGCGATCCACATTCAATTCTCACTTATCTTTCAACTTCCAGTTATTATTTTCCATCACCTCTTCGCTTGCTGGCATGAACATTGGTCCCTTGCCAATCTGTTTCTGTCCTAATGCCTGTGCTCGACGCAACTTGTCCTCCCAAAGTTTTCTCTCCTTCGTTAGAGCCCTTTGTCCGTCGCAATTGATATTCTCAATCCTCTTGTCCACCCTTCCAACTGCTTGTCATCTGTGATAGGGGTGTTACCGTCGTGGATAATGTGCAGAGTCGCTTTCCAATCAATCTCTTTCCAATCTGTGATGTAGCGCTGGTCCTGTTCTGCACACTCCAGGTCGCATTCGTCCTGACAGCAGATCGTAGTTTCAGGAGTCGGCGAAAGGTCGTCCTCTATTACGTCTCCATTGAAGAAAGCGTGACATCTCAAGTCATTGTATTCCTGTTCCTTCAATTTCCACAGTTCACTAAAGTGTCCCTCCTTGGCTGCCTGATCAGCCTTTTCATTGCCTTTGTTGCCTGCATGTTCCTTAATCTAGACTACGGTGACTTTTCGGCCCTGTCGAACGATTGAATTATAAACTGCTGCCCACCATATAGCATAGGTTGAGTGAAGCCGTTGTCGTTCCATGCATCCCTCTCTTCCACTCACTAGGGTTTTGAACTGCGTAACTACTGCCATATTGTCTACATAGACTGTTGTTGGTACATTCCTTGGACTAATAAGTATTGCTGCGAATAGACCTGCCAGTTCTGCCTTGGTGGATGAGGCATAACCATCAGCTTTCCCAATTATTACTGCTGTGTATTTGTCCACATTCTCCTGTGCAACAACTCCAAAGGCCATCCGCGCTAAGCCCTTTCCTGCATTCTCTAACGATCCATCAGAGAATAAAGAGATTCTCTCCCTTCCTACTAACCGTTCTCTTTGCCTTAGAATTCTTTCCATGGCATCTTGTGGTACCACGACTCCGGTGTGGTCTGCTAGTCCTAGGCTAACGTTGGCTTGAGGTGCTTTATTACTCGCTGTCGGAACAGAGTCCAAATCCTCTTGTGCCATCCTACGTAACCGTCTGTCGAGGGCCTCTCCGTTGAGCTCACTTCATCCTCGTATGCTGGTGCGCAGCTGTGTCCTTCTTCTTGAACGTTTGGCTGCTTCTCGTCGTCTTTGTTCTTGGTGTACTCTCTCATGGACTTCCCTGCGAGCTTCCCTACGGGCTGCTTCCTGCTGGACTCGGCCCCTTTCGTACCTCTTGCGATGCATATGGCTCCATTCCACGCCTTTTTTCTTTTTTTTCGTGTTAACAAGAACCCACAGAGGCGAGGGATTTTATTTCATAATCTCGCTCTAAATTGATGATATCCCCCTCAACTATGAAACAAGCGAAACTCTCAAAGTTCGCACGGTATGGTTGTGAAGAGCCAATTCGTATCCATGTTTTTCTCTACCAATGTACACCGTGATCGGTACTCGAAGTCCATCCTTCCGATGTGGCCTGTTGCGCCCGTGAAAAGCCGCGGAGGCTGGCGTGCCGACTCTAGCTAAGGACGACTTTTAATTTTTTCTATTCGATCAAATCCACTGGCATGTGGACCCAAATCTTGCGGAATTGGTCTGAAATTTCTACTTTGGACTCCGTCAAACTTTGTGATCATCGCCGTCCTAGTCAAGTGGGTGGATGGGGGATGTGCTGCCAGATGTACCGCTGGTTCGGCTGGGGGGTGGAATATATACCTAAGACGTGTGGCCAGCCAGGCGACTTAGGGTAGTGCACCCACGATCTTAGCCTTAGCGGAGAACACTAAGCTGTCTCAGAGAGAAAGTATAATTTTTTTTTTTTTTTTTTTTTTTTGATAACAAGGACCCACGAGGTCATGTAGGATCTATTTAGATGTTAGCTCTATAAATGGGTTGCCCCATTACTGGGGTCGCAAATAAAGCGGTAGGCAAAGTCTCAGAAGATATTAGTAACAAAAAGGCAGCCTCAAAATGTGGACGAGGGAAGTAGACTGCAACAAAATAAGGATGAGAATTCCATGACTTTGCAAAAAGTATCGCCCAACGCGGGGGTCGAACCCGCAACTTTCAGATTAAAAGTCTGACACTCTACCGATTGAGTTAGCCGGGCTTCTTGATGGTTGGTGAGTACTCTAGACATTGATAAGTATATAAATGTACAATCACGTGGTATAAACTAGTTACCTTGGCTTGTGAGGCATATGGGCGCAGCAGATCGTGGCGTGGAATTGAGCCATATAACCCAATGGCTGAGTAGTATACTCGTCAGGGCACCCCCCTGTCTAGCCGGGACGCAACTGTGTTGGGAGGCACAGACGTAGCAGAGGTGAATTCTTTGGCTCTCACCAGGGACAACGACGAACAGCAGATGTGAAGGCGATCAGGACTGAGGCAGACCGGCGAGTGGCGGCAAGCTACCGGCAGCAGGTGGAATTGGCGATTATGGAGCGCCTGGAAAGCTGTAAATTTTTGATGATTGAGGACAGCGGCTAAAGGATGACCTTCGCGCACAACAGGCCAAGTAGGGAGTAGAGCCGTGCCACAGGTCCTCTGGGACCAAGGAAGTCTACTCAATGCTGACGTGGTTTATGAACAGGATGTAGTACTGTGGCAGTATGACGATGCGGCTTCGGCCGATTATTGGATACCGCTTTATTTGCGACCCCAGTAATGGGGCAACCCATTTATAGAGCTAACATCTAAATAAATCCTACATGACCTCGTGGGTCCTTGTTATCAAAAAAAAAAAAAAAAAAAAAAAAAAAAATCTTCTGAGACTTTGCCCCATGTTGAAATCCTCATGATTTAAATATGGTCCATTTTTTGATTTGCAACTCCTTGCTTCTGTGTTTGAGGAGATATATATATACGATTTCGCCACCAATGCCGAGGTTATAGTATTATGCCGATATGTATTATTTTACCATTATAAGTGTAGTTTTCAGTTTTAACTTCCATATCTATGAAGCTCTTGGTAAAACTCAGTTTGCCTTCTCGGGATCTCATATTCTGTTGCTGATAACGCCTCTTAGTATAGCTGCATGTATAAGTGGTACACGGTGAAAACACAACTCAATCCAATGATACATAGAAGATGTAAATTGACACTGCCCATCGGCTAACCTCATGCGAGAAGCTGTGGCGGTGTCAGCTCCAAGTCTCTATTAGCCACGTTGGATTCAAATATCATAAAGGTCAATACTTAATATTGCGATACTCCCAGGCCAGCAGTGCCGAACACGTCCACGCTGTAGGAAATGAGTGGATAGCTTTGAATTTTGTAGACCGCTATACCTTACACAATTACTTAGGAGGCTACTCACATGGACATAAATAGGAGATAAGAGTCTCATCAGAGAAATAATAGGGAGTTCTCTGGGAAAGCCGACTCTCGACCTTGTCTAACCTTTCTTCACGTACATCCTGCAAACCAACGATCTTATTTCGGTCCTGCAGAAATATAGGTTGGGCATGATAGCAATGGCTCGATGTGAATGCAAAACCAATCGAACTTCGTGGTTACTTGAGAACACGTTACCTTGATAATTAGTTGAGGGCGAACGTGAAAAAGAAATTAGCAGATAAGTGACAGAGAGAGGACTGAGGGAGATGGTAAAACGATGTGTGTAATATAAAAGATTGAAAAGTATGATTGTGATAGAGAGCGAAGCGCGTAGAAAAGCAAATGGCAGATTGACCCGCGCATATTAAATATTCCCACGCTAATAATGTCCTGAACATAAATTGAGGGTAAAAGATATATTTAGAGATGATCGACTAAGTGGCAAATACGATTAAACGTCGTCAAATGCTATGGAGAGATCCTGAAGATAGTCTACATTAAAATCTATTTGCCCCTTTTGAAGATAGTCTGCTATGCGGGATATCGGATGGACGTAATGTCTAAACACAACAATACTTCGAACACAGTTTACAGTGATCCTAAAAGCAACGACCATTTTGAATGACTTTGCTGCATAAATATATCAACTAGATCTGAGGAGAACACTATTATCGATCTTATTGCGGAAAATCTCTTAGTGTATTAGCAGCGTAGTGCTTATTTTCCAGTCTGTACACTGTCTATTTTTTTTACTTTTTTATTTTGTATTGAGAAGACAATTATGGTACAGGTTTACGGGAGAATGGAAGGATAAATGGAGGTTGAAATAAATAGACAAAGGTTATTGAATTCATTATATACCGCTGGCCTTTTTCTTTTTTTTTTTTTTTCTTTTTTTTTTAAACAGCACCACCATTATGGGCAACCATGGCCACCAATGCAGCACCAATGCATCCACCGTCGCGAGCAAGCTCGAGGCGAATACGAGAAGCGCGCTCTTGACCCAGGATCTCAGTCATAGATTCCATCATACTATGAGAGAAATGAGGGTATTTCTCAAAAACAGATCCATCAATGCCAATCGTGGTAATTTCGTTAGGGTCATCCAGCTGGACAGAGGCACCGTTAGCCTTGTATAGAAGGGCAACACAGGCAGCAGCAGTCATCAAAGCAGAGCGCTTTCCAACAGCATGAACCAACTCATAGACACGTGTGCGGTCCTGGCTGGTCAAGCCTTCAATACCGAAGCTGGTCTTAAAGACTTTATCAACACTGGTATGGTCAGGAGTATGGTCGGACTCAATGGTCGACATGAACAAGGTCTTGAAGGCAAGACGGTGGCTAAGGCTTTCAGGGACCTTGCCACCCAAGAATTCAAAGATGGCATTCTGTTCAATGAGATCAACAAGGGCCAAACGGACGAGTTCTCCCAAGTAGAGGCCAGAAATCATCTTCTCAAACTCCTGGAATCCAGGGACAAGGGACACAGCATCGATCTGCTTATCATACTTGGTCTGGGGGAGGTATGAGGCTTTACCCATGGCATCCCACTCGGTGTTCAAAATCATCTGGTCACAGGGAGGACCGTTATACTTGGACACTTCTGAGGCACGCTCAATGTAGGCAGCGTTGGTACCAGTGGCGAGGATAACGCCGATCTTGGTCGAGGGGGAGACATAGGCATGGGAGACAAGGGTTCCAACAGTGTCATTGATGATAGCCGAAACTTTGACATTAAGACCCTTGCGGGTAAATCCATCCTCAAGAAGATCCTTAAGGTCCTTTCCCATCACGTCTGAAAGGTTGAAGCCTTTGCCCATGGCCAAAACTTTGCCGCGATTAATGGCAGTTTGCCTATTTAATTTTGTTTAATTTTTTTTAGCAATGGAAAAAAAAGAATCGATTAGAATTTGTTTCCTTCCTTTGAAACAAAACAAAATAAGGGAAAACAAAAACAGAAATTAAAGCAAAAGGACTTACTGGATAGCAAAGGAGAAAGTGACGCCCATCTGAAGTTCAGCGTTGCCCATATCAAGGGCAACGGTCTTCAAGAGTGCAGCAGTGCAATCAGCAATCCAGTCAAACATCGCTTCACCAGTTCCAGTCTTGAGTTCCTGGGTGATTTCGTGTTTCTCCATGGTGACACCAACCTGTCCGTCGCCGAGCAAGTGAACTGCAGCAGTACGCAGGTTCGTGCCGCCCATGTCGATAGCAAGATAGAGGCCAGTCTCCTTACCAGTAGGAAGACGGGTGATGAAAGAAGGCTGCTGGGTGATGTTCTTGGGGTCGTTGGTGGAAAGACCCTCGACAAGCTCCTCAGTCAAACCATTGATGATATTCTGGACCTGCTCCTTAGAGAGAACGAACTGTTGGACGATGTCTTGGAAAAAGGTGGCAGTCATGGCTAATAAAAGAATGGGTGAATGAAAGAAGAATGAAGGAATACAAGATAAAAAAAGAGAGAGAATGAGGTAAAGAGTAGAGGACTAAAGGAAAAGGGAGGATGGAATGAGGAGTGAGAATGGAGATGATGGAAGAAGAAAAGGAGAGAAACGGGGGAAAGTTGTCCAATAAATATGCACTGTTTTTACTGTGACAGGGCAGTAGAAACACTTCTTATTTAAAATTCCACGATTCAATTGGTCTCCACGCGTGAGCTGCGTATTCATGTCTCCCATACAGATAATGCCCCACAAGGCACAAATAAAATGAGAGGAAATACTTTATGTAAACAATGCACAGATTACTGAACTGATAACGGAAGATTTAATAATTATGTCTATACCACAGTACATGTACATGATGTCCTGCTTTTTTACTCAGAGGATCTACATGTGTATTTACAGTGGGTTTTCGCGAGCCTTTTTGTATTTGTTGCAAAAAATCAACCTTGTAACTTGATCAGATGACCATGGACGACCATTGCCAACATTATCATAAAAGAGATAGAAGGAATGCTATTCATTTCCTTCATTCTGAATTACAAGTCGTTTTTCAACTTGGATGAACCCACAAACATTATTTTCATATCTTTTCCTCATGACCTCTCACATTGGTCGTACAGGTCATCATCATGGAGAAACTTTTTCTTTTATATACCAAGAAACATTCCTTTTGTGAGATAGCCGTCAATCTCTTTACCAGGATGCAAACTCAAAATAAATTAGTAAGCATACAAGAGAAAAAAAAGAAAAGAAAAAAGAGAGAGAAAAGAAAAAAAAACATAGACACAAAAAAAAAAAAGAGAAAAAAAATTAATAGTGATATATATATTACAAATGTATCCATCCATTCTACAGCAACAATTCTTGATACCATTTGTGTTACTTTACAGCAGAGAAAAGAGGGACTCATGAACAGTATATAGTACATGTATATAATTCTAGAAGCAAAGAGCACAACGATTGTGCCTTGGATGGAAGGAGGAGCTATTACACCTTACAAAAGGTGTTCAGTAATCTTCAAAAGAAAGATTCATGCTCCTTGTTACACACGTTGGCACTTTGATGACAATCAGACGCATAACAGAATTCAACTTGCAACTGAATATTGATTGAACAAATAAATCTAAATTGCCCACAGTAAGAAGGTTTTGAGAGCTGCAAGGCTCTGCCACACGCCTTCCGTTGTTTGATCTTATCGGAACTTTGATCTCTCTCACCCACTCAAACCAACGGAAACGTAGTAAAATGTCAAAAACAAAAAAAAGTTTCGATCGTTATCCCCTTAAAACGCCCCTATTCAGTAAGGACATTAGACATATATTAAGCAAATGTTCGGTACGCTCTTCATATATTCACAAATAAACAGGTCACGTAATAATCAGGACTATGCACAAAAACACTTTATTTTTATATGATATCTCGATTGTGGCACAGGCACGTTTTGTTGCACAAGATTTCATGATAAAACGGAAAAAGAATTTTCTCTTGTCGAGACAAATGCAAGGACTAACACCTCTGTGGGTTCTTGTTAACAGGAAAAAAAAAAAAAAAAAAAAAAAAAATGCAAGGACCAACGCCCCATTAAACATGAGATGGCTAAGATGCATAGAATAAGCAACTCTTCATTGTGAATAGTACGTGATGTATGCAGATTTGATTTCAGGAAAATTCAGCCTAGTTGGCACATATCATGCAACCTAGTTCTTTGACGATCATTAACTGATATACTAGTAGTATAAGTCTTTCTTCTCTCCCTCTTTTTATACATGTAGGATAAAGCATTCTTAGTTTGCAATAGCATCTTGAGTGTTGAATTCGACACCAGTATGATAAGCGCGATCAATCAGTATAAATAATAAATTATAATAAAAGTGAAAGTATTTATTCAATTTAACTTTTTTACACATAAAAGTGTTTTGAAGCAAACACAGAAGGCACACCGTGTTGGAAAGGGGAAAAAGAATCATGAAAATTGAAGATAAACCATTAGACAAAGCCTCAAAATTTCTCTACAGCCTCAACATCTATCGATTTCAGGTCGACTTCCTCGCCAGCAACAAAAACTCGCTTTACATATAAGTCGTCTGACAAGAAGACCAAGTCAGCGTCCGCGCCAGGCTTGATTACACCTTTGGTGTCTTGAATGCCTAGTAGGGTTGCGGGATGGAGCGTTACGGCCTCGAGAGCCTCGACCAACGAGCAATGGGTAAATTTGATAAAATTGCGAACGCATGCATCCAGAGTGATCACACTAGAAGAAGGGCAACAGAGATCGCCGTCGGCATTAAGATCAGTACATGCTTTGATGACATCCATCTGGGTTTGGTTCTCATTCCTATCCTTATTGCCGTTAGGAGGATGACATCCGCAGTCGCTCATTTCCCGTTGAACATCTTTACTGCCAAGCTGATGACCTGCTGCTTCGGAAGCTTGATAGTCGTAGTAATGAAGATGACCCCTATCTTGATTTTGGTCCTTAGGGTCATGCTTTTGGTTTTCTAACTGCTCTAGCTCGGGCCCTTTCTCATCATGCGTGAATGTCTCTCGGGTCCCAGTGCTGTCGACCATGGAGACCCCATCGAGATCGTCATCATCTTCGTCCGTAAGGTGAAGTGTGATGATTCTTAGGCTGTGTTCTGAACCTTCATGTTCCTCGCAGTGCTCATAAACGTCATGCTCGTCATATTCATGGTAATGGGTATAGTGAGTCGTAGAAGTTTCCCATCCGTGAGCCGTAGTCTGGGTGCTGAGAGAAGAGTAAAAGAACTCAGAGGGTGGGAGCTGGTGAATATCACTGGAAGAGCCTGGAGTCATCTTGAGCGGAGACAGTGGCGTCGAGCCCGGGGGCGTAGGGAGAAAGCCATCATCGTGTACTTCGATACAGCCTTCATCCGATGGAGATATGGGGCTCACAACTCTGGTTGCAGCTGCCTCAATAGCAGATTTTCGATCTAAATCCAGCTTCAAGTCCTCAGCACTTTTGTCACCAAGATGCTTAAGTCGATGGTCATTTCGCTCCTCATTATGTTTGCGGGCATGAGTGAGGTGATGGGTGTAGATACCATCTGACGCTCTGTGATAGCCGCCATGTGTAAGGAAAAAAATAGTTTTGAACGAAAGATCAAAACGAGGTATAAACATCTCGCCCAGTATATATATACTCCCTGCACTTCCTTTCATTCTGCTCCATGCCCTTTTCTTGGTTACACACTGCCACGCGTTCCCATTCATCCTTCCATTCATCTCTTCTATTTCTCTTTCCTTTTAACAGCCTGATGCAAACTATAACTCAAACACATACCTTCCAGCGAGCGTTTCGGTACCTTCAATATACACGCGATCATCTTCTTTTGTGACACTCATGTTCCCAAGCTGGTAGTTGCCAAGTGGGAGGCCCATGGCAGACATGGCATCTGTGATCAATATGGCGCCCTTAGGGTGTGAGTCATACGCAATCTTGACAGAGTTTGGGTGAACATGGATGCCATCGCAAATAAGACCATAGTATGGGCGTGGCAGGTCTAATCGAGAACCCAACAATCCAATAACACCAGGATCACGATGATGGAACTGGGACATAGCATTGAATAAGTGCGTAATAAAAGTCGCACCATTCTCTACGGCTCGCTCGGCCTGCGAAATGTTTGCCATGGAATGACCTAAAGCAATAATAATATAATTATTATTGTTAAACTTGTGTTAGGATTATTCATATTAAAATGTAAGACCCGTTCATGCAGCGTATCATATGGCTTTACCGACGGAGACAGTGATACCAGCCTTCACAAGGTCAGGGATAGTATCCATGACACCTTCGAGTTCTGGAGCGCAGGTGATGATTTTGATGCAGTTCAAGTCCTTATCACTCAGCTTTCTTTGGGCTTCAGGTGTCTCTCCTTCTAATCCATAAACTTCCTTAAAGTTTTTGTAGCCGTCATTCGCAGACGCTTGAAGGACTTTAAGCTCATGGGCCCCAATGCGTGCCTTGTTGATAAAGGGTCCCTCAACGTGAGCGCCGAGGATCGTGGCACCAGTCTCAGCTGAACCAGCTCGGAGCTTGAGATGTGGAAGAACCTATAAGGTATAGTCCATATTCAAGAAATATCTGTGTGAGTGTATATGAAAGGACTGCACGTAGACTTGTTAAGTTGGATGTGGGGGTGAGTAGGACGAATTATTGATTGATGCATAGAATGATCACAAACAATATCCGACCTGTCAACAAAGATCAAAGTTATTTATTTGCTTACCCTGTGATAAACCGAGGAGCTGGAGGAGACGATGGTAGGGCAGTAAGAGGTTGTGCCGTACTTGAGTAAGCCCCGATTGACCTTCAGCAGACCCTTTTCATAAATGTCATGGTCCATAGGCACCGAAAAGTCGACTCCGAACGCCCCTGCATTAATGCAAATGAATAGAGAGTGGACAGATTTTACATTAGTTGATATTCAAAGCTTAATAGTAAAGCAATATAGATATAACATAGTACGTGCGATAACTGTAGGAATGCTTTGTGGTTTATAGGGCTTTGTGCATCTGTGAAATAACACATGAGCATTGCATGGCGAGATAATGCAGAATTAAGAGGACACAACATTACAGATGCAATAAAATGAATTGCACCTTACTAATGTGCTCATAATAAATAATAAACAAACAAACAGACACAAACAATACAAACTGAACACAACGATGCAACAAAATCTTGATAAAAATTAAGATAAAAGTAAAAAAGTCAAAAAAGGCGCTAATAGTCAGGGGAAGGACAATAACAGAGAGAAGAGAATACATCTGGGGAATAGTATATGTTATATATCTGCAATGCGGAATATGCTTGGATAAATAAACATTCAATTCGGGAAAGAGCCTATCCTGTTCACCAAACATTCGCAGAAGGCGTAGAGAGAGGGGAGAGGACAAAGATTGCAGCGACGACCACTTGTTATTAAAAATTAATAAGAACAAAAAAAAAAGAAGATTGTACGGCAAGGAGAGGAAAGAAAATCCATTCCGTCGAGGCGACTAAGTGTTACTAGGTATTGTGTGTTTGTTTGTTCTATGAGAAGTGTGTGAGGACAGGAGCATTGAATTGATTGAATTATACAAGGGTACAGTGAGAAAGAGCCAAGACAAGTAAATAGGAGGACTAGACGAAGTTTACTACCGGCATCATGCTGAAGAGCATGGCCAATGACAAGCATCGTTATGCGAAGAGGGAACGCACCGTGCTGTACTTATAGCGCAAAATCAAAAAGTGCTGCCAGATACAGCGCCCAACACGTGCTTATTGGACTATTTCACATATATAATTGTTACTAAAAAAAGCAAGCGGCCAGGTGTGGATGAAATGGATGTGCATTAAATAAGTCTTGTTATTTCCTTTTTTTTATTACCGTTGATTTGGGCTTCAATGAAACCTGGGGCGATAATGAGGCCCTCTGCATCAAGGACTACGTCAGGAAGCCGCTTTTGGTACCAAAAGAACTTGTGTGGGTCGATGATCTTGCCGCTTTGGATCCAAATAGCATCTTTCTCTACAATCTTATGGTCCCTTAGAATGCGGCAGTTGATGATTTTTGTAACTTTGGGTTCATTCTCTGAAGGAGGAATAGGAATAGGAGTGTCGGGTTCAGGCGAAAGGGGAGAAGAGTAGTGCTGAAGAGCTAGTGGGTACTGCATCATTGGCTACTGGGGCAAATAGTAAAAAAAAATCAAGACAAGCAAGGGCAACGGATGAGAGAAGCAGCGATTGCCAAAATATCCTAAATCGTTAAAGTATTGGAAAAGAAAGCAGAGAGGTATGCGCAGATCTGAGAGATGAGAAGCGTAAGAAAAGAGTTTCTCAGCGAGGGAATAAGAGTAGAAGACGTATGGCCCAGCAAGAAGTAGAGGTGTGACCGGAGGTAAAGAAGGAAAGGAAAGAGAAAGTAAAGTGTATGCGGGATGAAATATGTATAATGCGTTCTGTAAATTTGCACATGAATGCTGCGTGCTTCCTGCCATGAATTCAAAAGAAAAGGGCTCCGGGATACATATATCAGCCAAAAATATTAAAAACTTTTATGATAATATATTCCCCGCAAACATGTCAAGGCCACATTTTCTGGACTGGTATACATAATTCGATGCCCTTGTCTAGTATAACCTAATGAATACACACACTTTAAAACAGTGCCAATGATGAATAGTATGAGCATTCCTACTCTTTCTCTCAAATAATCGGGCTAGACACATTCTGCTTGCCCTTACTGAGCCATATGGATATACCGTCCGTTCAAATAATCCAGGGCAATAAAGACATATTCAAAGGCGTCTTCGCTATTATTATATTTAGCAAAATATTAACTGATGATCAAGATAAGAGATTGTGCCTCAACTCTGACATAAACCTTTTGTATCATTATTGAAGTGCATAACTATAATATTGGAAAGCTTATGATCATAGGTTCTAACCATTCACAGCGTCAGTTGAGAATTAGCAGTTGTACTAAGTTTATTTATTAAAAATAGTTTTAAAATGCTTTGGCTTTTTTGTAACTCATCCAATCATGATCATCCTGTAATTTGTATTTGTCTAAATACTGCCTGTATTCTAGAAAAGATATAACGCGTCTCACAATCTAACCCTTTGCGGCACGCCTCTATGACTTACTACAGAGAAAGCCGCAAGGACGCTTAAGAGACTTGGCTTCAACAGGGGTGTCCTTCTCTTGGCTGGAAGCATATTTCTGAGAAGTATTTGAACGGGGGCAGTGAAAGCCGCTGCATTTGGCTTCAACAGGAGAGACATCGCTCGCCTTAGCCACGATTGGAGCAGCTAAAGATCAAATAAAGATGGTAACGTTGAGGAGGACAGATGACAGACAGAGGGAAAGTGGTAATAAATCGAGCGTTTAGCATATTTGGGTAGTGTACAAATACAACACATTTAGGCACAAACATGAACATGCACGTAGACAGACGTAAAGATCTTACCTTTTGACATAACCAAGGCGGCAGCGGCCACGGAAAGAGCAGCGATGATTGAGAGCTTCATGGTGTGGGATGGGTGGTGGAGACCTGAGGAACTTTTTGTAGTGTGGTAAAATGTGATGAAAAAAAGAGCGTGAATGTGTCTTCTTTTATACGAGAAAACATGTGTAGTAAACTAGTTGACTCGCTGAGCTTGACAGATCGGGCAATAAATTGCAGTCTACGGATCTACAAATAAAGAACAGAGCGTTTGCACATGTACTGACTGAGACTTTGAGGAACAGAGTCAGAACGTTTGATTCGCACAATTTAGGTTGTGCGTCATTTGACACAAGTGGAGCAGTATGCCAAATACTCAATCATGAAAATCTAGTCGTCATGCAAAACGAGACATGAGCTCATGGTAGAATGGGAGAATGGGCAAACATAGCTCACTTATATAGGATAATTGAACTAGGAAGCATACTCATATTATAAACCCAAGCAGGCAAACCTGGCTGCCTTTGCTACCACTATGGTGCTCAATGCATTTACTTTTGAAATACTCAATAAGGATTTTTGCCAAATGCCCTGTATTTACTTGTATCGCCCATTTCATTTGGTCGCGATCCCATATAACTTTAATCTAAAAAACGATGATTGAATTGGTCTTAGTGGCGTCTCACTGCCCGATGAACTTGGAACAAGCGATTTAATTGGCTGCCAATATACTTGAGAGTATTCAAAAAATATAGGGGATCGCGACCAAATGAAACGATATATACGAACTTTGTAGGGAAATGACAATAACTATATTAGGTCTGTTCTAATGAGTCCAATTTGACAATGCACTCAAGAATGCCTTGCTTGAGTTAGAAGTTGTAGTCTTATATTCTATTGGCCCTAGGTTTCATCAAAAGATGAAAATACCCACTTATCCAGGACTACGAGAGGCTAGGTCGTGCACTGTAAACGCGATTCCACCCATCGCTATGTAATAAGGTATCGAGTGGCCCTTTCTCCACAACAAATGCAGCTTAGAGCTAAAACCTAGCAACGTAGTGGATTAGTGAAACATACAGAAGCTTCGGTAGCAAATCACAACTTCTGATAAAGATCTTTAAAACTCTTCAAATTTGCCGAGAAGCAAGGAATGTCGATAGAGATTGCGAACTGTTAATAATCGCGGTGTTTACCATGCTGAACAGGGGTCATAATACACCCAAATAGCAGGCCTTCAAAAATGACGTTTTATTAGCTATTGGTGTATGAAAGCTCGATAGGGCCAGGGTTGCCCCATTACTGGAGTCACAAATAAAGCGGTATTCAATAGCCAGCCGTGGCCGCATCCTCGTACTGCCACGATACAACATCCCGTTCATAAACCACATCAGCATTGAGTAGATTTCCCCGGTCCCCTGGAGACTTTATCTCTATAAACGACAGCGCTATAAAGCTGATGAAATATCTAGTCTAGAATGTACTTGATGTCCCATCCTCCGAAGAGGATCGCTTTACGATCGCCATAAGTCTAGTCATATACCCTCGGTAAGCCCTTCGGGCGCCGCGCGACTATTGCCACGGCTCATCACCGTGCTTAACGTCGAAGACATACCGTTGCAGGATAGGAATCGTCCCCATCCTTTTCATGGTTGCCAACCGCCGCTGTCCTAGCAGGCTCTGCAACAGAACCTTGCCTGCGGCGGGTGGGTCTAACGTAGGTCCTGGACAGCGCCTGTCGCGATGCGTATCCATTGCCGTATTGCAAGGACAAAAGGCTTCTGCTGTCATTAAGCTATATCCGTTGCTTCAGTCACCTCTTGGTCCAGTGTGTGGTGCACGCTTCTGCCTCAGTCTCACACCTCAATCCTTCTCCTTAGTAATGGTTTCCTTAAAGCGTGGGTTCCAAATCAACTCCATAGCCTGCTGCTCAAGGTAGCCAACGAACTTGTGAATCACTTTACGAGCGATAGATCGCGCTGTGCAGAACAGAGAACCCATTCGTTTATTAAATCAAGTGGTGAGTATGGAAGCTTTACCTTTTTTTTTTTTTTTATTTTAGCCATTAAGGGTCTTTCTCTATCGCGCATTTCTGAGCAGCGACGACATTATGTTTGAACTATAATGCCAGGGTAGATGGTTGGATTAATGTCTGTTTCGTCTACCGTTTGGCCGTCGTTTTTTTATTTTTTTTTTATTTTTTGATAACAAGGGCCCTCAGGGATTTATTCTCTACACTCTATGAACAAAATACTCCAGAAACTATAGTCAATAAACGGCTATTACTGCACAAACGACAAGAGCCGCTGTATCCATGATTCCATAAACCCTGACCGCCGTGGTTGGTACTCAAAGTCCACCTTTCCGACGTGGCCTGTTGCGCAACACGACAAATTATCCGCTATCCATAGTCATCAAAAGCTTCATTCCACTTAGCCGCTCCATCACGTCCAGTTTGGTTTCCCAAGGTAACTGTCCCGGACTCGGTCATCCGCGATCTTGTAGATCTCTTTTACATTCAGCTTCTGTCTTTGTCTGAGGGAAGGGACAAGGAAATCATTGCTACTACGTCTGTACTCCCCAACACAGTTGAATCCTCTGGCGCGTTTGCTCATAGCAGTGATTCCACGAGCCTTTTCCCATTCAACGGTGACTTTACACCGTTTGTTCCAGATTTCTGTACGACCGAATTCCTCTATGGCCTTGACGAAGCGCCCTGCCATATATGTAGCTATCCTTGTTGTTGTCTTGAAGCCAACTTTCCAACTCTGAGCAATGGACTTGGGCGTAAGTCCATGGTAAATGTCCTGCACAGACCAATCTGGTGTGTGCTCTCTCTCTTCCTCATCATCGCCGTTCCTATCACCATGGCGTCGTACTTCTCGCACACCATCGATATGCATCTCCAGAGTCCCCCAAATGTAGTCCTCCTCTGCCGCAGTAAAAGTTGGCTCTTTTGTCCTTGGTGGGTCTACACCTCTCTCTCTGGCCCTTTGTGCTTGCTCCTGCACTGCTTTCAACTCTTTCCTTCATGTCCTCTCCCCTATCACATTCACATTTTGGATTATCTCCTTCCACTTCTCGGCCTGAGTCTCCATCGTCCTTGGACATCTCCAGATGTGCGATGTGTCTTCATCCTCTGTCCCACACACTCTGCAGTTGCCGTCTTCATAAAGGTCTGGCCTCCAGTGTCTCATATATGATTGTGTAGGCAGCATTCCATGCAGTTTCTTGATCCTGTGCGCTCGCTTTTGGCAGTCCGCTGGGCTGGTGAAGAGTCCTTTCGGTAGGTTGCTATCATGAACAATGTTCATAGTAGCTCGCTAATCAATTTTTGTCCAATCCTTAACATGCTCCTGCGTCCTGTTCTGAGCGATCCACGTGTGATGTGTACGAGTTGTTGACTGTAACTTAAGGATCTGCCTTAAGTCATCTTCCGCTGGTACATCGTTGAACTTTGCATGGCAGTACATGTCATTATGCTCCGTTATGTTGATATCCCATAGCTCGCCATAATGTCCATGTTTTGCTGCTTCGTCCGCTTCTTCGTTCCCTCGGTTGCCGGCATGTCCTTTGACCCACTCGACCGTGACTTCCGATCCTTGTTGAATAAATGCGTTGTGTATAGCTGCCCACCATACTGCATACGGTGATCTAATACGTTGTCGCAACGTGCTATCCACTCTGCCTCGGACCAATGCTCGGAATTGAGTCACAACTGCGCTGTTATCAAGTCGAATTGTCATAGGTCTGTTTCGTGGGCTGATAAGTATTCCTGCCAACAAACCAGCTAGCTCTGCCTTTGTCGAGGATGCGTTGCCTGCTACTCTACCAGATAGCGCAGTGTAAAAATCACCCTCTTGTGTCTGGACTACTACACCAAATGCCATACTTACTCTGAGAGATCCATCCGTATAAATGACATTACCTGGCTGGATATTGTACTGTTCCCTTTGGCGTTGGATTTCCTCCTCGGTATTGGCACTAATGATAACTCCATTTGTGTCCCTGGCTAGGTTGGGCGTATTGAGCCGGATTTTTTTTCTTTTTTTTCGTGTTAACAAGAACCCACAGAGGCGAGGGATTTTATTTCATAATCTCGCTCTAAATTGATGATATCCCCCTCAACTATGAAACAAGCGAAACTCTCAAAGTTCGCACGGTATGGTTGTGAAGAGCCAATTCGTATCCATGTTTTTCTCTACCAATGTACACCGTGATCGGTACTCGAAGTCCATCCTTCCGATGTGGCCTGTTGCGCCCGTGAAAAGCCGCGGAGGCTGGCGTGCCGACTCTAGCTAAGGACGACTTTTAATTTTTTCTATTCGATCAAATCCACTGGCATGTGGACCCAAATCTTGCGGAATTGGTCTGAAATTTCTACTTTGGACTCCGTCAAACTTTGTGATCATCGCCGTCCTAGTCAAGTGGGTGGATGGGGGATGTGCTGCCAGATGTACCGCTGGTTCGGCTGGGGGGTGGAATATATACCTAAGACGTGTGGCCAGCCAGGCGACTTAGGCTGTCTCGGAGAGAAAGTATAAAAACTCAAGCAGATCCCTGACCTGGCACATGTTTGCTTCACTTTATGTGCCTTAACCAGGACTCGAACCCGGCCCCTGGGCTAGACAGGGGGGTGCCCTGACGAGTATACTACTCAGCCATTGGACTATGGGCCGCGCCGGAGCCGACAATTTTTTTTTTTTTTTTTTTTTTCTTCTCTAAAAGCTTTACCCTGGTTATACTTACCATTACGTCACTTATTAGATTTTAAGCACTTATATGATATTTATCCAGTATGCCCTGTCGTAGAGCATCTACTAGTGATCTCTGGAAACTAGTAGGTAATGATAAAAAATGAAGAATTGGGCAAGAGCCTCGTGGTTTTGGGATACGATAGTGATCCTAAGTAATGCTTTGAATGATTTTGAGGATGCTGCAAAAGGGCATCGATAATAAGAAGAGAGATCTTTAATAACTGCTAATTTTCTGAGAATTCATAATGAGAATAATGAAGATAAACTCACCTGCAAAAGGGCATCGATAATAAGAAGAGAGATGCCGTTTTTGCAGTGAAGGAAAAAGCTACTTAATTTTTTTTTTTGATAACAAGGACCCTCAGGGTCATGGGATTTATTTTCTACATTCTATGAACAAAATGCTCCAGAAACTATAGTCAATAAACAGCTATTACTGCACAAACGACAAGAGCCGCTGTATCCATGATTTCATAAACCCTGACCGCCGTGGTTGGTACTCAAAGTCCACCTTTCCGACGTGGCCTGTTGCGCAACGCGACAAATTATCCGCTATCCATAGTCATCAAAAACTTCATTCCACTTAGCCGCTCCATCACGTCCAGTTTGGTTTTCCCAAGGTAACTGTCCCGGACTCGGTCATCCGCGATCTTGTAGATCTCTTTTACATTCAGCTTCTGTCTTTGTCTGAGGGAAGGGACAAGGAAATCATTGCTACTACGTCTGTGCTCCCCAACACAGTTGCGTCCTCTAGCGCGTTTGCTCATAGCAGTGATTCCACGAGCCTTTTCCCATTCAACATTAACTTTACACCGTTTGTTCCGGATTTCTGTACGACCGAATTCCTCTATGGCCTTGACGAAGCGCCCTGCCATATATGTAGCTATCCTTGTTGTTGTCTTGAAGCCAACTTTCCAACTCTGAGCAATGGACTTGGGCGTAAGTCCATGGTAAATGTCCTGCACAGACCAATCTGGTGTGTGCTCTCTCTCTTCCTCATCATCGCCGTTCCTATCACCATGGCGTCGTACTTCTCGCACACCATCGATATGCATCTCCAGAGTCCCCCAAATGTAGTCCTCCTCTGCCGCAGTAAAAGTTGGCTCTTTTGTCCTTGGTGGGTCTACACCTCTCTCTCTGGCCCTTTGTGCTTGCTCCTGCACTGCTTTCAACTCTTTCCTTCATGTCCTCTCCCCTATCACATTCACATTTTGGATTATCTCCTTCCACTTCTCGGCCTGAGTCTCCATCGTCCTTGGACATCTCCAGATGTGCGATGTGTCTTCATCCTCTGTCCCACACACTCTGCAGTTGCCGTCTTCATAAAGGTCTGGCCTCCAGTGTCTCATATATGACTGTGTAGGCAACATTCCATGGAGTTTCTTGACCCTGTGCGCTCGCTTTTGGCAGTCCGCTGGGCTGGTGAAGAGTCCTTTCGGTAGGTTGCTATCATGAACAATGTTCATAGTAGCTCGCCAATCAATTTTTGTCCAATCCTTAACATGCCCCTGCGTCCTGTTCTGAGCGATCCAAGTGTGATGTGTACGAGTTGTTGACTGTAACTTAAGGATCTGCCTTAAGTCATCTTCCGCTGGTACATCGTTGAACTTTGCATGGCAGTACATGTCATTATGCTCCGTTATGTTGATATCCCATAGCTCGCCATAATGTCCATGTTTTGCTGCTTCGTCCGCTTCTTCGTTCCCTCTGTTGCCGACATGTCCTTTGACCCACTCGACCGTGACTTCCGATCCTTGTTGAATAAATGCGTTGTGTATAGCTGCCCACCATACTGCATACGGTGATCTAATACGTTGTCGCAACATGCTATCCACTCTGCCTCGAAGGAAAAAGCTACTTAAATTTTTTTTTTTTTTTTTTTTTTTTTTTTTCCTGTTAACAAGAACCCACAGAGGTGAGGAATTTTATTTCATAATCTCGCTCTAAAGTAATGATATCGCCCTCAACTATGAAACAAGCGAAACTCTCAAAGTTCGCACGGGATGGCTGTGAAGAGCCAATTCGTATCCATGTTTTTCTCTACCAATGTACACCGTGATCGGTACTCGAAGTCCATCCTTCCGATGTGGCCTGTTGCGCCCGTGAAAAGCCGCGGAGGCTGGCGTGCCGACTCTAGCTAAGGACGACTTTTAATTTTTTTCTATTCGATCAAATCCACTGGCATGTGGACCCAAATCTTGCGGGATTGGTCTGAAATTTCTACTTTGGACTCCGTCAAACTTTGTGATCATCGCTGTCCTAGTCAAGTGGGTGGATGGGGGGGATGTGCTGCCAGATGTACCGCTGGTTCGGCTGGGGGGTGGAATATAAACCTAAGACATGTGGCCAGCCAGGCGACTTAGGGTAGTGCACCCACGATCTTAGCCTTAGCGGAGAACACTAGGCTGTCTCGGAGAGAAAGTATAAAAACTCAAGCAAATCCCTGACCTGGCACATGTTTGCTTCACTTTATGTGCCTTAACCAGGACTCGAACCCGGCCCCTGGGCTAGACAGGGGGGTGCCCTGACGAGTATACTACTCAGCCATTGGGCTTAGGAAAAAGCTACTTAAATACTATTTAAAAATGGTAGAAAATAGGATGATAGGAAATAAATAAATTGAAAGGAAATACATATTTAGGTAAATGAATAGGCGTCATTTACGACAGCCCACACAAATTGGAGAGATGGCCGAGTTGGTCTAAGGCGCCGCGTTAAGGCCGCGGTCTATTCGTAGGCGTGGGTTCGAATCCCACTCTCTTCACTATTTTTGCTATACGACTTCTTCATGTCTTGTGACTGTTAATATAGTGGAGTGTGTGTATATTTACCTGAACTGGTAATTTTTACCTTTCAACTGCCTTTTTACACTTTTTTCTTTTCTCTTTTTTCCTGGTAGAAATATGGCGTGGAACGCAGGAAAGACAGGGTCCAATACTACACCATTGGGGCCACGTAAACGTATGATTGGCGAGGTCAATAATCAACAGGATTTCTATTCTAATGATCAAAATGCCCGCGGGCGCTCAGCTGAAGTTTCTGACAGATCATCCCTTTCAGGTTCATTGACTCCCGGTGGAAGCGATGCAGCTGCACCTAAAAATGAGAGTATGGAGTATTTCTGTCAAGTGTCTGGGCGGTATATTGTATTGTGACATTCCAATTTTTTTTTTTTAATGGGATTCGTTTACATTAACTGTTGTTTTTGCTTATTCATCTTTTCAGATGGTACTGAAGAACCAAGACGCAAGCGCAAGAGCCGCTGGGCTGCAGAAGATGAGAAGGTTACTATTCCAGGCATGCCAACTGCACTGCCTACCAACATGACGGAAGAGCAGCTGGGCATGTTTTTGTGTAAGTTGTTTTTTTTTTTTTTTTTTTTTTTTTTTTTTGTTTGTTTGCAAGGAGTAAATATTTTCTAACGCTTTTTTTTTTTTTTTTTTTTTTTTTCTATAAAAAACTAAAACCCAAAGTGCATACCAGACTTGAAGAGATTTCTAAGAAACTGAAAACCGGAGATGTTTTGCCGCCAGCAGATCGCGAGAGGTACATATCGTATTATGAATATGAAAGAAGCATTAGGCACTGGGTATCCTCCTTGCTCCACTATTTTATATAATATATATTAAACTACTATTTTTGCACTTTATCATATCTGAAAACCAGATCAAGATCTCCGGAACCAGTTTATAACTCTGAGGGTAAGCGTGTCAATACACGTGAGTATCGATACCGTAAAAAGCTTGAAGATGAGCGACATCAATTGATTGAAAGCGCTATCAAGAAATATCCGGATTTCCGACCTCCAGCCGATTACAAGCGACCCACAAAGACTATGGATAAAGTATACATTCCAGTGAAAGAATTCCCTGAGATCAACTTCATTGGACTTTTAATTGGACCCCGTGGTAATACGTTGAAGAAGATGGAAAGTGAATCGGGCGCCAAAATCAGTATTCGCGGTAAAGGGTCTGTTAAAGAAGGAAAAAGTCGATCCGATTCAGCATCTAGTGCAAACCAAGAAGAGGATCTTCATTGTTTAGTTTCTGCGGATTCAGAGGACAAAGTGGCCAAGGCTATTCAGCTCATCAACAAGATTATTGAGACGGTATGCATTGGATCTTTTTTTTCTCTTGCAACAAAGTATTCAAATATTGCAAAAAAATGGTATGTTGGGTTTACTCATATTTATATATGTTATGCTTAATATATTAACACTATTTTTATGACAATTAGTCGGCTTCTGTCCCGGAAGGCCAAAACGAACTGAAGCGCATGCAGCTTAGGGAATTGGCATCTTTGAACGGAACACTTAGAGATGATGAGAACCAGACTTGTCTCAACTGTGGTGCGCTTGGCCATCGCAAGTATGAATGTCCAGAGATCCATAATGTTACTATCAACCTTGTCTGTGGCATCTGTGGTGGGCATGGACACGCCACACGTGACTGCCGTGAACGCAACAATCCTGAGGCTGCAGAGAAGGCCCAGCAGAGAAACCAAAAGATTGATTCAGAGTACTTGAGTTTGATGGCGGAATTGGGCGAACAAGTCCCAGTAGAAACAGCTGGAATGACAGGATCGGATCGCGGAGAAAGACACAGTGATTCAGCGGTATGTAGTGTTGAATTTATAACCGAACTGTGGTTATTGGCGAAAAAAAAAAAAAAAAGTATACTTACCATAACACTTTACTTTGCTGTCGTTGTCATAGGGTCACTATGGTCCTTCCTCTGCCAGGAGCCATCCATCATCAGCGCCGCCTCCATGGGCTAACAGAGAAAGGGAGCGTGATCGTGATTACAGAGATTCAGCTCCTCCACCATGGGCTGCTCGTGCTGCAGCCACCACATCCGCTCATGTTGCTTCACCTCCTCCTTGGCAGCAACATGCCGCCCCTGGCACGAGCAGTGCTAATACTCCTCCACCTCCTCCACCCACAGCACCATGGCAGCAACATTCTTCCAGCGCTCCCGCTAATCCGTGGAGTACACTTAGCTCAGACTCATCCGCACCGCCTCCTCCACCTGGCTACGGCAATGCTTCTGCTTACAACGCTTACTCCTATGCTGGATACTATGCACCTTATGGAGTACCTCCACCTCCTCCAGTGGCACCTCCCGCATGGGTAAGGACTCTTTTACTTTATAAAATAACAATATTAATAGCTTTAATTTTAGTCAAAATAGTTAGCTGACTAATCTTTTCTATTTGGCTCACTTTTAGGGTGGCGTCGTTCCAGGAATGCCTCCACCACCACCGCCCCCTTCTTCAGCAGCACCTCCACCTCCTCCCCCGTCGCACTCAACTCCTCCGCCTCCCGTATCACAGCCACCACCGCCTCCTCCTCCTAGCTCCTAACTCTCTAAGCTTGATTCGACAACTAGGGGAGGTTGAGTTGAGCTTTGTGAACAACAATTTGCTCATGACCAACCTCTTAATTAATTACTTTTTGATTTTATTGGTTTTTTTTAACCTCAACTAACTGCTTTTAACAGGGAAATGGGCAGAAGAATAAAAAGAAAAGAGACCACAGTCAGGAGTGTGGTGAGACGCCTTTTAAGATAAAAAAGGTTGTTTCGATTCATTCCTACAACTCGTTACTGACAACTGGATAACTGACATTTTTGTATATTCCTTTCTTTCTTTTTCTATTTTTATTTTTTTTTTTTTTTCTTTCGGCTAATGGCTCCTTTTTGTTGTATTTTACCATGTCTATTTTTTTTTTTTTTTTTTTTTTTTTTCCTTTCACAGGAAATAGCATTGCTATCAGTAAGCTGTTATGCAAATTTGGGTTATTTTTTTTTATCCACACTCCACCCTAACACTAAAAACACAAATCATTGACTTTTTTCATGATAGTAAATTAAAGGGGAAGAGCAAGGGATTCACAAATAAACAAATAAAGCATATTTTTTTTTACTATTTTTTACTATATATTTATTTTCTGAATCCAACGTCATTTGCAGAAGTTGGGACCAAGAGGAGAATGTGTGTATACAAAACAATATGTATAAAGGTTTCTGAGAAAGATAGAAAGAAAGAAGAAGAAAGAGCCCTTGGCCTGCTATCGACAGATATTACAAGGCTTACAAGCTGCCCCACAATTCTGGTTACAAAAATGAACACCGCACGTAAGCATACGTCCACATGGTTGACGACACTCCATATCCTCATGATCGCCGGCATGGCACTGGAAGGGACATGGATGTCCACATTCAGGAAAAGTACCCTGACATGGCTTTGAGCAACCTCCATGCTGAACCTGATCAAAATCTGACTCGAGACCAACCTCCGAGATCACTTCTGGATGCCGAACGCAACGCAGCTTCATACGATTTCCCATTTTCCATTGACTTGGATCTCCTTGAATTAGACCATTAACAATGGTTTGCCACAATTTAGATTGCTCCATTAGCATCCTGCCATTTCCTATAATGTACATGCCCTTCCTGGCCCGTGATAGAGCCACACACACTCGATTACTGGCTCGAAGAAAACCGATACTGTTGTTGCTGTTGCTCCTGACTAAGCTGAGGATAATGACTTCATTCTCCTCGCCTTGGAATGCATCTACAGTCGAAACACGGACTCGCTCCGCGTCCATTGTATGGCTCTGGCGGAGTTTCTCCATGATACTGTTACGTTGGCTAGAATACATCGTCAGGATTGTGATCTCAGAAGGATCATACCCTTGATGGAGGAGATAGATAGCTAATCTGCAAGCGACACCAGCCTCATGTATGTTAACATGGGAATTATTAGCTCCTATCGAGTCTGACTCCTCGTGCGTCAGGAACCACAACTATCCAATGTATATTATAGAAACAAAAAAAAAAAAAAAAAAAAAAGCGTAAACAAGTTGTTATAGAAAAAGTTCTAAGTGAATACAACGTCAGAAAAAGCTTCAAGCCCGGAAAAAAAAACCCGTTAATTACGTTGTGAACCATCCCTCGGACATTATCATATTGATGTACAGATTCATGATCTGTCAATTTCTTGTAAATGGGGCTAACCAAATTTCGAATTTCTGGCCGCATACGCCGCTGACAGTTTAGAACTGTAAAAGGGAAACCGTTCAGGACAAGACGTTCAAACAGTGAAACGTCAATGTTCTTATGTTTTAAGTCATGGACAGACATACTAGGTCGGAGCTGCTGGTGATCTCCGATCAAGATGAAATGCTGCACAGAGGGTGTGAGCGCGCACATCAAGTGCGCTTCCAGAGTCTCGGAGGCTTCCTCGCAAAGCATAACCTTTGGCCTTAGCAAATAGAGTATGTCATGATACTTAGACTTAAATTAAAGACAAGAAAAAAATAATAAAAATCAGTCCATGTAACCGAGTGTTATAGCTGGCTGAGGGAAGGAAAAAAAATAAATATATAAATAAAAAAAGCCGAAGTACTTACCGCTGCTGTTGTAGTCATTCCGATAACTCGAGCCGTTTTGAGAAGCGTGACATCATTACGGCGAAAGTGATTTCTGATATTTTCACAGATCAGTGTAAATATTTTATGAAGGTCGCCCAACTTGCGCATTAGGTGTGCGTGATACCGCTGAAGCCATTGCTTATAAACACCCAAACGCTTCTCACCCGGAATGTCATGTACATTTGGTATTTTCAGGTATGGAGTAATATCTCCCACTAAAATATCATCCACATGGCATACCACCGACTGTTTCATATCCACATTTCGGCCAGTAACTTTGGTGTCGTCCAAATTACTAACATTGAACTCATCGACACGCTCTTCCAATTCTTCTTCATCTATTTCCGGGACGTAATCCTCCTTCAGTAAAGCATCATCAAAAATAGAGATGGCATTTGGATCGTGGACAGGGGGGGCCGCTTGGAGCCAAGGCTCAGCAGTGGGATTCTCCTCTTGGTCAAATCTCGTTACCCATCCATCATAGGCAAACGAGTCGAATTGCTCCTGAGTGATTATGTTCAACTCAAGGAATTTAGCGAGAGGGACATATTCAACAGATAGCTCTTCAAGAAGCTCTAGCATATCTGATTCCACCTTGTTCTTCAGCTTAAAAAGCCGCCCTGGTGCAGAGCTACCCATTCCAGCTTTCCTAGCTTCCTCTGGATTCTCCCTGTATTGCTGCCGGACATTATAAAGTGTCCTGGGCTGAATAAGAGGACTCTTTGACCTTGATCCCAATCGAATAATGTTTTCTTCGAACTTCAAAATCCCCTCCAAAAACTGATCCAATGCATGGTTGGTTTGACAGACAATGACAATAGGCCCTGTATCTGCTACACGCGTATGCATCAGTAGAATATATGTTGTCAACAAACCTAAAAACGTTTTTCCTGTTCCAGGCGGACCCTGCACAACAGCAAAATCCTTCGTGAGCATACGTCTCATTGCGTCCACGACGTTTGGTTGGATTTCCCTTCTTTTAGGCTTTTCTGATGGTATCTCAAAAGGATCCAAACGTTTCCGTTCCATCTTAAATGCATCTCTCTTCATCACCTCTGGGAACTCTGAAATTTGATCTTCGATGAATTCTTTGTCCCATAATTCATCAATGTGGCGACTATAGGGAGGTTGATTAAGTTCTGGCTCCAGTTCAACAAGCTGTTGCTGAAAGGGAAGAGTCGAAGGATCGATATCCTGAAGAACCCTCAGAACATGCTGATACGCCTCATAATAGCCTTGCATCGCTTCAATCATTGTATAACAAACATCAGGATTGAAATCAAGCATTGGGTCCGAATCGATAAACTTTATACCAATCCTTAGCTCTCGAGGATTTTCCAGAAATTGCAAATCGCGCTCTATAACTGTAGCGAACCTATAGGTCTTGAACTCATCCGTAGATAGGCAGACGATCGTTCCTGGAATCAGACGCTTTGATTGCCTCCAATTAACTCTATGTCCATCGACAACGAACGACATACGATGAACTAGTCCAATAGTGGCAAACAGAAGAGCCGTTGGTCGAACCTTTTTTTTTTTTTTTTTTTTTTTTAAGTGAAAAGAACGAAATGCTTTATGATTAACATGCTTTCATAGATAGGTTAAACGAGCCAGCGCTGATGCTTCAACTACTTGATCGAACTTACATTGCGGTACATCATCATATCGTTGTCGTCCACGGTGCCATTACGGTATGATCGAATGGCAAAACGCACAGGAAGGATACAATCCGCACGAAGTAATTCAAAATGAGTGTGAAGATACTGCTCGGTAGAATCATATCCTCTATGGATGATATTTTCGGGTGGATCTGGATATTCATCTGCATCGATGTCATTATACGTGGGACAGATGGATTGGAACCGAAAATTGCCTTTTGTAAATGCAAAGTAAATTATTTTTGTTATTCACTCCGAGGTTTGATTCTATGTGAGCGTTATTATTATATGCTTTAATCTCATCAACTTACTTCGAGGGAAATCACATTTCCATGAATCATCAAGAATTGGAATTGGTTTCTTGATATCATTATATAGATTTTTTTCCTCCTTAGGGATGTTGTTTACTTTTTGTTGTTGTTTTTTCCCAGCTCCGTGGCGTGGATTCATCTGGTGTTGTTTATTATTTGGCCCTGGTTTTGAACGCTGGTCGCTGTATCCGCTACCACCATCTGTTGTAGAAGAAATTAGAGTCGCATCAACTATTTATTTATTTTCCAAATAAATTAACATTGATTCTTTCCAAAAGGTCAGACTTACATTGACGACGATCTTGTTGAGAGACAGGCGAAGATGGTTGTCGCTGCGGTGGTTGTCGACTTGGAGATGGCTCATCAAACCAAGTCGCAGCTGCTTTCCTGGCTCCGAGGCCAAAACCCTTTTTTTTTTTTTAAAAAAAAAAAAAAAAAAAAAAATGAGTACACATATCTGTATTTAAACAAAATGAACGCGTTCAAAACATGACTTACTTGCGATGGCCCACCCACATGAGCTATTTGTGACGAAAGAGTCAAAGCTGAATTAGTCTTAAAAATCAACATGTTTGCTTTCCTGCTCATGGCTGGTCTCATAAGATTTACAATATTTTAAAAAAAAAAGTAACTCACCAAACTTGCACCCGTCGCCAAATCTGCATGAACCAGTATCCTGGTAGGTACGACACACTTTCTGCGCATGCATACTGTGGTTTGCGGCCTAGAGATTGTTGTCGTCGGGATCAAAAGATGGGAATGAGGCACACTGACCTTTTTTTTTTTTTTTTTTGTAAGCTGTGCCAAGAAGCTGACAAGGTGACTGTTTTTCAGCAGAATAGTTCGGGGCATACATGTACAGTACACAACCTTTCTTTGCTATTCGTGAAAGGACGCTATCCATTCTTTTTCCCTACTGCCGGTAAAGATGAAGTGATTTGGAACTGAGGGACCGACGACCTATGAGTTTTCTCTGGCCCAGGACGTACTTGGCGGGCCTATATCGCTGTCAACTTGGGATTCATCTGACGTACTTTTCTTTAAAAAAAATCTGGGACAAGCCTTCAGCCGGATTCATCTATAATTTGTAGTCTGATTAAGATCCCTATCCATCCTCTGGCCACTCAGTATGTATTGTTATTGATATTCATCATTTGAGGCATTCAGTACTGTTGCGAACCGCAAAAAAAGCATCAATAAAACAACCAAACTTCAAGTGCTGACTATGAGAGCAATGCAAATTAAATGTTGATGCGATATGATCAGTAGAACCTACAACAGAGCCGCTTCTTACCGCTATCCCATCTAACGGAGGTTTTATATACTCACAACCTGCATTATCTAGAGTTTTATTTATCTCCTCCCATGACAACAGCTAATCTGTGTAATCAATCACTGCCTACGTGATAACAATATCCAATATGTATTTTAAACTGCCACTTATGTTCAGTCTGGCCACACACCAACTGCGAGTCTCTCAAAAGGAGATTAGGAAGATCCTACATTAGTACCGCCAACAGCAACACTACCAACTGATTCTCTTCGAGAGATTTAAGAGCCCTTATGAGGTTTTTTGTGATCACGATCACGCTCGTAAGCACGGACAAGTTTAGCTCGCCATAAAAGTAGGGTGAGGGGATAGTGCCGCTCTGTCTAAGGAAACAAACAGAGAGGTTATTTTGACATTTGTACTGAGTACAACTTCTTCTAGACAGTGATCAGCTTGGGATGTACTAACGCTTTAATATATGCTTTTTTCTTTTCTTTTCTTTTTTTTTTTTACCATAACAGGAACTTCCGACACTCCAACCATTAGATTCACAGATGGATGCTTGCCAACTCTCTAGACAATGAGCTGGCGCATGGCACTTCGTAAAGATGACGTTGCCGATTGGGGTTTCCAGTAGGCTGCGAGGGCATTGCACTAATTTGAAGCATCCCTTTCGTTTTGAAGCGACATAAGGCACGGGTCCTGGTCAGCCTAAAGTATCTCGGGAGATGGAAGCCAACCAGTCCGGTGGTGGAGCAATATCTGGACAGGTCGTTCCGCTCAACGGCAGAGGTTTAACTGCAGCAGTTGTTTTCTCTACAATATCTAATGTTATTGATGGTGGCGATAACAGTAGTGATGATGGTGTTAAAGCTAAAGAAGGTGAAGACGCGGGAGACGCGCTTTTCGTACTCATTGTCGTGTCTGTATTTGTTACAGCTGCTACAAGGCCACTAAGGGTAGTACTTGCTACTGTGGAAGTCTCATTATCATTCACAAGCGAGCTTTCTGCGTGAGGTAGACGGCAGGGTATAACGGGTATGCCATGTGTTTGAAGCTTGGAAAACTCGAAAGACTGGAGAGGGAGCTTTCTAATCGGTGTGTTATATGGAACCACATCAGCTGTGCTTGCATCATCCAAGTCCATATCTAAACTCCACCACGTTACTCCCGCAAGACCAAACTCTGTTACTAGTTGAAGTTCCCAATATAAGCTTGGTCGGTTATCATATCCAGTCCAATTATACCGCTGTTCCCCATAAACAAAGTAAAGTACTTTGCTATCCGGATCCCATCACGGCTCAATCGGCTGATTCAATTTAAGGGCAGCTGGACGAATGAAGCTAGCAATCTCATTGAACGCGATGACGCCCCTTGATGCCGTGCAATTGAGAAGGATCTCCTCCAGATTTGAAATGCGTTACACCTGGCTTCGTTTGAGAGGGATCTTCAAGTAAAAATGTCTTTCCGTATAACGCTAGACCAAGGACAATCTTCTCACGAGGTACTCCATGATCCAAATAAAGCTCAACGGCGCCTTGAACACTATGGCCGTTGCGAGTCTGCGTTGGTGTTTTGGACTAGGGCTGTATGAATGTTAACTAGGTCATTGGAATCGTGCAGTCCATACAAATCTTGTAACCATTCATGAGAGGAGCCATCATTGAGGATGGATAATATTAGAAATAGAAATAAAGGGCAGCGTTATTTCTTTATACATACATATATATATATTTATATATATATTTATATAATAACCTACCATAAGTCATGATCATCATAAAGTCAACATATTTGGCAACCTCGCCAGGTTGGAACCCTTGAATACCTTCCTAAAAGGAAGCCTCGGCCATAGAAAGGACCAAGCCACGTCCATCTTTATCGAATTCAAGGCGCATCTCTCGGAATAAGGCTGTGACATGCTCATATCCATGCCTTGCTGGATACTCATAATATCCACACCATCAAATCCATACTGTTGACAAAATCTAATACAGCTCCCGATGAATTTTATTCGTCTGCCTCTCTTTTGAATCATGTCTAAGAATCGGTCCTTTGTATTGCTTCATTTGACTCTAGGTGTGTAAACCTCCAACCGCCCACTGAAATCAAGACTCGTGTATTTGTTGCCAACTTCAACTTGCTGAGTTCAAAGTAAAGTCCCACATCGTTCTTGTCTACAGGATATCGTTTATGATTGACATCAAAGTATAAAAATGCAAACGTGACATAGTCAAGCGATGACCATGGAATCGATTATGGCTTAAATGGACTCTAATGACAGTGACTCTTGCCTTGACCACGGTATTGTGCCCATCCTTCAAAATACGCGATTTGAACAAACGTTTTGTTCCTTAGTAACTTTGGGGCCATAAATGATATCCGTAATTGCCTGTTACTCTGTTCTCTCTTAACTTTCTGTTTTTTCTTTTTTATCCAGCCAAGTCGCTGTTTGATCATTCGAACTGACCCCACTGAAAGTATCGTAGGCTGCTGTATCTCTTTGCCTTCACAAGTCCCATAGGCGTGCCGGCACCTCTCACTGCAGTGTCCCATGCTAGCGCCACAGTAGGCACATTTGGAATAGCATGGACGCGTCTGGGGACATTATATCCTCCACATCAATGAAGACACTAGTGCTTTGGCACCTTCTGCTTATGCTCCACCTTCGTTTTCGTTTGACATTGTAATTATAAATGTCTTTTCTTTTAATTTTTTCTGTCACACTGTGATGGCCATTGTTTGGTTGATTGACTTAATCCCTACTGACACTCTTTTGTAGAGTCCTTCCAATAGGAGTTGAATAATAATGTGGTAAAGCCTGCTTGCCACTGCCTTGTACTTCCTGTATGATGTCAAAATTATCTCTCTGTTGTGCTACCGCCATTTTGGAGAAGAATGGAGCTACGAACAAGGCTGTTACCAGTATTAGAGACCGCCTTCGAAATGAAGCCATTCGACAAAAAGCAAATAAACTTTATAGGTATATGTGAGGAAGAAGTGCAAAGTTCAAAATAAAAACAAAAAAAAAGATAGATATTTGCTAATAAATAAAATACGGGGTAGCATGCTAAGATCAAGACGTAGAATGTAAGAAACGAATGTCTCCTCGATTGAAAAGGACGGGGGGAGGGGATTTCAGTGGAAGAGTTTTATACACAGAGACCATCGGAATAGTAACATAATCCATCAGCAAGAAATAAAAAAAAAAAAAAAAAAAAAAAAAAAGTCTATTTTTCACTTATTTTATTACTACATTGTCAATGCAAAGTCGTGTAAAATTTTCTAAAGTGTTATGCCAAATTACTGTAATGATTGTTGCTGTTGTTAGTGTTGTTGGTACTGCTGCTACTACCGACATTACCGCCATCATTCATGCCATAGGGAGTGGAGTATAGACTGGCGCCTGAATAGCTGGTAGTGTAAGATGGCACATAGCTGTTGTCGATACCTTGTGTCTGGAATGGATACCCATTGCTGGACCCTGAGTTTGCACCATAGCCAATGCCCATGGTGGATGATGATGTGGTGAAGGGAAGCATGTGAGATTGAGTAGGGCTGTTAAGTGCCGTTACAGGCTCTGACATATATCCTGTTGGTCCGCCATTAAGGACCGCATGGCTCAATGTGGGGGTTGCCGAGGCTGAGGCTGATCCCAGCTGGCTTGGAGGGACCTTGCGTTTGTAAGGTCCACGCTTGATACCCTTTTTACGAACCTTACGAGTAGAATCAACACAGGTCTCCTGGAGACCATATTTGATGCATCGCATACATGGTCTTCCTTCGTCACATTTTTTGCAAGCCTTTTGGCAGTTCACTATTTCGAGATAGAGCAAGGTAACGTAACGGTTAGAAAATAAAGGTGATGAGTGAAGGGCGTGTGTAAGAGGCAAATCCTTGACAGATCATGCCATAAATGAGAGCGCATTATGACTCAATGCGCTCCGCCCTATCCCTCTTTGCTCTCGGATTTATTGAAAGAACGACAAAAAGTTTGTGCTCTTGTGTTGATTCACTGGATAGATGCACCTCAATTTTTCCCAGGGTTGAACGCTATTTTTCTTAGTCTCGACAAGCTGCATATTTGGCAGTGTTCCACGTTTGCACAACCGTTAAAAAAAAAATGGCGACGGCCATGTGATAAAAAAAAAAAAGGAGGAAGGGGATCCGATTACAACATGGCGTGGTTTTTAATGGAGTAGTGCAGTAGTGTATGATGAGGATTCACTAGGTTGTACCAACTGATACAAATACCCACGCCCAAGGAGGAAAAAAAAAAAAAAAAAAAAAAAAAAAGGAGAAAGATGAGGTGATTGACCACACATACCACAAGCATTCTTGACCTGACGACGCTTGGGCTTCTGTACTGCATTAGGATCGGCCAATTGCTGATATTCGAGTGTTGGAGAGGTAGGCATAGAGCTATAGGGCGTAGAATGATTCGAATGATAGGGCGTTGACGCTGCAGAGCTTAGGGCTGATCCTAAGATTTGATGGTACTGAGCGTACTGCGCATCTGGCATAGGAGGCACCAAAGGGGCGTATTGCGACTGCTGTTGGCGTAACGGAGTAGAGGGCATTCCAGTAAATGGTGTGCTAGAAGTCTGTTGCTGTTGCTGTTGATGCTGATGAGGCGGAGAGGCAGGATAAAAGCTTGAACTCAAGTTGCTAGATGTCATGGGCTGATGCTGCTGCTGATTGTGGTATGAATATTGGTTGGAATGCTGTTGATGCTGTTGATGGGGATGCTGATGATAGAGGCTCGAGTTGTTCTGGTTGTAGGATGGGTTGTACTGCAAATTACCCAAGATTGGTGAGGATGGTGCAGAAACATAGGCTAGAGCAGGCGTGGTCGAGCCACTATTGGTGCCACTTATCAGCCCGGTGTTTGATGATACTGAGGCCAAAGAGGACGAGTTCAGACCTGAGGCAGAAGTAGAGGACGCATTGTTTTGCATGCTTAGGCCCATTAAATGGCTACTGATATTATAGGGGTTGGACGGCAATGCAGAGAATGAATTGATGTTCCCGTTGGAGGATCCTTGGAGGCCAGTATAGGATTGACCATGATTATGGCTGGGCTGCGCCTGATGGGGATACTGGAAGGGTTGTTGCTGGTATGACTGAGGAGTGGCGAGTTGGATCGACTCTTGAGGTTCTTGTTTAACAAGCGATGGCTGGTGTTGCTGCTGTTGATAATCCTGCTGTTGTGGCAGTTGCTGCTGCGAAGAGTTGTTCATGGCCAATTTTTTTTTTAAATTGACTTTGGGTTGAGATTGAATATAAAAGAAATGAGTGTGCTGTGTTGAGCATGCACCGACGAAATGATTAGAATTCAATTCCCGCCATTCTATAGCATTTATTTTTTATTTTATATCTTTTTAAACAAAAGATAATAATAATAAAGTAAAATAAAAAAAGAAAAAAATCTTACATCAGAGAGAGAGATCAGTGAGGGATGGAGGAGAAAAAAAAAAAAAAAAAAAAAAAAAGCAATGAAAGCAAAGGCAGTCCAGATGGAAGACAAGATGAGTAAAAAAACTTTTTTTTAAGAGAGAGAGAAAGAAAGAGAGGGTGTGTGCTTGAGTAATGTCATTGGGCCAAAAAAAAAAATACAGGTGACTCGCATTTGAACAGAGTCTAAGATGACGACAGATAATATTTTTATTATTTAGCCTAAACGCCTTTTTGAAGCAATTATAAAAACGTGGCCAGACAGACCTCTTTATCGCTGTCCAATGGATTTTAAACGCCCTTTCTTTCTTTCCAAACAAGCTCTCTTTCTTTCAACTGCTTTTATATTATTATTATTATTATTATTATTGTTATTCTGATTTATTGACCATCCTTTCTCTTGTTTCTTTGATATACTTACTATGAGGAAAGAGTGCACTGGTTTTTTTTTTTTTAATCTAATGAGACGGTGAAGCATTGATCTTCCTTTCTCTTTCTCTATTTTTTTTTTTTTTCTACATGTGCTCCAAAGTCTGCCCTTCAAACACCTCTCGTCCTTCCTGTACCTGATAACGCTTTAGAGTTGCTCAAATGATCATAATCAACTTTACACCAAATCTTTCGATCGATCCACCCTTGATCATCACTGTTTTAAAAAAAGCTTTTTTGTTGTTGTTGTTGTTTTTAAACAGTAATCCATGAACATGAAATACATGTTACACACAGTCAAGCGGAGAAGAAAACATCCTATTGCTAGTGGAGGACAATCAGATTGATTGAAAACCGTTACGCGATAAGACCACCAGCCATGCATCACGCTGTTTTCTGTCTTCCACTTAACAAAAAAAGGTGTGCCGTGCATTGCTATTTTGTAATGATCATACATAATGAGAATAGAATTTCACCTTTTTTTTTTTTTTTTTTTTTTTTTTATTCTACGAGTCGCATGTTTTATTTCTAAAACAATAAGTTTCCCGAAGGTTTCGTTTGCTGTTGAGTAAGAAGCAGGAGAAAGCCCCCCTTCTTCTCTAAAACCAAAGATACCCCTCTTCTTTACAGCCCTAAAATTGAATGTAGAAACTCAAGAGAGACAAAGTTTTTTAGGCAGCAGCAACAGCCTTGACCTGCTTCTTGGCCTGGGTGCCCTCACGGAAACCGTTCTTGAAACGACGGCTGACATCAGCCAAGTAACGCATGCGGCCAGTACCGGTGGTCTTTCTGCGCTTGCCCTTCACGCTCCAGTTGTCTATAAAAGATTTTTTTTTTATAAAAAAAAAAAAAAAAAAGCATGAGCGGTTCAGCTTCAACATAAAAAAAAAGTTCTCTTGTTGATGATTTTTATCCTGTTATGAACTAAAGTTATATGCCTTCCTCCTCTCAATGAAGCCTATATACTGTTGAGTGTACTCTGATCAGTTGACTGATTTTCGTCCATTCATCCACAGAACTTTTCTACAAGGCAGAAAAATATGAATTCATTTGCTATATGCCTTCATCTTCCTTTTTTTTTTCCACTCCAGCAGAAATCCTGTTAGAATATCCTGTGTTTCAAATCGACAACGTAAACTCTTTAAAACAATGAGCGCTATTAATGTATGTAGAAAGGCTTACAAGAGCGGAGCTTAGCAGCAGGGTAGCCGCACTGAGCGCAAGTCTTCTTCTGGTTGTGGAATGAGCGACGGCCACAGCTAATATGTATAAATATAAAGTGTTAATTTCGAGGTCAAAGAAAAAAAAAACAACCCACTTTAGATGGATATCCCATTAAAATAATGATCCAGAGCCAAATAACATACCGACGGCACAAAGTGTGCGACTTGGTGTGGCGTTTACCAAACGAAGAGGTACCCTTAGTCTGTTGATTCGCAAAAAAAAAAAAAAAATAAAAAAATAAAAGTTGAAATGAGTGAATTGATCATGTTATGTCGTCTTTAAAATGTCTGGAAGTTTTGATATGTCGATCCTTATTATAAAAATCATATTATCTTTCCCGATCAGTCTGCAGCGAAGCCCTCACACCCTGATTATATTGATAGGTTCAAATGACGGAATGTCTGCATTCAACTAAAAAGAGTTCTGGCTGGTAATCTCTGATCTATAAAAAGGCGAATCTTTCAGATATCTTTTTCCATTAATTGATCTTTGCGCCAAGAGTAATGACGAAATAGTATCCAATTGCATTGAGGCTATCCTGATCAAAAACTGCCATCAGCTTCAATAAAGAAACACTGATGTTTGACTTTAGTAGAAAAGTTGATGTCCTGATTGGTATTATCCCGATAATGTTCCGGTGGGAATATCGCTTGTACTGGTTTCTAGTGCAACGGCACGTCGTGATCAGATAGATATAAAGTCTGTTTATGCTGGTTTAAAGGATGGATGGGTATCTATTCGTGTTTTGTCGACGGATGATTCTTTTTCAATGATAATGAACACGGATACACATGCAAAATCATATTCACTTAGAGACCATTTCGAGTAATTGATTTGGAAAAGAAGGACCCTATAGCTGGTCACTGGAGATGGACATAAAAGCTGCCCAAAAAAATAAATTTACATCACGTGAAGTCTGCCGTGAGGCAACGACCTGCTTGATCGATGCCAATCCTTTTCATCCCAAGAATATCAGTAAGCTCTGCAGATACCTGCCTTTTACTTTATTTATCTTTTGTAACAGAAACCTCAATACGGACTTCCTTCTCGCACAGCCTTAGACTAAGCCCAACGCTCGGAGGGTTGATAGGCTGCCTATTCCAATCATTTTTAGTATCCTATTTCTTATTTTTTTTTATTTAAAGAAAGGGAACGCGACGTTATCTTCGTTTTTACCAATTGATTTAAAGAATCTGATGATAATGGATCTCCCAACTCTTGTCACTTTAACTTCCATGTGATATGTGGACTGTATAGATCAAAGGAACATTCGTCGCTATTATATCTCTCATATCCATTAACACCTTCATCTTATGATCAATGACATAGTGGTGGTCATACGTTGTGTAGAGGTCTTCGCTGTTATATCCTTCGCGTAAGACCTTGACTTGGGAAGACGAGCTGAACCGCCTACTTCACCTCTAACTCCTACAGCAGTCAGAATTGGCTCCTCTTTTTCAAGATCAATGCTGAGCTGACCGTGTACTCCAGAGTTGCTTTGAATACATCCCAGTATGCTTGATCAGTACGAACTGAGACAGGGGAGCCAGCAAGTGTAATATGCTTAATTCCAGTAACCGAAAACTGCCTCCTTCACCACCACGAGAATTTTAACAAAGGATACATAGAAAAGTTTCGCGGAAAAACTTTTGATTGTGCAGTTCTTATTATAGGTAATGGACGTAAAGCCTTAAACGTATTGCATGAAAAGAAAAGGTTCTTCAGCACTTGACCCTCTCCTTGCGATCCTGTGCTGACCATTTTACTCGTAACAATCTTATTTTCATCTGCAGCATTGTAAACTAGTTCTAGAGCAACATTTTCTCTTGACAACTGTGAGTTTAGGAAGTCGATACTGCAAAACATGCACTAATATAATATAGATCAATAACGATGAAGAGCTGGTGTGATTGGCCAAATGAAGGTTTATTCCGAATACCCTATCACTGTCATGTCTTTCTTGTTATGGGAAGAAGATATTGATGGATTTAAGGATTCATCCAAGATGGCAAGGAAGCTGCCTCGAACCATCAAAAGAGGATCAGACCTTTAGACACAAGGGAGGACAACTTTATTCCCAGCGAGTGATGGGCATTTCCACTCGTAACATTTTTCGTCTGGCCGAATTGATGACGTAGCACATCGCTTTCAAATTGGTTTAATTCAGTAGATCAAAAGATTCAAAATCTCCATTCGACACCACACGCCATGAGTAACATTTACCTGCAGGAGCCACATACAAAGTACGCTATTTTCTCCAATATCACCTGGTAGTCCATTGAGACGAACAGACTCTTAGTCGTTTATAAAGACGAGTCTAACATTTTTTTTTTATAGTGGCAAAGTCATTTTACATTCCTCATATGGGGATATCTCGATCGAACTCTGGCCAAAAGAGGCGCCGAAAGCTTGCAGGAATTTTATACAGTTATGTATGGAAGGATATTATGATGACACAATATTTCATAGGATTGTAGCAGGATTTATTATTCAAGGAGGAGATCCAGAGGGGACAGGATTAGGAGGTGAATCCTGTTATGGTCAGCCGTTCGCAGATGAGTTTCATTCTCGTTTACGGTTCGTGAGACGAGGATTGGTGGCGATGGCCAATTCAGGTCGTCCAAATGATAATAAGAGTCAATTCTTTATTACTTTGGATGCAACGATGGAGTTGCAAAATAAGCATACGATTTTTGGCAAGGTATATATATACATATATTCTTAATGTCCATTGTAGCAAAGGAAAAAAAAAAAAGCAATTTTGTTTATTTTGCGATATCCTAATGAAAATTAATGAAAAAAAAGGTTGCAGGGGATACTATTTTCAACGTACTCAAGATCGGAGGACTGGAAGTGGACTCGAATGAACGGCCTTTATATCCACCAAAAATTAAGAGTTGTACGATTGTAGTGAATCCATTTGATGATATTGTGCCTCGGATATCGCGTCAGGAACAGGAGGCAGCGCGATTGAAAGAGTTGGAGGCGGCACAGAAGAAACCTGAGAAGCAGAAGAAAATGAAAAAGTAAGAATATCATTGAGGGCCTGTTTTTTTTTTTTTTTTTTTTTTAATGTTTGTTGACATCCATCGCTTCATTTCCTGGTACCATTATACCTTTTATTCTTCAGGAATGTGGCATTACTTTCTTTTGCAGATGACGCTCCGGATATGACAACAGATCAGGAACAGGATGGAGATCAAGGAGGAAACAAAAAGACGAAAAAAATGCTTAGCAGCCACGATCTTTTGCAGGACGACCCAACTTTGAGCCGAGAAGTCGATGCTAGCCTAATGAGTTCGGAGGATCCATCGGTTTTGAGGAATGAAAGGAGCAAACAGAGGACAGTAAATGATGATATTACCAGCGAGGGCAATTACAAGGTTGAAAGTACGAAAAAAAGATACCATGATCAGGAGGAGGGTAATATAGACAAAGTAGACGATGAAAATGACCATGAGAGCTTGAATGCGTTTGATCAAAGGATGAAGGATCAAATTCGGGAGAAATATAAAAAGTCAAAATTGGCAAAGGAGTCTACAACAACAAATTCGTCCTCATCCTCATCCTCAGACCCAGTAATATCAGAAGACGTTTCAAAGACCAAAGAACGCACCGAGGTTCCTCCTCCTCCTCATCTATCAGAATCAGAGCGTCGAAAACAAGAAATACAGAAGTTGGAGAACGATATCCGTAAGATGCACAACCGAGAAGATTCTCAAGGAGATGAGTCATCAAAGAAAAAGTCCAAAACTGGAAAGGTGTCATTATTACAATTGGAACGAGAGCAGTATAAAACACGAGGAGAGATCAAGAGCAGTAGCAAAGGGTCTTCAAAGTCTACAGATAAGAAAAAACGGACAGGAGGGGGAGAAGATCTATTGGCAGCATTATCGGCATTTGAGGCCAAAGTCTTTTCGTCTGCAAGGGAGCCAGAGCTTAATCCTGTTTCCAAGAAAAATGACGCTCCACCATGTGAAATCCATGGGATTCCATCTTGTGAGTCATGTCAGGATACAATTTCTTTGAAGCAAAAGAAAAAGAAGAAGACTGTAGAAGAGGATACAGATGAAAACAAAGACAGGAAAGAAACCAATGCGGCTCAAGAGGATGAAGAGGAGGAAGAAGGAGAGAGAGTTACCTCAGATGATGATGATATTGGCTGGATGCAACATAAACTTGTATTCGAAAAAGACCTTAAAGGCAAGGAAGTTTCTCTTTCAGCAAAAAGAGATGATGTCAACGATTATATTGTGATTGATCCGCTCAACAAGGCACCAGCCACATCAGCTGCGATGGCAATGGAACAGCAAAAGAAAGCGGAGCAAACTCGACGAGCGAACCAGTCCTCAAGGCAAGACAGAATGGATGATAGCAGAGACAGTCGTAAAGGGTCAAGCAGAGTGTATAGCTCCTCAGGGAGTGGCGGTGGCAGTAAACCCTACGATCGAGCTTCGCCCTCGACATATAGGAGGGATGATAGTCGTAGATCTGGTTCTGAGTACGGCCGAGACAGAGACAGGGACAGGGACAGAGACAGAGACAGAGAGCGCGATCGAGATAAACGTGGAGGTGGGCGAGATTATAAAGAAAGTCGAGATAGTCGAGATAGAGATCGTCGTTGGTGAAGCTTGGATTAGGGACGGGGGTTTTTTTTTAAAAAAAAAAAAAAAAAAAAAAAAGAGCCATGTAGGGTATAAATGTTGGTACAGTTTTAGAGTAATGTTTTCAGGAAGGATGGGAACAAAAATAGTGTTAAAGCTCTTCTTCTTGGTTACAAGTTGTTGATACATGTTTGACATGTTCGTATGTAGTACAAATGGCACTTTTGTTTTTCATGGATAAAATGTTTCGATCCAAGACCTGACTGGGCTCTCTTAAATTGCAACTTGCTTATTTCATATTTCATGTGCAATCTTTCGCACTAAAAAAAATGTATCCATCAAACACAAAACACAGACACAGACCCCGCCTCTGCTCTTTTTATCTCAATTCTCTCTATCCCCTTATCACACGCCTCAACCACCCTTTCAGTCTTTCTTTTGCATCTTGCATTCATCATTCCACGACAGCCATTCTTCATTCACTTTTTTTATTTTCTATTTTCAATCATATTATTGTAATATTAAACAATGATCTGGAGCACCGAATAGATAACCAATCTACTCGCTTCTCTCCTCTTCTTCTATTCTTCCTTCCATATCCATATTCTTCCTCCTGAAAAAAAAAAAAAAGAAAAAAATGATCATGAGATTTATCTCATATATGGTGGTTGCCTTATTGGCGGTTTCGACACATCATATTCAACTTGTGGAAGCTGGAAGTTATTCGCTAACAGCGCCTACAGGGGCAACACGTTGGGTACCAGGTCAACAAGGTCTTGTCAGTATTGAGTCCACTGAAAAGGCAAAGTCTGCTACACCTACGAATGATCGCCTTTTGACGATTACTCTTCGTTATTACAAGAACATTTTTCAACCGGCTGAACTCGTGGCGACGATTAAAGATCACACCCAACTATTGATTCCTTTCAATTCAACAGCAACTCAAGTGAAGTTGGACATTATAGATTTCGTAGTTCCAACGACTGTCAATCCTGGGTCGGATTATTTTGTACGACTTTCAAGAAACGATGGATTCTTTGATCGAGAAAATGTGGATACGGACCGGTTCCAAATCCTTGCGCCATCTACTCCAGGTAAGGAGTTAAAAAAGGAAAAGAAAAAGATCGACTCTTTTTTTTTTGTTCATATTTTATATTACGCGGTTACCATAAGTTTTCGTTATCTCTAACCCTCACTTGTTTTATTATTAATGATTATATCTAAAAAAAAAGGAACGACATCACCTGGTGTTCCAGGTACGACAACAACAGCAGCAACCACCACAGTAGCTGTCACTACTACGCTTGTTGTTACAACCCCCACAGCAGGACCTTCGCCTACGTTGCCAGCAGGTCAAACCTGTAACGATATTAAGGAGCAATGTGCGGCTCAAGGCCGCGTCTATGAGGAATCGACTGCAAATACACCTTGTGCTTGTGGAGCCACATTAGTGGTACCAACAGTTGTTGGAAGTGGATCTCCTGGAAGCATTAAAGCGAACGTCAAGAGCACATTCCAGAGTACAGGAGGTCCCACTGCTGCGTTGGCGGTTTTATTACTGGTTGTGATGACATTGTTTTAAAAAACAAACAAAAAAAAAATACTTAGACTAGTACAAAAATATCTACATAATTCACCGTTAAAATCCCCGTACGCTTACATCAAATACATCAAACACATGCACATGATACAGGGGTTGTAGATCATCATGGTTTTTTAGATTTTAGTGTCGATCATGCTAAAATTGAATAGGTTATCGTAAACGCACACAGTATTTAAGCAAACATGTTTCAAAAAAAAAAAAAAAAAAAAAAAAAAAAAAACGTCGCCACCAAATGAAGATTGAAGACCGTCAATGCAAATATGGCTATTTGATCATCTCGTAGTCCCATGGTTTTAAACAGCTGTTAGACTCTATAGAATTAATTCATTTATTCAGTCACTCTCTGAATCTGAGAATTGCAGTCGGGCAAGGAACGAGTCTACCGTCCCGTCTTCGAGGTCAGATAACATAGTCCGGTCCGATCTGAGGCTGCCTGATGCATCATCGCAACCATCTTTGCTGTTGTTACCATTCTGCTTCTGATTCTTGTCCTGACATAGGTGGTCCTCCATATTAGGGAACCAAAGGTTAGGTCCATAAGAAATACAAAGTTCTTCATTAGGTTGGATCTCTCGGAGAGTAGTGTATCGGATCAATTTGTTATTGAAATCTCGCTGAAATCCTACATTTGGCATATTGGAATGGTTGAACATACTTCCAAGGCCCAATGCAAGAGCCATGCTGCCCTTCTTCCATCGATATGTATAATGATCCAATTGAGTGTATTGACCATGTTGAGAATATTCTTCTGAAGGGAACAATAAAACAGGAGAAATATCAATGACTGTCCGTGCAGGGATCAAGGTCCGAGTGATCACGCCACGACCTTTTGCGCCACATTCTTGGATGTAGAGGGTGCTTTGATTGAACAATTGAACAGCGTCCATATTTTTTTCCTTTCAAGCCATATGATTGTAATGAAGAGAGGGATGATGGTGATATAACTCTTTATCACGATATTAAGGATATTAAGGGAACAAGTATTTGGACAAAGGTGTAATATAGAGATATCGATGAGATCCGACAAAAAAACAAAAACATTCAACTTTCCTGGCAGTGTAATGAACGCAGTCACATTTGGCTCCTCCAGAAGCTCCATTCTGATCAGCGCCCGTACTTTCTCCAGTCCACATTCTCATTCTCCTCTCTTTCCCTTTCTCTGCTTACGCCGCAGCAAAACTGGCTCAACTCCATCAATAGACTATTTAAACCCTACTTCGACACGTTCTCGCTTTTTTTTTTTTTTTTTTTTTTTTTTTTCTACTCACCATGTCAAGCCGCGCCATGAAAAATCTACTCCGCGATTCCAACGGACCTGCGCCATTAAAGGAAGTCCTCGACAATAATAGCAAGTCTACAAACAAAGAAAACAATAATCGACATGATCAGACAGGCGCTGCAAAGGATAGGAGGAGCCTCAACGACGATAGCAACCGTGACGTGTCTGATAATGAAGAAGACGAAGAAGAAGAAGGGGAGGACGACTATGATATCAAAAGACCGCCAGCTAGGAACTTGTTTGCTTTGGTAAAGATGGCTTTAGATAAATAATCCTAAGGAAAGGAAAAAAAAAAAAAAAAAAAAAAAAAAAAAGGAGTCTTAGAAGCTGCATGTCTTAACTTATTTGTTTATTGTTCCTTCATCTATATTAAAGCTGATTGAAAACGACCAAGAGAGCGACTCGGCGTCCGAGGATGAAGAAAAGCAACCAGAGGTAGATTGCTCAATTGGGTTTTGGCTTTCAGTTTTTGGAGCATCTTGATCTTTCTTGGTGAATCTAATTTTTTTGTTTTCTTTTGGCTAGGTCCTTACCCCGGTTGTCACGACCTCTAATAAAAAGAAGAACAAGAAAAAGAAGAAAAAGGCAGCAGATGCCTCTGAGAACCCATTCGATGCTCTGAAAGAAGTACAGGAAGATAATGCCACTAACAGCGATCAGGAGAAACAGAAACGGCAAAGCACTAATGTACAGAGCTCAATACCCAAAACCAAGAACAAAAACAAAAAGAAGGGTAAAGCTGTTGCCAAGTCCGTTGAGGATATGAGCATTGAAGAATTTGAAAAAAGTCTAGAGCAGATGAACAAACAGTAAGTATTTAAGTGCCTAGGGTATCAGATGTAGGGGAAAAAAATAATAATTAAACTTTCCTTCCTTTATCGTCTCTAATTTATATAAAATAGACTAGGGTCTGCTACATCAGGTGCTGGATCATCTCAACAACCTGCTGTTACACCTCTAAAGCAACTCTTGGCTGTGGATACACGTTTCTTGGATGCAGATGCAGAAATGAAAAAGATGTTTGGAGCTCGTGTCGTTAATTCAGAGATTAAGGACCGTCGCTATGCTAAAGTGGCAAAGAGGTCTCTTCTGGCGCAACCCAGAAACACATGGCCTGTCCGCAAGGCTTCTGGGTTGAGCATGGAGATCGTGGATACTGATCAAAAAGAGAACGTGACAACATTCAAGATTGTTCATTCAGAGTACTATCAAAAAACACAACTCAAGTTCTTGGCGGCTGTTGCATCTTATGGTAAAGCTAGAGAGCTACATTACTATGTTTTATTGTTCGAACAATTTACAAGAAAGAAGGATAAAAACTTTTTTAATGCTTTAATTTTATTTTATTCTTTTCTTAGATCCGAATAATTTGGTGGCGCTTCTCCGGGAGAGTCCTTTCCACATCGATAGTTTGCTCCAGCTTTCAGAGGTTAGCAGACATAATGGCGATAATGCTCTTGCAGGCGAATTCATCGGTATAGAAGGATAGACTTCAATGTGTCGAAAGCTTGTACAAGAAATGCTTTGCTTCGAAAGACATTCCTAATATTTATTTTACTTTGACGCTATCTCTATATAGAACAAGCACTTTTTGCCTTTGAAAAGAGCTTTCACAGTTTGTTTAATATTGCATCAGGATCAGTGCGTTTGAGTTTCATGGAAGTCGAGAACCGATCATTTTTCCTCGCCCTTCATCGCCACATTCAGTTTTTGGGCCGACGTGGTTGTTGGAGGACAGCATTTGAATTCAACAAACTGCTTCTCAGCCTTGATCCCGTATATGATGAGCTTGGATCGCTGCTATCCATTGACTTTTATTCTTTGAAGGCGCATGAATACACATATATGGTGAAGTTATACGAAAGATTGAAGGAGGATCATGGGCTTGATCGTATGCCCAACTTTTTGTATTCCATCGCAATGGCTCACTTTCATATGGAGTCTGCACAAGGGGATACTACTCACCAGCAGAGTTCTGAGATGCTGCAGAGATCTATCATCATGTTCCCGACAGCAGTTCTTCTTTTGGCGGACCAAGGCAACTTCAGCGTGGATGCAGAAACAGCAGGCGAGCCAGCATTTTATCCTGCACAAGAGTATGAGAAGTTCTATAGGTTGCAGTTTATTAGAGGATGATATTATCGTTTTCCATGGTAATAACTGTAATTTTTTTTTTTTTTTTTTTTTTTTTTTTAAAAAAAAAAAAAATTCTCAACTTTTTAGTCTTCCCAAGGTCCTAGATCTCTATATCAATCTCTTTGTGTTGAGAAATCATGCTCTTTGGAAAGAACCTGAAGTAAGAAAAAAAAAAGACGCAGTTGATGCGCTTGTTTGACAATGGCGAATTGTAGATGTCAGTTCTATTTTTTTTTAACTATGCCCATTATTCATTTTTTTTTTTTTTTTTTTTTTTTTCAATAGGTAATCTCATGGCTCAAATCCAACATTAAAGTCTGTGTTCAATCACGCTTCAAGAATCAAAATGATCCTGATGTTAAGGATGCCGAAGTTCTTCTTTCAAAATACAAGACCGCTGCTACAAAGACTAAAGCTCCTTTAAGCTACAGCTTCGATGGGACATTAGAGTCCGATGCGCCCGAGTTTTCAGCTTTGCAGCAATCGTCCTCATCTCCATCTAATCCTTATGCTATTTCGCTTCGAGTGTGTCGACATGTCTTGGTTTCAGAGTACAATGCACTTGCACGTTTTTTGCCACAGGAGATTGTTACTGCTACGTCACATATGTATGACCCTTTGCCACCCCCAGGATCTCGAAATGTATATGAGGAACGATTTGAGGCGCAACGACGTTCAGGTGGATTGATGGGTGGCGCTCGCGACGCTGCACAGAGTGTCTTGGAAGAGGTTGTCCGTCGACTACGAGCGGGCGGATTACCTGACCTTCGAGGAAACAATGCTGGTGCTGGTGGTGAAGCTGGAGAGCTGCAGGAGGCACAGCTAAGGCAGATAGCGGATGCAGTTCAAATGCTGAGAGCAAGGATCGGGACCCATGCTCAGCCCGATGGAGCTCTTCCTGGTGCTTTCCCAGGTCAGACGCCACCGTTGGAAGCAACTGCAGCTACACCAGATACAGCTGTGGATGATGCAGCTACAGCTTCCACAGCAACAGCAGAGGATGCTCAAGAGAATGCCAGTGGCCCGCACGACAGAGCAGGAGACAATATGGCGGAGAGAGCAGCTGGAGACCTAGCCGAAAATGTATCTGTGCTTCAGTCATTGACAGAAGTGATGCGTTTGCTTGGATTTGGGCCAAGGGGTCAGGCTACAGGCGGTGAGAATATCACTAATACCGAGATGCCACCATTAACACACCAAGAAACACAAGAACTAGTGAATTCTATGTTAGGAGGACTGGAGAGTGGCGACGAGGAGTATTACACGGATGACGATGAAGACGAAGATCGGGCATTCGGCTCCGATGGCAATGATGGCTGGGAGCCATATGATCCAGCAGCTTACGAATAAATAGGTAGCATTTTTTTTTTTTTTTTTTTTTTTTTTGAAAAAGCGAGCAATTGATGTAGTTTATTGGACAAAGGACCATCCTTTTTAAATGTTGTCAAGTCTGATTTCAATTCTGGCTTTGATTCTGACCATGGTTCTGACTCTGAATCTGACTGTGACTCTGGTCTTGATGAGTACTACTGGAGGAGGAAGCGTGTCCATCTTCTGTTTCATGATGGCTCGGTTGAGTTGAATGGTTAGCACTGCTCGTGCTATTTGCGTCGCTTGTGGTAGTAGCAACAACACCTTCCATTTCCACCTGCATTCTTGAGCCTTTGCCCTTTCTCACAATCAGCACATTCTCCATGGGTGCATCTGTCCCTGCTACGGCTGCTGCAGCCGCTTCGACCAAAATAGGCTGTAAGATACGTCGCCGAGCATTGATGAACCAATTACTGATTTGGTTCATTGATAGCTGAGTTGCTTCGGAAAGACGCATCTTTTCTTCTTCTGTGGGATAGGGGTGAATGGCATTTTGAACGAGCCATGATTTCAAAACGGATGTCACAGATTTGGGAAGATTTCCTCGACGTTTCCTGTTGGAATCAAGATTATTAGTGTTATTATTACTATTGTTATTACTGCTTTGGTTGTTATTGCCATTGGCGTTACTGTTGACTCCAGTAGCACTAGTGTTGTTTGTGTCGTTGGCATTAAGCTCTGTAGAGGTTGGGGCAGGGGCGTAGGTGCTATTGCTGTTGCTACTAGCAGTGCCGATGGCATTTTTAGAGTCATATGTATGTCCTAAATCGGCTGAAGGTGATCGTGATCTTCCCGAGGGTGGCGCCGCAGTAGCAGTAGCATAGGATGCGGGCTTCACCGGGGTGGGGTGAGGTAAAGGCTCCAAATTATGTGGGTGTCTAGGTGATGGCATCACCTGATGGTGGCGATGGCTGTAATGATGCTGTTGTGGAGACATCTCGAAGCGAGAGGAAGAGGTGCTACCGCGATGGATCTGACTCGATGATCGATTCGAAGCTGATCCTGCTCCAACTTCATGGGAGAGTGGTTGATAGGATGATCGCTGTTGGTAATTATGAGATTGATACTGCTGAGATTGCGAATGTGAATATCCTGAAGCAGACACAGAGGTTGAGGAAGGTTCTCTTGACCTAGGTGACGAGGAAGTAGAAGATGGCCCCGATGAATGTATACCATTTGATGTCAATGGCGATGGTAATAGTCCATATGATCCACCGTCGGTGTGTGAAGGCTTCGTGGAGCCCTGTTCAAGCCTAGATCCTCCACCAGCACCTCCACCTCCTCTGGATCTAGAATGATCCATTGAGGATGATTGTAGCCGTGAATGATATGGATCATGACTCTGATTCTGATTTTGCTGATAGTTTTGTAAAGACCGAGGAAATGATTGTTGCTGATGATGTTCACGATGCTGATATGAAGAGGACTGCCGTTGTGATGGTATTAGTTCATCCTCTCGAGAACGAGCTTCTGGCGTCTCTTTATTGATTGATGTGTCAAAAGGAGTATGAATAAATGAAGGAGAAGACGTAGGGGAAGGTGTATGAGAAGTGACATAAGTTGTTCTGTTTGTCATTCCTGCTGTCACAGCAGCAGCAGCGGCAGCAGATGTTGTTCTAGAGTGTTGCCTAGTTAAAATCCTACGATCCTGCTCCTTAGGATCATCAAGGAACTGGTCACGACCCAAATGATATGATGAAGTGGATTGCTGTTCATAATTTGCATGGTCTCCAACTTCAGTCTGTTGCCTTGAGCGATACTGTCCTTTTGATTGCGCATGTGTCTGACTCTGATAGTTACTCTGCTCTCCAGCATTGCTGTTATCGTGAACTGGATAATCATATGGACGAGGTCGACTCCGACTAGATTTGATAGATGATAAACTTTTGGAAGTGCTGAGAGTTTGTTGTTGAGGATGTAAAGGAGGTAGTGATGGGTGGTGGTGATGATGGTGATGATGATGATAATAGTATGTCGTCCTAGTATCGGGGACTTTGCTGTTGCCCCTGTCCCTGTCCCTGTCCGAATCCAAGTTCATCTCCAGCTCTGATTCTCGTTCCAGTTCTAATTCTCTTTCACGTTCCTTCTTTTCGAGATTGCGGGTGTATCTGACGAGCTCCCACCAAAGAAGACTGTTTTGTTGCAACATTCGCTGAACCTTTTTACGATGCATATCCACTCTTGCGGGCGACAAGGTCTTTGCTAGGACATCGATTGAGGATGATGAGTTGGAAGAATAGGATGAAGGAGGAGATATGAAGGATGATGACGATGATAGTGAAGAAGCCGAAGGGATATCGTTTCTAGACTTCTTCTTGATATCAACCATAGGTAATGGAGATAATGATAATGAAGGCTCTCTTTGGTTCCGGTTCTCACTATCCACAATAGAAGCAAAGCCAGCATTATTGTTGCTGTCATGTTTGTCAATGTTCTCTTGCATTTCTACATCCATGTGTATATCTTCATCAGCTTCTTTTTCCATCTCATTTCCCTTTTCCTGTTGCTTTCTTTCCTCCATACGTCTCCCATCATCTTCAGCTTGCTGTGAATGAGTTGAGGATTTTAACGAGGACGAGGGGTGTGGGTGTTGACGAGAAGTAGGATGAGTAGGACCAATAGTCTCTGTTATCTCTGCTGCTGCCTCTATCCCTGTCCCTGCCTCCAGTTCCGATGAGACTGTTAACCCTGAATGGTTCGGAGAGGCAGTCGTAACATGTGCGGAATCGTATCTGGAGGAGAAAACAGAGTTGGAGGGGCTGAGTTCGTTGAAGAGGACAATGGGCACAAAGGCCATTCGTTGTAGCATTGGATCAGATGAGACTGAGACTGACTGACAAGGAGCACAAAGTGACAGGTGTTTCAAAATGTGTGAAGGTGAGAGAAAAAGTGACAGGGATGTCTGGTCCAGTGAGATGTCAAATGTCAGAATCCGAGAAGGTTGCAGTAATAATAAGCAGAGATGAGTATTTTCAAGTCCAAAGAAAAAACATTTATGTATTGAGCTAAGAGTGGACAATAATATGAATTATAAAAGGTGATGAGCAATAAAGGATGAGTAGAAGAGAGAGAGAAAGAGAGAAAGAGAAAGAGAAAGAGAGAGAGAGAGAATAAAAAAGAGGAATGAAAGTAACGGACGATCTAGTTGAAAGAAAAAAGCAATAATAAATCATTAGGATGGAGATGCGCGATTTTTTTTTTTATATATTTCTGACATTGTCCGTAGTGGGACTCATGCCCGGACTGAAGACGACCTTACTGGTGAAAAAAAATGCCGCATTTCCAATTGATTCAAAATATGAAATAGATGGGCAAAAATTTTATGTTCAAAACCGTAAGACTAAAGCCCAAATTCTGTTTATGAAATAATGAAATAATGGGCTAGTAAAATGATGTCGATATATTAAAATGTCTAAAATACATACTAATTCAATTAGATTTTGACATTGACGTCCTCGCCCGAGGGTGTCAGGGGGTGTGAAGATCAAAAAAGATAGCAATTGGCGGGTAAGATACATCTTCGCCAATAGATAATAAACAATAAACATGGCATTAGGGCTGAGGTTGTCTCATAACCCTTGCGCTTGAAGATATCGAGCTCTCCCATAGAAACGTCAAGAATACCGAAACTTGTCTTTACTCTTACTGAAGTACAATAGCCTAAGCTGCTGATGCTAAACTAAACATTTGTTTCAGCTGGAGATTTTTTTTGCTTTTGTGCTTTTTCTTTTATTATACCACACTTGATTGTGCACTTCAAGATTCTCATGAGAGAACCCATCTGAATATCTTTTTGACACGAAGTTTGTATCCCTTTAAATAAGTCAACAAGCCGTGTTTAATTTATTTAATCAGCATTGATTACAATACCCCATCAATCTTCGCTTTACAAAAAATCAATATATTCATGCACAAATATTTATATATATATTTACGTCTCTGAGGATTGTCGAGCGAGCATGAGGTTTAGCCACTCTTCTTTAAAACTACCATAACAAAACCTGTCAAAAAAAAAAAAAAAAAAAAAAAAAAAGTTATCTTTATCTATGCCTAAGACAGATTCTAATCGGCCGTACGCACTTCGGCCTTATTCAGGTTTGCTTGCTTTTCCAAAGCCAAGAGTTGCTCCTGAAGATCATTGATTCGTGTTTGCAGCTTAATTTCCATTTCAGTCAACTCTGAATGTCTATATTGCTGTTGCTGTTGCGGTTGCTGTTGTGATGGGTTCCTTTGAGCTTCTGGTTCTGGTCTCCAGGCCACCTGTTCATTCAACCACCCATCTCTTGTATTTCGATATTGTTGATGGCGTTCCTCTCTCTCAGTCAGCCATGCCCACATGACATCCTCTTGGTTCCTCATGTACATCTCCTCTGCCTCAAAAGCATCCAGCTCTGCCTCTCTTGAGCGCCGCGTCCTTGATGCCCCAGATCCAGCTGGAGACGACTTTGTAAATGCAGATGACATAGCATAGCTATCGTGATAGTTTGGAGGAGGAGGAGGAGGATGATGATATGGATGCCGAGCGTTGTTCTGGATCCTTTCGATTTGAGAGCTGACATTGGAAATTTGAAACGAGATATAAATGTTGACCAACATGACGACCACCAAGATCAAGATGAACGTCAAGTATGAGACTGCACCCTGATCCCACTCCATGGCTTTCGATAACGTAGACCAGACGCTTGTCGAGGAACGTGATGATGATGACAAGCCAGCTGCTGAACCATTGACCTTTAACTGGGAATCACCTCCTTTGGTTTCTTGTTCTGAGCGAAGAGAGCCATCTGATCTCAAGTTTGGAGACTGCCCTCCTTCTTTCCCCTTTCCGTACTCCTTGGATGGCGGTCCAAGTGCAGAGGAAGATATATTTGTAGACTTTGTTGAAAGTGATGTGCCATCACCAGAACCGCCAAAGCTCTTTGGGTTGGCTGCAATATGTTTGCGTATACACTTGTTCAGCTCCGTGTAATGAGCCGTTAGTCCTTCTGCTGCACCCTTCTCAATTTGACCCTTGATCCAGCTACTTTTTGTGAATTCAACTCCCCCAGTCACTACTACCTGCACTTGAGTTGGACCTGCCCATGTAATACAAGTCCTCACTTTAGTTGTGAAGCATCCCCCAGAGGGAACGTCTGGTGTTGAAGTCGTTGTCACTGTTGTCGTATACTCATCAAAATTCTTGTGCTCACAGACATCTGTCAGTATAGCTTTTGCAGTCTTGGGACCAATGGGCATACCAAGCCATTTGGTATATCGTGTTGTTTTTGTTAAAGTATCGTCAGTGGATTTTTGCCAAGGTTCATCCTGAACGTCTGCTCCCTTCATAGCTTCTGAGGTTAAAAAACTTTTGTTAAAGTCTGAGTCAAAGAGTAGTTTCCATATGGCCCGAACAGTACCAGGGTAGGTTTCTGACATGTAGGTGTTAGAATAATGTCGACCATCCTTTGAGCATCTACACGTAGTTGGTGTCTGAAAAGAGGATGTAGCTGAAGGTTGAGTGGATGACAATTTCATTTTGGTTCCTCCATTGTCTCCAGTGCGAGTCAAATCTGGTCGCTGCACTGAGGAGCCCAAAGGATCATCATCAAATGATGACCGAACAGCCGGAGCCGATTCGCGATCCCCTGTTCCCTCAAACATAGAAGGACGTGGCGGTAGTTCTGATACTGAGCGTACACGAGGTCTCTTGCCGTTGGTACTATTAGCCGACAGGGAGCCTAGAAGAAAAAAAAAAAAAAAAAAAAAAAAAAAGTCAGTTAGAAGGCCAGTCAAAAAAGTAGAATGACACAAAAAAAACTATCGATGAAGTTTTACCATTCCGTTGTTCCTCATCAGGATTACCAGGTGCAATAACATCTAAAGAAACATAAGGCTATGAAAAGTTAATAATTAGGCATGTGGATATGTGAGAAGGAAAAAGAGAGAGAGAAAAAAAGGTATATTGCAATGCACAATAGCTTTGCCATGAAGTTTAGACTTCCAAAGCGATCATAAAACGTTGGGTAGCAGTCGAATCATTCACCTTTGATCAACTTTCTGACACCTTTTTTAGATCCTCGTCGACGAACACCAGTATTACTTGTACCATCATCTTCGCCCCAATAGTCTTCCTTGCCATTGGTTTCATCACCCGTCCAGGTTTGTGAAGCGTTTGAGAAGGAGCGTCGATGACGATTCTTTCGAGAATCGGTATTGCCTCGAGATGAGATAAATGATTGGGCGTCATTACTATCGTCATCATCATTAACACCGAGAAGAGATCGGTTCTGACGATGCATGCTATTGCCATTGTTGTTACTGGCTGCACAAGCGTTTGCTGCACAAGGAAATGATTTTCTCCAGGCTGCCATCAACAGATCGTGAGCGGTATCACGAGAAAGAAACGACGCAAAGAAGTGACCCTTTGTATTAGTCGCAGTAACGATACTGATAGCATTAGGGATCACAAAGGCTGTCATCCTCTTCTCGATTGCTGTAATCTCGGAGAATGCGATGACTAACTAGATATTAAAATAACCAAAAAAAAAAAAAAAAAAAAAATTGAGAAATCATTGATCCTTGGTTTGCAATTCATTCGAGAGTTGAGCTGTGATCATATTAAATAATTTACATTGGTGACCCAGCCAAAGATATTGGCATTAAAGCAGACATGATTTTCGCTGATGTAAAGGCGACCTTGAACTAGGATTTCTTTCTGTAAGGCACATCCATAATCTATACCAAAGTAAGATGAAGTACAAAATTATCATGAGATGAAAGCCAAAGAACATACGATATTGACCTCCTTTTTTTGCGTATCAATCAATAGCCTCACTAATGCCAAGAAATAATTGATTGCAAACATTGCTCTTTGGGCCATGCGCCAGGAAAAAAAAAAAAAAAAAAAAAAAAAAAAAAAACAGCCCATTATTCATTTTCCCCTGCTTTTTTTTTTTTTTTTTTTTTTTTTTTATCGACCTGTCTTCAAGGTTTTTTTTACTCAATGAAAAGAACTCGGCAACACCACGCCACATTTCACGCGACCTCATATTTGTGATACATGGATACATGAAAGAATTATGGCTGCTCTCTCCTATGCCTCTAGAACAATGTAACTGGACGTAAAAATAAAAGCAAAAATAAAAATAAAATAAAATACCAAACCAGTTCCTCCTGCTTTTGAATCTCAAACCAATGTCAAATCTTGAGTAATAATATTTAATCTAGACTATGAAGTAGCAAGCTTTGGAAGAAAAACCTGGTTTTTAGGACAACTCCCGAGTAAGCGTGATGCACTTGTTATATTTTACCTTCGATCAGTTTCTCATCATCTGGGACACTTCGAAATAGTGCATGAAAATCGCTGAATCGTTTCTCGTTTGCAAACACAAACGAGATATGGACTCCAAAATCATCCTCTTCACATGGACCAGTCGTATCTTCTTCACCGGTGATCATATCATGATTGAAGCGCTGTGAGATTGAACCAGAGTCAAACCTATATCCATTTGATGTAGAATTGCTAGTACGAGTGCTACTACTATTATCGTTATTACTGTTGTTCGTGGACTCGGGATAAGTGTCAGCACCATAATCTGATTGATATTCCTCGTTGGTCATGGATGCTAGATTGGTGATGGAGCGATCGCCTCTCGAGTGGGTTTTAGATGTGTTTTCAAGAGTAGAGGTGTTAGTAGACGGTGTGGCAGTGGTAGAAGCAATGGCACTAGGGGGAAACGTGGGAGTGATTGGAGTGGTGGTGGCACTGAAAGATGTTGTGGGTATAGAAGAAGAAGAGGAGAGTAAGCGCCTGCCGTGAGCAGCCAAACGAGCAGCAATTGGGTCCGATGAGGAAGTAGAAGAAGAAGAGTTGAAAAAGCGAGAAGCAGAAAAAGAAGACGACGGAGGAAGTGGCTCGGGAGTGCTGACGTTAGGGTTGTTATTGCTGTTGCTATTGCTATTGCTATTGGTATTACTGATTCCTGAAGTTGTGCTGGGGGCGGCCACAGTAATGGATGGTGATTTGGGATGTGACCCGGCGTTATTGCCGGATGGCAAGATGGTATTTCCGGTAGCCGCACCATTATTGTCAGCACTGCCTTTGTTTGTGTCAGAGACATGTCCCATTGGACTAAGGAACGAATGCGGTGGAGGCATGTATGACATCTGCTGCTTCGAGTCAGTGATGTAAGGCACAACCTGCGGCTGCTGCTGGCTGGAGCCGGTCATGGTTGGCTCCCAATACTCTCTTAATATGGTTAGGCTGTGATACCGGACAGCAAGTAAACAGAAGGATGACTATAAGATGGAGACAATGTGTAAATGCGAACGGTAATGAGCAAGGGATGGAAAAAATCGATTTGATGGATGTCAAGAAATGCGAGTGGAATAAGTGGAGCCTTCCTATTTTTTTTTTTTGATGAAAGTAAACATCTGTTTTGGAACTTTGAATTATTGATATAATTGATGCATTTTATTGGTGTCTGGCATAGAAGCCATGTATGGTGAGGTACATGCACGTGCTGAAAGGCAATTGTGGCTTGCTCTTGCAGACACTTTTTATTATCTATCACTTAGGCCGTAGAACGGGCAAATTTGCCAATTTAGCTTTCATCAACTCATGGGCAGGCCAGATCCAGTTCCTATGAAAAGAAAACAGCCGGCTATTGGATTCTTGCCACCCATATGAGACCACAGTTATGGTGCGTAGGAGCAACGTCGGTGTTCCGGCCTCTCGATTTGCATGCCAAAGATGTAAACAAAAAAAATCAGCAAGGATCAATCAGCAATAAAAATCAACCAACAAAAATCAAAACCATGTCATCACGATACCACCACATTTCCCAACTTTCACCTTCTTCTACCCAGACTAAAAATAAACAAGTGTCTATCTCTATTATTCTCTATCTCCATCTTGGTTTCTTTTTTGCTGAGGTATATTACCGAGTCATCTTCCATACTGATCTAAAAAATGTTTTGAAAAAAAAAAAAAAAAAACTGGTGGGAAGTGCTTGCGCATGTGGCATCTAAAGTGTAGTCCAAGAAGTTTAAACCAGTGACCTGTACTGATGTACTGAACATTCGTACTTGAAGTTTTTTTCAGTAAATTTTTACTTAAACATTGGTAAAAAAAAAGTATATTTCGAGTAAAAATCAGTAAGTACTTACTGAAAATATACTTTTTACTTACTTTTGTTTTGCTGATATTTACTGAAAATATACTTTTGTTTTACTGATATTTACTAGAAATATACTGAAAATATACTTTTGTTTTACTGATATTTACTGGAAATATATATACTTATTATTTACTTTTCTTTTACTCATTCTTTTACTTTTCTTACTTTTCTTTCAGGGGGGCCTGCACTCAGAGATCTGAGCCTGAAGAGAAAGGGCGTGATGTTTTGGTTTCCAGCACGTGCTGGAAGAAAACGAGCACAAACCTATTGCCCATACAGCACAAGCTGATTGCCCATACAGCACAAGCTGATTGCCCATACAGCACAAGCTGATTGCCCATACAGCACAAGCTGATTGCCCAAACAGCGCGAACCTGTTCTGAAACAGCATGAACCTGTTCTGAAACAGCACAAACCTTTTCTAAAACAGCGCGAACCTGTTCTGAAAACAGCACAAACCTATTGCACAAACAGCGCTAACCTGAAGAAAAAGCATACAGGCTTAAAAAAATCCACAATCATTTGCATGCATAACAGGCTTCTTCTCTTTTCGCACTACCATTACCATTGCCATTACCATTACCATTGCCATTACCATTACCATTGCCATTGTCATTCTCATTCTCATTCAATTCTCAGAGAACCTTCTGCATCATCCCTATAAACACGCTTAATACCACGAACAGTTGACAGATTAACTTTATTTGTCTGATCTTGTCTCACAAAGCGGCCATGTACTTTAATAATTCAGTAAATGCTCGGCATCTCTGCCTCTGCTTTCTCTTTATTACTAATGTTGACTATATATAGTCAAAGCCAACTTCTACTTCCATAGCTAGGCTTCTATATCTCTATATCTCAAAGATCTTAAAGACCAATAATCATCGTCTGTGACGCCAAGTAACACTGATACAATTGTACTAGATTCTTCTCTTGCAACAGCCTTCGCAAAGAGACAAAGGGAACAATCTTTAAATATGTTGAGCCCATTTACTCAATCCACATAAAACAGTTTGTTCCCCTCGTGGAGGAGAGAACCCTCGATATACGATAAAACTTTTTTTGTCCATATTCCTGTTTTGTTTAATAAAGTTTTTTCTGTTCTCATGCTCCCACTTTCCATTCCTCTTCCTGAATCAGTCTGCCTGACCTTGAAACGCAATTCCTTTTTTTTATTCAACGATGAATGATAAGAGTGAGAATTTCTTGTTTGACAAAGAGCATGGCGAAGAGTATGACGAAGAGTATGACGAAGAGTATGGCGAAGAAAATAACGACGACTTTGATGAATATCACTCATTCAACCAGGAAGTCAGAAAATCTAGACGAAGACCCTACTTTCAACGAGAATAGGTGCGAATTCGAGACTGACGATGATTACAGCGGGTTTTCTGGAAGGCGATCGCCTGTAAGTCTATACCTTTGACTCTTAGTTGCTAGTTAATACTTGATATCCCTTGCTTCGAGCCTTTTTACTGACTTCTTCCGTACGCGTCAATGCTTCTGTAGTCAGAGAGCCTCATCGACCGACGCGCCCAGCGGCAAGCGCAGGCGAAGTGTGATATATGGCGTCGTGGTCAGGACAGACACGAACAAGAGCAAGTTGATGTTTACCAAAGCAACGATATTGACCATTCTGGCGGAGAATACAATGTCTTGGGCGTGAAGACGCGCGAAGGGCGTTCAAGGTCTATGTTCGAGGAAGTGCAAACACGCCAGTTGCCCCAAGTGACTTCAAGAAGCGAAGCCAGCGTCGCCGCCAGTAGCATCAGGTCTGCCCAAGCCAAACGAGGATATCCTAAGACTCCTTCTCCTCCAACAAATCAGGGACTGCCTATTCAACCTGCCAGACCTAGGTCATTCCTACGTTCAATCTCAGCATCCCATGTTCTTGGCTCACCCTCTACATCCACATTATGCGCTCCGCGACAATCCCCACTACCACCGCTACAAAGGGCCGAGAGCTTTCATTATTATCGCAGTCCACAGCCTAGGTCTTATCTCCTCAGTTACTTCATCGTACTCTGGACGGCATAGAGATATGCATGGCGTTCAGCCCAAGTCGCCCATCTCCCTGCACCAGACCTCTCGGGCATCTTCATCGTCCTCCTCTTTTCGTGGACTTCCTCAGATCTCACGAGATTTAGCCTATCCTTTATCTTTTGACAACCCATAAGCAACCCTGCTTGCAGCTGAAGCTGAAGCTTTGGAGCAGCGTCGACCTAACCTACGTACCAGTCATGGAGCATCGGAGACATGGTACACGCTATATGAATCGCTTGAACTTGGCGTTTTACCTTCGCCCGAACGGTGCGACGACGCGCCCGCCTCACAAAAGCCTTTGGCACAAGTCCCAATACATAAGTCCATACGCAAGTCTAGTATCCTTGGACATTTCTATAATACAGATGCATCTGGCTTCTTCGAATGCCAGGTTAAGAACAGTCTCGGGGTAAAGTGTGGCATAAAGTACAAGAAGTTAGGGGCGGCAGATCACGAAAAAACCATCTCCTCAAAAACCACTCCACAATATATGAAGCTGTGCAGGAATTTCGCCTCTATCAAGGCATGGTCCAGAATGTCAAGTCGTCGAAAGATCAAGATGATGATGATGATGAGCCCCCTAGACCACAGGGGAACTTCGAAGTGGCTAGAGAGGGATTTGTTCTTACGACTATGAAGAGGCCACTTCCGTATGAACAAC